ATAATCAAATATAAGAGTTACCAGGAATCTTTGGAAATTCTCAAAAACCAGCAGATTATAGAGTAAATAAAAATATAAACTTTTTGTTATTAGGAAAATCCACGTGGCAAATCTTCAAGAGGTTTCCAGAATTCTAAAATACCTGACAGAATTTTAAGTTCCTAAATCTAGAGCCAACTTTCGTAGAAAAATATCCCTAATATCAAAACTTATTGTCCGTATCTAAATAAAAAAAACAATGGGAGAAAAAAAAGTATTATAGATAGCGGGCGACGAAAAATAGAATCAGGTCGAGTAATATATGCAAAACCACCGTGTCTCGCTCTTGTCCCACTAAAAATCATAAATAAAATAATACACAAGGCATATGTGCAAAAATTACATGAATTACCATTTTTTGGCGCCAAAAAAACACACGTGGAAAGTTTTGAGGTAAAATTAGATGAATCATTTTCAAGAAATTTAAAAATTCAGAGAAAACTATTTTCAAAAATTTGCACTGTTTCAAAAAATATATACAATTTTTATTGATGCCAATACTTTAGAAGGGTTTGCGAATAAAAAATTACTGTTTCAAAATTTTGATAATTGAAAAAATCAGAAACAAAAGTGTTCAGAGAACTCCATTTATTTTTGAGAAATTCTGTTTTATAAGTCGATAGATATGTAATTCACAAAAAATTTATTTCCTGAAAAATTACTGTTTCAAAATTTTGATAAGTGAAAAAACTATCAGAAAATAATGATACAGCATAATATTTGTATATAAACTTTTCTATTCAAAATTTCCGAAAAGTTTTACTACTTTAACATTTTTTCTAAAACCCCTCCAAAAAATCCCCGAAAACTCCGACGCCAAAAACCACCAAAAAACCGAGTTATCCGATTTTTTTCGTTGGTGTAAACCAAAAACAAAACCCAACTAACCTTATTAAAATCAAAGTTGTCTTTTTTTTTTGGGGGAGCAAAATCAAATTAATACTTTTTGGGAATTTTGTTACAAAAAACATCAAAGTTTGACCCAATTTTGTGTAACTCAACTCAGAATCAGAAAGTTTCAATAGCGCGAATTTAGGAGAAAAATAAGAAGAAATTGGGGGAAAATCGCGAAAAAAAAAGAGGTAGGCGGATTACAAAAGTTGAGGGTCAGAAAACAAAATTATGGAAAAAAGAAGAAAGGATTAAGAATGGATTTTGGAATCGAGGAATACTTGAAAAGAGAGACAAATTTCTGATTGAGATACATTTCGCTCGAACAAATTTACTACTTACTTACTGTTTTTAGGTTAAATACAAAAATGTTCGAAAAAAAAACATTTGGTGGGAAAATTTAGAGAGAAAATTTTTGAGATTGAGAAGCGTAGACTTTTCAACCAAAATATTTTGAAAAGTAACCAATGTAACAAAAAAAAGCACTTTGGTTGAAAAGTCTACGTTTCTCAATTTCAAATGAAAATGAACTGATTGGTTCTTGTTAAAAACTGTAATAAGTTCAAAGAAACAATGTGTTTTCAAACAAAATGTAGTAAAATTATTTTGAAACAGCGAATTTACAAAAATTCTGACTTTCATTAAAAATTCGAATTCCAAGATTTATGTTCTCAAATTTCGCGCCAAAGTCTAATCTGCTAACCCACATTTTTTCTGTTGACCTCTAGATGTTTTTATCCCTTCAAAAAAGTTGCGATTTCTAACAAATTAAAACAACACAACCTAATGGCCTATATTCAACAAATTAATCAAAAATTAATTAATTAATTAATTAATTAAAAATCCAGAAAATCAATACCACACACAGAAGGAACAGGAAAAAGTTCAGAAAAAGTACAAAAAATTACCTGCTCGTTATCAAAAGGGTGGTCATATAACAAGAAAAAATATATATCATTTTACAAGAAAATTATGTGTTTTTTTTAGAAAATTTCTGGAGCAATTTGAAAATGAGCACAAAAAATGAGAAAAAGAGATAAAGGTGATAACAAGTGCTTTTTCTTCTTTTGTTTGTTAGGCCATTTTTGGAAAAGAAGAAGCCAGGAGAAGAAAATGAAGAACCACTTGACAAAAAATTATATTATTATTATTATTATTTATTTGTTTATTTTTGAGGTTTTTTTGGGATTTGAGGTGAGTTTGGAATGAAAATTTGACACGTGGAAGTTTTCGTGGCAAAAAAAAATATGGAAATAATATTTCACTGTTTCAAAAAAATAACATTTGAAAAATGTTTTAGAATGTTCAGTTTACAACGAATTTTGTACCCTAAAAATGACTTCAATAATTTCTCACTGTTTCAAAAAAATCACTTGATTTTTGCTTTCAGTAAACTTCTCAATCACTCAAGAATATCGAAAGTTAGAAATCAGAATATTTTGAAACTAGGTGTCACGTGGAATTTCACGGGCTAAACTTTTAAAAATTTCACTGTTTCAATGAAGAAATATAAATTTTGGACAAATCATAAAATCTAAAATGAAAAGAAAAAGAGATGAAAAAATTCACTGTTTCAAAAAATAGAGAAGTATTTTTCACAACACTGTCAAAACTGATACTCATCTAATTTTGAATGAATCAAACAAAAATATAAAAATGTAACCAACATCTGTATGATACAAACAACTTCTTCCCTTTTTCCCGAAAAAAAATTCCCTGAAAAAAGGCAAAACATCTGGCAGGTACGGTAGATCACACACACTTGTATACATATTTTTAGCGCACAGCAAAAAAATAGGGTTTCTTTTTCTTTTTTGGCTTCCCAAGAAAAAAAGATGAGCAAAGCAAAAAGGGTTCTTTTTCCTATTTTTTGGCTCAAAAATGTCACCCGGGTTACCCGGAAAAAAAGAAGAAGAAAAAGAAAACCTGAGAGGAGAAGTTGGTTGGCAACCGAAAATGAGGCAAAAAAATAGAAGAAGAAGAGCAATATTGTTTTATTTTTCGAGAATGGATTTTTGAAAAAATAAGAGGGAACTTTTGAGGCTCAGAATCCACGTGGCTAACAGGTTGAAATTGAAATTGAAACAAGAAATTACGAAATTCAGAAGCCTAACATCGTTTTTTTCGAGAGAGAGAGAACTTTTAAAAACATAAATACAACATTTACTGTGAAAATCCACGTGGCAGGTTTCAAAATAATTTTAATTTTGAGTTCAGAATTCCTTCTGGAAATCTAAATTTCTGGACAAAAACCTACAGTACCCCCTAGCAAAACTCAAATCCCCTCTCTTTTTCTAACTCTAAAAAAGCTGAACTGAAGCAGAAAAATGGGGGCGTGGTCTCTCAAATCCCCCTTCAACCAGTAAGAAAAAAGTGAGTGAGTGAGTGACTTGAGGCAAAAAAAAGAGTATAGTATGACAAAAAACTCATAGGCACGCAATCTCTTCGCCACAAAAACCCACCAAGAAATGGCTTTTGCTGGTGACACCAAAAATGTGTTGGCAGGAAGAAATCTGACACCAAACATGCGATTTTGTTATCCACCCCCCTCATTCTCTTTTTTTTTGCTAACTAATTGACCTACAGTAACCCGTGATCACCTGTTTTTAAAGGAACAAATAAACAAGCCAACAAAAATAAAAATAAAAATAAAGTTAGATGCGATTTTTTCGAAATGGCAGGCAGGAGGCTAATGAGTGGGGCTTCCTGACTGACTGATGAGCAAAAGAGTAAATAAAGAGTAAGAAGACCCGAAGAAAAGAGATTTGAAACCCAATATGGCCATAGAAGAAGCCTAGGAAAAAGAGTAGGGTATTAAAGAATGAATATCTCCTCTTTATTTTATATATTCTCCTGACTAAATGAGAAAATCAACAAGAAAAAAAAAGTTCTGCGGGCATATGGAATTGAACCAAAACGGCTTGACTTCGAAGGCGCGCGTGTTAACCACTAGACCACGCACCTAACTGAGAAACATGAGGCGATTTTCATATTAGAGATCGGTGCCGCTTGGCGCCATATTTACAGAAAAGCAAAAAAAGGAAAACTTATGCTCGAAAATTCATGGTTGTTTTGCATTTGTCACCGCGCGAAAAAGGAGGAGCGCGAAGAAAAAGTGAACATTGGCACGCTATCCGATCATCACTTTCGATAGATATACAAAATGTGCGGTAAAACGAAATTTGTTTTTATTTTGGGAGACCAATTTTCGATAAAACCCCAAAAACTCACGGAATTTTCGCCAAAATCATGTTTGTTGTGGAGCCGAAAAAGTGACTTCATTTTTCACCTGAAAATTAAGAATCGAGAGTTTCATGAAAAATATATCACTGTAAATGAACTCACGAAATGTTTATTTTGAAAAAAATAGAATAAATCCGATAGTTTAGAGAATAAAAAATCAGAAATGATTGAATTTTTGAATGAGAAAAACACGTGGACGTTAAAAATCAATAAAAACGTGGGCCAATATTTTTCATTTCGAATAAACAGAGCGTTTTTTACTATACACAAATTTTCCCGCGCGCATCAGGGATGCGACGAAATTCAACGGAAAACTGAGAGATTTAGAGACAAAAAATTTTTGATCTACCACGAAATTTTTTTTGAAAAATTTGAGGTCTAGAAATTTTTGAAAATTATTTTCTCCCGCGCTGGGGTCTCGCGAAGATGTCCATAAAACCTTTGAAAAAACGATTTTTTGGATTTCTCTCGGATTTCTGAAAAAGTAAATATTTCGATGAATTTAACAACAATCGTAGTTTATTAGTTTAGCTTTAGAAAATAAAAATTTTCTGTCGAAAATCTTCCTCAAACTCCCAAAAAACCATCTCCAAAATCAAAAAATCTTTCATAAAAATGCAAAATTTCATCCTGAAATTCAAAAAAAGCAACAAAAAAATTACATAAGTAGAAAAATCACAGAATTTCAAAAAAACTAAACGAAAATGAGAATACCTCGTAGGATTGAGATAAGTAAAGGAAAATTAATTAATTGAAAATGACAATATTATACAAAAAGGGAGAAAATGAAGGAATGAGAAAAAATTCAAAATTTTGAAATAAATTTTTTATACTATCAAATCCTCTGTATCGCTGTCAAGTAATCTGAAAAAAATTTCGAAATTTTTTGAGCTCAAAAAAATCAATTTATCTCACCGATCTTTTTTACTCGAAGATTTCAGCGAACTCGTTGATCCATTAAACAAAGATCCCATTTTCGATGATAAAATCGATAATTTTGAGGCAGTTCGAAAAACTGCAGTTTCATCAAGTCCTCGATGAATTTCGACATCAAAATTGCCAGATTCGAGAAGTTTCAAATGTTGTTTGAATTTTGGAGTGTAAAGGGTGGCAAATGAAGGTTTTCTGGAAAAAAATAGGGATTTGGAAGGAAAGGGAGACTTTGTGAAACATTTTCTTAAAAATATTTTGCTGTTTCAAAAAATCAATAATTGGAAAATTCATCATGATTTTTCAATTTTTTTGGAATTTGAGAAAAATATACTTTTTCAAAAAATTCACTGTTTCAAAAAGTTTTTATTTCAAACGTACATATTTTGAAAAATGATAATACGTCGTAATTTTATTCAAATTTCCTTGAAAAATGTTGAAAAGCAACATCTCAAAATGTTCAAAATAAAGCCTTCTTCCCTTTTCCCAAAACTCTTACCTAAAATTCTTCAACAATAAACTACTTGAAACAACAGAAACACTACTCAAAGCCATTGCTGCCGCAGCCATCCAAGGTTGTAATGCAATTCCAATTGGTCTTAATAATCCGGCTGCAATTGGAATACCAACTGCATTATAAATTATAGCAAATAGAAAATTGAGTCGAATTCGACGAGTTGTTTTCTTGGATAATTTGATGGCTCCAACAACATCAATCAAATCATTTCGAACTAAAACAATTCCAGCTGATTCAATTGCCACGTCACTTCCAGCTGCAATTGCGATTCCAACATCAGCTTCTGCTAAAGCTGGTGAATCATTTACACCGTCACCAACCATTGCAACCTAAAACAAAGAGGGGTTGAGATTAGAAATATGAAAATTGTGAAGTTTTTCGAAATTTTTATTTTTTGAGTGATAAATTTTTGATTTTAATTTTTTTTTAATTAAAAAAGTCCATTTATAAGCTTCGAATCTTTGGATAAAAATTGCGATTAATTTTCAAAATCAATTTGTAGTTCCAGAGAAAAAATCCGCCAAAAATCACCCTCACCTTATGCTTCCCAAACTCCTTTAATTGCTTAATTTTTTCCTGTTTCTGATTGGGCAAAACCTCGGCAAAAACTTCACTAATTCCAACTTGTTTCGCAGTTGATTCAGCAGTTTTCGAATTATCTCCAGTCAACAAAACAACTCTCAAACCCATTTCTCTTAATGTATAAATAGCCAAAGGTGCATCTTTTTTAATTTGATCAGCAATTGAAATAATACAAACAATATCTCCATTTATTGCACAAATTATCGAAATATTCCCTTTTCTTTGCTCATCTGATAATGTTTTTTTGACTAAATCAGTTACTGTTATTCCATGTTTCATCATCATTCTTTCAGTTCCAATTATTATATTAGCTGAGTCGGTGGATTTCCAAGATTTTGTCACTGAAAAATTTGAGAAATTTAGTTTATGTTAGAGGATTTTTAAGAAGGAAAGGAAGTTTTTTTTATTCGGGGTATTTTTTTACAAAAAAAGGATTGAAGAATTTCTGAATTTTCAATAAAATTTAAAAAAAATCTTCGTAACTTTTGCACTGCTGAAATTTTTTCAGAACTAAAAAAAAAAGGAATTTTCACATTTCCAAAAAAATCTACTGTTTCAAGTTTTCTCCTAATTTTTTCAGGATTTTTTTGTTGTTCCAAACAATCTGTATTGGTCAATTATTGTTCCCAAATAAATTTTTTTCAAATGTTGAATACTTTAGAAAAAAATTGAGCCCCCTCTTCTCTGCCCATTAAATTCTCACCATCTGAATTCGCAACTTGAACCAATGTCACATCAGTTCCCGGAATCAACATAGTTTCTCCTTCAGCTAAATTCGGCATCTCTAAATTATTCCCTTTTCCATCTCCATTATTATTCAAAATCAATCCAGAATATGCTTGTTTAATTCCTTCAATTCGACAAGTTACTCCATTTCCAGCTGAAACATGAAATCGATTTGTAACTGGCCAAATTGGATCATTCAATAATTGTTTGGCAAATTGTGTTACAGCCGATCCAATTGGATGTTCTGATAATTGTTCAGTTGCTCCAATTAAATATGTACAAAGTCGAAGTGGAAGAGAAATTGGTGAGATAAATGAAGATATTTGAATTACTCGTGGACGACCTTCGGTGATTGTTCCAGTTTTGTCAAAAACTATTGTTGAAACCTGAAAAAATGGCGGGTTTCGGATAAATTTCAGTGAAATTTCATTTAAAATAAATGTCTCGATTTTGTTCCAAAAACCTAGAGCTTTTCTATTTTTTTTCCACTAACTCACTTTATGAACACATTCCAAGGGTTCTCCTCCTTTAATCAAAATTCCATTAGTTGCACCAACTCCAGTTCCAACCATAACAGCAGTCGGTGTTGCTAATCCCAAACTACAAGGACATGCAATTGCTAATACAGTAATCGCAGCTTCAAATGCAACTTTTAATGCTTGTTCAAATCGATCACCCGCTTCCATATTCTTATTTTTGTCCGAATTATATTCAACAATAATCCATGCAACTAATGTAAGAAGTGATAATAATATAACAGATGGCACAAAATATCCAGCAATTTTATCAGCCAATTGTTGAATTGGTGCTCGATTTGTTTGTGCTTCTTCAACTAATTTAACAATTTGTGCCAATGTCGAATCTCTTCCAACATGTGTTGCTTTTACAATCAAAACACCTTTTTGATTAACAGATCCACCAACAACAAGACTTCCTTGTTTTTTCACAACAGGCATTGATTCACCAGTTATAAAACTTTCATCCGCCGAACTTATTCCATCAATAACAATTCCATCAACTGGAACTTTTGCACCGGGAACTATTTTGATGAGATCATTTCGTTGAACTAATTCAATATTTATTCCTTTTTCAGATGTTAATCTTCCATCAGAATCCATTGTGACTAAAGTTGCTTCTTTTGCTTGTAATGACATTAATTTTGATAATGCTTCTGATGTTTTTCCTTTTGCTTTATGTTCCAACATTCTTCCGAGAGCAATAAAAACAATCAACATTGGAGGAACATCGAAAAATGTCATTGGGGAGCTGGGCCAACTGGAAAAATATGGGAACATTAGAGATTTTTTGGGTGTGAGAAAGGATAACCATTTTTGAATTTTTTTTAAATCAAAAATTCAGAGGTCTCGACTATAATTTCACTTGAGATTTTAATTTTAAAAAAATCTCCCCTAAAAATATTAGTGATAATACCTAGATTTTCACTCTTCCCTCTTCCTTCCTTAAACCTACCGTAATGTAATTGCCATCAACAGAACAATAATCGAATAAGCATATGAAATAGTAGTTGCTAATACAATCAATACATCCATATTCGCATTTCCATGTTTGATTGCTTTCCAACTCGCCGCATAAAAATATCTTCCTCCAAATACTTGAACTGGTGTGCATAATATGAGCAATAGAAAATTATCCAAAGACAAAGCCGGTGTAAAAATTGGTGTTTGTTTTTCGGGATTCATTGGTGTGTGCAAAATCCAATGAAATATTATCATAATAATCATAACTGGTATTCCACATGTCAAACTTATCAGAAATGTTGTCTTCCATTTTTGAACTTCTTCTGAATGATCTAATCGTCGAATTTGATCATCTCGAGTTGAAAGATCAGCATGATAACCAAGGTTTTCGATAACTTGAATAATATCACGAGGACCAATTAATTGAGGCGAGAATTCGACTTGAGCCATTGATGTGGCAAGAGAAACTGAACACGAATCAATTCCAGATTTTGAAAGGACATGTGATTCGATGCGCTGTGCATCGTTTTCAGAGCCAAGACCGGAGATCTGAAAAAATGAGAATATTGAAGATTGGAAAAAGGAATCGGGCCTAAAGTTAGAAACTTACCACAAGTTGAATACGATTATAATTCGAATTGGCTGAATCAATCAAAGTCGCCTTATATCCAATTTCATGAATTTGTTCAGCAATCGCTTCGGATGATGTCAATCTTCCATCATAAGTCACTTCAGCTTTTGCAGCAATTAATGCAACAACAACACCGTGAACACCTGAGAAATTGGATGTTTTGGAGAAAATACATGACGGGTTTACCTTCAATTTTGGCCACGTTTCTTTCAATATATTGAACACAAGAGGCACAAGTCATTCCTTCAACTGCAAAGTTGCATTTTTCCAAATTATCGGAAGCGTCCTGAAAAAAAAGACAAATTTGAATTGAACCCGGAAATCCCAATTTTCCACCAACCTTTGTATATTTCACACCATTCAACCGCAATTCTACAGCACTTTCAGCTCTCGATTTTTTCCTAGGTGTTGAAGTTAGCTTAACTTCCTCAAAAACCTCAGAATCATCATCTTCTGTAACCAATTTACAGTCAAATCCCATGTCATCGATTTTTTCAGCCAAAATTTCGCCAGTAAATTTTGAAGAATCAAATAAGATTGTTCCTAGAAATTTATTATTTTTTCGACTTAATTAAGGCTTATGTAATAAAAGTTTACCTTCTTTTTTTTCCAAATTCACAACAATTTTCCTAACTCCATCCAATTTTCCAATATTTTCTTGAATATTTTCAACACACGCATGACACGTCATACCATCAATCGATACAATTGCACGTTTCCACGTCATTTTTCGATCATTCGAAAAATTCGAAAGTTGGATAAGAGGTTCTAAAAAGAAAACAATCAATAAATCAAAGTATTTATGTATTTTTTGTAGGAAAGGGAGGAGTGCTAAATAAAAAATTGATAAAAATTTCGCGATAAAAATAAATTTTTGATAAGAAAACTCGGTTTTTCGAGGAAAACTCATAGAATGCGCCAAAAATAGAGAGAAAGATATTTTGGCAAAAATTTACATAAAATTACAATTTTCCCACACACAAAAAATACCTGTTAGGAAAAAGGGTTTGGAGGATAGGGCAAATTTTTTTTGTAATTTTGGTGACCTCAAGCGATACTTATTCCAAAATTCCTAGAGTTCACAGCCTACCCAAAATATTGTTATGACGTGGCAGAGTTATATTTTGACTTCAAAAATCGAATACTTTGAGTACTGTAACTCATTTCAGAAACAAAACCTTTTTTCTGATTTCACAGTGTTGTTTGCCACGTCATAACTATATTTTGAACGAAGGATTTTGGAAAATTAGCCCTCGGTATATTCTTTCAACTTCCTCACTTACTTAGAAAATTTATTCGGTGAGGAAATGCCCATAAATTATAGTTTCCCACGCTCCAAAATCACTCACCTTCTCTCAAAAATTTACAATCAAAACCCATATCATCAATCGATTCGGCAACTTTTTCACCAGTCCATTTTTTCACATAATATTCGATTGTTCCTTGCGATTTTTCGAGCGACACTTGAATCCTCAAAATTCCATCTTTTTGGGCAATTGTGTCTTGAATATTGTTGACGCACGCGTGGCATGTCATACCTCTGGAAATATTCGATTTTTGTGAATTTCAATCGGATTTTATTCAACGTTTAGTGTTTCGAAACACTGAAATTTGCAAGAGAAGAATTGAATTAAACTTTGTGACAATATAAAGCCTGATTTACCCTCACACCATTGAAAAATAACTTACTTTATCTCAACAACCGCAACTTTCCGTAAAACACCCTCATTTTTTGCGGCGCCTGTCGCCAATTTTGGGTGTGATGGTGGAGGCGGTAGAAATGTATCATCCAATAGACTCATTATTCAATGCATTCGCTCTGAAATTGTGGTTTTTAATTGGAAAAGTTACACGAGAAAAATAATAAAATGAGATGGCCTAGAAATTCTCTCGGTTTCTAGTCCAGCGAGTAATTTTTGAAAAAATTCATTTTTTGATTTTTGCGCTGAATTCAAATTCGCGTGTTTCTCATGTTTTTCGTTTAATAAATCTTTCATAAAAATAAACAAAACACAAATAAAAACGGCATAAAATGTGGGAGAATCTAAATTTTTGTCAAAAACAGAAAGAAAAATGAGCCTTCCCCTTTTTCTCTGATGTTTTTCCCTGAAAAAATGACGTCACTGAGCTCGAGCTCATTTCGAAATGAATAGTGCTATTTTGAGAGAAACCTTATAACGAATTTTAAGAGTAAGCCAAAAAATAATTTTTTTATATTTAAACCGGAAAAAAATAGTTGCAAGCTGTCAATTTTTGTGTTTGTTTTATCAAAATGTTTTGGTGAAACAGTGTTTTCAACGCTCTTTTTTGTGCTAATAAGGACCCGAGACTGTTCCAGAAAAATGTGTGCTAGAGAGTGTGAAGACTTAAGAGAGTCTGAGAATGATAAAAAAATTAAAATAGTTATAGGGACACATTTGTGTTTTAACACTAAACAAACATTATGAATTTAGTAAAGAATACGGGGTTTCATAGGAATGATTTTTTGATAACAATGGTCTTAGTGGTTGGAATGGAGACGCAGAGAAAATTGGGTGTCAGGGAGAATATGCGGGACCCCAAGCGCCTTTCCCGCTCCCTACTTTTTCATCCCAAACTCACGGATATTATTCAACAAAACAGGTTTATTCAATTAATCCAATGATAATAATAATAATTTAAACATCTTTACCGAAAATATTAAATCCAACTCTATTCAATATTTTTCGGAACTCTACAAATCGACGAATGATGATCCGATTTCAAATCTCCAATCGCTTTACAATATCTACACGGTTTTGTATTACATTGATGATTTCCCTCCAATTTTCCACAACATTTCATACATCTTTTTTCATCCTTCAAAATTTCTCGTCTCGCCAATGGATCCGGAATAATCGGACAACAATCAGAGAAATGCGGAAGTTTGCAGAAAATACAATTTACTTTTGGTTTTCCGGCTTCAACTTCAAATGGTGTTGTCGGATCGCCGCGCATTAAGAATCTTTGTGGATGAGTTGATAGAACTCGAAGTTGTCCTTCTGGCCATGCTGGATTCTCAATTGGATGTTCACCGGTTGGCCAATTATATGGTTCCGCTTGTGGTTCAACATCGAATCGTGTCTTTTTTCTTGGTGGCGGTGCTGTAGAAACTGTTTGAAGTCAGAGTTCCACAAAGAAATCCCAATTTTCTAAAAACCCTTTCAATAATAATTTACCAGAAGGTGGAGCAACACACATAACACGGCATTCTTCTTGATTTTCAATTATATTTTTGACAGCATTTTCAATCAATAAATCCATATGTTGTTTCAATCGATTTTCACTTTCATACATTTTTTTCACCATTTTCGACTCAAAACATTGAATATAATGACGAATATGACTATCCAATGTTTGAAAATTGTTGGCTTTGCTCGGTTTTTCGGGAAGAGCGACTGAGTTTTCGACTTGTAAGATCTCTTGTGGTTGAGGCTGAGGAGTTTCAGAAGATGATGATGGTTTTTCTGATTTCCTTGATTTTTCAGCAGATTTCTGAGGTTCTTTTTCCAACAAACTTCTTTTTGAATTTCTCTCAGATTTTCTTGATCTTTCTTTTTCTAAGTTTTTTGAAGTTGAATGTTTGTCCGATCTCTTGACTTTTGACATTTTTCTGAAACACTTTCCACCATTTTTATAATTTCCCACGAAATCACTTCCGAGAGCTCACCTCAATCTTCTTCACAAAATTCAATAATGAAAGAAAAACAAAAAAAACAGGAAAAATAAAAAAAAACAACGTGGCAAAAAAACGTTACACGTTTTCACGTTTATCGATTTTTTTCTTTCGTAAAAAACCACAATTTTGTCTCAAAAATGTTAAAAAAGTTGTACAAAGTAAAATTGGGCCTAAACAATGGACAAAAAGTGTAAGAAAATGTATAGAGAAACCGGTTTGTTGAATAGAAAATTTTGAAAAAAAAATAAGTTTCCATATCAAAAATAAAATAATCGCGAAATTGAGCAACAATTCATTCAAAAATCAATTTTTTGAATAAATAACCAACAAGAAAATGATAAATAAAAGAAAAATTGAATAATTCTAATATAGAATCAAACCAAAAATTAGGGATTTATAACAAGTTGAATTCACCAGGATGTTATAATAAAAAATGGGATACTAAATATGAAAGAAGAAATAAAAAGTGATAACAGGTGTAAAAAACAACAAAGAAAGCGAAGATTTTTGAGTTGGAAGTGGAACAAAAAATTAACGCTCTTTAACAACTCCCTTTTCACGATTTTTGACATCTCGATCAATTTGGTTACGCAAATGTTGTTTGAACGAGAAAATGTCACCTTCCCATTTTGTGATTCCTTGGTTGTCACAAACCCAAACTTGTTCAGCGACCTGAAAAACAGTAGTTATTTTCAAGAGTGTAAAAAATAGTAATTTTTTGGAACAGTGAAAAACTAAAATTTTCGGGTCTAACTTGAGAGGTGATAAATTTACAAGTTTGTGAATAAATCCTAAAAATATCGAGGAGGCATCGAAAAATGTTTTTGAAACCATCAAGCTCAGGCCAAATTTTCAAATTCAAATTCAAGTTCAAAATTAAATGACAAACCTGCGATACAAGTCGGAAATCGTGAGAAACCAAAATCAATCCACCAGAGAAACAATTAATCGCTTCAGCCAATGCATCAATCGATTCCATATCCAAGTGATTTGTAGGTTCATCAAGTAACAATAAATGTGGTTGTTGCCAGGCTAACCAAGCAAATGAAACACGACAACGTTGACCGTCAGATAATTGTTTCATTGGGCAAACCTAGAAGGAAAAATATTGATAAATGGCTGAATATTGGTTGAAATTTTCAATTGTTTGGAAAAAGTTCATTTTTATAATATTAAAAAATTAATATTGTCATGTAGTGCAAGAATTGACAGAAAATCGAGTCTAATTCGAAATTCTCAGAAAAGAAATTTAAAATCAATTTTCTGTATAAAAATTCAATTTGCGCCATAAATTCTTCTTTATAAATTTCAGGAATATGTAGTTTTTTTCTAATTTTTCCCTACAAAACCCCGCAATTTCTCACCTGTTCTCTACCCGTAATTCCATATCTTCCAACAATTTTTCTCATGGCCTCAACTTCTTTCACATCCGGGAATTCTTTCATCATAAACTCCAAGGCCGAAAGATCCAATGGTAATTCTTCATGGAGATGCTGAAAACATTTTATTAGAATGTTTTAAATTTTCCAACGTGTTCTAGATTTTCACGTTTTTTTTTCTAGAAAAAAGCACAACCCGATCTCCTCAAAAAATCCAGTCATTTTACATTGTTCCTACTCCTAGAAAATTCGCCTAAAAATGGTCGAATCAAATGAAAATGATAATACTGCTTCTTCAATGAATAATCAAAATTCAACAAAAACAGCAATTCCTATGGAAAAAGAGGTGGATGTTTTGCAAAATCCACAAGCAGCTGTTGAAAATGTCAAAAACTTGGCTGCTACTGATAAAACTGAAAATGTCACTACTGGAAATGTGACTGGAACAAGATCGAAACGCCGTTCAATGTCAGTTCGTAGATCAAATCATGGAAATATTGCACAAGACACTTTGAAAGCAACTGTTTTGACATTTCAAGCTTTAAAAGGTTAGTTCAATAAGGAAATTAGGAAATATTTCTAAATTTCTGCAGATAATCCAAGCGTAGCTCGTCTTCAACTCCTACTTTGCAACATTTCCGAACGTGACATTTTCGCCAAATTAAAATGCAGTGGAACATCAAATGTCACAGCATTTCCATCAAGTTCCGGTCATATTTCGCCAAAATCACAATTACGTCTTGTGCTAACTTGGAAAAGACCAGAAAATGTTGAAAATTGGAAAGAGGCTGGACTTCCAAAAATCCTTCTCACAACTTATTTCACACAACACGGCATCCTAGAGCAAGATGAGGCTCCGACGAATATTCGTCTTGTTGCAAGAGTTAGCGCAGCTAAAGAGTGTAGCGCAGATGAACCGCCAATTGAACAATTATTATTAGATGCTGTTGGAAAAGATGATAATATTGTACCGTAAGTTTGAACTTTTCTGAATGACTGTATTTTGGGGAAATCTATAATTCAAATATTTCCAGACTATCCAGAAGTATCACAGATGCTCAACAAATTCCACGCGAAGAAAAATTGAAAAATGAAGATGAAATAAATTGGGTTATACTATTGTTAATAATTTTTGTCCTTTTTGCATTGATGTCAAAGTAAATAAAAATTTCTAGTTTCTTCGTTGTGTTTAACAAAATATTTACCTGATGATATCTTCCGATTTTACAATGCGAATGTCTTCGAATTAAACCATCAGTTGGCATAACATCGGTACACAACAATTTCAACAATGTCGATTTTCCAGCTCCGTTTGGTCCAACCAACGCGATTCTTGTATCGAGATCAATTCCGAAATCGATGTTTTTGTAGATCCATGGCTGAAAAAATATAAGTTGTAGAAGAGTATTGATTTTCCAGTTTTTTACAAAAACTTTCACTCAGAAAAAAAACTCACAGTATTCTCATTATACCGGAACGAAACATGTTGAACCATGATAACTGGTGGTGGAATTTCTCCAGCATCAAAAAAGTAGAATTGTTTGACAGTTTCAGTCACCGCTTTTTCAGTCAATCCTCCAGCAATCATTTTTGCCATTGTTTTTTCTTTGGATTGGGCTTGTCGAGCGAGTTTTGCTGAACCGTGACCGAATCGAGCGACATAATCTTTCATATTTTGGAGTTGAGATTGTTCCCAATTGTAGCGTTTTTGTTGATTTTCAAGCAATTCGTCACGAGTTTTCACGAATTGGTCGTAGTTACCCTGAAAAATTGTGATTTAAAAATATGAAATACACACTTTCAGGAGAAGTGCTTGAGATCTTAAAATAAAACAGTTTTCGAGCTATAAGTTATGAAAAATTAAACTATTCAAATTTTTCTTGGATTCTGAGAAAAGAATCCTAAACGAGATGGATAGTTCCTTCTGAAAAACTCACTCCATAATAGACCAATTTCTTTTGGAACAAATGAATAATACTATTACAAACACCATTCATAAAATCTTGCGAATGCGACACAATCAACAAAGTTCTTGGATATTGCGCTAATTCCTCTTCTAACCATACACAAGCTTCCAAATCCAAATGATTTGTTGGCTCGTCGAGCAACAAAATACTAGGTTTCAAATAAAGAGCACGTGCCAAAGCAATTCTCATTCTCCATCCTCCCGAAAAATCTTTGCATTTTTTCATTTGCATAGTTTTAGTGAAACCGAGACCGTGAAGAATTTCAGCAGCACGTTTTTCAGCCAACGCAGAATCCATTTCATCTAAACGCTCATAAATATCCATCAATTTCTCTTGACTTTCATCATCAGTCATTGAAGCAAGATGTTCAGCTAAATGTTCGAGTTCTTTTCTTTCTGTATCAACATCAATAACGGCTTGAAGAGCTGTCATTTCACTAGCTGGCATTTCTCGGGATACCTGAAGAATTGAAGGTATTTTTTGAAATTTTTTTTGGGAAAAGCAACCTACCAAATACATATCTACTCCTTCTGGAATTGGCATTTCTTTGTTATAAATCGCCTGAATAATTGTTGATTTTCCAGATCCGTTCAACCCAATTAAACCATATCTACGAGATCTGTTCAATTCCAAAGTTGTATCGACGACAATCTCACGACCGTGGAAGGTGATCTGAAAATATAATTATTGAAAATTAGATTTTAAAGCTAAAAAATAAGAAATTTTGAAATTTAAAACGTGAACTTTCCTAACAAATAGAAAAATTCATTTTTTCAAATCTAGAATCAGACGAATTATTGGTGAAAAACAATTAAAAATTTTTGAGTGATTCGGAATAATCGGTTTTTTCTCGAAATCTCAAAGTAGCTATTTTTATTTCTTCAAATTACTCACCGTCAAGGATTCGACCTTATGATCAAGACCTTTTGGATCCGAAGTCAAAGAACCGGCAACCGATCGAGCTTGCGCATTTTCCAACTCAATTTTGGCCAATGTGGCAGCAGCTTCATCGATTTCTCCATCAATTGCTGGTGGTGGTGGAACTGTGGCTTCCGGTTTCTCGACTTTTTTAGCATTTTTTCCTCCTTTCGAAGATTTGGCAGCTGCTTTCTTCGCAGCTTCTCTAGCCTTCTTCGCGTCTGACGGCATTGTTGTGACGATGCGTCTGGGGTACCCTGAAATTTTTTTATTTATTCATTTACTTTTCAACACTAAAGAATTACGGAAAAGAGAAAAGAAAATACATAATAAAAAAAAATAAAAGGAAGACTATTTCAATTAAAAATATTTGAAAATCAATCCAATCCAGTTTACTTAAGGCTGGCGAAAGTTTTTGGCATAGCGCAATGATCAAGTTCGTGAACATAATCAGCCATTTCTTGATGACAAGTTTCTTCGGTGGCTGTGCGGCTGTTGACACGATCATTGCATTCATCAAGAATGGCTTTGAAGTTGGCGGCGTGATCAGCGCATCTTTCGCGGTATTGAGTGAGTTGATCGACTCCTTCTTCAAGTGGTTCAGCTGGCATGATTTTGAATTTAGGTACCTGAGTATTTACTAATGTAGAAAATAGGATGAAAAAATAAAAATATCAAAGGAACGAAAATGACACCGAACAATCGATATTTCTCTCACAATATCATTTCGAACATGAAAAATGTTTATATTTATCGAAAATTTATGCAAATTAAAACCACAATTCTATGCTCAACCAATCAAGAAAAAATTTCATCCGCTGTTTAGCAATTTTCTATACTTTTAACACCATTAATTTTGGAAATTGATGACAAACTGGGTCACGGTTAATTAATTAATGTTGAACCGATTTTCAGCATAAACACTTGAATATTTTCAAGAACATTTTGCTACAAAACTTCTGTAATCCTACCATTTCATTGGAAGCTGTAATTAGCTATTAAAAAATTCAGGAAAATTTCGAAAATCAATAAACGCACCAAAAATCGATAAAATTTCATAACTCATAATTTTAAAATATTCCTAACAGTAAGACAAATTATTTTTAACCGAATTCACAATTCAATTCACCAAAAACCCCTGGAAAATCAAAAAAACAGCGAAAAAATAAAAATCCGTCCTAAAACTGGGCGGTCCGAAAAACCTTGTTTGAATCGCCGCTGCTCGCCACCGTAGTTTTTGTCGTGGTGAGACCTATTAAATGCCTCTCCATTTTCAATGGGCTGTGCGGGTTTTTGGACGGCCGCCCATCGGATCGTTTCTTCATTGCTTTTTGGCAAGCACCGACCACCGAGGTTTTTGAATCATGGCTAAACAAGAGAAGTCTTTCGACACCAGAAAATTCCTTATCGATCTTGCCTCAGGAGGTTAGTTATAATTCACGTAAATTGTTTCTAGATGATCCTGAAAATTTCCAAAAATGGGCCTAATTTTGAAAAACTTACGAATTTTCTTAAATTTGAATTTTTAGGTACCGCTGCTGCCGTCTCCAAGACTGCTGTCGCCCCAATTGAGCGTGTCAAGCTCCTTCTTCAAGTGAGTTTTTTCCCAGAGAAATATTTACAAAATTATCCAAATTTAGGTCCAAGATGCTTCCACCGCTATCACCGCTGACAAGCGTTACAAGGGTATCGTCGATGTCCTCGTCCGTGTTCCAAAAGAGCAAGGAGTCGCCGCTTTGTGGAGAGGAAATCTCGCCAACGTTATCCGATACTTCCCAACCCAAGCTTTGAACTTCGCCTTCAAGGATACCTACAAGAACATCTTCCTTGAGGGACTCGACAAAAAGAAGGACTTCTGGAAGTTAGTATCCCCCCACACTTTGTCTCAATTAATTAAGAAAAATATGTAATTAGAAATTTTTAGATTCTTCGCCGGAAACTTGGCTTCCGGAGGAGCTGCTGGAGCCACCTCCCTCTGCTTCGTCTACCCACTCGACTTCGCTCGTACCCGTCTTGCCGCCGATATCGGAAAAGCCAACGACCGTGAATTCAAGGGACTCGCCGACTGTCTCATCAAGATCGTCAAATCCGATGGACCAATTGGACTCTACAGAGGATTCTTCGTCTCCGTCCAAGGTATCATCATCTACCGTGCCGCTTACTTCGGAATGTTCGACACCGCCAAGATGGTCTTCACCGCTGATGGACAAAAATTGAACTTCTTCATGGCCTGGGGTATTGCTCAAGTCGTCACAGTCGGATCCGGAATCCTCTCATACCCATGGGACACCGTCCGTCGTCGTATGATGATGCAATCTGGACGCAAAGACATCCTCTACAAAAACACCCTCGACTGTGCCAAAAAAATCATCGCCAACGAAGGAATCGGAGCTATGTTCAAGGTAAGAATATAAATTTAAAGCATTTTGAACGGACCAAACTCTTAATTTTCAGGGAGCCCTCTCCAACGTTTTCCGTGGAACCGGAGGAGCCCTCGTTTTGGCCATCTACGACGAAATCCAAAAATTCATCTAAATTTGCAGACAATCTAATAATTTTTCGAATTTTTTACTTTATCATTTTTCATCAAAATCTCGTTATGTAGTTCGTTTTAGCAAAGTAGTACTAGTTACCACTTTGTTCTCCTCCAGAAATAAAACGAACTCCATAAAGTTTTACCACCTATTCTTTTGCCCCTTCCAAAAATCCTTACAATTTATATTGATCATGCTGGACATTCGTTAGGCTAGATTTTCTCCTTGTTTAGCAGTCGGTGACGACAATCTCGGTTTTCTTTTTTCATATGTTCCTACTTTTGATACACATTGATCCAATTGCAACAAATAAACCTGTTGCGTTTAACCGTAAGACTTTATTACATTAATTTTTCTGGATAAGAGAAATAGAAGCAATGAGATCAAGCAATTAATTTCAGTAAAAATTAAATCAAAGGTCCGTTGTATCCGAAAAATAAGCATGAGCCAAAGCAGCCTCCGCATCAATCCTGCCGCTTGGATTACAAACCAACAACTTCTGCATCAAATCTCTTCCCTTCGAGTTTAAGTTTGGAACAATTTGGCTCCACGTCAATGATGGATGATAAGTTGGATAAGGCTGAAAATTCGTGGTAATTTTTTGTTTGCTTGCTTCAAACAACTGTTTGCAGTACTATTAAACAAACAGCTGAGCGAATCTCGGAAAACGTCAGAAAGAGAAAAAAGAAAGAAAAGATACCTTATAATCAGGCAACTGTGTAATCGACGGCCAAGATTCTTCAGTGGGTGTTCCAAGTTGTTTGAATATCCGTTTCAATTGATCATCGACATCAGCGCCCGGGAAAAGTGGTCGACCAGCATTCGAAATCTCTGGAACATCAAAATTCGTAGAATTTTATCAGGATTTCAATTTTCAGAAGCAAAGATCAAAGTACACCTCATCATACTTTACACAAACAAAAAAGTTGTGCACTTATCTTCTTTTGCACGAGGAAAAAATTGCCTTTTCTCAAAAATCACCCACTGTTCTTCAGTTCCTTATCAATATTTTATGAGAGTGGGTTATCAAAAAAAAAAGACAAATTAACAAAAAAATTGAGGAAAATTTAAAATAGTGGAGGAGATGATGTAAGGAAATACAAAGTACAGTGGCCTTGAGATTTTTTTGAGAAGGACATCAGAACAAAAAATGAATGTCTGGTTTTTGAATTTATGGGGTAAAATAATTTGGATTTGAAAAAAGTAGAAAGAATTTTGAAACGAATATAAGTTTGTAAAATTAGTGTTCCGAAAAAAATTTAAAAATTTTGAAACAGTACTTTTGAAAAAAAATTTTTCAAGATTTTAATTAGAATTTATGGTCATAATCAGTCAAAAATCATAGAACAAAATTCTGAAATAGTATATGAAATCTAGAATTGATAAATAATGAAAAAATATTTCAGAATTAACTCAAATTTAATTTTGAAAAAAAACATAAATTCTCAACATGAAATACAAATTTCAATATTTTAATCAGGTAAACTTCAAAAAATTCTAATTTTTTTTCAATTCAAATCTATATTTTTCACATCCAACTTTCATCTTTGAGCCTTTCCCATCTTTGTACTAAAAAATGTTTCTCCGAAAAAAGACATACAAACATGAAAAAAAACTACAAAAATATAAATAAGGACAATTAGGAGTTCGTTTAAAATAACGAAACCAATAAAATAAAAGTATAAATATAGTAAGATATTTCTTCGGATTTCTATGTCATCTAAAAATATGAACGAAGAAAGTTTGGAGTATATCAAGAACAACTTGAGCTTTGGAGATGATGAATTGGTGAGTTTTGGCGGGAAAATTTTAAGTTTAAAAATTATTTAGGAAATCTCAACAAATTTTTACAGCCAGCCGACATCTACGCAAAAATCTTCAAAAGCTTCATGATGTTCATTTTTTCGATTCAATGCTTGTTTATGGTCAATTGTATTTCGGAAGATCCAACAAATTGGATTTTTTGGGCATTTGTAAGTCAAAAAAACCTTTTTTTTTGGAAATGACAAAAAATCAGATGAACATTTTCAAGCAACAAGATTTCAATTTTAGGGCCTTTCCAATGTGGTGACACTTGTTGGATTTCACCATGATGTTTGGCAAATTCTATTTGCCTTCATCTTTGTTGAAATCGCCACTCTAATGGCATCAATCCAAAAACTCAATGAAGATCCAGAATTATTCCTTTTGGAATTCGCAAATGGATGGCTCATCCTCTCAATTTTCTTGATGTGTGTTTCAACTTGGAATACTTACAAGATTGTTGAGAGAAAAGAAATCAAGAATGGAAAAATAAAAGCTAAGAAGAGCACTGTTTTCCCACAATAAGTTGAGAAATAAGTTGATTTTTGGAAGAGTTTTTTGAAAAACTTCCATGTTAATAAAAAATTATTGAAAAAGTTTTGTTGTTCAATTTTCAAGCAAACAGAAGATCGATGGAGAGCCGTTTTATGAAAATTTTGAAATGAAAAATTGAATTTCAGGAAAATCCCAGGTTATTCTAAATTTTTGAGATTGAGGTCCAAGTTTTTACTAAAGCATAATATCAAGAGGAACATTTTGGTTGAAATCACTCAGACAAATCAAATGATTCACAAAAATCTCCAGTGAAAATAGCAAACTTTAATATTTTCTTGATTTTTTTGCCTTTTCGAGGATTTTTTATATTTACAATTGGAGTGTTGCTTCAAACATAATTATCAATTTTCAAAAAATTCATTAAATTTTTGAAACGTTTTTTTATGTACAAAATTGAGAATTTCGAAAGTTTGATCACAAAACTCTCACGAAAGCCTCCAAAATTTCGTAGAATTTTGGTAAAAATAAATTTTTTTTGAAAAAAAATCTCAAGATGAATTCAAAATCAATTTCGCCAAACTTCCACTTACCCGCAAAAATACATCCAGCACTCCACATATCAATCGAAACATTATACAATTTTGCTCCAAACAATACATCAGGTGGTCGATACCAAAGTGTAACAACTTCAGCACTGAAACATCTAACCGGAACACCAAAAGCACGAGCCAAACCAAAATCTGCCAATTTCAAAGTTCCATTTGTATTTATCAACAAGTTTTGTGGTTTGAGATCGCGATGAAGAACGTGGTGAGCGTGGCAAAATGAGAGACCACGTAAAAGTTGGAGCATTAGAGAACGAGCGGTCTAAAACAATACATGTAAATTTTTCAAAAAACCTCTAAATTCTACCTGTGGATCCATATAGCCATTCAAGGAATCAAAGAATTTCTTCAAATCCTGATCGCAATATTCAAAAACCAATGTCAATTTATTTTCACTATGTACCACATCATATAATCTCACAACATTTCGATGTTTTAATTCTCGAAGAATACAAACTTCTCGCAATGCAGAACTTGGAACACCTTCATCATCATCATCCAATCGAACTCTTTTCAAAGCAACAATTTCACCCGAATCCTTGTTTCTCGCTTTGAACACTGTTCCATAGGTTCCTGCAATATTTTCAGATAGAAAAATTGACTTGAAATGTTTTTCTTACCTTCACCAATTTTCTCCATTTTATCATATTTCAACATCTTCGTTTTCTTCTGTGAAAATCAAGCGTCAAGAAAAATCGAAAAATAAATGAAAAAAATCGATTCACGCCAGCTGTTTGAGACTGACGCATTTCTCGTCCACTGCCTGTGTCTCTTAGGTTGACACACTCTCTCTTATTTTCCTCCTTTTTCAGCGTTATTCACTTTTTGTTGCATTTTCCATGGTTACAGCTACAATTTACAGGTTTTTCATTTTATCGATGAAGCTTTATTACTTTTTTTCCGAAGTGCTTGCTGAAATTTTAAAGAAAAATTTTTTTTTTGGAAAAATTGAATTACACTGAAAATTTGGCTGTTTCTTCACAGTTTTTCATTTTCCTCAAAATTCACTACTTCTAGCTGAAAATCTTGCAATTTTCAGCAGATTCAAACAAAATAAATGCCAGCAACAATATCGCTATGCACCGACGACGACAACGATTTCATCAAAATGCAAGTCGCCAACACACATTATCCAAAATCATATGCGATTTTCAACGAATTCCGTCAAAAATGCCAATTATGTGATGTGGTTTTGGTGATGGAAGGCAAAAAATTAAGTGCACATCGTGTTGTTTTGGCGGCTGCAATTCCGTATTTTAGAGGGATGTTTACAAGTGGAATGTTGGAAGCAACAATGAAAGAAATTGAGATTGCAAATATGGAATATGATACAATGGAATTACTTCTAGGCTATGCATATACCGGCGAGCTAAGGATTTCTACCTGTAAGTGATTTTTTCGGCTAATTTTGATACCAAATAAGGCTCAAAAAATTAAATTTTCAAAATCATTGCTCATATCAATTATTTCTCCAGGCAACGTTCAATCTCTAATAACTGGCGCAAGTTTTCTTCAACTTCACGATGTTGTTCAAGAATGCGCTGAATTTCTGATAACTCGATTACATTGCACAAATTCTCTATCAATTCGAGATTTTTGCAAAACTTTTGGATGTACAGAACAAGTTATTGGAATGTGTAATGATTTTATTGAGAAACATTTTCTATCAATTTCGAAAGATGAAGAATTTAAGAAATTGGAGTTAGCCGAAGTTGTAGAGGTTTTGAATTTTGATGGTTTATACGTGGATTCGGAGGAAGATGTTTTTAATTCGGCGTTGGAATGGTTGAAAGTTGATGAGATAAGGCATTTGGAAGCGGCAAAGTTAGTGATTTTTAAGAGGGGAATTTGAACACTAAAATTAATTTTGTACTCTTAATTCTAAACTGAAAAATCATGTGAGCCACATCTTGAGAGCTTCTATGTTAATTAGCTGAGCATAGAAAGTTCAATTGTCAAGCATCAAAAAAAAGTAATCCCGAAAATTTTATAATTTTCCAACGAAAAAATTCTGGATTTTCTAGATTTTTAAAGCTAATTTTTTCAATATGTCTACAAATAAATTTTAAGATTTGATCATACGTCGCATGCCTAGGGTAATCGACCCGAGGAGAGGTTATCCCTCACCCCAGTTTTTGGAAGGGGATGTCACTTGAGAAAATATTTTGAAGAAATTTTCTAAGCTTTGTACTCTAACACTTATTGGGAGTGATTAAAACTTCCACGAATTTTGATTCAAAAATCGATAATTTCAAAATTTTCATCCAAATTTTGGTTTTGATTTATTCTCAGATATTATTATGGAAGAATTGAAAAAAACAATTGATAATAAATTATATCAAAATTTTGAAACGTATTTTTTTGTTTTTGAAAAATTCGAATTTTTGAATCAACAAAGCGGTGAAAATTAGAATATTTGCCGAAACGAAGCAATTTTGAGCTCAAAGTTTATCAAAAATGTGGGTTGTCAAGTTTATATAGCTGAAAATGAAAAGGGAAAAGGGGGGGGGTTATCCCTTTTTCCAAAAATTTTCAAAAATAGGGGTGTGCACTGGTGGATTTAAAACGAGGCTATGCGACGTATGGATTTGATTCAAAAAATCCACGACTCCCCCCATTCTTTTTTTATTTTTCCAGAATTCTTTCATGTGTCCGCCTTCCTCTTCTAACTCCCGCATTTCTTTCTGTCAACGTCGCCGCAAATCCAATCATTCGAAAAGATTTAGAATGTCGTGATTTAATCGATGAAGCAAAAGATTATCATTTGGTTCCAGAAAGACGATCATTTATGACGTCATTCAAACTGCATCCAAGAATTTGTCGAAATTTACCGGGTTTAATTATCGCTGTGGGTGGTCTAATGCATCCAACTGATTCGAAAAGTTCGGTTGAAATTTATGATGGACAATTGAAAAAATGGACAGCGATGAAAGAAATGGAAACATTGAGAACAAGAGTTGGAGTAGCGGTTTATAATCGATGTGTTTATGCAATTGGTGGATTTAATGGACATGATAGATTGACTTTGGTCGAAAAATTTGAATATGATACTAATACATGGACTTCGGTAAGCGAGAGGGAAAGAATTTTGAAAAATTTTGATGGGGTGTTCCTCTTGATGATAAATATTTGTTAATTACAGAAAAAAAGATGATAGTTTTATGTTAAAAGAATGAGAGTTCTCTAGATTCGAGAATTTTCTTCCAGGAGTTCTGCTAGATTTTCTCTAGTTTCGAGCCAAATTTCAAGATTTTAGGCTTAAAATGATTGCAATAAGTTTGTTGAGCATCTTTTGAATACTGTCTTCGAAAAATACTATTTTTTTGATCAACTTTTTTTTTGTTCAAAAATTTGTAAATCTAGAAGCTCTTCCAGTTTTACAAATCCATCATTATCGAGCCAAATTTTAAGATTTTCGGCTTAAAATGATTGCAATTAATTTGTTGAGCATTTATTAAATACTGTTTTCGAAAAATACTATTTTTTTGATCAACTTTTTTTTGTTCAAAAATTTGTAAATCTGGAAGCTCTTCCAGTTTTACAAATCCATCATTATCGAGCCAAATTTTAAGATTTTAGCCTTAAAATGATTGCAATTAATTTGTTGAGCATTTATTAAATACTGTCTTCGAAAAATACTATTTTTTTGATCAACTTTTTTTTGTTCAAAAATTTGTAAATCTGGAAGCTCTTCCAGTTTTACAAATCCATCATTATCGAGCCAAATTTTAAGATTTTAGCCTTAAAATGATTGCAATTAATTTGTTGAGCATTTATTAAATACTGTCTTCGAAAAATACTATTTTTTTGATCAACTTTTTTTTTGTTCAAAAATTTGTAAATCTGGAAGCTCTTCCAGTTTTACAAATCCATCATTATCGAGCCAAATTTTAAGATTTTCGGCTTAAAATGATTGCAATTAATTTGTTGAGCATCTTTTGAATACTTTTTCATTTAAAATTTTTTTTTTTCAAAAATCCTCTAAATGCCACGTAACATGCTAATTTTGGCCCTAAAATATCTCAACTACTCGAGATCTTCTATTTTCTCATTTTCCAGATTGCTCCTCTTCAAAAAAAGCGTTCAGCTCTCTCTGCCGCAGTTGTTGGTAAAAAAGTGTATGTTTGTGGAGGATATGATGGAATCGAAAGCTTATCTTCTGTTGAAGTCTATGACGTGGATAAGAAATGTTGGAATGATGGACCAGATATGTTGAAACAGAGAAGTGCTTCAGGTAAAATAATTGAGTCTTGCCCTTCAGAAATCAATTTTTCGTTCTTTTTCAGGAATCGCGGTTCTCAATAATTTCATTTATGTTTGTGGTGGCCACGATGGAATGCAGATTTTCAATACAATGGAAAGATTTGATGTTGATCGAGAAATTTGGGAAACATTTCCACCAATGTTAACAAAAAGATGTCGATTTGGAGCTGTAACACATAAAGGAAAAATATATGTGGCTGGCGGATATGATGGATCGACTTTTTTGAGATCTGTTGAAGTTTTTGATCCCGAAACTATGCAATGGACATTTTTGTCGTCGATGAATATGAGAAGAAGTCGAGTATCTTTGGTTTCAACTTTGGATGGATTATATGCGATTGCAGGGTGAGAAAAAGGGAACATAGTTAGGGAAAGAAATTTGTAAAATTTATTTTTGAAACAAAATTTCACTGTTTCAAAGTTTTATTAATGTATTTTAATTTTTAATGAACTTCAATACACTTTTCCGATTAATAAATAATGTAGTAAATAATTTAAAATTTCCAAAAATATTCATTTTTTGATTGGTAAATTATTTTGTTTTTGATTTATCAAATTTTATATTTCAATATTTTTCGATCAAATCGTAAATAAGTGGAAAATGAAACCAAAAACATTGTAATTTTTTTTTGTTTCTGAATTGTTATTATTTTTAGAAATTAACTATTCACAGTAACGTACAGGAATTTTCAACTTTAAAATTTTCCAGTTTCGATGGCGAACATAATCTATGCAGTATGGAAATCTACGACGAAACCACGGATTCCTGGACTCTCGGAACACCTTTAGCTACTCATGAAGGTGGAGTTGGTGTTGGTGTAATACCAATTCCACCATATATGTTGTAAATATATATGTATTTTGTTTTGACTCATATCAAATTTGTAAATTTCACCCTAAAAATTCCCCCATATCAGGTCATATCTTGTACATAATTTGATTGAATGAATGAAAATTACTTTTCAAATATATTATTGATTATTATTTTCAAATTAATTAATTATCATACCAATCTTGCCCGTTTTTTCATATTTCCAATTCCACACGGTCTTTTACACCATTCCAATTGTTTTGTGTGTGAATTGTGTCGTAATCCATAAGAACACGTGGAAAAAACTGGGCAACATTGATTGAGTGGACATTTGAAACCTTCTTGACGGATTTTTCGCTTCACAGCTGCGATTTCGGATTTTGTTGGAGCTTTTGATTTGGATTCGGATGGTTTTATTGATAATCGAAGGCCGCCTGATGTTTGAGGTGAAAGGGGACAATCTCGAACTTCTTCAGCGCAATCTTCGATGGCCTGTGAGAAGTTTTGGATTTTTTGAGGTAAAATTGAATTTGGAATTTTCGTGTAGGAAGTTTGATTCAAAATTTTGAACAAATAAAATAATCTTGAATGTTGAAAAATTAGTGAAAAAATTTCATCAAAAAATTGTAACTAGAGATTTTCCAGTGAAAAATTTTAATTTCAAAAATTTTCAACATAATTTTATCCACCTCAAACTCACATTAAAATTTTGACAAGATTTTCGTCGAGTCTGTTTTCCATCTTGACAATCTGACCAACTTTCCCAGTGTGATCCATTATTTTCGTCTTCCGACGAAGAAGAAGATCTAGAAGAGGAAGAGAAACCAAGTTCCATTTTATCCGATTGAATGGCCGAGGTTTCTGAAAAAAATGAAGTTCCAGGTTAAGTGATAGCAATAACAAAATTGTCTGATGTTGAAATTTAAAACTTTTTTTTGCAAAATTAAAAAAAATAATAGGCTAACTTTCCATTTTTTTTTTCGATTTATTATAAACTTTAAAAGTACCGTAACCCATTCAAAAGTTCCGAAACTCACCTAAATTCCTAACTCCAGCCATTCTTTTACTCGTTTCACATTCAACCTCAAAATAATCAACAATATCCGTATTTTCTTCCGTAAAAAGTTCCGCTTGTGTTTTTCGATTTTCCGAATTCAAAATACAATTCAATTGTGCTTCTTCAAAATAAAACATTCCCGAAGTGCAATTAAATCCATACAATTCGAAACTATTCAAACAAGAATCAAAACATGTTTCGAAGTTCGAGGCATCGATTACACTTTCAGCAAATCCAACCAGAATCATTTGAGGATGGCGAGAGAAAAATGATTTTGAAGACTTTCTGGCACCAGCGAAATCCGAATCCCCAGAGCATGCTGACTTTGTGGATGAGACACATATTTTCTCGTGATACGCAGCCGATTCTTTCTGTTTTAATTGTCCATTTCCAACCGGAACAGCTGCTTCTTTTGTGAAATAACACGTGGAAATTGAGGGGATATAGTCAAAACTTTTGCATTTTAAAGGATGGTTGTTGATCTGGAAAAAAGAGAATTCAGAAAAATGGACTAAATTTTTACCCCGGACCATTTTGGAAACAATTTTGTTGTTTTGGTAAATATTCAATCCCTCAAAACTCACCAAATTATTTCTACAAGCCTCTGCACATTCTTCAACATCTCCCACATTTTCCATAACTTCATCATCATTTTTAAAAAGTTCAAAACCTTCAGTCCTCAAAAATGCCGATATTTTTCCATCTAAACAATCTTGTTCCTCCGGATCTTTTTGCGGAATCAATTCCTCAATTTGTGTTGTTTTGGTGGCTGATTGAGTGGCTGTTTGGGTGGCCAAAGCAACTGCATGTTCATCGATTTGATCATCTGATGGTGGAGGACTTGGTGGTGCACCAAATTCCGCACAATGTACTGCATAGGTGGGCTCGAAATAATCACGAGTTTGGAATTTGAGCAAGCGAGCTGGAGCTTGATCACCGACGTGGGCAAAGAGATCGCAAATCTGAAAAAAAAGAAACGGAAATTTCGGAATCAGGAAGAGCGTGTATATCGCAAGCGAATGAGGGATTGTGCAATCTATTTTTGGTTTTTTTTAAACTTTCGAGATTCCAACCAGCCTTATTCCTAATATCTACACTGCTCCACAAAAGTATAGCCTCACCCTCAAAATTTTCGAAAAATCGAAAAAATCAAAGTTTTCAGAAAATATTTGTTTTTGAAAAATATGGACAAATGGGACACTAATTTATCCCAGAAATCAAATTTTGAGTTGATAAGCCACGAAAAGAATTTTTTGAATTTTTCAAAAAATCGAAAATTTCCAATCCACAAAAGTATAGCCTCACTTCAGAAAATCGCTCTGGAAATCGGTTTTTGGGTTAGATAACTTCAGTTATTGTTGAGAAATGGTTAGAATAACTCATTTCAAGTTGATTCCAACAATTTCTGATCCATTTCATTGATTGTCATTGACTTTATCGGGTGTAGCGTGATGACTTCCAACTTCAACCAAATTTTTTTGTCAAAAAATTTATTTATCATATTATTTTGGACCAAAGCTTGGGAATTGGTCTGAAAATGGTAAAACTTCACTTTTTCATAATAAAAACCAAATTTGGTTCGAAAATTCGGAGTTTAGACAAGAAAAATAACAATTTTTAAGTACAGTACTCTCATGAAATTGGGGTTTTCATTGGATTTTCAGACTTTTCAGCATGAAAATGTTCTGGAAACGTGAGAATACTGCTCAGAGAGTAAGATTATTTCAAGTTTTCATAAATTTAAACAATGTTCAATTACGATATTACTGCTTAAGGAATCTAATCAAGTTGTAAATTCTCCAACTTTCATGAATCTCAGAAATTTTTTGTTTGAAAAAGTTTAAAATGGTTCCGCAATTCATTTTTCACTTTTTATCCACTTAAAAGAGTTGAAAGAGATCGCTAAAATTGTATTGATCCAGTATTAACGATTTCCATGATGAAAACCAAATTTTGTTAAATTCCAAAGTTTTCAAAATAAACTTCTAAACCCCTCAAAGCTTTAATCCACCAACAGATTGTTTTTTTGTCAGAAGAAGTTTTAAAAGGCTTTGAAAAACTTGGTTCTTGCTTTTCTCACGTTTCCAGAACATTTTCATGCTGAAAAGTCTGAAAATCCAATGAAAACCCCACTTCCATGAGAGTACTGTACCAAAAAATTGTTATTTTTCTTGTCTAAACTCCGAATTTTCGAACCAAATTTGGTTTTTATTATGAAAAAGTGAAGTTTTACCATTTTCAGACCAATTCCCAAGCTTTGGTCCAAAATAATATGATAAATAAATTTTTTGACAAAAAAATTTGGTTGAAGTTGGAAGTCATCACGCTACACCCGATAAAGTCAATGACAATCAATGAAATGGATCAGAAATTGTTGGAATCAACTTGAAATGAGTTATTCTAACCATTTCTCAACAATAACTGAAGTTATCTAACCCAAAAACCGATTTCCAGAGCGATTTTCTGAAGTGAGGCTATACTTTTGTGGATTGGAAATTTTCGATTTTTTGAAAAATTCAAAAAATTCTTTTCGTGGCTTATCAACTCAAAATTTGATTTCTGGGATAAATTAGTGTCCCATTTGTCCATATTTTTCAAAAACAAATATTTTCTGAAAACTTCAATTTTTTCGATTTTTCGAAAATTTTGAGGGTGAGGCTATACTTTTGTGGAGCAGTGTACTATATTTTTCCGTTTTCCTTCAAAATCCCTTCAAATCCCCTTTTTTCTACTTACCATATTCACATTGTCATATACAAACGATTTACAACTATAAACACCGGATTGACTGCTTAGACAGTGAGATTTGCAATGGATTAGACCGGTTGATGATCGGCGCTCATATGGTTGCGCATTCACGATTATACTATTCTCGTAGCGACGGAAACATGGATCATCTGCGAAATGAAAAATAAATCATACGGTAGTTTAAAGACGCGGACACAAAACATTTTCTGGGCGTTGAAGTGATTTGATTTTACCACGGTAATTTTTCATGGTTTGATCTTCAAAACTCACTCAAATCCGGAATTCCTGCGATAATCTGATCTTGCGAATTACCAATCATATCTCTCGCTTTATTACTTCGATTTGCTGGTTGTTTTTTGAGCGCATAACTTCCTGATGTCTTCTGATCTCCTAAAACAATATCTTTCTCATTGAAAATCTGAAATTTCTCTTGGGGAGATCGTCTTGTTGTTCCGATTGGTGGAGGTGTAGGAAATCTGTAACAATTTTATTTTGTCGGAAAATCTGAGAAAAAAGCTAAATTTACGTTTGATGATCTTCCTCGGCGTCATCAAAAACTTCCTCTTCTTCTTCTTCTTCTGAATCCTGCGTGATATCCTCGATTAAATTTGTATTTTCAGATAATTTTACAAGCAATACCAATAAAATTAGAATATTCTTCCGCATCTGAAATAAAAATGATTTTTTGACACTTTCTAAATAACCCACATTTTCTAAAAGTCAAACACAAATTGAACCTAATTGTTATTTAGGTCGAGAAAAGAAGGAGGAGGAGGAAGAGACAAAAAATTAGGTTGAAAAAGTTTTGTAACCGGCGGGTGAATAAAAGAAATGAATGAAGAGAATGAAAATTGTAAAAGGGGTGGGATTTAATTGCGCATGAAAGACATTATTTTGGCGGGATTTCGAGGAGAATCGGGGGAAAACTCACGATCAGATTTCCAAGACGCATGATCCAGTTTTGCCACGTGGATTCTTCCTTGCATCGTAATATCAGAGTCAATAATAGCCGAGATCGTTTTCTCAAGAAAAAAGACCCAGAAATGAAATAAAAAAGAAAAATACAGTATTTCTGTGCCGCCTCGCCACGGTTCACGCCAGAAAAAAAAACAAGGTGTTTCTCAAAAATAAAATTTATTCACAAGAAATTAATTTAAAAAAGTAAAAAAAAATAGTTATTTACAGCGAGCGGTTAGAAATAATATTTAAAAATAAGTTATTTACATGCTCGTTTCAGAAGATCGCATTGTGACAAGCGATTCATCATCATAAGCTGTCCAATATGAATCATCGAAGATTTCGGAAGCATTTTGAATCGAAGAAGAATCGTCGATTGGTGCAGATTCAGCAGAAGATTCTTCGGAAATTCCAGATAAAACGAAGGTCGATGAGCAGTTGAAATTCGGATAATTGTCAGAAGAGCAAGAAGTATTCGGCGAATCTTTGATAAATGTTGCTTTGATAGATTGCTCGATTTCCTCCTCCTCTTCTTCTTCCGAAATATCACCGCAGATGTTGTAGTAGTTTCTGCTTCTCTGTGCCATCTCTTCATAGTTGAATCGTGGAGCGCATTTCTGAAATAACAAAGTTTATAATTCGATGAAAAATAATATAAACAACGTAATCACTTTGAAAAGTAAACCCTTACCTTCATGGCTGAATTTATCGACGAATTCTCCGTCAAAATCGTCGATGTTCCCATTGAAAATCCAGAAATCATTGATTTTTGTGAAGAGTTTGGAGTGCTTGTGAAGATTGGTGTGAATGGGCGGCGACTCGGTGTTGGCGGTTCCATCGATTTGTCAAATCTCACCGATTTCTTTCGATTTGGAAGAGCAGCGACTTCGGAGAATTCATCAATCCAATGATATTCGTCACCTTGATGTTCATCGTTTGCCATTCGAACCTCGCCATTCTTCTTCACCTCATTTTTCAAGATTCGCTCCATTCCAGCCACATCATCCATTCTGAACTTTCCCATGATTTCAGCCACCAATTTCTCATCTTCGGTCATTTCTCTTGAGATCATCTGTTCTTCAACTTCTTCTTGTGTAGCATTGAACCAAGTGAACGGATTGATTATGTTGAATCTTCGGGCTTTCTTTATGATTGGAGCTGGCGAGACATCTTCGAACAACATCGCTTCTCGTGCAATTTCGATAACTGATTGAGACATGTTCATTAGTAGTGGAAAAATGGCAAAAACTGGATGAAAATCGGCTTTTATAGTAGTTTTTGAGAGAAAAATTCAAACAATGGCGGGGTACAGTAGTTTGTGCTGCGTTGCGAGACCACACATGATTTTTGGGTCAATGTTTCTTCGGTTTTTTTTTTAATTTTTTAATTTTTTCTGGTTTCTAACTAGTTTATTCGGGGCAATTTGTATAGAAAAAGAAGAATAGGAACATTTATAAAACGAAAATTCCAATTATTTATAGTTTTGACATTTCTTGAATCTTATTTTTTTATTAGGAATTAGGCTTGAAAAATCAGAAATGTTTCAGACTGAATATTTTTAAAAACGTGAAATTTCCGCGTGTTGCTGAATCCTCATTTTTATTTATTTTTCTATTCTAAAAATGTTGCTTATTTCAATTATCGTCATTTTCATCAAAGTTTCGGATCAAATTCCAATCGAAATCGAAGCATATTATTCAAATGGAACTTTTCATAAGATTGGTTTGGAAGTGCCTATCAAAAATTTTGAAAACGAGAATTGCACATCTTCGGATTTTATATTTGTTTTCAAAGGAGAAAAGATCGATTGTTCATGGCCAAATTACGAAGCCAATTTGAAAATGACGTCTAATTTGTCTGGAGAATATTATAATCTAACAATAATTTGCCCATCCGATTGTCAAATATGCGAAAATCTTGAAAAATGTAAGATTGAAAAACAAGAAAATGTATATTATTTCAACATTGATAAATCGAGAATTGATATTCAACATGTTTCTGAACACGGTGCTCAAGTATTTCATATGAATAATGAGGAAAGAAATAATAAATTGACTTTTCGAATTACAATTGTCATTCTTTTTGTTGTTGCTTTACTGTTTTTTGGTTTTGTTTATGGAAGTGAAGAATAAACATTTCATTCAATCACAGGCTGTAAATATTGAGAAAATACATTCAATTTCTTTGCTCATGCATATGGTTTGTGGACATTTGAGTTGGCAAAAGTGGTTGGCATCTCGAAAAAGACACGTTTTTTCGGCAAACTTTCGGGAGTTCGATGGAAAAGCATTGAAATTGTTGTCCATAATCTGGAAGTATGTTGAGAATATTTGAGGAGAAATTGAAATTGAGAAAATAGATATTTACGTTCGATTTTCGGCTTCGCTTTCATCGTCGCTGTCCAAGGAGAATTGTAAATCACGATCCAGGCTTTTTCTCTGAAAAATTACAGTTCTTAAATCCTGACTAGAATTTTTTAACCGTTTTTTGTATCCAAAATACCCCATCAAAAATCCTCACCATTCTCCAAAAATGTCGAAAAACCGCAACATTGCAATAAATTACATATGCCAGAATAAAAACAAACGGAAAATTGCCAGTCTTTGGTAAAAGTATCAAATTTGAGATGAAAGTGAGTATTTCGATAAGTAGAATTGGTGTAAGCAATAGTGGTTTTTGATGAGATGTTCCAAATGCGGCAAGAATTGCAGATAGCAAAAATATAACTTCAAATGTTATGATGTATAAATAGCGATGGAAATCGATGAAGAATGAGTCGATTCCATAGATTTCCGAGCTCGAAAGGTTGATAAATCGAAAAGTTGTGTAGATTAATGGAATAAGTTGCTTGGTTTCTATTTTTCCTAGCTGAAACTTTTTTTCCTGTTTTTTTTTTCAAAATTCCACATTTCCACCTACCTGAGCTCTCCAGCTACTTCTGGAGTTTCTTCTTGGCGCTGGCGGCTTCGGGGTGGTTATAAATTTCATCTGAACTTTTACGAAATGTAATTTTTCCATGAAAAACAGTAAAAAAGAAAAAAAGAAAAAAAAAACTTTTTTTGAAAACTGAAATAGTGTTAACGGGTCTCTCGACGATCCGTAAGACACACAGCTACAGTAACCCCCGCGCCCGCGTAAAATACAAAATTATTTTTTTCTTTTTGAAAAATTTTTAGGCCTTTTGCTCAGTGTTTCAAAAAAGTTTGAGTTTTTGTGCGTTATTGGCATGTCAGGATACTCTTGGTTAGGCTTAAGCTTCAGTGAAACGTATTATTTTAATCCTAATGGATGGATTTTCTTTGCATAAAATGAATTTCTAATCTGTCACGTCATAGTTCACGTTTTTTCGCGGTTTTTGCTCATTGTCATTTCTATAATTGAAATCTCTCTCTTATCGATTTTTGTTTCAGATGTCGAGTCGGGTTCCTTCGCCAGCAGTTCGAGCTGCTTCGCAGTTGAAACGACGAAGCATTTCAAAGCTTCAAGGTGCTCCACCTACGAAAACAGCCGCCAGAGCAACTGCTCCCACAACATCCACAACACGGAGAGCAGCATTGACAGAAAGATCGTTGAATTGCCCACTGCCAGATCGATCAAATGGAAGAGTAACAACCTTGGGAGGAGTCACGTCGTCGAAAGCTACAAGAACGTCAGCTACGCCAATTTTGCCACCAAGATCTTCGCTGGCTTCAACGAGACCTGCTACTGGTTCTCGGATCAATAGCAGAGCACCAACTCCAACAAAAGAAGCCGCTGAGAATGAGAGACTTCGGGATCAAGTAAAATTGATGCAAAGCACACAAGAGACTCAAACGGTGATGATGGAAATGTTGAAAGAGAAGGCGGATATGCTCCAAAATCAATTAACAATGATGTCTTCACAACTGGAGATGGAAAAAATGAAAAATCAGACTATGGCGATGAAACTCGAGACAGCTGCTAATGAAATCGGGGAGAAATCGACAAGTTTGAATGATGCCCGCGAGCAATTGGAGGAAAAAGATGCTACACTTCGAAGATTGCACAATGATGTCGTCGATTTGCGTGGACAAATCCGTGTATCGATTCGAGTGCGACCAAAATTGTCATTCGAAGATGGATCATCGACTGCCATTCAATATCCAAATCGAAATGCCATTGCTTTTGATCAAAAACAATCTTTTGAATTTGAAAATGTTTTCACCGAAGTGTTTTCGCAGAAGGATGTTTTTGCAAGTGTGAAAGAATTGATTTTGGTAAGTTATTTTCTAGTATTTTTAGTAGCAAATAGAAAAATCTTTTTTTTTCAGTCATGTCTTCACGGATACAACGTCAGTTTAATTGCATTTGGACAAACTGGGAGTGGCAAAACATACACGATGCGCGGAGGATCTGAAGACAAAGAGGAACATGGTGTTATACCGCGAAGTGTATCGTTCCTGTTTGAAGAATCGAAGAAATTGGAAAGCCTTGGATGGCGATTTGAATTTTTGATGTCATTCATCGAAATCTACAACAACGAACCATTCGATTTGCTCAACAAACATCAGAAATTGAAGATTCGATTGGCTTCGAATAGTGTAGAACTCGATGGATTGACAGAACACACGGTTGTCAAGAAATCGGATGTTAATCGATTGTTGGAAATGGCAGATTCAAATCGGAAAACGGCTGCAACAAAATGCAATGCACATTCATCGAGATCACATGCAATCTTCCAATGGACTGTCAAAGCGGAACAAGAGAAGACTGGAATTTCAACAACTTCAGTTTTGAAATTGGTCGATTTGGCTGGATCGGAGCGCGCAAAGGAATCGGGTGTTGTTGGCGATCGTTTCCAAGAGATGACACATATCAATCAATCGTTGTCGTGTCTGCAAAAATGTATTTCGTTGCAGAGAAGCAAGGTAATTTTTTTGGGAAGGTTTTATTCTTTGAATTTTCGGGATTGAACACATGATTCAAAACATTTTTTAACGAGAAATTCGTTAATAATCCAAAATTTTCCAGGCCGCACATGTTCCGTATCGCGACACCAAATTGACCCAATGTCTCAAGGATTGCTTAGGCGGCGGAAGTTCAAAAACGATGGTCATCGTGAACATCAATCCATGCGACGAAAATGTAAACGAGTCGAAGCGAAGCTGTGAATTCGCCGCCAAAATGCGCGAAACAAAAATTGGCGCCGCTGTTCAACAACGCGATCTAAACAGCACAAAAACGTCTTGTAAATAAGTTTTTTTTTTAATTTTTTATTGAATCTGTGAATAGCTAACTTAACTAACATAAACTAATTTTTCATAAATTTTTTGCTGAATTTTCCATTTGATTCTGGCGGCAGCCACATGTCAGTCTTGTCTATTTCAATATCTTCGTGGTATTTTGAGAATGAAGACCGTAATCTTTTAGTTAGTATTTTTTATGTCTAGGCATGTCTCCACTACAAAAAACCAATCAATATTTTCTCCTTTTCCGTGCCCGTGCTGCCTGGTGAATAATAATAATATAAATACAATAAATGCATTTATTTGCCCGCTCTACCTGTCTACACTCTCCATTCTCAATACACTCTCTCACTTTCGCCTTCTCGTATTTTTTGTTTTTCTCTCATTTTCTCATCAACAAACGCTGCGTTCTTTTTTTTTATTTTTGGGGCGATTCAAGTCGAAAAAAAATTAATCACACGTATTTGACAAAAAAAAATCAATTCATCTAAAAAAAAACGGTCTTTTTTTCTATTTCTTGGTCAAAATAATGTTTTTCAAATTAATTTTTTCCCGTTTTTTTTTTCAATTTTTTCGTCAAAAATATAATTTTTGAAGAAGAAAAATGGATAATATAATTGAAATGGTAGCTTCAAATGCAAATGCAATCAAACGTGAAACAATGGAAGAAGATGTTGAATATTTGCCGAAAAAAAGAGGAAGAAAAACAAAATTGATGCCAGATGCAAGTATTGATGAGGTCAGTTTTTTTTGTTTTTTTTTTTGTGTCTTTTAACAAAAAATTTCGATTAATGTCAAAAAATGTTTTTTAATTAAGTTTTCCGAGTTGAATTCCCAAATTTTTTCAGTATTCCATTTCCGATATCGAAAAATTCATCGAACTCGTCGAGGAACGCCCATATCTTTGGGATTCTGTCAATGAATTGAGCTTGAAAAACATTGATATAACTCGTGCGTGGTCAGAAGTTGAGCAAATTTGTGGACAATTTGTGAAACAAGCGAGAATTTCGGGAAAAAATGCACAATTTTTATGGTCGAAATTGCGACGAGAATTCAAAAAAGAACACGATATACAAAAAGGAGAAATGAATTTTCCGATTGGTTTCAAGTTTTATAAACATATGTTGTTTTTGGTGGATAATTCGAGAAAAAATGAAATGATTTTTATGCGAGCACCGTCGGAAGTTGTTGAATTACCTATGTCGAGTCGGAAAATTGGTAAAATTTTTGAGAAGGTTTTCTGGGGTGATTAAGAAAAAAATATTTAAAAAATAAAAACTTATTTATATTTCAGTTTTTCTTGAAAAAAATTCGTGGGTAGAATATGACGTCATAAAAATATTTCTGAAATTGTCGGTTCTCAGATAAATTTTTTTTAAATTTTGGTTCTCATCCCGAATCACTTCATCCAGCCAAATTCCAAAAATTTCCAGAAACCCTCGAAGAACTCGTCGAAATCGCTCGAGATTCCAACAATCATCTCCGAAAAATCGCAGCCTGCCAAGAAAAAGAAGATAATTCTCGAAAAAACGAAGATCTTCACGAATTGTTGGATGAAGTTTTGGAGAAACTTCCAATGATTGATCGAAATTTGATGAAGTCTCGAATTACACAATTCGTTATTTCGAGTTATCAAGAATATCAAGCGGAACATCGAGGAAATCAATTGGTAACTACTTTGTTAAAAAATGAACTTTGATAAAAATTTATTAATTTCTTTTCGATGCTTTTGTTGATACTTTTTTCAACATTTGTTTAATTGATAATCTTAGCATAAAAGCATACATTGGATATTGCCAACGAACAATTATTGAAGCATTCTGGAATAGATCAATTTTTTTCTTCAAAAAAAAAAGAAAAACATACACGATAACTGAATACTGTGTGGCTTCTTACAAATTCTAGAATAGTTGTTTTTTGAGTTGTTCGAAGTTGAGTCATTCCATCAGCTTGCAACCAAGATTCAAAAAATGCGTCAGGAAATCCACAAAATCCAAAAGCAATAATAGCTTGTGAACAGAAAATAAATGATAATTTCAATTGATGCTTTCGTATTTCATGATGATTTTTAAAAGAAATTCGAAGATAAATAGTTAAAAATATAGAAGTTGAAATAGTTAAAATAAAAGTAAACCAAGTAAAAGGATATAAAACAAAACTATATTGGCTACCTTTTCCAGCTAAACCACCAAGTGTTGAAATATTTGATATAACAAATATAAGAAATGCTAAAAATATAGCAAATTTTCCAGAATTTAAACTAATAAATGAAACTGTTCGATAAAGTGAACAAGAACATAATAATGATAAACGATTTGTATAAATTATATTAAATAATTGATAAAAATATGATCGCTTATTTGAAAATAATAAAAATTGTAATCCTAAAACATGTCCATAATTATTAATATCAAATATTTCAATATAATTTATAACTGCATAAATTGCTTCAATTGAACATATTATTATATAAATTATTATTGAATATTGATAATGACTAACTATATGTTTTGTTTTTAAAATTACATAAAATAATGAAATATAAAGTAAAAATGTTAGAATTATACAAATACCACTTTCTATTAATGTTATATAAAAATCTGATTCTGGTTCAAATGTTGGAAAATGCCCTAAACAATATGTATTCAATACTTCATGTTTCAATTTGAGAAAAACTAACCACAATTCTCAAATTTATCATTAAAATCAAACATATATAATTTCTTCACAAATTTACATAGATCATCATTTAATACTATATTTGTATTAAGTTCTGTATAAATAAATGAAGTTGTTCCATAATGATATATTTCGGGACTTTTCGGAAAGCTTAACATGAGCAATTTTGTATTATTCTTCAAGAAAATAACACTATTTTGTAATGATGTTACAGGTTCATAATCAAAGTACATATTATTCAAAAGTTCGAGACTTGAAAAATTGAGATTTGTTGCAGTCGAATCTGTGATAAAAATTGGTCCCAAAATAATTTCAACAGTTTTAATGGCTTCTTGGAATACAAATAAATTATTAGTGCCATCATCTGATTCATCTACAACCAATGGTTTTTCCAAAATTTGGCAGCCGAGTGGCATTGAATAATTGAAATATTCCATATAACAAAATACTTCTACAGAAAAAAACATGAATTCTCAAGTTTTGCAGAAAACTAACTGGTTGAATTCGCATCTGTATATTTTGTATACATTTTTGTTTCTTCAAGAATTTGTGGATCACATAAAGTTTTTGGGGATATGAAAAACCTGGGGAATTTGTAGAACTTCATAAGAGTTTGAAAATCGAAACATAAAACCGGATTATCATAAATAGAAGTTCTAAAAAAACGGTTTCAAGAATTTTTAAATAAGCTTCAACTCACCCGAAAAAATTCATATCTGTTGGAAATACATCATTCATTGCTATTTCAATGTTTGGAAGATTCATCGACTCAAGAAATTTATTATTTACAATGTAAAGAGCGTGCTGGCGAGCTAAAATATAACTTAACATTTATGGTTAGAAGTACTTCTTACAATTAGAAGTATTAGAAAAAAATTTTTTGTTCAGCAATCCGCTCTGTGATTCTATCCAAAATGTACTGTTTAGTGAATTTTTCACAGTTGCAATTCAATCACAAACTCGTAACTCTAGATTATTCACAAAATTAGACATTCTACAGTAAACATTACAAAGTAGATCAATATTCCTACCTAATGAATATTGTTTAGTAACTGGTGTATAAACAATACTCCGCAATTTCGGCAAAAAATCGAGTTTGACAAAACTTGTATTTGTTACAACAACACTTCCAAATATTTGTCTAACTTGTGATAATTTTTTAATAAATAATTCCACAGTTTTTTCATCAGATTTCTCATCCAAAACAACATTTCCATTTATTATTTCACAATTATCATCAATTTCAGATATATTTTGGTTAGAAATTGTACATTTTTCAGAAGAACTAGGAGTTATGAAAAAAATAAGGTAGAAAAATAGTAGACACAGCATAAAAACCATATGAAAAAAAATAATTTTGAGACGTGTAATTATTTTTTGATCGGAAATTTTATTTTTCAGTGGCATTTCATTAAACAAAATGTTATTTGAAGGTTCGCGGTGCTTTCGGTTCAATCTTTGTTGCTTTTGTTGATACTTTTTTCAACATGTGCTTGATTGATAATCTTAACATTAGTGCATAAATTGGATAATGCCATCGAACAATTATTGAAGCATTCTGGAAATTTCCACGTCATAGGTCTCGGGTTTTTCTTGGTAGTGAAATTATAAAACCTACTCGATGACTAAAAACTGTGTGACGTCTTATTGTTTGTAACAAAATTGTTTTTCCAGTATTTCGTAGTTGAGTAATTCCACTACCTAGTAACCAGGTTTCAAAAAATGCGTCAGGAAATCCACAAAATCCAAAAGCAATAATAGCTTGTGAACAGAAAATAAATGATAATTTCAATTGATGTTTTCGTATTTCATGATGATTTTTAAAAGAAATTCGAAGATAAATAGTTAAAAATATTGAAGTTGAAATAGTTAAAATAAAAGTAAACCAAGTAAAAGGATATAAAACAAAACTATATTGGCTACCTTTTTCCAGCTAAACCACCAAGTGTTGAAATATTTGATATAACAAATATAAGAAATGCTAAAAATATAGCAAATTTTCCAGAATTTAAACTAATAAATGAAACTGTTCGATAAAGTGAACAAGAACATAATAATGATAAACGATTTGTATAAATTATATTAAATAATTGATAGAAATATGATCTCTTATTTGAAAATAATAAAAATTGTAATCCTAAAACATGTCCATAATTATTAATATCAAATATTTCAATATAATTTATAACTGCATAAATTGCTTCAATTGAACATATTATTATATAAATTATTATTGAATATTGATAATGACTAACTATATGTTTTGTTTTTATAATTACATAAAATAATGAAATATAAAGTAAAAATGTTAGAATTATACAAATACCACTTTCTATTAATGTTATATAAAAATCTGATTCCGGTTCAAATGTTGGAAAATGCCCTAAATAATGTGTATTCAATATTTCATGTTTCGAATTTGAGAAAAACTAACCACAATTCTCAAATTTATCATTGAAATCAAACATATATAATTTCTTCACGAATTTACATAGATCATCATCTAACACTATATTTGTATTAAGTTCTGTATAAATAAATGAAGTTGTTCCATAATGATATATTTCGGGACTTTTCGGAAAGCTTAACATGAGCAATTTTGTATTATTCTTCAAAAAAATAACATTTGTCAGCGAGGTTAGTGGATCATAATCAAAATACATATTATTTACAACTTCCAGACTTGTAAAGTTGAGATTTGTTACACTTGAATCTTTGACAAAAATTGATCCCAAAATAATTTCTACAGTCTTGATAGCTTCTTGGAATACCATTAAATTCTTATTGCCATCTACAAGTTCATCAATAATCAAAGGTTTTTCTAAAATTTGACAGTCTAGTGGCATTGAATAATTGAACCATTCCATATAACAAAATACTTCTACAGAAAAACATATTCACTGAAATCATTTTTCAAAGAAATTAAAACTAACTGGTTGAATTTTCATCTGTATATTTTGTATACATATTAGTTTTTTCGATAATTTTCGGATTACATAATTTTTTTGGGGATATGTAAATTCTCGGAAATCTGTAGAGCTTCAGGAGAGTTTGAAAATCAAAACATAGTACAGGGTTATCGTAAATAGAAGTTCTAAAAAAATAATTCAAAATATTTCAAAAAATAGTTCAACCTCACCCAAAAAAATTTATATCGGTTATAAATACATTATCCATTGCTATTTCGATACTCGGAAGTTTCATAGATTCAAGAAATTTATTATTTACAATGTAAAGAGCATATTGACGATCTTTAAAAAAGGCCTCCAAAATTAGAAGTTACGAGAAATCTTTTCTTCTTCACTATTTCCTAAAACATTACCTAATGAATATTGGTGAATAACTGGTGTATAAACAATACTCTGTAATTTCGGCAGAAAATCGAGTTTGACAAAACTTGTATTTGTTACAACAACACTTCCAAATATCTGTCTAACTTGTGATAATTTTTTGATAAATAATTCCACAGTTTTTTCATCAGATTTCTCATCCAAAACAACATTTCCATTTATTATTTCACAATTATCATCAATTTCAGATATATTTTTCGAAATTGTGCATTTTTCGGAAAAAATTTGAGATGTAAACAAGATAAGGCAGAAAAATATATGATACATCACAAGAATAATGTCATATGAAAACTGAATTTTGGAAGGTGCAATTATTTTTATCGAAAATTATAGTATGTACCTTTCTCAATTTTTTTTTACAATTTTTAGTTACCGTGAAATGTTACTCATGTTTATCTTCAATTGCCATCAAACATGAATTTATTAATTATCCCACAGTAAAATCAATAGTCACCTTAATTCCATCCGAACTTCTTCCATCAACCAATTTTTCAAAAACATTTTCCATCATTTTTGCCATTTGACTTGCTCGATTATCGATTTTTGGTGGATTTGGTTGAGCTTTCGGCACCTTTTTCTTGATTATTTGAGGATCATTGAATCGTTTTGGTCCGCTGAATACACTGATTCGATTTGGCGCATTTTTCACATTCAAAAGTTCAGCAGAAAATGGTTCTTCACTTGCATCCCATTCAGTATCCGAAAATTCTCCCAGATTTTCACCTTTCACTGAAAAAAATTGAATTTAAAATATCGTTTTTTTCACAAAAAATAACTCACCATCTTCCTGTACATCTAATTTTGGCAATTGTCGAATTGAAACCGACATATCCGGTGCAATTTGTGGTTTTTTAGGAAAAATCTCTTTTTTCGGTTCAGTCATTTTTAGCGAATAAATAAGAAATGACAGAATTCCACATTTTCATTTTCACGTTTTTTTTGACCACTTCGTTTCAGGGCGAACAAATAGAGACAGAGAGAGCGTGCAGAGTGCGAAAGAAACCGCGAAATTTTAAAAGGCTGGCAACCAGCCAACTGATGGGTCCTGAAGCGATGATCCATGTTCCTTTAAACGATTCATATTTACGGGGTTCTTTTTTGTCTGCGCTGCGGTTTCTCTATTTGTTCGTCCCAACACAGGGTTGAAACGAAGTGTGACGCAAAAAAAGAAAAAAATTTATGGCCTAGAAAAACAACATTTACGGACTAGAAAACCGACGGATTTCTAGGCCGCCTGAAAAATATTTTTATTTTTTTCGCTTTCTTCCTTCTTCTGTGTTTTCTGTCACAAAATCAGAGATAATGGGAGTCGATAGATTGGAAAATGCAAATCCGACTCTTTACACGGAAAAACCGCGAACACGACCAAGTTCCGGAAAAGAAATGTGAGTAAAATGATGCAATTTTCATTCAAAAGTGTGATTTTTAGGGATGAAAATGTGGAAGATCCAATTGATTCGTGGGAGATTTTTGATTTGATAAGAGATATTAATGATCCTGAACATCCTTATACTTTGGAGCAATTAAATGTGGTTCAAGAAGAACTTATCAAAGTGCATCAAGATGAAGACGAAACTTTTGTTGAGGTCAATTTCACACCAACAATTCCACATTGTAGTATGGCAACACTTATTGGATTAGCAATTCGTGTTAAACTTTTGAGAAGTTTGAGTGCAAAGGTGAAAGTTCGAGTTGGAATAACTCCTGGATCACATAGCACTGAAGAATCAATAAATCGACAATTATGCGATAAAGAAAGAGTTGCGGCAGCAATGGAAAATCAAACATTGATGACTGCTGTTAATAAATGTTTGGTTTTAGCCGAAGAATAGATGACATTAGAGCTTACACGTTGTATTTTTCACTTTTTTTTCACTCATGTGCCTTATTTGCCCGAAAAAAATTATTTTTCTCATTTGAAAGTCTTGATGTCATGCTTTAAAAATGGGTATGAATCCCTAAAAATCCATATTCAAAACCAATTATTTGAAGTAATCCTCAGATTTTGGTTTTTCATGTGTTCTCGAATATTCCACAGATATTTTGCGACGAAAAAATCGACTGGAAAATATTTGACACGTCAGGCGAATGATGAATTTTCAGTGAAAGCCAGAGAGCATAATTATCGAGCAAGGAGTGCGTTTAAATTGCTGGAAATTGATGAGAAATTCAAATTTTTGAGGAAAGGTGAGTGATTTTTTGCTTTTTCTCTAAGAAATCCACGTGTCAAGCTAATCTCAAGTGTTTCAGACAGCACAATAATCGATATTGGTTGCGCACCTGGTTCCTGGCTTCAAGTTTGCACTCAAAAATCCACCAATGGCTATATTCTTGGTGTCGATCTTCAAAATGTCCTTCCAATTCCTGGAGCTGAAATCCTCTCTCTTTCCGATGTTACAAATCTCGAAGTTCAACGGCGAATTCGAGAAAAATTACAAAATCGGAAAGTGGATGTTGTTTTGAGTGACATGGCTCCAAATCCAACTGGCGATAATGCAACTGATCATTTGAGACTTATTGAATTGTGTCGAACTGTTTTTCGACTTTTTAGTGGGAATGAAAAGGAGAAAGAAATGGAGGGTGGAAATGCATTTGAGATTAGCAAAAATGGCGTATTTTTATGCAAGGTTGGTGGATTTTCATGAGAAAATGGAGGATTTGGATTCTCCAGACGCTTCTGGTCATTTAAACACCCCACAAGATTGAGGATACTGTAGAACCTGCTGTGAGGTCCTACCACGAAAAATCTGATGAGGTTCAAAATTCTCAAAATCCCATTCTGACCTTGAATGTTTGGGTTATTCTGGTCATTTAGACATCCCCAAAAGCATGAGATACTGTAGAATTTTGAAATTAAGGAATTTCGAAAAAAAATCGCTCGCTATATACAGTAACCTCATCGTATTTCATTTCAAAATGACAGTAATTTAAAGGCCCACCTTCTCTAAATAATCGATTATTTTTTAGATTTGGGATGGAAGTTCACGTGCCAAATTCCTCTCCGAACTCTCTTCTCATTTTTCAACAATTCGAACTGTCAAACCAATTGCATGCAGGGATAATAGTGCTGAATTGTATATTTATTGCAAAAAATAAAGTTGGAATTGTAATCTTCCTTTTCCACGTGCTTTAAAGGTCTTGAACCGAACTACAGTATATTTTTCTTTTAAATTTGAACCAATATTTTTGAGTTGTTTGTTTTTTGCAGATTTTTTGATATGCCTTGGCGAACAGCTGTAAAAGTTGCATTGGCGGCTGGTGAAGCTGTGGCAAAAGCATTGACACGGGCTGTCAAAGATGAAATTCGACGTGAGTTGATTTTTTGACGCATTTCGAATATAAATATGTTGGGATTTTTAAGATAATAATAGGATTTTCAAAATAATTGGACTACAGTATCCCTAGGATACTGTAGTTTCTGAAGTAGCCTAGAATTTCATTTTTTGCAGAAACTCAACAAGCCGCAGCTCGTCACGCTGCCTCAACCGGTCAATCTGCAAGCGAAACGAAAGAAAATGCGAATGCCAACGCAAAACTCGGAATTTCACTTGAGGTACTGTAGCTTTTCAGATTACAGTACCTAGAATCATTCTGTTTTTGCAGGAAAGTCTACAAATTTTGAACGTAAAAGCGCCGTTGAATCGCGAAGAGATCAATAAAAAATATGAGCATATGTTTGAGATAAATGATAAGACAAAAGGTGGATCGTTTTATTTGCAATCAAAGGTTTGTGAAGAAAAATGGGGTGGGGAGGGGATTACGGTCATTTTGATACCAAATATGACTAGAGTACTGTAATTGAGTCTGAGTTATTCAGAAAATTCTGTAAATTTTGAGGCTACACAAGACAATGTACTGTAAAGTTGGGTCTAGCCACGAAAATTATGGTATCTACAGTAACCCTGGCTTGTGAGGTGTCAAGAATGCAGATTTCAACGGAGACCTGATTACTGTAGATATTCCCGCGAGAACCTAACTCCTACAATATCCCTAGGCAGAAAATTCTAGAAATTTTGACACCCAACATGGGATACTGTAGATTTTTAATATTGCTCGTGACGAGACCCAAACGCTGCGGTATCGAAATACTGTGAATTTCGGCGCCACGAGTTTCCGAATTCAAATTTATTTTTCTTTCAGATTTACCGCGCCAAAGAACGAATAGACGAAGAATTATCGCGACTGGAACAAAAATCTGAAACATCTGATGAAAAACAGGCTGAAAATCAGAAATAATCACTTTTTTTAAATTTTTTTTTGTAGGAGCAGGTAGTAATTTTTTCATTGTTTTGTTTTCATTTTTTTTGTGAGAGAATGTATTTTTGTTTTTTTTTCTCTTGGAAATTATTCAAATTTTCCCTGAAAAGGATCTATTTTCCTTGTTTGAAATATCTGAAAATCCCTGGAATCTGGAAAAATTAAAAATATTCAGAGATGCAACTTGAAAACGCGCTAAAAATACTGAAAAACGTGGAAAAATTGAGCGAAGATGAGGTGGAAAAATATGTGAAAATGTTGGTGACAAAAATTGAAGGTGAGTTGGATCTTGAGGGGAAAACTATATACCGGAAAAAATCCCAATTTATTTTCCAGATAAAATCGAAAATCGTGAACTGGCTGAAGCAATTTGGAGCATTTTCATTTTCGCAGCTCGAGAACCTCAAAAATCCACACAAATTTTCCCGCCAAATTTCGATTTCCTTTCAAGAATATTTGAAAAATATCAAAAAAATCTGCTCGAAACTCTTCAAACAATGAATTGGGAATATCCAGAAATAGTGGATTTCAGTTGGCAAATTGCCAAATCAGAAAAATGCTCGATTTTTGGAGGACAACCAATGGCATATGCACCTTTAACAACTACAGTAACCCTAGAAACATTGGAGGCCGGACATTTGGAATCGCAGAAAAATGCCGTGAAATTGAGTTTTGATGAAATGCAATTGACGGATTTTTTGTGGAAATTGAAAGAAGCTGAGAATTTTGCACAAAATATTTTGGAATAAACATTTTTGGATTTTGAAGTGGGTAATTTGGTTATTTTAAACTTTGATGTTCCTTTAAAACTACAGTAACACTCAAAAACTGGTATTTTAACAATGAAAAATTCATTTTTTTTTCAAAAAAAATCTGAATTTTTCAAACTTCCGCCGATTGTTGTTGAACCACTGGAACTACACGAACATTTGGCGGCAATTCTTGATTCTCGCTGGCGCGAATTTGTTCCAATGTTTTTTGCTGCAATAAATGAATTTGAAAAAAAACTACAGTACCTCTTCTGAAAATACTGTATAAGGCATAACTTTTTAGTCACAAAATTCATGTGTTCCTTCAAACGTACACTACACCTTCCATTTTTCATAATATCTCACCTGATCAACATCTCTTTGCTTCAAAATTGTTTCACATCTTTCAATTTCAACTTTCACAAATATTTGATCATCTTTAATATAATTATTCAAAATACTCAATGAACAAAATGATTGTGATCCAAAAGCAGCATTTCTTTCTCCTCTTGGCCGCGCCAAAAATGTTTCATTTGCTCGAAGTTTTCTTGGATCAACATGATATGTGATATTCAATCGATTTTCGATATTCGGATTTTGATCGAGAAGTGTGAATTTGATTGATCGATTAAATGGCCATTGCAATGTTGCATCAAATTCGCCGCGAAGAATTAGAACATATAAACTCAAACTTTTTCCAGCAGCAATTCCATCTCCAAAAAGACAAACACAAGCCATCATTTTATAACCAAAACGATGTGACATAAAAGGAGCTGAAAATATTGTGGAATTTGCACCGGATTTTGCCTCATTTGTTCTTTGCATTATATTATCAATTCTCCAAATTATTTGTGGTCCAAACATTTGATGACAAGTTTCTGCATTTTCAATTATTCCAGTTTGACGGATATTAAATGTGTCCAAATCTTTTTCCATCATTTCGTAGGTTAATTTGAGATCAGTAATTTCGTCACAAAGAAGCATTAAATGACGAATTGGTTCGTCGCTCAAATGTTTTTGGATGTTTTCACGACCTCCTGCGAAATTACAACCAAATGGAATAAATGGGCAGACATTGTCAACATTTGGACACAAAGGACGATGATCTTCGATCTGAAAATAAAATAGGATAAGTTAGGTATGGGCTTAGGTATGTGACTTTTTGATATTTTTTTTATAAAAAAAGTTTTTCTAAAAAAAATCGGCCCGAGTTTTTTCGTTGGATGAAAAAAAATCGGCCCGAGTTTTTCAAAAAAAAAAATCGGCCCGAGTTTTTCAAAAAAAAATCGGCCCGAGTTTTTCAAAAAATCGGCCCGAGTTTTTCAAAAAAAAATCGGCCCGAGTTTTTCAAAAAAAAAAAATCGGCCCGAGTTTTTCAAAAAAAAATCGGCCCGAGTTTTTCAAAAAAAAATCGGCCCGAGTTTTTCAAAAAAAAATCGGCCCGAGTTTTTCAAAAAAAAATCGGCCCGAGTTTTTCAAAAAAAAATCGGCCCGAGTTTTTCAAAAAAAATCGGCCCGAGTTTTTCAAAAAAAAAAATCGGCCCGAGTTTTTTCGTTGGATGAAAAAAAATCGGCCCGAGTTTTTCAAAAAAAAATCGGCCCGAGTTTTTCAAAAAAAAAATCGGCCCGAGTTTTTCAAAAAAAATCGGCCCGAGTTTTTCAAAAAAAATCGGCCCGAGTTTTTCAAAAAAAAAAATCGGCCCGAGTTTTTCAAAAAAAAATCGGCCCGAGTTTTTCAAAAAAAAATCGGCCCGAGTTTTTCAAAAAAAAATCGGCCCGAGTTTTTCAAAAAAATCGGCCCGAGTTTTTCAAAAAAATCGGCCCGAGTTTTTCAAAAAAAAAATCGGCCCGAGTTTTTTTTTTAAAAAATCGGCCCGAGTTTTTCAAAAAATCGGCCCGAGTTTTTTCAAAAAAATCGGCCCGAGTTTTTCAAAAAAAAAAATCGGCCCGAGTTTTTTCAAAAAAAAATCGGCCCGAGTTTTTCAAAAAAAAAATCGGCCCGAGTTTTTTCAAAAAAATCGGCCCGAGTTTTTCAAAAAAAAAAATCGGCCCGAGTTTTTCAAAAAAAAATCGGCCCGAGTTTTTCAAAAAAAAAATCGGCCCGAGTTTTTTCAAAAAAAATCGGCCCGAGTTTTTCAAAAAAAAAATCGGCCCGAGTTTTTTCAAAAAAATCGGCCCGAGTTTTTCAAAAAAAAAATCGGCCCGAGTTTTTTCAAAAAAAATCGGCCCGAGTTTTTTTTTTTTAAAATCGGCCCTGTTAGAAAATCTTTTTTTTCGCAAAAATTTTTGTAGACATACAACTACAAAATCAAAATTTCGAAAAATTGAGATATTTTTCAAAAAATGTTGAAACAGTGAAATTTTTTTCTAGAAAATAATTCGGAAAAATTGTTTCCAAAGTTTGTATGTGATTTTTTTGAACGGTATCGGATAACACAATTCATTATCAAATTTAAAAAATTTTTAAATTTCAAAAAACATTGAAACAGTGAAATTTTTCTAATTTTTTATGTCAACATACATACAACTACCAACAGAATTCCTCAAAAATCTAACACTTTCAAACAAATTTGAAACAGTATATTTTTCTGAAAAATATTTTTTTTGGATTTGGCTCTAAATACTATAACTATTCCAAACGTTTTCTGAAATGTCTTTTTTCACAATTTCATTTCACCAACCTCTTTTCTTGTTTTATCAACCAATCCGCATTGAAATGGACAACTTATAATAACACTTTGACATGTTTTCAAATGTTTTTCAAAATCCGACAATCGAATTCTCTTCAAACAAAACGAACAAACTGATGTTGTTCCATTTTCATCGTCTTTTTTTCCGCATTTTTCAAAATGTCGTGCGAAGTCGGATTTTTCGAATTCTCTGCCACATTTTGAGCATTTTTCTGATTTTTTCGGGCAATTTTCGAGATGAGATGAAAGTTCAGAAAGAGTTCCTGACCAATCACAACCAATTTCTTCGAAAGAACAAACCACTGGAAGATTTTGAATCTGCAAAAAAAATGAGAAGGAAATTGGGGATAACAATTACAGTAATCTTTCAGTTTTCAATGACAGTAACCACATATTGAATCTACAGTAATTTTTCCCGCCAAAACCCCTACCGTACTCCTCTCACCTGTTTATGTTTTTCTTTATCATAAACACACAATTCGTGTTGGATCAAAGTTTGACAAATTGCACAATTTTGAGCATCTTCAGTCAAACAAGATTTGCAATAAAAATGATCGCAATTCAATTTTATTGGTTCTCGTAAAGCCTGAAATTGATTTGTTTAGGGGCCTAAGCCTAAGCCTAAAAGCCCAGCATTAGATACCTGATCACAAATCGGACAAGTACAATCAGCTGGAAGACCACCTTTGAAACTTATATTCGTTGACATTTCCAGATTCTTTCAAGGGAAAATGACATTTTCCGTATCTCCTTGGTTTTTTTTATTTTCATAATTTCCATGGAATTTCCTAGGCGATTTTTTCGTTGTTTTTATTTTTGCTGTTTCGAGAATAAACCATACGAAAAAATAAATAAAGGAGTGGAGAGAAAATCTGGAAAATCAACACAAAAAGAATTTGAATAAATAGGAAGGGATTTTTGCGCTAGAATTGATACAGTACACTTTTTGGTGCTACAACTTTCCTCCGTCTCTAAATTGTAATAATCTCTAATCTAACAACAACAGTAAACAAAAAATATCACATTTATCCAGTTTTCTTATCTTTTCCCTCGTTTAATCACCTCCCAACTTTCTCCCCAAAATCTTCATTTTTATCGATTTTCTCCTCAATTTTCAGATGATTTTTCCACTATTGCTCATGTTATTATGTAATATTTTAATTGGCGCGGAGGTTAGCAATTTGAATTTTTTCTGTAATTCTTGAAAATTACCATTTTTTTGAAGAAATGCGTTTCGAACGAGGAATGTGATGCAAAATGGCCAGAAGCAGAATGTATTCGATCAAGGTTTGTGAGAAAATTAGAGAAAACTACTGTAGTTTAAAGGAACATGTGAAACTACTCTAAAACTTGCCACGTGTCATTTTTTCCAGATGTCGTTGTCCAATGAATACATTGCGCAAAAAGAGTGCGTCACGTGGATTTGTGTGTCTCGCAACGATGGATGCAAGTAAGTCAAGTTTTTCCGCGCCGCAAGGTTTCTCCCGGGGGCTTTGGGGCTTATTTCTGGCATTCCAAATTTTGCAGACGGTCTCTCAGGCGCTCCTCTGACGTGTCCAACTCCTGAAGGTGCTGGTTATCAGACAATATACCGTGATGAAAATGGCGAAATTCTCAAATGTTCTTCGAAGAAAAATGATTGTCCAGATGGTTATGAGTGTATTCAAGGATTATCGATTTTGGGACAATTGGATGGGGTTTGCTGTCCAAATCAAGGTACTGTACTATTTTAAAGGAACATGGGATTTAAAAATGATTTTTTTAATATATAAAAAAAGGCCAGAAATCCAACACATCAATGGAAATTAGAATTTCTGGCATCTCAATTTTTTATGTGATAACGAACCTATGTTTTACAAAATATTAATGTGCAGACCGAAAATAAAAAATCCCATTTTTCCAGCCAAAACCTGCTCTCATCCAATTTTCGATCATCCGGATGATGGATTTTTAACCCGTTGGGGATTCGACGGCGAGCATTGCATTGAATTCAAATGGAATCCCGACCGTCCTTCTTCGGCAAACAATTTCAAAACTCGCGCTCACTGCCAAGATTACTGTATTCCCTCGGCAACGATAAATAACTTATCCAATTATACACCATTTTTCATAAGAAAACGAAAATAATAATAGAAGTAAAATAAGTTAAAAACATCACATTTTTTGTGTCAATTACATATGTAGTTCCATCCATTTATGCATTTGCAACAATTCGATCAAATTCCGCTTCTTTTGCCAAATAATCAATTGTCCATGGATGTGTTGAATGATCGTGTTTGAGTAATGAGACAAATCTTTCAGCAACATCGTCGTCTTTTTCCAAAAGTTGAGCGGTTACAAGAGAATTGATTATGACATCGGCATCTTTTGAGTCGCGTTCGAGAGCGTTCTGCAAAATTTGAAAGTGAATATAGGAACGAATATGAGTTAGGAGAGTCGGAAATTTTATTTTTGAAGTGAAAATTTCGGGTTTTTGAAAGATCTGAATATTTTTTTTTGAAAAAATTCTCTTTTTATTATATAAATATTGAAACGTAAAATTTTCGGATTTTTTTTGATATTTGAAATTTCCCCAGTTCCTACTCACATTCAACAATTCATCAGCTCCAGCATAATCCTGTGTCAAAATGCTAACAACAGCTTGATGCATTTCCAAATCGCTAGTTCTTCCATATTTATCAGCCATTTCGCTATAAATATAAAGAGCATCTTTGACTTTTCCAGTTGCGATGAATGAAGAAACAAGTGCGTTTGCCAATTGTGAAAGTGTTGCGTCTTCGTCAATTTGATTCATTCTTTTAGCTTCAGCGCTGAAAAAAATATGCTGGATCAGATAAATGCGAAATATCGTAAAAGTAAACTTACAATGCCAATTTCTTCTTGTTCATCTTGATCAAAGTGAAAACTTTCGCAGCTCTTGCTTCCAATCCATCAAATCTCGAAACTGCGCGGAAAGCATCTTCAGAATTCTAAAAAATTGATTTTATAATTATATCTGATTGAAATATTTTAAAAACTTACATTTGTTTCATTCAAAATAGTGGCAGCCAAAACTGCGCCGATTTCCGATTTCAAATTTCTGGCTGCGATTTCCTCTTGAATTTCAGCAACGATTCTTTGTTGAGCACGAGCGTCGGAGCGGAATTCGGCGTAGCGGCGGACTGCAGCAAGTTCCGCAGATTTTGTTGAAGTTGGAATCTGAAATGTTTCTTTTGAGGTATAATGTAAGATTTCGAGGCTTGGGACTAGATATTAATTTTTTATTATAAACATTTAGGAAACTCCTACAATTACAAAAAGGTAGAATTTCTCCTAACTCTGTCTTTCAACCAATAAAATGTCACAAACCTCTTTCAATGGAATAAAAGCTTGTCCTTGTGCAATATAACTTCTGTACAAATAAATATCTTTTTCAATCTTCTCCTCTTCGCTCTTCGACGAGAATTTCTGCAAAAACCCAATTTTCTCGAAATTTTTAAATTATCTAAACTCACCAAAGCTTCTCCAATACATGATTGATAACTTCCCAAAAAGAAGTAGTTTTTGATCGAAAACAATTTATCCGCCATTTTTTACGAATTTCACGATTTCACGAAACGAAAAGAAAAAAACAAGAAATGAGTGAACCACGTCACTTGCAGTGTTTGCACACAATGCATTTTACTTGACGCGCAAGTATTTTCTTTTTTTTTTGGTAAAAACTTGAAAAATAAAAACAATTCATTTACAATAAAAATTCAAAAAATTCCTAGTTTTTTCTGCGTAAACCGGTTGTTTTGAAGCCAACAGTTTGAAATGGACTCGTAACTTCCACTTTTTCATCAATATTTTCAGGTTTATCAGCATTTTCAGTAGATTTTTCGAGAGGAGGAGTTGGTGAGGGTTTGATGAAAGCTGGACATCGAAATGGATTTGATAATTTCGGCGAGTTTTTCGTAAAATATTTGCTTTGTCCAAGAATTCTCTTAGTAGAAGAAGTGGAAGTTGATGGCGAGTTTAGAGATTCAGTAGATATTATTGGAGATTTGAATTTTTCGAGTTTCGCAAATTTTTCATGTTTTGAAGTGGATGGAGTGGAAATGGTTTTTCGGAGAATTGGTGGAGGTCGGAGTTCAGTTTCTGGAAAATACATAAATTAGAAAAAAATGAAGCAGATTTTATGTGGGCCACGTGTCAGAAATTTTTCCAAACTTAAAAATAATTTGCACACTTGTTTCACAGAAAAAATACGTTTTAAACAATTTTCAAAAAAATTCAATAAATTTTAAATTGCTAGCAAAATATTGAATTCTTCAAAAAAAAGTCTCTGATTTTTTGAGGTCCGAAAACTAATCTATAACCCCACTAAACCCACCATGTATCACTTCCTCCTCGGCTGCTCTTTTCACTGGCGATGATTTCGTTGGCCTCAAAACTGGAGCTTTTTCAGATTTCCTCTCAACTTTCTCTGTTTTTCTCTCCTCCAAAATCTCAATTTTCTCTGGCGATAATTCAATAATATCCAGAATTTCCAAACTTTTTCGAGTTATCGATGATTGTGAGTCACTAATTGGCTCCATTACTTTCATCTTTTTCTTTTTTGGTGAATTTTCAACATCTTCCATAAATTGTTTTACAATATCATCTTCATCATCACTTAATTCGATTTTTCTTTTCTTTTTTTGAACTGAACTAGAATCTAGTTTAAATGCACAACACGTTGTTTTCTTTTTCTCTTCTTCTAATTGTTTTTGTGCTCTTTGAGCTCCTTTTGATATATATTCTGCTGACCAAATACTCCATTTCTCAATTTTTGCTCCAAGTAGAAATTCATCCTTAATACTTTCTCTTTCAATATTCACATTTCCTAATGCCAATCGTTGTGCCAATTTTTGATTCAAAATCTCACCAGAAAATATTTGAAATTCTCCCGAAAATCCATCATTTTCAAATGGTTTTTGGGTTCTTTCTCTTGGATCAAAAACAATTTGATATTTGAATGTTTTTTCAGCTCGATCAAAATTCTCGATAAATTCAGAAGTGATCAGACTTTTCAGCTTCGGAGCATTGAGATAACTTGGAATCCTTTTGAGAAGTGTTGGCAAATCAGTGATCGATGTTTTTTGAAAGAAATTTGTGGCTTTTGATAGGCCAACACCTGGCAAACCAGCTGGAATATAATCACATCCTGATAAAATACAAATTCGTCGGAATTTTATGAAATCAAATTTATCGCCGGATAATTCGCCAGTAAAACATTTTGATAGATTTTGGCGTTCGTAAACAGTGCATTCACCATTCGCAATTTGCCATTTGAAATAGATCTGAAACTTGGAATATCTATAATAAATATTGATTTGAAATATTTTCCACTCACTTTCTCACACCCAAAAACAATCAAATCTGAATCCTCGGTAATCAAAGCATCAACTAATTTCGATTTCATAAGATACGCCAATTCAGCATCGGCTTCATAAGGTGCAACAACAATATCAACATTTTCTCGATTTCTAAAAAACCGTATCGCATTCTCAACTATTTCTGGTGAAATCTTGGTGGCTATTCGAAATTTATCTCTTGCTTCTCTTTCTAATCCTTTCGCTAATAATATTTCCGCACTTTGAATATTTGCATCTCTCGTTTCTCTTCTCGAATCATTCGTCAATTTCTTTGCTGGCAACGGCCGCCCATCAAAAACCAAAACAACATGACAATCCATTTTTAGCAATACAAGTATGAATTTTTCGACATAATATAAATAACTTTGCGTATCTTCACCCATATGTATTTTATCCATACAACCCGTCAATCCTTTGTGCAAAAAACACGAAACATCCACTGCCACTGATTTTCCAGCTAATTCTCGAATATTACTCTAAAACCGTGATTTGTTGGGAGTTGCGATAACTTGAATAAGACTCACCGTTCGACAAGCATTCTTTACATATGGCAACAGTCCAGAGATTCCCATTTTATCATGGAAAATTTCGGTCGAAAAAAAAAATAAAATAAATTTCGTTCAAAATTTGAAATTCTCCGGTTGTTCGGTGGAGCGCTCTTCCATTTTTACTTTTATTTCGACACGAAGTTTGCAAACCCTCAAATTTGAGGGTTTTTTTTGGTTTTTTGTGGGGGAAAATGAGCCATTCTTCAAATTTTCGAGAAAATCTTTATTAACTGAAGAAAGAGGTTATATAATTTGGTTTTTTTGTGAAAGTCATTGCGATTAAAATTATTTTGAAGTAAAATGAAAAAAATGGAAAAATTAAACCGAATCCATATCACTGCTATCCTCTTCAACATAAACTTTTGGCAGTGGTTGTTGACTAATTGCTCTTCTCGCATCCAAAATTCGCAAAGCTTCAGTTTCCAAATTAGCTGATTGCTGGCTCAAATTTCTCAAATTATTCACAGTTGCATATTGCATATTGCACAAATCCGAAATGTAGGCTTCTTGATTCAATGAGCGTTTTTGTAAATCGCGTCGAAGATTTGATACTTCTTCCGCGCGAATTTTGTTGATATGAGCTTCAGCAGTGAGTTGACCATTAGCCTGAGCCATTTGTTCAGTAAGATTGTCGAATTCAGTTTGAAGTTCGTTGAATTGACGAGAAGCCTAGAATTTGTAATAGTGATAATTTTTTAAAATTCGTTTCAGAAGAATTTTCCTACTAAAAAATTAATGGGTAAAATACGTTTCAAAAGTGTATTATTTAAAAATATCTGTATAAAATTTTGATATAATCATTCAAATGTTTCCCACCAAAACTCACTTTCATTCGATTCTTTCTTTCTTCCAACAAATCTTCCTCCAATTCTTCAATTCTCGAAACACATCTTCTCAAAGCTGATTGCAATTTTGCGATCAAATTTGCGTCGGCTTGAGCCTTTCTTTTGAATTCTCCAATTTCCGATTCACGTTTTTTGCAATCCACGTCGAATGAGTGTTTTTCAGCCAAAGCGATTTCTAGTTGTTTTTGGGTGGCTTTTAGCGAGTTTTCCAATTTTTTGTTTTCTGGAATTGGAATGGGATTTTAAGTCAAAGTGTTTGATTTACCAGCCAAATTTCTAGATCCCACACTTTAAAAATATTTCTGCTGAACAAAACATATTTTTCTCTAAATCTCTAACTTTTGCATTGAATTTCGTCAGATTTAGTACCACCCTTAAGATTGTGTCAGGTCTTAAAAAAACGCGGGAAATTTTCCGAGTACTCTAACTTTTTAGATATATAAATTTTCACAGCTTGTAATTTATTACTCGGAAAATGTTCAGTATTTTTTGAGACTTGAAATAATCTACAGGACGAAATTCAACACAAAAGGAGAGGTTTAGAGAAAAATATTTTTGATCTACCAGAAAATGTTTTGATACGTTTGGGATCTAGATATTTTGGGTATTTTTTATGTGGTTTCAATTGTCATCTTGGCTGACAATAAGCCATTCTAAAATGCTTACGTTTAACTTGTTCATTATTCAATCTCTTTTCAGCTGCTAATTTATCATCCATAGCATCCAAATCTTCTGATATTTTCTTTCTTTGTTCTTCAGCTCTTTCAGCTTTTTGTTTAAATCCAGCAACTTCATCAATCAATTCCGCATTTGTCTGTTCTTGTTGTTTTCTTTGTGCTTGAAGTCGATCAAATTCCCCTTGCAAATTCTCCAATCCATTTTTCAGTTTCTCATTTTGAGTCTTATAATTATTTGCCTCATTTTCAGCTTCCATTTGCATTTTTCTTTCTTTTTCTTCCCATTCTTTTCTCTCTTTTTCTCGAAGTCTCTCCAATTCTGCCGCTTTTTTCGCATTCTCATAGTTGGCTTCAGATTCAGCTTTGAGGTTTCTGTTCAGCTCCTCGATTTCCTTGTTTCTTTTGTCGAGCATAACACGATCACGTTCAAGGGCTGCTTTGGTTTCTTCGTATTTCTCGATTTTTGCGCTGAAAATGAAGAAGAGTGTAGACTCTAGTTGTCTGTTAGCTCTGCGTCTCTCACTGCACTCTAGTCGTCTGAGTCTACAGATTTTTATAGAAGGGTTCGAGAATGCGCATCAAATTTTCTAGCTCTCTCTAGTTCTTTCGAAAACATTTTGAAACATATTTTTTCCGGGTTTTCAAAAATTGTTCGGACTTTCTCTGCGCCTCTCATTTCACTTTTTGCAACCCTGGCACATTTATCTTTGAGTAAAAATAGTACGCCAGGATGGCTTCGCACAACTTACCGCAACTCATCCGCATATTTCTTCTTCGCCTCTTCTTCTCTCTTTTGGCTCTCTTCCAATTCTTTGCATTTTCTCTCCAATTCTTGAATTTCGGCGTTCGATTTCATTCCTTTAAGCATAGGTTTCAGACGCGAGAAAAGACGATACCACGGCCAAGAGCTAAAATAAATCTTGATTTTCAGCTTGAGAATTTCTAAGACTTACCGCAACTTAATCCAAGCTCGAATATTCTGTTGCAAAATCGGATAAGCCTCTTCGCGATCCAAACGTCGTTTGTAGTCGCACTGAAAACGAAGATTGTTTCTTTCGAGCTCAAATCGATCGCTGCGCGGTGCAAAAATAAACAATGTGTTCTGCGCATCCCCCATTTTATCACTTACTCCAATATCTCCCGGAGATTTTTTTGGAGGGAAAAAACTATGTGTGTGTTAATAGCACACACAAATGAGGACACATAATGAATAAGGGATGGGGGTTTGGAAACTTTGAAAAATCCGAATTGGACCCTTTTTAAGTGGTCCGATCACTTGGACCTAAAGATTTTTTGAATAATTCAAGCGGACCACTTTCGACAACTGTAAGCCAAAGTTTTTCCCCAAAAATATCACAAACCTGGGCCAAATAATGTCTAACAGCACTTTGAAATTTGACAGTAATAACAGTAAGTGCTTCATCACGAAGTTCTTCCAAATGAGCCAACATTCCAGCGCGGAAGAAAACCTGTAAAACATTTCCATGTTCTACCTGAACTCCTCCCTCTTTCCTAACTCACCTTAGTTGATCCAACTCGGAAATTTTCCACATTAATTTTTCCGTCTTTGCTCAATTTTCTGAGCATTGCTTTCGATGCTTTTCCAGCATCTTTGTCTTCTGCTTCTTGAGCTGATAAGATTGCATATCTTTGTTTGAAATCGGCAAACATCATACGATTTGGGAAACCTTTGCGACAAATTCGAATTCCTTCCAATACTCCGTTGCAAGTTAGCTGCAAATAAAATGGTTACTTGATTTTTCGACTCAGTTGAAAAGGTTCAGTTTCAAAAATTACAAAAAAATGTTTAATTTTGCACTGTTTCAAAAAATGTCCAAGTTTTTGAGAAATTTTGAATTTTCTGATCGTGGATTTGGATCCTAAAATCATATTTTCAAATTTTTAGAAAATTTTTCACTGTTTCAAGGAATTGTCTTATTTTTGTGAGTTTTGAAAATGGTTAATGCATAAGCTTCCTGACCTGATTCAAAACCAAAGGTGCATCAACTAATCCACTTGTTTTCTTTTCATTTGGAATAATACAACGAATAAAATGTGGATGAGTTGTATGCAACATAGTCATCAAAGAAGTCAAACTTTCTCGATACATAGTTGAAACAGTCAAAAATGATGCAGATTTTCCTTTTTTCTTTCCTCCAGCTCCTCCAGCTCCTCCAGTTTTTCCTCTTTTTTCATTTTCTTCTCTATCAACATCAGTTTGATAATCTTCCCATAATTGATATAAAACTCCTTCTTTATCACTTGTTTTCAAAACAGCAACAGCTGAATCATTCAATGGATCTTTATTTTTATCCAACCATTGTTCAGCATTATATCGAACAGTTCCAGCATAATGAACAATTGAGAAATGAGCTTCGGCTTGTTTTCCTTTTGGTGGTTTTGCTTTTTGGAAATTTGGATGTTTTCCAAGATGTTGTGTCAATAATTTATCAACATATGTCATATCAGTTGCTTTTGGAACAATACATTCTTCATCCAACATTGATACAATTCCCAAAGGTTTTTCAATTAATTCAATACATTGTTGAAGATCTAAACCGAAATCAATAAATGTCCATTCAATTCCTTCTCTCTGATATTCTTCTTGTTCTAAAACAAACATGTGATGATTGAAGAATTGTTGAAGTTTTTCATTCACAAAATTGATCCAAAGTTGTTCGAATGAATTTCTGTCGAAGATTTCGAAACCGGCGATATCCAACACTCCAATATAATACATATTATCTTCCATTGAGGCTTGTAATGTTTTGTTAACTCGCTTGATCAACCAATTGAACATGCGAGCGTAGATCGCTTTGGAGAGTGCTCCAACTGCCCAATCTACCTGTAAATAATATTAGATGGTTTTTGATTAGGACAATTTTATTCAGAATTTTTCAAACATTTCTAAAAAATATTTTTATCTCAAAAATCTACGTTTCAAAATTTGTATAATGCAAGTTTTGAGAAATTAGATTGCTCAGTTCCATTTCAGATGTTTAAATTGAAATAAAAACCACTAGCTATGACGTGGAAATTATGCTCAGAAAAGTTTTTTCATGAACATTTCAAACCAGATTCAATTTCTCCAAAAATAATGATAAAAGACTGTGCAAACCTTTCTAAAAATGGTCCTAAACCCCCTCAAATCTTACCTGTTGAACATTTTGGCCTTTGTTAACCCATTCCATTCCAACTTTTATTCTTGGTCTTGTCAAAGCTGTCAAAAATGCGTCACAATTGACACCAAATAATTTCGATGCATTTTCAGCTGGCGAAATATCATCAACTTCAGCTTGTTCATCACGTGGTTTTTGTTTGAATGTTGAATTTCCAATGTGCATAATTGCAGAGCACAATTTGTAAAGATCTTCGCGTTCACGATCTGAGAAACCCATCACGGTGAAAGCATTCTGCAAGTAAGGAAATGAAATTGAGTGAAATTTAGGAGGGAAACATCAGAATCTGAAGAAAAACTGACATCAGTGATTCCAAATTCTTCGGTATCATTCATTCCTGGTACAGTAATCTCGGCTTGAGACACAAATTTATAATCGCGAATATTATCAGTTAATCCGAATTTTTCGCGAAGCGGTTTTTGAGTCATAATTTGATAGAAAATATGATAGGAACGTTCTCTAGGAGCCTGTTTGATGACACGAGATTTTTCGAGAAGATCTGCAAAAAAATTGGTTTAGTGATCAAAAGATAGGATTACTTGACAAAAATTGAATTCGAAAATCAAGTGGAAAAATCTACAGCTCCTAAGATTCCACGTGGATTTCAAAGTTTTCAATTTTCAATTGAAAAATTCGCAAAACTTTCACATCAGATTTTTTTTTTGCCAAAAATTACAGTACTCTCTCCCCGAATCAAACTTACAATGTTCAATATCTCCTCCAACCAATTTTCCTTTTCGATCAAAATGAATCCGGATGAATTTTCCATATCTCGATGAATTATAATTTCTTGTAGTTGCTCCATTTCCAAATGCTTCAATTGCTGGATTTGCCTGAACTTATATTAGGGTTGAAACGATTTAGGAAAAGGAGAATATTTCAAAATGATCAAAAATGGGATGTTTTGAGAAATTTTAGGGTTCACGTCAATTCAAAACATAGATTGTACTGTTCGTTTTTCAGCGAAGGAAACGCGCTCCAACTACATACCGTAGTTTGCTTTTTTTGCCGACCCAATTTTTTTCATTTTTTTCCCGTTTTTTCTTGTTTTTTCCTCTTTTTTCCCCAAAAAAGAAGCAATTTTGTAATTTTTCTGCTTTCAGAAGTTGGCAAAACTCGAATTATACTTATCTTCCAAGTTTGCCCGAACAAAATGGTTTTTGGTAGCGATTTATGGATTTTTTTCGATGGAATTCGATGTTTCGATCGAAAAAGTGTTATAAAATCGATTTTTGGAGTGTTTTGTAGTCGCAGTTCAATTCAAATCGAAGGTTAGTTGTTTAGTTATGTATTTTCTATGACAATGATGCAATTTTCAGGTTGTTGATTGAAAATTAGTGATTTTTGCGGTTTTCATCGCAATTTTGAAATGAATGGCGATATGTTATGGATAATTTGCTCAAAAATGCCTCAAATCAATCAATGTGCTATTCAAATGATGCAAGTGCACATTAGTGACAAAGAAAACAACTTCTCAACAAGATTTATGCGAAAAAGACATCGGTTCGCTCGGAGTTTTGATAGAAATGATGAGGAAGTCGGGTTTTTTTGGTCGAAAATTGTGATTTGTCACTAATTTAATCTATTTTCTTGATTAATTTTGTTGATAAACTGTTTAGTTTTTGTTTTCCAACTAGTTATATATCGTTTCCAACCGAAATAAGAAAATTTCACTTTTTCTATGCTCATTTCTGTCCAAATGCACCAATTTTAAGTGAAAATGGTCAGGTAAAACCTTTTCAACTCAGTAGTTTCCACAATAACCAATTTCCTCATTTTTCAATTAGTGGAAATGCCTTTTTTCGCATGAAAAACAGTAAAAGAATAAAAATTATTGTTTGAATGGCCGCACAAAAATGCGTTGTTTATCAATGGGGCGCGTTTGGCCGCGTTTCCTTCGCTGGCGAACGGACAGTAAAGTTATTTTTAAATTCGAATGAACCGTTTTTGAAAAAGTTAATAACCCTTTTTCCGATTTCTGAAAGTCTGTATAATCAGAAGAGAACATGATTTCCCACCCAAAGAATTGCCATTCTCACCTGAACAACTTGATTTTCAAGCGAAGATGTTTCTTTACTTCCTCCACTTCCAATCATTGCAAAATATGCGATGACTTTCTTTGTATTTTCAGTTTTTCCAGCTCCTGATTCTCCAGTAATCAACATTGATTGATTTTCTTTGTCTGTCATCATATTTCTAAATGCTTCATCGGAAACAGCAAAAAGATGTGGTGGCATTTCAGCGCGTCGTTTATTTACATACATTTTGGCGACGGAATCCGTGTAAATTGGTAACATTTTATAAGGATTGATGAAGACGCAGAAGAGTCCAGAATATGTCTGAAAAAAATGAATACAATAGATTTCTTTGGGGTCTCTTAAAATTGCTCATGTTAGCAAAAATTAGAACTTGATTTATTTTCATACAATCACCAAATTTTCCCGAAAAATTAATTTTAGCTCAAAAACCATACAATTTTCAGCATTGCTCATGTTAGGTCTCAAAATACCCAAACTCACATAAATCATCATTGAATAATATCTCTGACGTAAATTGTGCAAAACCGATGCTTCATTCAAAAATGTCAAATTCGACATATCTTCGGTTTTTTCGAATTTCGCCGGATTGATCTCTTGAACATCATCTTTTCCCAATTTTTTCTGGAAAAAATAATTATTCATTTTATTTTTGCAAGTTTTCAGTTTTCAAAAAAAGAGACAAACTTGAGTTCCATCAGGCATAGTTAGGGTATAATTATCTCCTTCTTGAACAGCAATGGCGGCAGTGACGAAACCTTCGGCTGGATCCGGAACCCATGCATGAGTTTTGTTGTCGAAACGACGAGCGGCTTGTTCCTGAAGGGAAGTATTTTTTGAGGGAAAACACGTGGCCACGTGGCAGACAATATTTCACACACGTCGTGCCAGAAAAATGGAGAAAGATAATTTCGTGGAGACGCAGAGCTTTTGTGTGGTCTCGCAGCGATGCACCTGGGGGACCGGGGAAAGTACGGTTTGAAGCTTGGTCTCGCAGCGATTCACCTGAGGAACCGGGGAGAGTACGGTTTCGGCAATTGGTCTTGCAGCGATTCACCTGTGCGACCGGGGAGGAGTACGGTGTCTTTTTTTCTCTGCGTCTCCTCGGATTTGTGTGGTGGCACGACGTGCACAGTTGAAAAAATACTCGCAAAAATGGTATATTCAAATTTTGGAGAGAAACATAGAATCCACGTGGTAGTGTGATCTACCAGATTTTTAATTCACAAATAAATCACAGTTCAGCGAAATTCTGTTAGGAATTTTGTATACGAGATATTTACGAATCAAAAAAATTCAACAGTACCCAAAAATAATGTAAAATGAGAATTTGAAAGTTGAAAACTTATTTAAAAAATTTGACTAAATATTTTTTGAACCAGTTTTTTTAAAATTAACATGTTGATCTTCAAATTTCTCTAATAAAAATTGATTCCCAAATTTCCCGCCAAAAATTCTCCTCTACAGTACTCATTCCCTTAAAAACCAAAAAGCCCCCGCGTTTTTTTCTTCGCTCTTTTTTTTGCTTCTTTCTTGTAAAATCTTGTCAGTCAGATAAAAAGAGAGATAAAAATGGGTAAATATTTGTCTTTGGAACTCGGCCAAAAACTTTTTTTTTGATTATAAGACATTTAAGATTATAAAAAATTTTTGAGATCAAATTTTTTGTTGAAAATTTCTAAAAGGAGCTACAAGCTTCTTGGAAAAATTTCTAGAAATCTGTTATTTCAAAATAAAAAAGAGTTACCTTAAGTGCCTCATCTTGAGCTTGTCTCAAAAACGGCCAACCCGGATCCATCATATAGTCCAAATTCACTTGCGCCATTTTTCAAGCCCTAAAAATTCTATCTGAAAATTTCAAAACAAAAAATAATTTCATGTAAAAATTCCACACACACACACACATCACATAGTAAAAAAAAGTGGAGGTGCGCAAGAGGTACGCAAAGAGCGAAAAAGCACGGGATTTCGAGGATTGGGTAAACATCACTCACATACACATACAAATATACAACACACTACCTCCTACCATCAGCCACACAAAATCCTCTTCAGGCTCTTTCTATATTTTTCTCTCGGCTTTTTCTCAAGGGAGGCGCCGCGGCATTTTTTGACAACTTTTTTTGCGGGTAGAATATAATTAAGAGGTTATTGTCCGGGAGAATTACACAGAGAGAGAAATATACCAAATCAAAAATAGAACACGAATTGATATAAAAATTTTGAAACGTATTGTGAACTTGCTGTAACTTCAGTAGTTGGAAGAACATCTCAAGGTTCAAGAGGTTTGGAAAAAATCCTGAACTTGGATGATCAGAGTCCAAATTCTTGCAATCTTATCTGTCACTCTTTATTTCTCTCTATAGCACCAAGAAAATCACAATTCAAATTAAAAATACTCGAGATTCTATCACAACAAACTGGCTAAAACAAGAAAAAGAACATGAGAATGTAAATAAATATATTGCAATGAAGACAAAAAAAAATGAAAAACACGCGGAAAAAAGTACACTAAAATGTTATACATTTTGCTGTCCAGCAGAAGGAGGAAAAGAAGGCGAAGAAATATCGAAAGATGAATCGTTTAGTGGATTGGAAAACGATTGGAACCTAAGATAGGGATTGGATTAGGTAAAGTTAAAGGTAATATTATCAGAGGGAACTGTTTGACTAAAAAACTTCAACTTCAGATTTTTTCCAGAATTATTCTTGAAGGATTTTTGACATTGTCAAACTTTTCTAAGTCATAACTCATATTCAAAATGAGTTTCGATCAAACAGTTCCAATTTTGGGTTAAGGTTAAGGTATCCTTAGGTAACCTATTAAAGTAAGAGAAAATAATATGTCATACCTCGTACCATTCCGCAAATCACTAAACCAATCTCTTGCATTATCGATAGCATTAAGTGCTTGAAGAGCTCTACTCGAGTCGTTGCCAGCCGCTGAAATAAAAACAAAAAAATAATGTGAAAAATGGAACATGCAAAATTGAGCAAGATAGTTTTTTAGTGTGTTAAACATGCTCGAAATTTGTTAGTGTTATTGGAAAATATGAATTAGGTTGAAAAATTCCGCAATTTCTACCCAAATTTTCCGAGTTAGTATCAGACACACAACACAGTTATTTTTCGTGCTCCACAACACAAAATCAAAACCAAAACCAAAAAACCCAAAGTGTTTAACAAGCACGCACCGACCCAAATTCAAAAGATTTGATGGTGCATAAGCTGCTTGAGTTGTTGGTGATGATAATTCAGTTGGCGGCGGAAGAAGATTCACAAAATCTTTGAGACCACCAGTTTGTTCCGAAACACGAAGACCGTCCGAATATCGATCCTGAAAAATTGATTTATCCAAAATTCATCAATTTAATCGAATTTTTGAAAGTTTTTAAAAACCTTTTTGAAAATTTGGTGTTTTTTCCTATGTTATTTTTTTTATTCCCAAGTTATATGCTAAAAATCTCAAAATCTTGCCACGTCATAACTCTCCCCCTCCCCTCAAAAACCCTTACCTTAACAACTTCATAAGCATCCATAATAATGGCAATAAAAAGTGACAAAACCACATAAATGAACAGCGAAACAAACATGTAAATATAAATTGTTCCAAAAATCTGAAAAAACTTTTTTTGAAACTTCAAAAATCCTTGAAGAAAACCGTTACCTTAATAACCGTATTCGAATCATTAATCGTATAAAAAGTGGCAAACATATCATCTCCATTTAAAAGTGAAAATAGCGCTTCAGATGATTCAGCCAATGTTCGGAATTTCATACTGTATGGTCCAATGATAACCCAGCCAGCGATTAGGAAACCGGCATAAAGAACGATTGCACAAGACATGAAACGCATTATGTTTGGTAGAGATTTTTTGAGAGTTAGGATAAGTATCTGTAAAAAAAGGATTGGTTTTTTTGTCAAAGTTAAATGAATAAACTTTGAATAAATTGAATTTGTCAGGTTTTGTTCGTTTTTTCGAACACTTCTTACTTTTTTTTGAAGATTCAAGTTTAAAATTTCAAAATTTCAAAACCCATGGATCATATTTTTGAAAAAAAAACATTGAAGCACAGTGAATGTGTTCAATTTCTTTCCAAGTGGATTTTTTCATTCAAATTGCTATCCAAAAAGATTTAATATTTTCAAAAATTTTCAAATAATTTATTTAAAAATTTCGAAACCTATTCTTCGCGGGACCATATTTTTGTTCAAAAAAATGGGCAGACACCTTTTTTTCTGTTGATATAAAAAATCACGGATGCTCGAAAAGGTGGGCGGAGCCTATTTTGCAAGCCTGGCACAGTTTTTGTGTGATATTTTATTCACTGTCATAAAAAACGATGAATAATTTTCAAACTGCTGATTTTCGTGTATGAAATAATTGAAACTTATTTTTCGCTGGGCAAAATTCAAATTTATATTTTTTTCAAGTGGGCGTGGTCAAATTTTCCAAACAAGCGAATTATTATTCTCCCATATTTTCAATTATAATTTTTGAAACCTATTTTTCTCTGAATTTTTTTTTTTGCAATCCTGGCACTTTTGTTTTTTTGTGTGTTAATTAAACCTAAAAAGCAATTGAAGTGCCTCTTTGTTTTTCTGTTTTTACGAAAAACATTGATTTTTTCAGCCAAGAAAAAAACGCATGTTTGAGTTTATGGAAATTTTCGAAAAACTTCGAATCGAAAACATTTTAGTCTTTCAAAATGATAGTCGAATTGAGGAATATCATCAGCAAATTGATCTACCAACAAAATATCAATTCAATTATCGGTGAGCTTTGGGGGAATTTTTTTAAAGTTTGAGAACATTTAATAAATTTCAGACAAATATTGCTCATGTTAAATTTGGCCTACGCAATTCCCTCATTTTATATTTATTCAAAATGTCGAAAATTGCTCAAGAAAAATTCAAATAATCATTTCAACACTATTTTCAGCAATGATTTCTATATTGTGAGTGTTGAAGTTTTGTTGAAAAAATCCTGAAATTTAATTTTGCTCTCTCGCAGAATGTTGCATTATTCATAATTGATATAATTTCAACTCGTCTTCCAATATCAGGTCTAATCAATAATTATCCATCATTTCTTCCATCCGGTTATTTTCTAACTATTATTTATTTCCTTTCTTATTATCTTATTTATGCTAATTATTTTTCAATCACTCTAATTTGTCTAAATCGAATGACAAGTGTAGTTTTTCCACATGTTTCAAGTTGGGTGAGTTATTTTATTGGAAGTGGAAGGAAATACGTTTCAAAATTAATAGATAAAAAATTGAGATAAATTTAATAACCAATGAATTTCTCACCATTCACAAAGCAAACATCAAGAATAATTAAAATATGTTTAATTATTCAATTAAATAGTTTGATGCGACTGAATCTAATTAATTAAAAATAAATAAAGTGCGCAAACTTCTATGTGAAAATTTGGAGCTGATGAACCCGTATTGAGAGTCGAATTCGAAAATTGAAAATGAAAAACCATCAAAACTAGAAATTCTCAATGGAGCACATTTGCCAATGAAAGATTCAATTTTCCGGGGTGAATTTCGGCGGGAAATTTAAATTTAAATGTTGCTAGTATTCCAGCTCTGGCGTTCATATCTCCATCATTCAATCCTTCTAATCTACATACTTTCCCTAATTCCAACTTGGCATATGTTAACCTATATTCCAATATTCATTCCTTTGGAAATCAACAATTCTAGATATCAAATGATATATCAAATTACATATATTCCAAATTATCTTCGAAATAGTACGGGTCTTGCAGCATGTTCATTTTTCTTGGCGCTAATTTGAATATTTTTGAATTTCGCAACAATTTTCAAATTTCGTCAAAAACCAATGGTAAGATAAATGAATGTGGTGAAACTAAATCTGAAGGTGGAAATATGTAATTTCAGACTCAAAAACATCGTGCAAAACGAATTGAAATCGTCATGTTTGCGATTGCTTTAGTCGCTTGCTCATCTTTAGTTCTTCAATGTATTATTCAGGTTTGTAAAGAATGAGCTATGACGTGCCAAATGGAGGTCATCCAGATTCCCTAGTCAAAAATGAGCAATGTATATATCTTGCTCTCAAAATTGCTTTCAATAATCATCATGACTAACTATGTAGATCTAGATTAATAATTCCAAAAATTCCCCGGAGAAAGGGTGAAGTTTGATGTGATGATTCCAAAAAAAAATGTGACTAGACTATAATCTTGTGAGATACTGATGATGTGGTAAAAAACGTCAAAAACCATATTTTTTGGGAAAATTTCTCCTCGAATCCAATTTTAGGGCAATCGAACTATTGGTAAAAGCAGAAAAATAAAAACAAAAATACTATTAAAAAACTAATTTCCGTCTGAAATCTATGCTCTGATAAAAAAATGTTTTGTATTCTGTACTTTTTATTTTTATTATTCTACATAGATTTAAAATGTTACTACAAAATTGATAGGCCCAATATATATTCATTTTCCAAATCTAATTTTGAAAGTGTACGCAAAAAAATGCGTCGCAGTGTTTACACAAAACAATCATCGTGACAAGGTGACATTTAAAATTTAAAAATCACAAAATTTTCCCGGCTTTTATCAAATTTCATGACTCCGGAATGGTCCCTTTCACATTCCTAAGCTTTCAGGAAAACCGGAATAATGTTCTATTCTCTTTCAATTTTCCAGCTAACAATAATGATATTCACAAAAAACGAGGTGATTCGCGACACAGCTCAAGGACTTCGCAATTTCTGTTTGGATTTATCAATTTGTGCTCCCCCTTGGATTCTCTATTTCTCAACAAATTCTCATAAACAAACAGGCTCTCTTCAATCATCAACTGAAGTATCAAAAAAGTAACTAGGTGATAAATAATCATAGACGAAAAGGCGTGCCTCCAAATTACTACTTTACTTTATATTTTTCTTTTCATTACTCATTATTAATTTAATTTTCAAATAAAATGGGAGGAATTTTCGACTTGATTTCCGAATTCTATTTTCATCAGCCAGCAAATGCGATTTCTGTGGTTGAAAAACCGACACAATATCAATTTAATTATCGTCAAATTTTATTGCTAATTAATTTGATCTACACAATTCCATCATTTTATATTTATTCAAAATGTCGCAAATTGCTCAGGGAAAATTCGAATAATCATTTCAACACTATTTTTAGCAATGATTTTCATATTGTGAGTTTTGTCTTGAGTTTTTAAAGGGAGAGTAAAATTTCTGCCACGTGGAAAATGATTTTCAAGCAAAATTTTGAAAAATAGAAAAAAATACAGTTAACAACAACTTATTATAAAAATATTTATAATTTTTTTGCTGTTTCAAAACATCAATATGTTTTTGATAATTTTAAATTTGGTGGAAAATGTTCGGTTGAAATGAATAAGGCATCAATTATTTCTCCGGAAAAAAATACCCTAGATTCAACTCTTCAATGTTTACATTTTGACAGAATGTTGCATTATTCATAATTGATATAATTTCAACTCGTCTTCCAATATCAGGTCTAATCAATAATTATCCATCATTTCTTCCATCTGGTTATTTTCTAACTATTATTTATTTCCTTTCTTATTATCTTATTTATGCTAATTATTTTTCAAGCACTTTAATTTGTCTAAATCGTATGACAAGTGTAATTTACATTTCATCAAATGTAAGTTATCCGGGAGAGAAGAAGAGAAGTTAGCACAAATCTACTCCAAAGTCTTTTAGTTCTGGCAACGTCACACGAAACAAACCATCATAATAATCTATATTTTATCACTTATTCCAACTTGGCAAATGTTAACTTATGATGCATTTTTCTACACTTTGATAGCAAATGATTCGAGATATCAGATGATTTATAATACGACTATTATTAAAATTTATGTGAGTTGTTGTGAGAATTTTATGATTGATGGAGTAAACTAGAAAAATAATGACAAACATGAGCAATGTATAATTATGAAAGCCTAAGGTGATAATTATGAGAAAAGAGGACCAGAGGTGACTGATAAGTTTTAAACTCTAACCTTGTGAGCTCAATTAGACAATAAACTGGAAAAGTCAGAAATTTTTACTTCCCTTTGGAGCTTCGATTACGGTTCATTCCAGAATCACAAAAAATATAAAATAAAAATATTTTTGAAACAGTGACTTTTTGCAGATTCGAAACAGTAGTTCGCTCGCCACAATTTCTCTAATTCTCGCCATAATTTGCATAATTTTCAACATTATCACAATTTTAAAATATCGTCAAACGATTCAAAAATCTCAATCTTCTTGGATGACAAATTCCAAACAAAAACAAAATCGGCGAATTGAATTAACAATGTTAATTGTAGCAATAATTGCGTGTTCCTCTTTAATTCTACAATGTGCAATTCAGGTAAGTGGTCTAGAGAACATTTTTGACGGAAAAGCGGATTAAAAAAATTCAAAAAAGGATAATGCATTGTTACGTCAGGATTTGTAGAGTTAATTTGTAAAAAGTTTAACATTAGTAAAGCAGGAAATTAGGTGTGACCTTGCCAAAGTTAGTTTAAGCTTCGATTTAAGCTTCAACTTGATAAATCAAACTTAAATTACCCTTGATTATATGCTTTACAATGTTTATTTCTAAAGCCAATCACAACCACAGTATGTTATTAAGCCTTCTCTCCAACTCAAAGCCTTTACATCTAGACTAATACCAATCTTCTCTAGCTCTAATAAGTCCAGTCTGGAATGCTGGGCTCAATCCCGCTTTATTTTCTTTCAGATTCTCATAATGGTCTTCACAGAAATTCCCTCAATTCGCGGAACTGCTCAAGATATGCGAAACTTCTGTTTGGACATTTCAATTTGTGGTCCACCATGGGTTCTTTATTTCAGTTCAATATCTAGTCGCAATAAAATCGGCTCGATTTCGGAAATAAATTCACGAATCACCAAATAAACTTTTTTATTTTTGCCACCAAATTGGTGCAACGTTTTTTTTTGTTGAAAAATTATATGGCGATAAATGTTCACCATTTATCCATAGATCAAGAACAAAAATTTGATTCGATTCTAAATTTTTATTTATTCCTTGTTTGTTGTCCAAACCCTTTCATTAAAATTAGCCTTACTGCAAAAAATGTCACTTGAGCATTACTAATTATTCTCCAATTCCGACTAAAGCATATATATCATTATCAATAAAATCATATTACACCATGAGTACAATTTTCGATAAACTCTCTGAATTTTTCTTCAAAAACACTTCAACACCGACAATTCAAAAAGCGATTCCGACGCAATATCAATTTAATTATCGTCAAATTGTATTGCTAATTAATTTTATCTACACAATTCCTTCATTTTATATTTATTCGAAATGTCGCAAATTGCTCAAGGAAAAATCAAATAATCATTTCAATACTATTTTCAGCAATGATTTTTATATTGTAAGTTTTAAAGTTCTGCTGAAAACATCCTGAAATTCATATTTCTCTCGCAGAATGTTGCATTATTCATAATTGATATAATTTCAACTCGTCTTCCAATATCAGGTCTAATCAATAATTATCCATCATATTTCCCTGAATATTTCCCAAAACTCTTATTATTTCTTTCTTATTATCTTATTTATGCCAATTATTTTTCAAGCACTTTAATTTGTTTGCATCGTATGACAAGTGTGGCTTTTTATCAAAATAATGTGAGTTTTTGCAAAAAAAGAAGCAAGTTAGGTTAATTCAATTTGCAGTTTTGGAAACGCCACATAAATTTAAGTATAATTCTGACCTATATATTATCACTTATGCTAACTTGGCACATTTGGACATATGATGTTTATTATTACATTTTGGCGGAAAATGATTCGAGATACCAGTTGACTTATAATCAGGTGTTTTTGACGAGATATGTGAGTAGACAGAAATGCCTTGAAAACAATTTCATTTTCATTCCGAAATCTCGATCCTCAAATTGAAATAATAACCGAAAAACTCACATTTTTGAATAATTAATTGTTTACTGTTTCCAGATTCGAAATAGTAGTACCCTTTTCACAATTTCCTTAATTCTCGCAATAATTTGCATAACTGCCAATACTATCACAATCCTAAAATATAATGCAAAACCTCCAACAATCAAAAAACATCGTCGAGTAGAATTAGCAATGTTTATTATAGCAATTATAGCATGTTCCTCTTTAATTTTTCAGTGCGTAATTCAGGTAAGCCTAGTCTAACATCACTTATAAGCCTAAGCCTATTTCTTTCAGATTATTGTTTTTATGTTCACAGATAACGACATAATTAGAGTAACAGCTCAAGATTTGCGAAATATTTGTTTGGATTTATCAATTTGCGGACCTCCATGGGTTTTGTATTTTGGATCATTTTCAAGACGAAAAATTTTTGTGAATCAGAGTAAAAATAGAAATGCTTCGGAAATGATTACAAGAATTACAACATGAACTTGGATTTCTGTACTTTGGCAATAAAATCGGCTCTATTCCGGAAATAAATTCACGAATAACCAGAAAAACTATGCTCATTACTAAATTCGTTCTCTAGTTCTGACTAAAACATATATCATTATCAAATTAATCATTATTCATTCTATGAGTACGATTTCTGATAAACTTTCTGAATTTTACTTCAAAAACACTTCAACATTGATAATTCAAAAAGGTATTCCGACGCAATATCAATTTAATTATCGTCAAATTTTATTGTTAATTAATTTGATCTACACAATTCCTTCATTTTATATTTATTCAAAATGTCGGAAATTGCTCAAGGAAAAATCAAATAATCATTTCAACACTATTTTCAGCAATGATTTTTATATTGTGAGTTTTGAGTTGTGCTCTTGGGGTTTTTGAAATGTCCTAGAGCCGGAATAACCGGAAGAGGCTTCATCTCCATGACTCATAAGAGACCAAAGGTAACCAGCCGAAGTCAAAATCTCTTTCCAGAATGTTGCATTATTCATAATTGATATAATTTCAACCCGTCTTCCAATATCAGGTTTAATCAATAATTATCCATCATATTTCCCTGAATATTTCCCAAAAATCCTATTATTTCTTTCTTATTATCTTATTTATGCCAATTATTTTTCAAGCACTTTAATTTGTTTGCATCGTATGACAAGTGTGGCTTTTTATCAAAATAATGTGAGTTTTTGCAAGAAAAAAAAGAAGCAAGTTAGGTTAATTCAATTTCCAGTTTTGGAAACGTCACACGAACTTGAGTATAATTCTGATCTATGTTTTGTCCCTAATTCCAACTTGGCATATTTGGACATATGATGTTTTTTATTATATTTTGGCGGCTAATGATTCGAGATATCAGTTAAACTATAATCAAGTATTTTTGAAGAGATATGTGAGTGAAAAGAAAATAGACTTAGGCTTTTTCCAAACAGTGAATATTTCAGATTCGAAATAGTAGTGCACTTGCCACAATTTCCCTAACTCTCGCAATAATTTGTATGATCGCCAATACTATCACAATCCTAAAATACCATGCAAAAATCTCAAGTTTCAAAAAGAATCGTCGAGTTGAATTAACGATGTTAACAATAGCAATAATTGCGTGTTTCTCTTTAATTCTTCAGTGCGTTATTCAGGTAAGATTTAGCCTGATGATCAAAAATGAAGATATTGCCCTCGTGAATTAATTTGTAGGCTTACGCCTGAAAATACAATGTTTCAGATCGTTATTCTGATGTTCACAGATATCGAAACAATTCGAGCAACAGCTCAAGATTTGCGCACTTTTTGTTTAGATTTATCAATTTGCGGACCTCCATGGGTTTTGTATTTTGGATCATTTTCAAGTCGAAAAACTGTTGTGAATCAGAGTGTAATTAGAAATAATTCGGAAATGATTACAAGAGTCACAAAATAAAATTGTATTCATGTACTTTTAATTTTTGAATTCTGATGATAAATTAGTTTCTAATTGAAAAAATTTATAATTTTTGAAAAAAAATGATTTAGTTTTTTGTACCCATTTTTAAGTACCCATATATTTTCCAAACTCCCAACCCCAAAAAACTCACATTATACTGACTAAAAAATCCAAAATATCTCAAAACTCCAACATAAACCATCAATGCGCCCATTCCCAAGAATATCGATGTCAATGTGAAAAGTGAATTGTCGAAATCTCGAAATTCGATGGATATTTTGGCAACAGTTCCAAGAATGATCAAAATATCATTTACAACAATCATAAGATACCATAAATTCAAAAAATCCAATTGATCTGTGACTGTCAGTTTGGTTTTGAGAGTGTTTTCGAAATAATCACTTGTTTTCTGGAAAAAATCAATTGAAGGGTGTGTTTTCAGTGAAAGAATAATGGAAATAAGGTTTTGGCTTAGTTAAAATCTTTTACCGCTGGGTTTATTCTTTATTTTTGCTTCATTTCCCAAGTCCCAACTTCTATACGTTTCAAAAAATAAGCATTATTTCAATAAACAGCAATTGTTAGTATAAACTTTCTCCAGTTTCTCAAAAAATAAAACTCACACTTTGCAATAAATGCGCTTTGATAAGTGCTCTACAACACAAAACAAATGACAAAAAGCATAAAATGAGCACAATAATATCAGTTCCACCAATAATTAGAGCATCTGTTGACCAACCAACACCTGAATATTTCTTGGTTTTTTAGGCCACGGCTTAGAAAATCAACCCACCTTTAATAATTCGTCCATTACAAACACTTTCGTAGGAAACTACTGTGCTTAGAGTTACGTGAACTTGACCAGAATGTCGAGAATTATCGAATTTTATGGAGACCTGGAAGAAAACTTTATTTTAAATTAGGAGATGTGAGAAAGAGTTATGACGTGGCAACAAAAAATTGTTTTTTGTTATATTCCTCTCCTCGCCCAGAACACTTACCACAATCTTATAACATTCTGGTTTCTGATCTCCAGCAGTTGGCGAATAATGAATAGTTCTTAATTTGAATTTGAAAGTAGCAGTGGCAATTTTCAACGCATCTTCCGGCAAAAAAGTCACACCTTTTCGTGCCAAAATATCTCGAACATTCGAATCAGATGATTGAATTTGACTAACTTCTTCCGATGTTAGATTTAATGTTTTGAGATCTTTCACTTCAGTCACATCAAAATCATAAGTATTATTATTAACAGTGACATTGGATATTCGATCAATGTGAACCTGGAGAAATATATTGATTGATTAATTGATTATGAATAGAACGGAATTCCCCAAAATAAAATCAATAAATAAAAAGTACCTTACCTCAATAAATGGAATCGATGTAAAATCAACTCCAGAATTCAACGAAACATTAGTATCTTTCAAATTATTTGCTTTTTTCATATCATAACTGAATGAGGCAAAAGAATCATTTTGAATTGCATAATATGAATTGATTATAAAACTGAGATGTTCATCTAGAGATTGATCGGTATAAACTGAATAACGACCTTCGGCTGGCGGATATTGAAGAGCATCTCGATCATCGTTCCATTCCTGTGAAAAAATGGGATTTTAGACGGTATTTTTGAGATTTCTGGTGGAAAAATGAGAAAATTCAGTGGAATATTTAAAAATTATTTAAATGATTATTTATCACAATATCGATTTCTCATTTGGGAAATCTGCGAAAAACACGATGTTTTCCAAAATTTAGACTCACTTCAAAATTGAATTTCTTCACCGATTCGCGAAAAATAAAAATTGTGAAATGATGTGGAATTTTGAAAAACACGTTCAGTACACGTGATTTTTATTTATTTATTTTATTGAATATTTATTTACCTTCAAAAATCGATGCCTCATAACAGTAGTTGTGTCTTCTAAAAAATCCACATGTGACATCCTCATTTCAGCAAATAATATCAATTGAGCTGTGACAAATATAATCTTCAAAACTTGCAGCACTAATTTATATGGCAATTGTTTTCGAACTTTCCATTTTTCCATTGGATTCATGAAAAAGAATTGCAAATGTCTTCGTAATCTTTCACCGGTTTCTCTTTCAGGTTCAGGTAATTCATCAAGAATTTCTTGGAAATTTATTGTTGGACGGCGAGATGCAAATGATGATGCTTGACTTCCATTCTCGTGTCTGAAAAGGAAACTTTAAACTATATTTAAAAAAATCAATAACTCACATTTCAGATCGATCGCTTCTTCTGGACATCTGAAAATCGAGAATTTTCAATTAGAAAAGGGTTTTTTCTGTAGGGAGGACAAAAAATTCCTTTCAATCTTGATTTCAACAAGAAATATGTTTGCAATTTCATTGTTTATGCGTGGGAAAATGATGATTCATCGGGAAATTTTTTGAGGAAAACAATTTTTTTTGAAAAAAAAACTGTGTGCGGGGAAAATCGCCGCGGGACACAAAGCGAAACAGTTCTGCGCCTTGAAAAAACTACAGAAATATTTCATTTTTTATTTAATTTTTTCCCAATTTTTTGAAAGAAAACAGCATTTTCCTAGTCTAAAGTAAATGCAAACAACGCAATAATAAAATAATAAACATAATAGAATAGATAACTCCTTCTTCTGTGTGTGCAAACACCAAACCTGACGACAATTTTTGCAGAAAACAGGGCAAAGGGAAAGGAAAATCACCGTGCTCAATGGTATTTCTTCAAGTCCTTGAATTCGCATCGAAGCGTGGCTTCTGAATATTCGACTATTCATATTTCAGAAGGAATATAGAAAAAATAAAGAAAAATCTATATAATATGTCAAAAAGAATACTTTTCTGATAAAAAAAATAATAATAACAATAATAATAAAATGAGTAAATAAAAATTGCTCGTGCTCTTTTTCTTTTCCATATTTGCTCATTTTTGCGCGAAATTCAAAATTATCGCGTTTTTTTTCAAAAATTATGGGAATTCTGAAAATTCTATTTTAAAAACCAAAATTTGATTCCTGATTTTTTTTACATATTTCTGTTTTCCCGTCAACAAAATTAGCATAACTTACACTTTTTTGTGACGTCATTGTGACGATTTTTGTCATTTTTAGAGATTTTGGAGAGTTCAAAAAGATCAATTTGCTGCCCATTTTTGATATTTGTCGCCAAATATTTTATCATTTCTTCAAAAAATATCACAACAACAAATAAAATAATATTTTTCAGGTCGAAATGAGAAAATTGGCTGAAAATGTGTTTCGAAAATGTTTGGAGTCAGTGGAGCCGAAAATGTGTGTTGAAAAGGTGGGTCTTGGTGCGAAATTGGATTTTGGCGCCTAAAATCCACGTTGTTATATTGTTATGATCACGTAGATTTTCAACAGAAATTTCAAAGTTCCACTTATTCCCGCCAAATTTATATTCAAAAATTTTGAATTTTTTAGGCCCTCCAAATCAGTGCAAATTATCTATCAATAACAAATTCAAAACTCGACAAAATCCCGATCTCAAATTCCACAAATTTCGTCGTAATTGGTTTTGGAAAAGCAGTTGTTGGAATGTCAAAAGGAATCATTGAAAAATTGCCAAAAAATCAAACACAAATTCATCTAATCGCTCCCAAAAATCAACAAGGCGCGCAGAATTTCGGGGATAATTTTGAGGTGAATTTCGCAGCTCCAAATAATCTTCCCGATGAGGATTCTGTATTTTACACCGAGAAACTATTGGAGAAAATCGATGAGTTGGATTCGCCTCAAACAATTTTCATTTTTCTAATTTCTGGCGGTGGTTCGGCACTTTTTTGTTCACCAATTGATGGTGTAAAATTAGCGGAGAAATTAGAAATTATCAAGATTTTGGTGAAAAATGGGGCGACTATTCAACAATTGAATATTGTTAGGCAGAAGTTATCAAAAGTTAAAGGAGGTGGATTATTGAAGGGAATCAAGAAGGGAAAGGTGAGAACTTCAAATTTTTCTCAACGTGGCGTTTTTCTTTATTTTTTCAGAAAAAAAAACTTACGGCGCTTGGCATTTTTAGAAATAAAAAATGAAAAAAATTGTTCTGCTAATTTTTTTCAATTCGATTTTGTTCCTTTTATTCAATTTGATTTCAAATTTCATTTCATTTTTTGGCGCGCCAAATTCAAATTTTTCCGTCTCGAGCTAATTGGCTTCTGAAAAATTTGAAAAATCTTTCAGATCTTCTCAAAAAATATCCCAACTAACTAAATAAATTTACCCCATTTTTTCCGCCAAAAATCTTCCTAAATCCAGTTTTTGCAGGCAATTTCATTAATTATCTCGGATATAATTGATAATCCTCTTGAATTGATTGCAAGTGGTCCAACTGTTCGTCGAAATCCCAAAAAATCCTACGATTTCCCAAATTTTGGCTGATCTACAAATTCCGAAATCATCTATAAAACCGGAAATTCTTGAAATCCTTCTGAAACCTTCTGAAGATCCAACTGCTGAAGCTCCAAATTTGGTGCAATTTCAAAACCACATAATATCGTCGAATTCTTTGGCTCTCGAAGCGATCTACAGTAATCTTCCAACAAACTACAGTACCCAAATAATAACATCTAGTTTGTCTGGAAATGCGACTGAAATTGGGCAGGAATTTGCGAGGATTTTGAGGTCTCGCAACGCGAATTTCGGAGATGTATTTGGTGCGAAGATTCCAGATTTGAAATTTCCAATGGCCTTGATTTTTGGTGGAGAGACTACGGTGATTTTAAAGGGAGATGGTGAGTTTTTTGGGAGGGGGGTTAGATATTTAAAAGAATTTTTTTTCTAAAAAAAATTCCTACAGCGACTTGTGGTACTGTAGATAGAGCTTCGGCATCATAAATTCAACTACAGTAATCTCAAATCGTTTCGAGAATTTTCAAACTTTCGAATTTTTTAAGGAAAAAACACTAGGTGGCAAATGAATGCTAAAGTTATTTCCGAAAATTCTAATCTTGAGAAAAAATTTCCACGTGTCATATTATTTGCAGGAAAAGGTGGACGAAATCAAGAAATGGTATTAGCATGTTTGAATGAGTTACAAAATCAAGAAATCGAATATGAGTTCTGTTTTTTGAGTGCAGGTTTGTCAAGAATTGTTTTCTTTCAAAGTCTTATAAAAAATTTATAGGCACTGATGGTCAAGATGGTCCGACAAATGCAGCTGGAGCTATTATTTCAAATTCAGATCTTCTCTCCGAAGATCTGAAAACCTTGCCACCCTCGGAATTCCTAGCAAATTCAGATTCATGGAATTTCTGGCGTCAATTTCAGCAGGGAAAATGTCATTTGATAACTGGACCAACTGGGACAAATGTTATGGATATTCAAATTTTATTGATTGATAGGAAACAATGAATATTTACGTGTGTATGTGATTTTTTTGAAAATGAAATTATGAAGATGAAGATGTTTTTGAAAATTACAAATCTCATTTCCTTCCGGTTGCACTTCTTTCGAGGAAAACACGAATTTATCATTTTTAGAAATTGAAATTTTCTAGGACTTTTTCTGACTCCAAGAATCCACGTGGAAAATTGTTCCAGAAATTTGAATTTTCAAATTTTTGCCGCCAAAATGACATCACCAAAAACCTTTTTCCTAGATATTTTTTCCTCAAAACATGGTAAACACTCTTTCTCTCGGTGCATAATTCCAACCTCAGTCTTCTTCTCAGTCAGTCCCTATTTTTCTCCCCCATTTTTTTTTGCTCTTCTCAGCTTTTTTCTTTTTTTCCTCTACTTCTTCACTGCGCAGCTTTTCATCGATTTTTCTTCTTCGTTTTTTCTCCATTTTTAGTCGTCTTCTTCTACTTTTCTTTCTTTTTTTTGCTTCTTTTTTATATATGGCTTCTGAATTTATTCTGTTTCACCCCTGCTTTTATCGATTTCCATTTAAATAATTAGTGGGAGGTTAAAGTTCTGGAAAACTTTGATTTTTTCAAATAAATTCTTAAGAATTCAAGCTATCCTTTGATATCAATTTTCAGGATTTGGAGCGATTTCGGGCTCATCGAGCACAACATTCTCCAAATCGCTCTGAATTTCAGGAGCACACTGAAATCGTCGATAACTTTCAGAACATCTGAATTAGTCTATTTTGAGTTCGGAAAATATTTCGAAATTTATTCTCATACGTAAAACATCTCGAAATCTTCCAAATAAATCTTCAATGATTTTAACAGTTTCACTTAGGTTCTGTGCATCAATTTGAATCTGATATTGCCTAGTCTTTGAAAACTTCTAAAATTGATTGAAGTTTTGGCTCGAAAATAAATATGTTTGAAAATAGGTTTCAACACCTTAATATTATACGTTTCAAAACGAAGCCAAGCACAATACAATTATCAACAAATTTGTTTCCATCAATGAAGAATATTTTCAAATTCGGAACTAATCTTCTCTCCCAAATTCTGAAAGAATTTCCAATTTTTTAATTTTTGAGCTCCGGAATTTTTCATCATTTTGATTTTGAATTGGATTAGAAGCTTAATTTTAATCTACTTATCTGTTGTCTAATTTTTCGAGTTGAGCTCAGAGCTCAAAATGCACATTTTTGAATAAAGTGGGAATCGGGGGTGTCAAAATAATGCTCATATTTTCCGAAAAACTATTATGCTTCACAAGTTATTCTAAATATAACTTTGTGGAATTTTTCGAGCTCCAAAATTAGTTTCTGAAGATAACAACTATTTTTCTAGACCTCTTTCCGCATCTCCTCTCAACCCATCTCAAATCAATATTCACTTCCAATTTTCCAGGGGTAATCCAAAAGCATGGAAAATCATGTCGGGGAACGAACAGTCAATATATTTGGCAAAGTTTTCCCGCGCGACGCCTTCATTTGTCGCCTATTTTATCTCACATTTTTCGCAAGTTTCGGTAGTCTTTTCCCGCTTCTCGCCGTCTATTTCAAACAATTGGGAATGACAGCTGCACAAGCAGGATTTTTGATCGGTGCGAGACCAATTGTCGAATTCCTTTCGGGACCATTCTGGAGTCAATTCGCTAGTCGATTTAGGTGAGAAAAATTATATTGACGTCAGAAGTATCAAATTACCCCCCATTCTTTTTTCAGAAAACAAAAGCTTCTTTTACTCTTTTCTCTTGGTTCTCTAATCGTATTTACATTGGCAATTGGTTTAGTTCAACCAGTCACACCATATTGTATTGTATATGTGCCTGAAGGTAAACCATCATGTCGAACAATGTTAGCACCGGCTGGAAAAATTATTCGAGGTGGAGCATTGGGAATGTTAAAAGCTGCTGTTGTTGGAGGAAATGAGGCTGGAAATAGTGGAAAACAACGACAGAAACGACAACAATCACGTGAGTTGTTTTAACCTTGTAATTATAGCTATGACATAGAAATGATAATCTAAACTCATGACTTTCTAATTATTGGTTTAGAATTTGACGTCAAAGTTTGCATAAATTATAGGATTCCTTTGAGGAATTTTTGATTTCCAGCACTCGTCGAAAAATTCATCGACCTGAGTTCATACGAAAGCAAAGACGATATTACCGCTGGAATTGCACCCGAATATATCACCAAAGAATTGGTGTGTAATTACAATGAGGAAACGTATGGTATTTTGGTGTCTCCACCACATTCAACTCGAGTTTATCGACAACCAGCTGTTGAACAATCATTTATGTTGTTGTTGATTTTGGTTTGCTTGGGAGAGTTTTTCTCGTCGCCTGCGCTGGCATTGGCTGATGCGGCTACGTTGAATTCGGTGAAAGGTGAGTTGGAGGAACGGGGAAATGTGGTGAAAAAACTAAAATTCGGATGAAAATATGATTCACGAATTCCATGTGGCAACTCAAAAAAAAACCCAAGCTTCCATTTTGCAGACACACCTCAAGAATTCGGAAAAATCCGCCTAATGGCTTCTGTTGGTTGGGGTTTGGCTATGTTTGTAATGGGAGTCGGGTTGGATTATTCGGACACTTTCCGAAATCATCCGTGTCCTGCGGAAAATACAACCGAGAAGAACTATACACTGTGTTTTGTGATGAGTGTGATTTTTATGTGCACCGCGATGGCGTTGGCTACAAAACTGAAATTCGATGATGACGTGGCACAACCGGGTGATGTTCATGGTTTGGTTATGGATACGAGAGAAGCCGAGGTGTCACATGTGGTGGCTGAGAAAGCGAGAGCTAGACATATGCAGGTTGGTTGGAGAGAGTATTCTAGAGGGATGGGATTTGAGCAAAATGTACACTGCAAAAGTCCCCCAGATATTTCTCACAACACCGGACTTCCATGAAGTCCACCTAATTCTGTTTTTACACAGCCTTTTGAATTGCCTTTCCATATGACAACCCAATCACAAGTCTAATCCATATCCAATAATTCCAGTCCGAAGGTGGTGGTGAGAATACATTATGGATAGCAATGAAATCACTCGCCAGTGTCCATCTTCTTCTTTTCTTCATTTCTGTTGTTGTAATGGGTGGCGGAGCTGGTCTCGTCTTCTCATTTCTCTATTGGCATCTTCAAGATCTCGGAGGTTCTCCAGTTCTTTTTGGTATTCTTTCAGTCGTCAATCATGTCTCCGAAATTATCACTTATTTCTACACATTCCGACTTATCAATAAGGTTTGTCCCTTTATTTTTCCGATTTCCTAATATTATCTTGAATATTTTCAGTATGGCCACGTTCGCGTAATGTATTTATGTTTGGCAGTCAATGTTTTCCGTTTCTTGGCTCTTTCAGTTATCACAAATCCATGGATGGTTTTACCGCTTCAAGTTTTGCAAGGATGTTGTTTGGCGACAGTTTGGACTTGTGCCTCTTCTTATATTTCATTGGTTGCTCCACCAAATGCTAAACAACATGCACAATATGCACTTCAAGTTGGATATCATGGATTGGGAAAAGGTGAGAGACATAGGGGTATGACGTGGCAAAAATTGTCACTTTTCAAATGTTAAAATTCGTAGACTTCTAAAAAAAATAAACTGTCAAGATTCTCGATTTTATTCACTCAAAAATTTCCAATTCTTTTTTTTTCTAGGAATCGGAAGTATCGTTGGTGGATCTGTGATCTCAGTAATCGGCTCCCGTTCAACATTCGTTCTCTACGCTCTAATTTGTCTAGTCACATGCGCTGGTAGTTTCGGTCTCAACAAACTCTTCAAATACGAAGGAATCAAATACGGAACCGGAAATTTCGAAGAAGAGGATATGGATTTCATGGCACCGCAAGGAGTTCCAATGGCCCGCGATGGTAAATTAACCGATGCATTCAATTCGAATACTGTAGTCAATTCAAATTACGGCGCAATTAGTCAAGAAGATCCAACACAAGACGCATATGATAGATATGTTAGCACAACTCGTTAAAACTTATGACCCAAAATAACAAAGATATAGGCTGGAATTTTCTCACTTTGCAATATTTCCCCTTCCTTTCAAAAAAGCGATAAATATATAGTAGTTGAATAGCAATAATATAACTATGCATTTCTATTTATATTTCAATAAATTAATATTATTTTTTATGTACTTATGTTTTTGTTTGTGCTGGAAGTCAATGAGATTTTTCAAAAAAATTGTGCCAATTTCCAGTTTATTAGGCTAGGCTTAAATGTAACAGTAATTTTAACGAGGATAAAATCAACAAGAATGAAAAAAAAAATAATAATGATAACAAATAAAAAATACCGTTCTTAGCCCAACTTACTCGGCCGCTGCAACTTTCGCCAATTTTGCCTTCTTTTTCAATTTCAACGCATCGTTTCGGTTGCGTTTGAATTGTGTTTTCATACTGTGATAGACTCGTTGGTGTTTTTTCGAGATCATCAATTCGCGCATCTTCAATTCTTGTGTCTGAAAATTAGAATTTCATGTTTCACATTTTAGTTTGAAAGAAGAAAATGATTTCGTAAGAATAGTGACGTCAATCAAAAATAAATGTTCCCTTGTCTCAGTCTCAGAGAAACGTAATTATATGCTCCTAGTTTCTAGCTCAAGACAAACAACACGAAAAATAGGGATTTTCCTAGCTTTCTGTTCTTAGAAGATCAAAAATCAACAAACCTTCTCAACAATATCGTGATACTTTTCTTTGCTCTTCTTATGCATTTGTCCAACTGTTACATGCATTCCCTTCTTTGGTTCAGCTTTCACTTCCTTCTTTCTCTTTGGCAATTCATCAGCGGTTTTTGGAATTGCAGCTTCCAATTCGCTCACATCTGGAAAAAATTATTTAGATGAGAAAAGTTGGATCAAATATTTTTTGGTTCAGAAAAAACTAGTAAAGAAGTATTTGTTGTTTAAAATTGAGAAAACTGTATTTTCAATTATATATTGAAAAAAATTTCTCAAGCATCAGCTCGAAATTCTATGAAATGAACATAAGTTGTTCTCTCACCTAAACTAAACTACAAAAAATAAATATTTAGAAATGAATATTGAAACAAATTTCACGTGTTGAATTCAGATTTTTATTTTCTCATTTGGAAAAAAATCATCCACGTTCCTTATCTGATTTTTATTTTTCATTTTGAAATTTCACCTCAACCCTAACCAGTCAAGAAAACTATACATGAAAGTGAGTTGAATTACAAGGAGGCACCCTTCTGGTAATTTTATGAAATCTTACCTTTACCCATGCTTCTCAACTCCTCCAATCTTTCAAATGGAATATAATCTCCAGCCTTCTCCGAAGTGAAAGGTGAAAAATGTGGTGGAAGTGCAACTCCTGGCATATATCTATCAGTTGGAAGTCTTCTTCTCGCATTCAAACAATCAAATGCCCATTGTGGTTGAATATACAATCTGTTGTTTTCCAATTTGTTCATTGGTCGATCAACAATTTGATGTGTGATGTTTTTGCTTGATTCACTCAATTCAGTCGGTGCTCCTTCCCATCCTACAGTTCCTCCACAACTTCGAATAACAAATGCCAATGCTTCTTTTGGGCATTCTCTGTTCAAATAGAAAACGAATCCTTTGAAAAGTGATTTGATAGTTTTAGCCTCGTGAATTTTCTGTGCCAATGCATCAGAATCTTCACCAAGGAGATCAAGTGGCTCATCATCTTCAACACCATCGAAATCCTTATTCTTTGCGAGTGGCTTGGCCAAACTGTAAATCTTCTCTCGATAATCTTCAGTTTCCATTTCTTCGGCTGACGCAGTTTGTCCAATTTGTGGTGGATAATACAATCCAATTCCTTGGAACAATTTGAAGTTGACAAATCCAAGCATAGCAATGTAGAATTCAACAAATGTGACAAGAACTGTAAAATCAACATCAGTGACATGTGGAAGACCTCTTTCATGTGGAACAATCCAGGTGATTTTCTCGCCACAGATTTCAGCTTGATAATAGATTCCTTTAATGGAAATGAAAGTATTTCGAAGTGCTTGTGATTCAATGATATAATGCATAAATTCAGCAGTCAATCGACGACAATCATTTATCATTCCTTCTTTCAAAACCCGAGTATGTGGCAACATTGCGAATGTGAAACAAAGTGAAAGTGCATCATCCAAATCACGAAGAGCTGATCCAAAAGTTGGGTATCTCTCCTTAACAATTGTATCCAAATTATAAACTGGTTTGTGCTCATACAGTTTCTTGACTTTATCCTCCTCCCGTTTTGCTTTCAAGTGATTCAATTTTCGCAAGAAAATCTTATTCTCGCGGAATTTGTTGATGATTGGTTCGTGTGCGAGAAAATTGATATCTTTACGATAATAGAAGACCTTGTTAGCGGTGGAACCCTTGTTTGCTTGCTTCTTGTGTGCTGGCTCGTGTGGGTAGATACCCTGAAAAATTGATTTTGCTCAAGTTTCTGTGATGGTAATAAGTTTTAAAATTACCTTGATAATACACAACCGACGGAAATCTTTGAGTGTAAGTTGCAACTTCTTCAACGCTTGTTTGCGTGAAATGTATGCAACCGCTGCTCCGGCTGAGTATTTCTGCTTAAAACGATCCTTCATCCTGTAAAAAACCAATTTTTCTAAAACATCAACGCATTCTCTTCAAAACAAAGGTAAATTCCTTCGAAATATTCAAAAGACACAAATAAAAACAACAGTTTTAGGTTGAAAACTTTGGCAAAAAAAGAAAACGAAAAAATAAAAAATGGGGCGGAGCCAAACAACTGCGGCACACATTTAGGCAACACTCGCACACTTTTTCTCCCGCTGAGTATCGACTCGATTATGTATAAGGGATACGGAGAAATAGTGTATTAGAAATTTATTTCATTTTTTCGGCCTTTTTACAAGTTTTTCATAGCTCCTTCAGGTCCGGGGGTCTAGGGCTGTAAATAGTTCACACGACACACCCGTTTGAAAGTAGAAATGTTTGGGTGAAGTACGGTTGGCGAACTGTGCACACACCGCACTGTCACAATGCACAACTTTTTCGCTGAAAAATGATTTTTTTCGTTTTGTGCGTCTTTAACGCGCTCAATTGCTAAGAAAACTGAACACGCAAAACATAGTCGCATAGTTCACGAAAAGACGAATTTTTTGATATAAAAAAGTTCTGCTATCGATACCGGGAAGTTCTCCAAAATGGGCGCACCGATTTTTTATTACATCAAAACCGTAACTGAAAATCTGCTTTTTTCAGAAGCCACTAAGAATCAAGTTACTTATATCTTAACATTCGTTATGAAACGAGCAATTCAATGGTGTATTCACCTTATTTTTACTTGACGAATTACCCTAGTTATTCCAGGAAAACACGTTAATTTTCATACGGTGTTTAAAGGAACATGACTTTTATTTTTTTATTTGGTCTCGCTTGGAAGCTAACTTTTTCCTAGGTAGTTATACGAAGTGAGTAAAACATAGTCGCCTAGATCTCGATGAGCTGATTTTGATGCTATTTTCACGTTTTCATACGTTACCCTAAGGACCGTGTAAATGGGCGCACCAGTTTTTACGCAGCATTTCTACTCTCTCAATGTATTTGAGCGGCTGTGACGAACACACCACACACGCGGCGAGGCAGCAGCGAACACACTTTCACACCAAACACACGAATACACTAGACACCCGAAGACACTATGCACCCGAATACACTGCACACGAACACACTGTTTTTTCTGTGTGTGTTTGGTTGAAAACGCATGCAAAAAAAGTAGTGTATTCGGGTGTAGTGTGTTCGTGTGCATCAGTGTATTCGTGTGCTGTGTATTCGGGTGCAGTGTGTTTTGCCTGTGTGGTGTATTCGTGTGAACACACAAATGTGTTTTTCGGCACACGAACACCACTTTTTTACAGCCCTACGGGGGTCTTTTTCAAAGTTTTGTTGCTGTTTAAAATTATTTCATGTTTTCGTGTCGTTGTTAATCCGTTCATATTGCCCGAATGCTTGTTAATTTATATATATTTCTAGGTAACCTAAGAGATCATGAAGTTGATCGAGTCCAACGACACCGTTGTGTTCCCAGATAATGTGACTTTCACAGTCAAGAACCGCATCGTCCACGTCACCGGACCACGCGGAACCATCCGTAAGGACTTCCGTCATCTTCATATGGAGATGGAACGCGTCGGAAAAAACACCCTCCGTGTTCGCAAATGGTTCGGAGTCCGCAAGGAGCTCGCCGCTATCCGCACCGTCTGCTCACACGTCAAGAACATGATCAAGGGAGTCACCCTTGGATTCCGTTACAAGATGCGTTCAGTTTATGCCCATTTCCCCATCAACGTTACACTTCAAGATGGAAACAGAACTGTTGAAGTGAGTACTTTGATATTTTCTTCTGTGATTTTAAATAATTCTATAATTTCAGATCCGTAATTTCTTGGGAGAAAAGATCATCCGACGTGTGCCACTCCCAGAAGGAGTCACCGCCTCTATCTCTACCGCCCAAAAGGACGAGATCATCGTCGAAGGAAACGACCTCCAATTCGTCTCCCAAGCCGCTGCCCGTATCCAACAATCCACCGCTGTTAAGGAGAAGGATATCCGTAAGTTCCTTGACGGAATCTACGTTTCTGAGAAGACCACCATCGTCGCAACTGATTAAGTTGGTTATCGCAAATGTATTTGTTGATAAATTGTTATGGTTTAAAACTTTATTCTCAAATGCAACTTTACATAATTAAGTACAATTTATCTAGAAACAATGTTCAAGGGTGTCTTGAACGTTCACGTAAACCGCCTTTATTTGCGTGTAAGCGCGAAGTGTGTCAACACAATTTTCTCTTCCATGTCCAGAGTTCTTGAATCCTCCGAACGGAACATTTACTTCGGTATCATTATAAGTGTTGACAAAGACGGTTCCAGCTTGCAATTTAGCAGCAACTCTGTGGCCACGAGCCAAATTTCTAAAATTTTTCAGATAAAGTTTAGAATTTTTGAAAAACCACCAACCCTGAGAAAACACCAGCGGCCAAACCATAGGTTGTATTATTTGCACGAGCAACAACTTCATCTTCGGTCTCAAATGGCAAAATCAACATAACAGCTCCGAAAATCTCTTCACGAACTGCTTTCGATTCATCATTCAATCCAACAATAATTGCGGGATCCAAATAAAATCCATTTTCAACACCAGTTGGATGAACACGAACTCCACCACGAAGAACTTTTCCACCTTCTTGTTTGGCACTTTCGATATATCCAAGGATTCTGTTGAGATGTCCTTCATTGATGTTTGCTCCAACGCGAGTGTCATCAAGAAGTGGATCTCCAACCTGGAATAAGGTAAGGAATGTGGAATTTTTGACATCTCTCGGTAAAAAAAATCCAAATAATATGAACAATTTTTTTAAATAAAAAAAATAACATTTCAAATTCTTACATGAAATTTCACGTGAGAAAATTTTAGATTTTTTTTTAATTCTTATTTCTCAAATAAATTTATTTCCAGATTTTCCGATTCTCACCTTCAATTTCAAATTTGCTTCATTTACCACAGCCTCGGTGAACTTCTCCAAAATCCCGCGTTGAACAAAAACTCTGGTGGCATTTGTGCAGACTTGTCCTTGATTCAAGAAGTTAGCCAACATCGCAGCCGCAACCGCACTTTCCAAGTTCGAATCATCAAAAATGATCAATTCTGATTTTCCACCCAATTCCAAAGTCACTGGTTTCACATTTTTAGTGGAAGATTGACGTTGAACAGCTTGTCCAGAAGCAACCGATCCAGTGAATGATACTTTTGAAATCAATGGATGTTCACAAATCGCAATTCCAGTTTCACCTTCACCTTGAACCACATTATAAACACCATTTGGAAGACCAGCAGAAGTTAGAATTTCACCAAGAAGAACTGGCGAAGCTGGTGCAAATGGACTTGGTTTATAAACAACAGCATTTCCAGCCGCTAAAGCTGGTGCAACTTTCCAAACACAAGTTTGGAAGGGATAATTCCATGCACCAATCAAACCAACAACACCAAATGGTTCACGTGTTGTATAACAAATTCTTTGAGATGGTCCACCTGGTAATTCCAAATTATCTCCTTGTAATGCAGCAGTTGCGATTCCAGCAAAGAAATCAAAAGTATCAGCAGAACTTGCGATATCACATCGAGCCTCGTAAATTGGTTTTCCATTGGTTAGAACTTCTAATCTTGCGATTTCTTCAAGATTTTCACGGATCAATTCAGCGACTTTTCGAAGAATCTTTCCACGTTCAAGAGCAGTTTGAGAACTCCAAGCGGATTGCGAAGCAGCGGCGAGTCGCGCGACTTCATCAACTTGCGACGCGGAAGCGATTGGCGATTTTGCAACAACTTTTCCGATTCTTGGCTCGAGAACATCAAAAGTTCCGGAATTTTCTGTGATTGTGGTTCGTTTTCCATTAATGAAGAAAAGACCACCGCTGATATCACTGGAGAAGATCGGAGAAGGAGACATTCTAAAGTAAGGTAATTTTGATTGAAATTGAGGGGAAAAAGTGAAAAGGTTCATAATTATAGCTCAAAAATCCACGTGTTAAGAGAAACTCCGAATCTTTCAATAAAAAAGCACTCGGAGCACACAAAACTAAACACAACACAAAATAATCAAGTTATCTTATCAATCAACTCGCCCCAAAAAAATAGACAAAAAGGCAGACCTTTGACCAACCAAAACTCAAAAATGTGTTTATCTCGTGTCACACAAAAAATTGGCATTTTTTGAGAGAAAACAAAATGAAATGAAAAGAGAAGAGAAAATCGATAGAATTTGGAAAAAAAAACATTATTTCGTGAGTAGATCAAAAAGCATTATCGTTGTTTTTTGATTCTCCGCTGAGCTTCATCTACAACATGTCGAAGACTATCCGCATCCAATTCATCAAGTAAAACTGAAACTGCTGACATGATTTTTGAAAGACGGTGCTCCTGAAAATTTGAGGGTGATACGTGGATTTTCGGCGGAGAATTTGGAATTAAAAAATTTTAAACACGTGGATTTCCAGTTAGAAGTAACAATTTTTGAAATTCAAGTCTTTGGCGGGAAAATCCACGTGTAATATTTTCAAAATAATTTTTTTGGCATCAAAAAAAGTACCAGATTCCTCAAAATTTCGTAATGGGGTGATTCAGGTCGAAAAAAAAACTAAAAAACAACGTTTTTTTACAAAAAAATTCGATTCAGCAAATGCCCAAAAACTATATTTTTTTCCTATTTTTTGACATTTTTTTTTCATTGAAACATTTTCGCTGCGAGATATCTCATTTTTGTGTGGAAAAAAATATAGTTTTTTGACATTTGCTGAATCGAATTTTTTTGTAAAAAACGTTTTTTTTTAAATTGTTTTTTCGACCTGAATCACCCCATAACATTTGACACGTGGATCACCAATTTCACAGTAATCCTATCCACATTCCCAAATTTCTTACCCTTGCTGGACTCATCGAACTTCCTCTCGATTGTGATTGTTGTGTTCGTCTTCTCGGCATACTAATACTTCTTCCATATCCCGGTCTTCCCTTTTGCCCAATTAATGGTCCAAAATGATCAACTCCTTGATTTTCACAATACATACTTTGATGCATTCTTGATGGAGGCGGGGGAAATTGTCGATCTTCTTCAAAACTAAAATCATTCCATTCATCATCGGCTTCCGAACTTTGTGGTTCTCCTTCTTCGAAAAACGGTCGAGAATACATTGATTGAGACATTTGAAGAATTGGAGTATTTGAAGATGGATTATTCAAATAAACTGTATGGGTTTCCTGGAATAATAATAATAATAAATTGTGAGTCCCAAAATCCACGTGACATACCTCAGTCATTGGAATTCCAGCCACTTCGACAGATATCGATCGATTTATTGATTTCGGTTTTTCCTCATCCGAAGTGTCGCCGAAATGCAAAAATTGAGATGGAAGAATTCGAGTGGGAATAGAAGTTGAGGGAACTGAGAAAAATTGAAATTAAAGGAACTTTTTGAGGAATTTCTGAATCGGATGAATCTTTGATTTTTTTGAGACAGAATTATTTTTTCTCGAAACCCATTAAGCCATCGAAAAACAAAATATCTAGGAAAATATATGAAAATTCTGAAACAGTGAATTTTTGATAATTTTTTTTTCGGAAATTCGGACTATTCTCAAAACTTATTTGGAATTATAGAATTTTTTGAAGATTTTTGGATGAACTGAAAACACTTTGTGACCAAAAAGCAAATAAATCACCGAAAACGTATAACAATTCTGAAACAGTGAATTTTTTATCTTTTTTTTCATTAAAATTATTAATTTACACTATTTTCCAAGCCTAAAATAATTTGAAATCACGGAAAAATTGATCAAAAACCAACCATATAAACTTCTAGTCATCAAATCTTCACTTTGTGATGCTTTTGTTGATCTTGTTGAATACATTGATGTATGCATATCACATTCAGGAACTGTATCATCGATTAGATTTTCCAGAGGATTTTCAGCCAAATCTGATGAGGTTATAGCTGAAAATATGGGAATTTTTGAATAATTACTGTAGATTTGCCACGTCACAACTTTTTTCTCGCTAAATATCTTACGTTTATCATCTAATTTTTCCAATTGCGGCAACATTTTTGCAACTTTTCTTCGATATTCTGCTTGTTTTTTCTCCTCATTTTCCACATCATTTTCTCCATTTCCAATTCCTTTTACACATGGATTTTCATCAATCCACAAAACTTTCAAATTCTTCAAATCTCTCAAATATTCCAACTCATCAAAACTTTCGATTTGATTTTTTCGCAAATAAATTTCTTTCAAATTTTTGCAATTTTTCAGTGGTCTCAATGTTTTGACATCATTTACTGAAAGCGAAAGAATTTCGAGCATTTGCATTTTTTCGCAAATTGAAATGTCATCGATTCCACAACCCCACAAATTTAGTTTTTTCACATTTTCGATTGAGCATTTTGTTCGAATATAAACTGCTGATTCTGTTAATTTTACCATTTTTTGGGGATGGAAATCTGAGAAAGAAATCTGGAAAATTTGGAATTTTCAAGAAAAAAATCTGAATTTTCAAAAATATAAAAAGATTCAAAGAGACATTTGAAAAATTTAATTTTACAAAAAAATCGGAAAATCCACGTGGCACAGGTATTTTGGAAGATTGAGAAGAATTTTTAGTCATTTTGTTGCCACGTGTCAAAAATCATCTCGAAATTTTCAAAAAAAATGCATGAATGAAACTTTGGTGCGAAATTTGACGCCTTTGAATTTTTAATTTTCAAAACAAATGTTAGCATGTGGAAAAAATTTCAAGTGAAACATTTGCTCGAAAAGTTCAAAATTTTTTGTTTTCAAAATATTTTCCAGAAATCCACGTGGTTAAGAATTTCGAAAAGTCATGTGTCAAAAAAATGACAGTTTTAAGATATTTTTGAAAACATGTCGAACTCCCAAGGCAATTCTTGGCTTAAAATTTATTGGGACAAAATTTGAACTAACAAGGGAAGTGTATAAGGTCCCGGAATAAACTTTTGATGAAACATATCGAAATATACCAAAATTTTAACTTCGGATTTGTGATCAGAATGGTCGATTTGGTATATTTCGATATGTTTCATCAAAAATTTATTCCGGGACCTTATACACTTCCCTTGTAAACAAATCTTCCATTTACCAAGAAAATTCAAAAACCACGTGGCAAAGAGTTTTATCGAAATTCAGATGTCAGATTTCTGCCACGCGTCAAAATTCGTCAAAGCTCGAAATATTCAAAAAATGCGGAAAATGTTACAGTCAAGACAATTTTGTAGCTCAAGAAATTCCAAAAACTAAAAAAAAATCGATTGCTCGTGCACCAAAAAATGAGATGATGAAAAGTCCCATTTGGTAAAAGAGCCAAAAAGAAAAGACAATTTGGAATGCACGAGAAATTGAGAAGAGGCTTTTTCTGTTTTCTGGCTCCTCTTCGTTTCAGAGCAAAAAAAGAAAAAAAAAGAAAAGAAGAGCAACAGAAATAAACAACAAAAAAGGAAAAAAGGAATCGATACCGAAAAAAAGTTGAATTTTTAATAGAAATTTTTGACGAACTCCAATTTTCAACGTAGTAGAATTTATGAGTTAACAACAAGAACAAGAAAAAACAAGGAAAAACAACCGAACAGAAATTTAATGATTATCTCCAACAAATCCGCGAGTTTTGAACAATTTGTTGGATTTGCAAGCGACGCGAAGATCGAAACGACGACGGAATCTTTCGACGAATTTCATGTCACGGGCGACTTTTCGAGCTTGGATTACTGCAAAAATAAGGGGATATGGAGAAGAAAAAAAGGATGGAAATTGTTTTTTTTAAAGATAGTAAAAACGTAATTTGTCGAAATTCCCTGAATGGAGTATTTATTTTCGAACTGAATAAACATTTTATGGAATAAAATTGAAAACGTTTATTTAACAAAAAAAAAACTTCGGATCAGAAAATATCAAAAACTAATTTTAATTTTTTTCGAAATCCTCCAACAAAGAATCAAAATAGGAATTTCTCAAAAAAAACACATGAAATCTCTTTGAAACGGTAGAAAAAATGTAATGTTCAAAATCCGTTTTAACCCAAAAATCATTTTATTTTGATGAAAAAACATAGTTTTTAAATCGTAAATTGTTGATCAAATATTTTTACCCGAATAGATCCTCCAAATTTTTCCATCCCTCTCCTCCCTCAAAAATCTCGCCTACCTCCACCTCCAGTAGTTCCAGTCCATGCTAATTGCGGATAAATTCCTCTTGCTTTCTCCAACGCAGCTCTCGATAATATCCTTTGTGTTCCATCGACTGGTCTCAAATATTGTTTGAAATATCGGAAAAGATGTCGATGTCCTAGAGTTGCACCAGATGGAAGTGTCAAAGACCAACCATCATCGATTATTTGATCATTCATTTCGTCGTTTTCGTACATTGAACTGAAATTTTATTTTTTTTATTAAGGGGTTTGAATGTGTTTTGTTTTGGAAAAAATAATATCATAGTTTTGTGTATAAAACTGCAAACAAATATTGAAAATATAAGGCACACTATAATTTAGGAACTACTTGAAACAGTAATTTTTGACGACAAAATTAAATTTCCTATTTTTTTCGAAACTAAATTTTTAAAAATTATACTGAACAAAAACATCACTGTTTCAATAATGTTTTGAATATTTGAAAAGTATATCCTTGAAAACCAGCAATACTTTTAAAAACTAGAGTGAAAAATTAGTGCTTTTCTCAAAAAAAAAAATTAATTGTTCATCTGAAAAAAACACTGTTCTAAGCTTTTTAGAAAATTTTGATCATAAATTTTCAAGGATTTAAATTCTGATAATGAAAAAAAAATTTGATCATAATTCAAGAGATTGTTCTACACATTTTCAGCCCAAATGTCTCCCCCAAAACCAGCTCACCTATAATCATAAAAATCATCCAATTCGATCATACTATTCGGATCTCTTCTCAATTCACAATGTTCTTTGTCTCGCAATACAGAACATTTTTATTGAGACTATGACAAATCTAAAAATTTCATATAAAAATGTTGAAACATTTTCAAATTTAAAATTAATCTTACCATTTCTCAAAACATCCAAATATTCTTCACATGTCATTTGTGTTTTCATAGCTTTACATCTACAAATCACCGCAGCATTCAATTTACACGGCGAACATTTTCCTTCGTGACACAATTCTCGACATCGATGCGGTTTTCCATAATTTCCACATTCTAGCAATTTATCACAAATCGATCCGCAAGTTGGAATCGGATCCAAGCAAGAAGTTCTTTCATTCGATTTCAGCGATTTTTTGCCAAACAGACAATTTTTGATGCGAGAAATGCTTTGAGGACATTCTCCACACCCATTTTTTGAGATATCGTGGCAATTTCTTTCGCATTTGTGATTTTTGCAATCATAGAATCCTTGACATTTTTTGCCGCAATTGTATTTTTCATGTGAATCAGGATTGCAGATGACTTCACGAATTAATTCGCCACAGAAACATTCTGAAAATAAATATGTTCAATTTCAACGTGTCAAATTGAATAAATCATTTCTCAAGCCTACCTTGTTCTACAACTAGCGTACATTCTTCACATTCTCCAGCATGACAAATTTTGGTACAAGTATGACTTCCACATGACAATACTTTTCCACAAACATCTTCACACATAATCGGATTTCCACTTCCACACATCACAGTTTTTGCAAGTTTTCTACAATTACATAATTTTTCCATTTGTTGTTGACATTCTGGATGTGGTCCAGGATGACAATATTCAGCACAAGGATGTGGACATCCAAATTTTCTTGCTCCTCCACAAACATCTCCACAACTATGAGGTGTTTCTCCCAATTGATACGTTGGATTTCGTTGTTTTCCGCAGAAGCAATAATAATTGAATGGCATAACTTCGGTTTTATTTTGACAAGTTGGACATCTCCATTTATTGTCATCTTCTTTGTCTCGACTTGATCTTGCCCAATCAATTATACAACCAGTTGAAATATGAAACATTTGATAGCAAACTTGACATGACCATAAACCTTTCGTTGTGATTTATTGGAAACAAATTGGACAATCATACTTATTATTTTCTTATTGATAAATAAGCGATTTAGAAATTTCTCTGAAAACAAGAATTCAGCTTTTTAAAACCTCCAAGAAAAGTACTCACCTTAAGGTGCGCTTCCCTTTACGTCGCCTGAACAAAAGACCCGTTGTGAAATTTGCTGGCGAGGAGAGAAAACGCGCTCTATTGCAACGCGCTCACCTCTTCGTGGCAGCCCTTTTGTGTGTATTAAAAAAATTTCGTCGCTGCCCTCATTGCATCACCTTTCTTTTTCGCTTGTTTCCTCTTTGTCTCTGACCCTTTTCTCTATTTCTTTTTCTTTTTTTTTCACAACGGGTGTTCGGGTACTCAGGAAGAAGGATGTAGACTAGCAGCGCAGTAAAATGCGAAAATGCGGGATTCCGCTATCGGACAGCGAGTCGCATGAAAAAGTGCTAGGTAGCAGCGCGGTTAAATGAAATTTGCGATTTTCTTGCGAAGTATAGTCAGGTAGCAGCGCTGTTTTTCAAAAATGCTATGTAGCAGCGAACATATGACCACTAGCAGCAGAGTTTTTGCGATGTAGCAGCGGATATAGCGCAGCTTGCTGCCAAGTAGCACGCTACCTCGCATCCTTCTTCCTGAGTAAAGGAAAGCGCACCGTGTACAGAACAGCAACGGCGTAGCTACGGATTCAAAAATAATATTTATAGAGCGGTCACTTCACTTAATTTCTGTCCGCGAATTGTGTAGCTACAGCGTAGATACGCTGTACCTACGTTTTCGTCTCTGATTGTGTGACGCTTGGCAGCTCTCGTCAGAATTTAAGGTGTGCGTAATAACGATTTATCATCTGCGTAGCTACGAATTTGATTTTTTTCGTAGCTACGCTGAAGATAAAATGAACCTACGATTTTCGGGAAAAAAAGTGTAGGTACAGCGTTCATTCGCTGTATTCACACTTCTTCAATTTGTACAGTCAGTCTACAGAGTCAAGTGCTGAGCAGTATACCAATGTGTGTGGCCAATATCTTTTTTTTTGTTTTCTTTCTTCTCACTTTTCACTCATGTTCTTTTTCTGTTCCTCTATAATTTTCCTTCCAATGGGTTTTTTTTCAGGTAATTAAAAATTTCATCGTCGCCATTTTCCCCGGACTCAACAATTGTGAGTTTTATTTTAAGCTAGTTGATCTTTAATAACGACATATGTTCGTTTTTACAGAGGTCCGAAACTTCGGAATTGTTGATGAGAAATGACCGATTGGAGTCTCAAATGAAACGAATTTCAAACAGTTTGAATTTGGCAACTCTCAAGATCACAAAAAGAGATGAAACTATTGAATTGATGAAACTTGAGCTCGAGATGGAGAGAAAAACATTGGCTGAGAAAGACACCGAGTTTGAAGAATTGAAGAGATCTCATATCGAAATGCTCAAGACGTTTGAACATACGAAGATGATTCTCAAAGAAGCACAATCGAATGTATTGAACCTTGTCCAAGAAAACGAAATCAAATGTCAAATGTTGACCGATATGAAGACAAAAAAAGAGCGAAAATCAATGGAGCTCTCTGCTGTTCAAAGAGAAATTCGTCAAAAACAGGACAAGTATGATCTGTTGATTGGAACAGTTAACGAGAGTTTCGCCGAATTCAGCAAAAACTCAAATCAGGAGGTAAGCAAATTTTCATACAAAAAAACAAGTTACCAGTAAAATTGTTTATTACAGGCCTACTCGAAGCTCAAGAACATCTTCGGCGAATTTTGCGCCTCTTCCGGCCTGAACATCGAATTTTCAATTTGAAAAATATAAGTTTTCCTTTTTTGCCAATTCTTTATTTTCTTTTTGTTTTTTATACATAAATCTTTGGCATGAGAGACTTACACAGCAAATGTTTTTATTCAAAATTTTTTCTGCTAAAAAATCATGACGTTTTTTCGAATTCGACTTTGGGAAAAAACAAAACTCTCAAAAGACATGAACAAAGCATTGGAACAAATCAGCGATCAATTATTGCATTGGAGCGAATTTGTTCGACACAAATGGAAAAAAAGTTGAATTTTTAATAGAAATTTTTGACGAACTCCAATTTTCAACGTAGTAGAATTTATGAGTTAACAACAAGAACAAGAAAAAACAAGGAAAAACAACCGAACAGAAATTTAATGATTATCTCCAACAAATCCACGAGTTTTGAACAATTTGTTGGATTTGCAAGCGACGCGAAGATCGAAACGACGACGGAATCTTTCGACGAATTTCATGTCACGAGCGACTTTTCGAGCTTGGATCACTGCAAAAATAGGGGATTTTAGGAAAGAAATAAAGGTTGGAAATAGTTCATTTTAATTTTTAAAAATAGTTAAAATATAGTTTGTTGAAATTTTCCGATTGAAAAAAAGAGGTCAAGTACTCAATCTTTATTCATACTTTTTAGATGTTAAATTTTTTTTTAGAAATTCGAAAATTTGAAGTAAATCAACCCTGCTCTCCCCCTTCCCTCAAAAATCAATCCTACCTCCACCTCCAGTAGTTCCAGTCCATGCCAATTGTGGATAAATTCCTCTTGCTTTCTCCAATGCAGCTTTCGATAATATCCTTTGTGTTCCATCAACTGGTCTCAAATATTGTTTGAAATATCGGAAAAGATGTCGATGTCCTAGAGTTGCACCAGATGGAAGTGTCAAAGACCAACCATCATCGATTATTTGATCATTCATTTCGTCGTTTTCGTACATTGAACTGAAATTTCATTTTTTGTTGGAAAATTGCATTGCACGATTCAGAAAAAATCCGGATATTTGATGAAAAAATTGAAACCAAAAAATCAAAAAAAAATCATTGTTTCAAAATTTTCATAAATGTTGGATCACAAATTTTCATGTGATTTCGCAGAAAATTTTTTGGGGAAAAAAACGTTGTTAATTCACATTTTCAAACCTTTCTCCCCAATTTCCTCACCTATAATCATAAAAATCATCCAATTCAATCATACTATTCGGATCTCTTCTCAATTTACAATGTTCTTTGTCTCGCATATGTTTTTGGCAACTTTCCACATTTGCAAATCGAGCTTTTCGATCCGGACAATAAATACAACAACGACCAGCACCAACTTTGAGACCTACAAAAACAAATATAATTTTTTTTGTTTCGTAAAACTTTTCACTGTTTCAACATTTGATTAAAAATCTGAATTTTTATATTTTTTGATGCGCAAATAAAGTTTTAGGACAACAAAAATTCAAAATTTATGATCCGAAATTTCAGATTTTTTAATGAACATTTTTTTTAAATTTTTATGTTGTTTAAAAAATGTTCACTGTTTCGAAAATTGGTGAAAATGAAAATTTCTTTCGATGACTCACTGAGTTGATTCAATTTGCAAAACAACTTTTTAAACTTCTCCGGCGAAAAAAAAAACCAAAAATTCAAAAATTTTCACTGTTTCAAAAAATCCAGTAATTGTAAATTTTCTAGAATTTCCGGCTGCTAAATTTTACGAGAAAAACTAGAAGAAAAATCAGTGGGTCGATTTGTCTAGCAAATTTTCCGAACATTTTGTGACACAATTTTATTTTTGACAATTTGAAATAAAAAGTGACCGAAAATTGAGCGAAAAAATATGCATTTTCTTATTACTATTTTGTAGGAGCTCAAAATGTGAATTTTTCTCGAATTTTCCATCAAAAAACACAGTAATTTCTCTCCCACTCCCTACAAAAACCAACCCAAATACTCCAAACATCCTTGTTCATCAATCAAATATTTCTCATCGGGCAACACAAATCCATGATGAAATCTCATATGTTCTCTGATTTCTTCTAATTTATTCTTTGTCTGTGGACAGAACAAACAACTTGTGACCGGCAAAGCTTCTTCTTCATTCAATTCCAAATCTTCTTGATCTTGATCTTCATCAGTTTCCCATCCAGAACTATCCGAATCTGAATCTTCTTCCTCTTCTGTTGCTGCTTCCGCTTCTTTCAGTTCCACTTCAACTTTCTCCACTTTTTTCCTTGGTTGTTTCGGCCCTTTTTTCTCTCCATTTTCCAAACTTTTGACCATTTCTTTGTGTTTTTTGCTTGCCAAATGATCTGTCATCGCATTTTCGGATTTGATTTGTTTTTTGCATGGTTTGCAGTAGAGCGTACTTGCTGGCACTTGGGGTACTGTAGATTTTTGTGTTGTCGAGTTTTGAAAATTCGCAACTTTTTCGGTGAATAATTCGAGAGGAATTGCAGAAAGATCAGCTGTCTGAAAATAGGATATTCTCAATAAAACTTTACATTGAGTTCAATGAATAAGACAATCAAAACATCGGTTGAGATTTTTAATTTTTGCAATTTTTGAAACAGTGAAATTTTGGGAATTTTATTTTATTTTCCGAAAAACACGAATCACCCCAAAAATAAAAGAAAAATTTCTATTACTTTTGAAACGTATATTTTCGTGGCTCCAATAAAATCCACTTACCAATCTTTTCAAATTATATCGATGCCATTCAGATTTATAATGTTCTCTTTGCAATTCGGGATTCTCGAAAACCACTCTGCATGTAACACAAGTTAACCCATTGGAACCATCCATCTGCAAAAATAGACAAATTTGGAGGAAAAATGATGATAAAAGTCACATTGCATGTCGGAAAAAATCAATAATTATTTTATGATGATTGAAAATTCTCACTGTTTCAAAAATTTGATTTTTTGAAATGGATCCTAAAATTTCTATTGAAGCCAGGCTGTTGAAGAAAAAAAAATGAAGTAATCAAAATTTTATAACGAGAATCTGTCACAAACCAACAGGTTTCTGTAAATTTGATTAGAGCAATTTTCTGAAACAGTGAATTTTTTCAAAGAAAAAATTGTTATGTACTTTTTTTACAAGAAAATTGACTGTTTCAAAACATTACTTTTATGTGAAATTTCAGTAAATCTTCTAGAAGTTGAATTTTGAGATCGAATAATACAAAACTTTTGGAACTATCTATCAAAATTTTCAGAAACATTAAACTCTTGAAACAGTGGAATTTTCCAAGAAAAATTTTAACAACAAATATACTGAAAATAGATATAAAATGGTATTTCTCAACCAAATGACTTCAAAAAATTCTACGAAAAACCCTACAAAAATTACTTTATTTACTCAAAAAACAAAAAGAATTACTCTACATATTTATTTTCATGTATTTGTCTGTCTCATTTCTATTTCGAAATCTCTTTCGCTTTTGGCAATTCAGTTTGAATCGCCGCAATTTCCGCATCCCAAGCCTTTTCAATTTTCGCCCAATGCGTCAACAATTCTTTTTTGCGTTGTTCACGTGTATTGAAATAATATGGGAATTGTTCTTTTTCGGCCAATGTCCATTGATCCGAATCAACAATTTCATCAGGAGATTCGCGTTCTCTGTCAAAACTGCTACCTCCGGGATCCAATGCAAAACGGAATGGTTTGAAGTGTCGTTTCTCCCAAAGTTGGCGACATCCATCAGCCAAAAGAATTTGCGATTTTCGCGTGTCGATTTCTTGCGAATTTGCGTCGAAACGAGCGCGAATAATGCATTTTTGGAAACGAACTTCGAGATTATCACCACCATACCAATTATCAACTTCACGAAGACAACGTTTGTAAAGGCGGCAAACCTGAAATAATATATTTAGTTTTTGAGGAATCTCCACATTGCTTCTATTAAATTCCAGTTTCCACTTGCAAAAATCATATAAATTTTGAAACAGTGATTTTTTTCCTTGAAAACTACGTGTAATTTTTGGTGCAAAAATAGGTAAAACTAATTTTTAAATAAAGGGCTTCCTGTATTTCGATAATTTCAATTTGGAAATAAATTTTTCCATTTATAATTATGAAAAATAATTTTTAATCAAATACCAGTGAAAATTCTAAACTTTCGGTATTTTTTGTATGAAATGGCACAAAATTTCACAATTTTTCCCGCCAAACTTCAAAAACCAACCTTTTGTCGATGACTCAACGCCTTGGTGAACATCCAAGCCGGCGAATCCATGAGTCGCTTTTTGATTTAAACCTGAAAAATATATTTGAAGAGCTGGAAAAAATCTAGAATTATGAGATATTGAATCTGGATTCAAAAGAAAACCAGTGAAAATCTGAAAAAAAATGAATAAATACGATAAATTTCATAACAGACAACAACAAATGGAGAAAAAAAGGGGAAATTGAAAATTTGAATTTCGGTTTTTAAAAAAATCAGTGAAAATGTGGAAAAGGAACAAAGGGAGATAACAGGTCAACAAAAATAATAATTAAAATTTGGAGAAAAATGGGGAATTTGAAAATTCAGATGAAGATAAGGACTTCAGTGGAAAATTCTAAAATCCTTAAAAACGCCAGAATTGCCCCAAATCCACCCAGAATTTAAGCCTTAACACGTTGTCTTGGCTCAGTTTCTTCTTCATATTCAATTTCGACATGAGCTCGTTTCTTCTTCAATTTCTTGACTGGTTTCTTTGGTTCAACCTTCTTCTTTTTCACAACTTTCTTCGCCTTTTTCTTTGGTGGTTCTTCTTCCATTTCTTCATCTGAATCCTCTCCTTCATCACTCGATTCTTCTTGTTCTTGTTGCCATTCTTCTTCATTTTCCGAATCAGTATCTGGTGGTGTAAAATGTCCATCTTCAATATCTTCAGCTTCATCTTCTGAATCATCGAAATCAGCAACATATTGTGTTTTTCCGACATCTTCATCATCTCTTTCAGTTTCTTCTTCAATTTCCAATTCTTTTTCTTGTTCTGTGTTATCCAACATTTGTTCGAAGGCTTCTTGTCGGAAATTGTAGACATCTCCGTAAGTTCCTTGTCTGTAACAAAATTCCGGTTTTTAGAGGTTTGTTTTGGGAACAAACAAAAGGGCATTTTTGATTTTTTTTTTCCTTGATGCCATGAAAAATTAAGACCGAGAAAAATACGTTTTAAAAGATAACCTTAGCTTTCTTCCTTATAAAGAACATTAATATCAATAACTTTTAAGCTTATTCAAATTTAAAAATTTCAGATTTTCAGCAAGACAAATGAGGGACAACAAATCATGTAAAACCAAAAATTTTCCGCTCAAACTCACTTCAATCTGGCCAACAATTCTTTTTCAATAGCATGATCCAATTTTGCAGCAACCAATGCTTTTTCCTCTCTTCTTTTCTCTCTTCTCTCAACTTTTCTTCCAATTGGTATCAATTTCTTCTGATTTCCTCGAACTGCCATTTTTCTCATTCGAATCAAATATTGATGAATTCGAACAAGTCGAGCTTTGCATTTGTGTCGAACAAATTCGCTCCAATGCAATAATTGATCGCTGATTTGTTCCAATGCTTTGTTCATGTCTTTTGAGAGTTTTGTTTTTTCCCAAAGTCGACGAGGATAATGAGAACGTTCGATTACTTTGGCATAAAGATAGCAGACACCTGCAAAATTTGAGAGATTTATGAAAGAAAAATGTTTAAATTGGGATAATTTTGAAGTATTTACTGTATTTTTTGAACAAAAATGAAACATAAAGTTCCCAAAATCTCACTGTTTCAATAATTTCAAATTTGGAATAAGTTTGAGTATTTTCGTGTGAAGATAATGTCAGTCCGAAATTTTGTGAACCTTGGAAGAGAACCGATATGGCCTAGAAAACCAAATATTTCCTCTATCGGTACAAAAGATCAAAGCAGCCGCGAAGACTACTGTAGTTTGGTTTTCTCTTCCACGGTTCTTATATTTTCGGATTGACAATATGAGCCAGGTACTAAAAATGCCTTTTAATTCTCGAAAGCTCACAGTTTCAAAATTTTCAAAAATGAAAAATTGTGTTTTTATTTTTTTACTATGAAACAAGTAATTCAAAATCAGAAATAAACCAATTTTCAGCCTGGCAATGACCGAAAATCTGAATAAAATTCAACAATTCCAAATTTTCTGCTAATACAAAAATTTGCGCACTGTCCATCAAAAAAATGAGATAACGGTTTTTATTTCCAAAATGTTTGAAACAGTGAGATTTTAAAAGTGTGAAAATTCAAAAATTGGGTGAGTTTGGATGTTTCAGAGGAAAATTATCATAAAAAATTGCAATTCAAAAAGTCCCAAACTCCATTGTTTCAAAAATTTCGAAAATAAAATTATAACAATTTTAGCCTTGTTCATTTGAAAAATACCCAATTTTTACACCAACTCCCAAAAAACCCACCATTTTCCTCTCGAACAGTTGCATATTGTGAATTTGACAATGGACAAGAAGCTCGATTACACATACCAGTCAAATTCCACTCATTACGACAAAACATTTTCGGTTTTGACCTGAAAGAAATTGGGAATTTTTGGGATGAAAATCTGCGTTGAGATCTTTCTTGAAAACAAAAATTTTCAGAAAAAATCATTTTTCCAAAACTCAACAAGGTTTAGAGGCTATTTTTATTTTGTTTTAAATTATGATAAATTTCACTTTTTGTGTTAAAATTATCGATTTTCATGATTTTTACACTTAAAAATCCCTAATTTTTCACGAAGTTCCCAATTTGTTCGAAAAATTCCTCACCATGCTTTAAACGAGCACTGCCCTTTGTGCAAAATATTCCAAGTCACATCATCGCACTGCATTTTGCCCAATTCCTAGAAAACACACAAATTTAGCTGATCTGAAGCTAAAATCACGAAAAAGAAAATATAAAGCTGGCAAATAAAACCAGTTAAGATCAAACTTAAATAAAAAACCGTCAAAAAATTCATTAAACCGTTCAACAAAAAAGAAAACACCGTATACAATTTGAAAAAAAAAATGATATTTTTACACAACAAGATCTTCCCAAGTTCCCTCTTCTTCAGGTTTTTGTGTCGAATCTTCGGGATTTTCAGCTGGCAAATCAAGAGAATCAGGAGTTATCTCAACTTCTTTTTCAATTTCCACAACATATTCTTTGGGCTCCACTCTTTTCCAACCATCTTCTTCTTTTTCAGACATTTCTTTTTCTTTTTCAGTCTCTTCATTCCACCAATCTTTTTCCGGAGCAACATTTTTCGAACTCGTTGGTTTTTGCTCATCGTTTTCATCTTCATCATCACTTCCAAGTAGAGAAAACATGTTTTTCTGAGAAACCGGGACAGATGGGGCGATTTGCTGAAAATTGAGAACCTATTTTTATTTTTCGAAAATTATGATAAAGTTCGAGATTTTTTAGTTCAAAATTAGCGAATTTTCACGATTTTCACATCAAAATTATCATTTTTTTTTCAATAGAAAAATTTACAATTTTTTCTCAAAAACCATAATTTTCAGCACAAAAATGCACTAACCTTAATCGGTCGACTTTCTCTTTTATAAACCATTCTTTCAGTAGTTTTCAATGTTGTCATTCCTTTTTCATCTCCTCCATTATTTCCACTATTTAATTCTCTTCTAACTTCATCCATCAATTCTTTCCTGATTACTGTATTTCCAGGTGTTTTCAATGCTCCTTTATAATTCACCAATTCGCTAATATAAACCAATGGTTGATGTGATTTTCCACGTGTCGCTGTTAGAACAACTGATCTTTTTGGTGGTTGATCAACACTTTCTGATTGAATATTGAAATAATGAGCGTATTCATGAATGAATCGACGTTTTTCAACGCTGAGAGGTGGAGTATGTGAACAAACATTGTTATGAGGATTTGTGGCATCACTCAATTGCTCAAACATTCCATCAAAAACCTTCTCAACGGTTTTAACAAAATCCAAATGTGTTCTAACCATATCTTTCAAATAACATGGGAATGTAATAATTGGTGTTAGATTTGTTTCGCCTTGTTCATCAACTTCAATTGCTAATGCTTCAGCCACTTTTCGATTTCTTTCCAATTTTTTGCATTCTTCATCGCATTTTATACAATTTAATTGTGTCATACTATCAGATCTCTTCAAATTGCTCTTCTTCTCCTCAATATTTTCTTTCTTCTCATTTTCCTCCGTTTTTTCTGCACTTTCCTTTTCCTTATTCATAATTTTATCAACATTCCAACAATTCATCTCATTTTTAATTCGTCCACATTCACATGTTACTTTTACCATAGTTTGACAAGCTGAAGGAGGACAATCAGTTTTTCCATGACAAGGAAGACCACAAATATGTTCACAACCATTTCGAAGAATTTCACATTTTTTGATGCATTTTTCTGATGGTTTTTCACATTCATCTCCATGACATCTTCTCATACAAACATGATTTCCACAAGCCAAAGGTTTTCCACAAATAACTCCACATGAAAAACTTTGAATATGACAAGCAATTGTTTTTCGTTGCTCATGTTGACCATAACACCATTTTGTGGTTAATTCAGTGCAAGGAGGACAATTTGTATAAGGATGACATCTGGAAACGTGGGTTTAAGAAGCTTATTTACTTTTAAGTACCCCGTTGTCCCTTTCAAAGTCAAAAATAACTCACTTATGCTTAACACTATGTTCACAAACTTGCTCTCTCGCACAAACTTCCAAACACTCTGGCGGTTTTGCTCCACAAGCAACCGGTGCCATTTGCACAGTTTTTCCACAATGACAATATTTATCCTCAAAATCGGCTCGCAAACACGGTGCACATTGTCCAGCGTGACAAATCAAATCGCAAGAATGAGTTCCACAACCAAGTCTTTTATTGCATATTTGCATACAAATGTGCTCTTCTTGTGTGCAACAATTCTCTTGGCATTTGTGGATTAGGCATGATTTTCGTTTTTTGCATCGTTTTGTACACAAATATTCTCCGCCTGAAAATTTTGAAATTATGAAAAACTGAATTTTCCATAAATATAAAAATGTTGAAACAGTGAACATTTTTGAAATGAGCAATGATTTTCCAGAAAATCTTACCATTTCTCAAAACCTCTAAATATTCTTCACATGTCATTTGTGTTTTCATAGCTTTACATCTACAAATCACAGCCGTATTCAATTTACACGGCGGACATTTTCCTTCGTGACACAATTCTCGACATCTATGTGGTTTTCCATAATTTCCACATTCTAGCAATTTATCACAAATCGATCCGCAAGTTGGAATCGCATCCAAACAAGACGTTCTTTCATTGGATTTCAACGATTTTTTGCCACAGGGACAATTTTTGATGCGAGAAATACTTTGGGGACATTCACCACAGCCATTTTTGGAGATATCGTGGCAATTTCTTTCGCATTTGTGATTTTTGCAATCATAGAATCCTTGACATTTCTTGCCGCAATTGTATTTTTCGTGTGAATCTGGATTGCAGATGACTTCACGAAGTGATTCGCCACAGAAACATTCTGAAAGAAAATATTTTGTATTTTGACGTGAACTATGACGTGGCAAGTTAAAACAATCATTTTCAATTTGAAAAACCCAATGCTTTTCTTGTAGCTTACCTTGTTCGACAACTAGCGTACATTCTTCACATTCTCCAGCATGACAAATCTTAGTACAAGTATGAGTTCCACATGACAATACTTTTCCACAAACATCCTCACACATTATCGGATTCCCACTTCCACACATCACAGTTTTTGCAAGTTTTCCGCAATTACATAATTTTTCCATTTGTTGTTGACATTCTGGATGTGGTCCAGGATGACAATATTCAGCACAAGGATGTGGACATCCAAATTTTCTTGCTCCTCCACAAACATCTCCACAACTATGCGGTGTTTCTCCCAATTGATATGTTGGATTACGTTGTTTTCCGCAGAAGCAATAATAATTGAAAGGCATGACTTCGGTTTTATTTTGACAAGTTGGACATCTCCATTTATTGTCATCTTCTTTGTCTCGACTTGATCTTGCCCAATCAATTATACAACCAGTTGAAATATGAAACATTTGATAGCAAACTTGACATGACCATAAACCTTGTTTCGTTATGATTTTGTGGAAACAAATTGGACAATCATACTTATTATTTTCTAATTGATAAATAAGAGTTTCTCGCATATTACTTCCTTGTGGTAAATTTGGAACTCTTCCTCCTCGTCCCCTTCCGCGGCCTCTCCCACCTCTTCCGCGTTGATGTGGATTCGGATTTTGATTCGCTCTTGGAACTGGATTCTCATTAGAAGTAGATGGTCCGGGGACAAATGCAGGAGCATTTGGGTTGAAACTGAAACCTTGCGGGTTTCCTGAAAACAAGAATTCAGTTTTAACAAAACCTTCGAGAAAAGTGCTCACCTTGTCCGCCTCTTCCACGTCGATTTCCTCTTGGATTCGCTTTTTTGGGCTCTTCTCCATCTTTTACTTCCCCAGCTTGATTATTAGGTTTTCTTCTAGGGACCCGGCGTTTTCCGCCTCTCCCGCGACTGTTTCCAGCAGTGCTTGTTGTTGCTTCACCACTGTCGGCCATAACACCCTGATCTTCAAAAAAATCAATATTTATGAATGAGGCATTTTGGTCTTTTATATAGGCGACTTGTATTTTGATCGATTAAACAAGACATTGACAACGAGAAACGCAAAATTGGGCAATATTGTGCAATCGAAAAGATGCGAAAAAAACAAAAAGAAAAAGTCAAGGCACATGCACTGCCTCTGCTTGGATCCTTGTGGCGAACAAACACAGCCCACTGAGTGTTACCGTATACCAATGTGTAGGCCCTTCTCTTTTTTGTTTTCTTTCTTCTCACTTTTCACTTCTGTTCTTTTTCTTCAGTTTTTTCGTGGAGAAGTCCACTAATCTCCCATTTCCCAGTGTAAATTCGGTTTTTCTAGGTAAACATGGGTCGCATGCACAATCCAGGAAAGGGTATGGCGAAATCCGCCATCCCATACCGTCGCTCGGTTCCATCATGGCAAAAACTCACCGCCGAAGATGTCCAAGACCACATCGTCAAGCTTGCCAAGAAGGTTTGCGAAAGATCAGAGGAGTTATTCAGTGCGATTCTGATAACTACCATACGATCACAATAACTGGATTCATGCAGAATTCCTTGGTATAGGGAGTCAGGGTTGGAATACCTGCATGAGTTCAGAAGGGCCGTTTATCGTACCTAAAAGTGCGCCACTCGGTTACCTTTTACTTGCATATGACAAGATTAAACGTCTGATTTTGCAGGGTCTCCGTCCATCCCAAATCGGTGTTATCCTCAGGGATTCCCACGGAGTTGGACAAGTCCGCCGTCTTGCCGGAAACAAGATCTTCCGTATCTTGAAATCCAAGGTTGGTTTTTGGGACAGTTAGAATACGCTCCTTAAAAGCACTGGTTATCGGATCCAATCTTATCCATGCCAGCCGTCAAATGAGAGCAATATGAAACATCTTGTTTTTGGGTGAGGTGCGACTAAATCAGGTCGTGTCTCAATAACACGATGACAATCCAACCAATTTTCCCTTTCCCCCAACTTTATCTAACCAATTTTTTCCAGGGAATGGCTCCAGAGCTCCCAGAAGATTTGTACCACTTGGTCAAGAAAGCCGTCGCCATCCGCAAGCATCTTGAGAGATCTCGCAAAGATATCGACAGCAAATACCGTCTCATTTTGGTCGAATCACGTATCCACCGTTTGGCCAGATACTACAAAACCAAGAAACAACTCCCACCAACCTGGAAGTACGAGTCAGCCACCGCTGCTTCCCTCGTCTCATAAGTTGTTTTCTTTTTTCCCATTGTTAATAAACAATTGTTATGAAAACTAAAACACGTGTTTTTCTCATCGGCTAGGCTTTGCCTCCACTGATTTATCGATCGATTCGTTCTAAAAACCGGTTTTCTCCCTCAATTGGATTCAGCGTGCCTGCTATTACAAATTTGACCTTTTCAAAAACGTAGACTTTTATTTATTTATTCATCATTTTTTGTTTATTTACATTCCTCATCATCAATGAGCAATTGCGTTATTTTCCAATTGGCTCAAAAAAGATACAATTGCTTGCTTCTCATTTGCAAAGTTCATTCCTATTTCGCAACCAATTCTCTTTTTCTTTATGCCGATAAAGCAAAAGCATCCTCAATATTTGCATTGCTTGTTTCTTCTTATCAGACAAAAAACTATCGATTTTGTTTAAAAAAACGCCAATTTCGAGTTGATCTTGATGTGTTTAGTTTTTCAAAATAAAAAGAAAGGAAGTAAATCCTTCAATTTTTTTGCTTGGTCAAATAGTTTTCCCCCTAAATATTTTCCTTATATTTGTTTAACAAAACTCTTCCTACCCCACCTTTTCTCATTTTTATATTATTTTGCTTACAAAAGCAACAATATCTAATAATAATGGGATTTTTTCAAAAAACCATTTGCAGAATGCGAGATTTTGAAAGGACCGGCGATCAGAGAGGTGAGAGGATTTTTGGGGTTGGAATCTTCGGGAAAAAAACTTGAAAATTGAAAAGAGAAGCGGATTTCAGAGAAAGTTGAGAATATAATTTTCACAAAAATTCACTTTTCACGCGAAGTTTCCAAATTTTTCTGATATCTTAGCCCGAAAGATCCAGAAATTACTTACTTCCGAATTCGAGAAACCTCACGATTTATTTTGCAAAAAAAAAATTGAAAATAAAATCTTTTGCTAAATACTTTCACGTCAAAAAATTTAAAAACAATCTACGTGTTCTGACTTTTTTGCCAATATTCGAATTTTTCCATCATTTCTCAATTGAAATTCGTCAGAAAATAGGAATTCAACAAATTTTCTGTGAGTTAAAAAAAATCCAGCAAAGAAATTTTTCACTTCAAAGTTTCAAAGTCCACGTGGTTTCCTAATTTTTCCCTAAAAAAATCCCCATTTTTTGCAGGTTTCAATTATTTCGAAAATCCACTCGATGATGTTTATGAAATATCCCAACAAAATGCACAAATTTCTCCAAATTTTAACACAAATCACAATAATCAACAACGACGGCAGCAGCAACAAAATCATCATTTTAACAATGTTAGTTGAGATTTTTGGGACACGCATTCTCAGAAACAACCAAATTTGATGATTTTTTTGTTCACACAAAAAAAAAAATTTGGATCACGCGAAAAAAGTTTTTTTTCGATTTTTGTTTTTTTTAACCAATTAAGCCCTAAATTTCTGGGATTTCAGTTTGTGGTTAGTATTGCCACGTATATGACAAAAGATACGTGGCAAGATTTTTATCAGGTTGAAAAAAAAACAAAAATCGAAAAAAAAATCTTTTTCGCGTGATCCAAAATTTTTTTTGATGTGAACAAAAAAAAATCATCAAATTTGGTTGTTTGGGAGAATAGTACTATTTTTGGGGGAGGAACAAAATTCGCAAAAAAATTTCACTGTTTCAAACCTATTTCATTTAAAAAAAAGCGCCAACAATTTTTTCTCGTTCTGAACGAAGTAGCATCGAAACATTTTTTCGAAAGAAAATTATCGAAATTTTGAAACAGTGAATTAAAATTTTTTCTTCACAAAAATCATCTGAAATAAATTGATAACGTGGATTTTTTGAGTTTAAATTTTTGACTGTTTCAAAAATTTCATTTTGAAAATATTGTGTAACAAAAAGAATATTCTCATTTTTTTTGCAGAACTCTGATGATTTACTAATCGATACGTATGATATTCTACCAGATTTCAACCCTCAAATATCATCGAGTCAACCCGGTTCTTCCGAATCGGTTTTGGTTGATTTACGAGAAGATGATGATATTCAAGAGGCTAGAAATACTGCGGCGAGAAATAAAAGTCCCACATCAAATTATGTGATAACAATTTTGAAAACTCGAATTGGCGGATTGAAATTCGATAGAAGAGATGGAAAATTAATGGGACCACGACATGTTTTATTGGAACCTGGATTATTATTGAAAACAATAAAGGAAAATGATTGGAAGATGGAAATTATTTGGAAGTTAGAAAAACCTGGAATGTTTGCGCCAATGGAGGTAGGTAGAGATTTTTGGGAGGATGTGGGAGAAGATCTCAAAAAACATTTTTGAAACAGTAGAGTTTTTCATTGTCGTGAAAAAGAACGAAAGTGAAGTTTATTGAGATTATTTTGAAATTGCCAGTTTTTTGTCCTATTATAATTTCAGTGTAATATTTACTGTAACCAAATTCTTGAATTGAAACATTTTTGAAACAGTGAAATTTTTATGAACCAAAAATTCAAAACTTTGCATTATATTAATTCCAGAAGTTTCAAGTTCACCTAATCAAAACATGAAATTTAGAAAAAAGTATTTCGAAATCATCTGAAACAGTGACATTTTCTGATGCCACGTGGATTTGTTGTTGTGTTATGGTTAATTATTACTTAAATTTTTAAAATAAGAAATTCTTTCCAAAAAACTTGAAACAGTGAAGTTTTTGTAGATTTTCATTATAACAAAACTTGACCAAAAAATAAATGAAATTTTCAATTTTTTGCAGGGTTTGGACGACAATACAATTTGTGCCAAAGTTTCGAGTTCAGATGTGATGAATGTGACACAAGAACAAGCACTGTATGTTTATTTTTCTTTAATGATTTCTGAAAATTTGAATTTTTCTAGTTTTCCGCCAAATTATTTTGATTCTTACAGCCAGCTCTTATCACTTTGCCCCGCTGAACGTCTTGAATTATACAATGATTTTGAGAGATTGGAATTTATCACAAGACTAAAAGTTGGAGATCCAGTTGTCGTGAAATTGGTGAGTTTGATTTTATTTTTGAAAAAAACAATAGGCTTGAAAAAAATTTAAACAAATTTCCTATTAACTAAAATTTCTATTGAAATTTCAACGGAAAAATTAATTATAAAGTTATACTGTTTCAAAAATATTGTTTTTGGATAACTTTTTCGGAATTTGTTGATCTAATTGTTCACGTTAAATTTTGTACTGAAGCGAAGTTTGACTACTATAAATTTTTACTCCATTTTTTCCAGAATCCACGCATACATAAAATGGGTCCCCAGAATCGGGGTGAGGGGCTTAACTTTTTTCAAAAATCTGAAGGGAAGGGTGCCTAACTTGGCCAATTTTCTGCTGATAATTTACCAAAATTCCCAGATTTGTCCAAAATTCGCTCATAAATGTGAGGAAGGTGTTTCACTTTGGAAAATTTTCAAGGAGGGACCCTAACTTTGAAAACTGACTCGGGGGACCTATTTTATGTATGAATCCACGTGGCGAAAAAAAAATCTCGAAAAATTTCAACTCTAGAGTTTCCAAATTTTCACCTAAAAGTATACGTGGATTTTGAAAGATTCTATCTTTATTTGTTCTTGCTTATCAATATTTTTCGGAATTAGATTTAGAAAAATTTCGAAATATTTCTAGGTTAGTTCTAGAAATAGTGATAAATGAGCTCTTTTTCTGATAAAGAGAAATTCACTGTTTCAGAAAAAATGTTGTAGGGTTTTTTAGCGACACGTGGATTTTGAAAATTTTCCAAATTTCGAAATCCGATTTCTGATTTCATTCTCCCTTTTTTCAATAAAACCCCACCCAAAAAACCAGTTTTCCTGCGTTAACTATTGTAAAACTTTAACTTTTTCTCTCTGCGACCAGAGAAAAACGACTTTTTTTTTGTTTTTTTCAGACACACCCTTTTTCAGATTTCCAGCCTCAAAAAATCAATTTTTTCTGACTTTTTGTTCACAAAAAACACTTTGTTTGCTCTCAAAAATGCTCATTTTGCTCTCCGAAATTTTTCGATTTTTTGACCCTAAATTATCGATTGATTGTTCCTGTTGTTAACAGAACAACACAATCAAAAACAGAAAAATGATTGTCAACTTTGTTTTGTCAACATTTTTTTGAGCGTTTTTTTTTGTGAAAAGAAAAGAAAAAATTCATCTTGGGGTCAGCAAAAATGACGATTCTTTTTTGTTTTATAATGATGTTTTTTGAAATTTTGGATTCTGAATTCGTTGACACGTGGATTCTGATTTGAATTTTATCATGTGAGAATGTGATCTCAGAAGATATAAAAAAAGAGACCATTTGAATTTTTCTCGAAATGCTGAAAGAACACTACTACAAAATGATAAAATGTGGTTCCTTTCAGTTGAGGTTCTTTACTGCTCAAATTTTATGTGATTCCATTCATCAAGAACTTTTAGTCCTATTTGTTGAAATTACGTCCTTCTTGTAAATCAGAGATTAGAAATTAGAGAGAATTAGAGAGTAGATTGGAGATACAATATCAATTTGAATACTACTAAAAATTTAATGAATTTTTTTCGAAACAGTAGATTTTTTTGAAAATTTTTTATTCATTTTTTTTTTCAATTTTTGGCGTCACAACTAGTGTGTGTATTTAATTTCTTTGAATTCCGTGGGTTAAGAAATTTAGAAATTCCAAATTAAAATTTTGAAACAGTAAATATTTTAAAAAATGTATTTAATTTTGTTCACGTCAAAAATCCACATGTCTTTTATCATTTCTTATTTTTTTCGTTCATTTTGCAGGGTGAAAACATGCGTCGAAGTGGTCATATAAATTGGATTGGAGACAGGCCAAATGAGCACGGTATTTGGTATAATGTGAATTTTGGTAACAATGATGATGTAAGTTTTTTTTTGGATGGGAGCGGGAAGGGGGAGACCAAAAACCACGTGGCAATTTCGCTACATGAACAAATCACGTGGAATTTTTTCCGCCAAATATCCACCCACTCACATCAGAAGACTTCAAGCTTTTTCTATTTTCCATTTATCTTCTCTTTTTTCTCTTTCTCTCTGCCTCTCTCATTTTCTCACACTCTCTCACATTTTTCCAACAAAAACCAAAAAAAAATCCAGTTTTTGTTGGCCACTAATTTTCTCTCTACAACCAAAAAGTCATAACTTTTTTTTTGAGAAAAGTTGTTTTGTTTTGTTTTTTGTCTGCTTCTCTCAGTCTCTCTCTCCCTCATTTTCCCTATTTTTTCAGTTGTTGTTTGGCAAGTTTCCAAGCATTCTCTTTTTTTTCTCGTCTTCGTCGAGCTCGTGTTTTTTTTGTGAGCTCTCCAGAAATATTGATTTTTTGAGAAATTTTCGGTGCCAGATTTTTGTGCTTTTATTAACAAGGAAAACTTTAATGAAAATTTTTGTTTCAGAAATTTCGATAAGCATTTTTTGAAACAGTGATTTTTCTATATTGAAATTTTGATTTTTCAAAATGAAAATTGACGCCTGAAAAATCTACGAGACTAATTGTTCAATGCGAAATTTATCGTGAATTTCATTTTTCCATCTGAAAATCAAATTTTCTCTTTGAAATTTCTGAAAAAAATTATTTCTGGAATTTCCGAAATTTTCCACTGTTTCAAAATTTGTGGATATTTTTTCCAAAAAAAAAATTTGACTCGATAGATATCTGTCGGTTGTTAGACACATTCAATTTTAAGTGATTTTCGGTGCCAAAAAAAGTTAAGTTGAAAAATTGATCAATATAAAAATGTTGTAATTTTGATTTTAAATTTTTTAAATTCTGAAACATAAGTTTTTTTTTCAAAATTTCTGAAAAAAATTATTTCTCAATTTTTCCACTGTTTCAAAATTTGTGGATATTTTTTCCGAAAAAATTCAAACTTGATTATGCAAAAAGTTTACATTGTGACTAATTTTCTACTGTTTCAAAGAATTTTGAAAATTTTTCTCAAGAATAACAAATCACTCATTGACCGAAATGTACTCACACATGACAATTTTTGATTCGAGAAATATCTGGATTTCCTTTTATATTTCCTGTGTTCTCTATTTTTTCCTCTTTTTTTCCACCTATACATTTTTGTGCTGAAATATGATCTTCTAATGAAAAGTACACATATTCTTCTTCTATTACTTTTTCCCTGTTCCTTTTTCTTCTTCTTTTTTTCCCTTTCGATTCAATGAATAATTGAACTGCGAAAAAAAGAAAAGTATATACTTTTTCCAGAAAAAAAAGTTTTATATACTTTTTTTTTACCAAATTGCATTTCATGGCTTCTTCTTCTTCTCGTTTTTTTCAGCCACAAAAAATAGAGAAAAAAGAGGAAAAACGGAACGTTTTATTGATTTGCTTGCCTTTTTTGTTGTTCGCTTGGTTTTTTTCGGCTGTTTTTTATTTTGAATATGAAAAATGAATGGGAAAAAATTTAAATTATTTTTCATTTTTTTCACTGTTTCAAAAATATTATTTGATGAATTTCAGTACTTGAAATATGCTGATATCTTCAAACGACACTAGAGAGAAAGTGACCGAAATTTTTTGTGCAGTGCAAAAATTTTGAAAAAAAAAGTTTGGTTTGAATTTTTTCACTGTTTCAAAAAGTATATATTAGACACTTTATAAGCCCAACCTTGTTTCTTTCCTTATTTTTTCTGATATTGCAAAATTGGCGCAAATTCAACCACATAATGAGTTTGGCTATGTCTACAATTATCATTTTGAAGCAATCAAAAAAAATTGAGAAAATCTTCAGAAAAAAATCTGAATTTAAAATTAATTTTTGCAGTGTTTCTCTGAAAATCCACGTGTCATCTTTCATTCTCCCCCAATTTTTTCAACCACAAAAAATCTGAAATATTCTAAAAATGTCTTCTTTTTTTCTCTGCACTCTCTTCACTCTCTCACCCCCAACTCTGAACTTTATTATTAACAAAACATGCAATTTTTAATTACATTTTCTTTTTTCGGTCAGCGAAAATCATTTCTTTTCATTCTTTTTTTTTCGCTGATAACGAACAAATAATCTATAATTAGATTTTTGTCGGGGCCCAAAAAATTAATTATGAAATTCATCATAGTTTTTGCAGTTTTTTCGTTCACAACACTTTGATTCAAACAATTCTACGTATGATCGAATAAATCGACAATTTGACACGAATTTTGGAGCAGCAGATATGTCTGGTTAGTTTTGAGGGGGAAAAAGATTTTGTACTCTCAAAATTGGTTATCACGATGAAACTTGATAGGTCTAAATGGATTTTTTCCCAAATTTTTTTCTGAGCAAAAAATTACTGTTTCACAAAATTCATCTTGTTTTGGTTGATTTTTCAATGTTCTCAAGCTGCAATTGTTTCTTTTTGAGGTGAAAGTTTCGCCGGGAAATCTTCAAAAATCCAGAAGTTTTTCTCGAAAAAAAATTACTTGTGAGAAAAATCAAAAATTTTGCAGGCACTTCTTCTCTGGCTTCAAATCATCAACGAAACAATTATTACTCGCCAAATCAACTTCATATGCCAATGAAAGGCGGTGGAGTTCAAGCATTATATGATAATAGGTAGGTTGTATTACAGTATCTAGACAATCTACAGTACTTTCTGACGAAAAAAACTTGAGGAAAAATTAAGAACTTTGAGAAATTTAATCACACCTGGCGAGAGAGTGTCCCAAAATTTTTGTGCAGCGTGGAAATTTTTGCAAAAAAAATTGTGCAGCGTGAAATGTTGACTTTTTGAAAATTTTCATCAAAATCGGCTGAAAATCAATGAAAACTACACTTTTTTCGTGAAAAAATGTACAGTGTGATCTTTGAAAATTTTTGTACAGTGTCCATTTTGGACACGTCTCGTCAGGTATGAATTTAATATATCTGTCATTTTCTGCGCATAAAATTGAAAATTCTGTTTTTGCAGGATCCCAGTTCGATTAGAAAATACTCGTGATAGAGAAGTTCGAAATATTCCCATAGATGTTCTTCCACCTTCCAACAAATCCTCGGATTCCCGTCGTTCTCGTTTCAACGACACTCCACCCGAACACCCGCCAATTCCACCAAGTAGATCAAAAAGTGTTCATAATATGTCGAATCGATCGCCTGCGGCCAAAAATGAACCGATTTATGACGAGTCTGGTTTTCGATGTGGCGATGCTTGTATTTGGAATAATAATGGAATTGATGAATATGGAATTGTGAAATTTATTGGAAGATTAAAGGGACATACAGCACTTTATGCTGGAGTTGAATTTGTGAGTTTTGATGGACAATTTTTTCTTAAAACTTTTTTTCTTGATTTTTTCCACAAGAAAAAAAAATTCACTGTTTCAATATTGTAGAAAGATTATTTTTATTTAAAAAAATCTACTGTTTCAATTTTTATCATGAAAATTTTATTAAAAAACTTATTGATTATTTTTTCCATTTATCATTTTGAATTTATTCTCTCAAATTTCGAGAAATTTTATTATTCTTTCTTATCGAAGTTTCACTGTTTCAAAATTTCTGAAACTTCGTTCATTGTTTCCTATATCAATAAAATGCTTCACACAAACAAAATTCAATTGTTTTTTTCTAGAAAAATCGAATAGGCGCTGGAACTGGAATCTTCAACAAACAACAATTATTTACGGCTCGTGATGGTCATGCTGGATTTGTCGAATTATCGTCATTAGAACCTGTTCCAGGTCCGATTCCAACATCAAATACAACAATTTCAATCTCATCAAATTCGCGACAAAAACCAACTGTTTCTGGAAATGGAACAATAAGTATACCAGTATCAAATCGAAGTTCAAATTCAAATCCAAATCCAGATTCATATCCATATCATCCACCAACTTATACACCTCCTTCGCCACCAAGAGCACAATCTGCACAATCGACAAATCATCTTCATCAACCACCACCAATTCCACCAAAACCATTTTCGGCGGTTGAAGATTATTTGATTAATTCATTTGATATTGGTGGGTTTATTGGGGATTTCGGGGAATGTTTTTCTCTTGAAAAATTTACTGTTTCAAGAATTTATGCTAAGGCTATAACGCAGAACAGGCCCCCACCCATATTATTTTATGCCCCTGATTCGGAACTATGTTACAGGCTCCCCCCCAAGCGGAGGTTTTTCAAAAAAAAAATATGGAAAAAAATTATATTATAGAGAAAATAACAAGAAATATTTTTTTGACCTACCCGCCAAAATTGAAAGAATTGCAAGGTGCAAATTCTTGTTCAGAAGGGCTGATTCACGAACGAAAAAATGTTTAAAAATGTTTTTTTAACATTGAAAGATCAATTCACGAAAAGTCAAAAAATGTCGAAAAAACATTGTAGGTCAAAATTAATTTTTCGAGTTTTTCAGCCAAAAATGATGACAAATCGATTTTTTTCAAGCTTCTGGAGTAATTTCTGATGAAAATTGACTTTGGAATTCACTTTCCAGAAGGTTTTGTTGATTTTTCGGAAAATAAAAATTTTTTTTAATTTTAATGAATTTCGAAAAAATTCATAAAATAAAGCAAAATAGGGTTCTCGAAGCTTATTTTCATCAGAAATCACTCCAGAAACTTCAAAAATATCGATTTGTCATCATTTTTGACTGAAAAACTGGAAAAACTAATTTTGACCTACAATGTTTTTTCGACATTTTTTGACTTTTCGTGAATTGATCTTTCGATGTTAAAAAAACATTTTTTAACATTTTTTTCGTTCGTGAATCAGCCCTAGAAAAATTGGCAAAAAAATCATTCTAATTTTTTTAAAGCTTTTTTTTTAAATGTGGGGGCTCAATGGAGTTTTGAGCGGTAAATATAAGGTGGACATTTTAATAATTATATTACTAATTTTCGCCGAATGAAAATTTACTGTTTCAATTTAAATGGGAAATTCAGTTTGCTGCGATATTGATCCGAAAATTGAAAAAGATTAGTTTCCCACGTGGATATATCTGACTGTTTCAAAAAGTTCTTTTCATGAAAACAATTTTTTGGATAGAGTTTTGATCAGCCTGACAATGAATAATTATAAAATCACATTTTTCTGAAATGTTCACTGTTTCATTGAAAAACATGAAGAAAACACATTTTTCTTGAAAACGGATAGCAAAATTTTATAATTGAAAAATTCACTGTTTTAAAAAATTATCATAATTTATTTTTTCCAGAAAATTTCCAGAATTTCTCTATAATTTCCAAAAAACTGTGTTGAGTAGTCTGAAATTCCAATTTGAAACTAAAGTATTTTTTTAATTCCACATTTTTTTGTTTGAAAAATCTACTGTTTCAAACAAAAAATAAGAAAAATCGGTTAGCTTTTCAGTATTACATAATGCAGAATTCAATCAAAACCGTACTTTTTTACAGGTCATCGAGTTATCATAAATCACCTCGGAGCACAAAGAGATGGTATTGTAAAATGGCTTGGCGATGCAAGAAATGAACAAAATGATGGATTAGAACAATCAGCAGTTGTACAATTAGATGATTATTATAATCCAACACAAAATCAAATACCAAATGCGTGGCGACCTTCTGATCAATATCCAAATTCAGTATTAGTTCCACTTTCAAGTTTGCATCGAAATCGAATTGCGAATTCAATTCAAGATAATTATGGGACAAATAGTGGAGGAGTGCGGAAAAATATGGAAGAATTTGGAATTCCGGATAGCGGAATTGAGAAAAATCGAATTGGTCCGGTTAAAGATTCGGAAAAATTGATTGGAAGACAAAAAGGAATTCAAGGTTTTGCAAATAGTTGTTATCTTGATGCAACACTTTATGCAATGTTTGTACAATCCACCATTTTCGATTCGCTTTTGGAGAAAAATTTGAAGAGTTCTCCGGAAAATCAGAAATTTCAAAAACATTTGGCACATGAAATTGTCTTTCCTCTCCGCAAAAATCATTATGTTCGGGCTGATCATATTATGAAATTGCGCCAGATTTTGGCACAACTTATGCCGCACATGACCGGATTAACAAATGAGGAAAAAGATCCCGAAGAGATTTTGGAATTCATTTTCTCGAAAATCTTCGATGCACCGCCTTTTGTTCGATTGAGCAATTCGAATTCGGGAAAAAGTGATTCGCAATATTTGGTACCGATTGTGGTGGATTCGGATTGGCAAGGTGGAGCTGTGACGTCACAACATTTGTTGGAAAGACATTTGAAATCGGCACAGGTTCAATTTTCTGCTGTGCCGCCCGTTTTGATTATGCAGGTAAATTTTTGGGGGAAAAATGGGAGGAGCGAGGGACTTAAATGTATCTATGTAACTCAAAAAATTCACTGTTTCTAAATTTTAATATTTAAAGAAAAATTAATTTTTTTTGCCATTTTCTTAGAAAAAAAATCACTGTTTCTAATTTTTTTGATTAGAAATTCATGGATTTTCAAAAATATTGATTTCCCCGAAAATATTACGTTCTAAAAATTTTATATGCAAGCATTTCCGGATAATTTGTTTTGTGAAAAATTGTTCCAAAATTTTCAGTATCCGAAATTTTCAAACTAATAGGCTAGAACGCGAAATCACATTTTTTTCCAAGAAAATTATATTTCTGAAAAGACAAAAAAATTCACTGTTTCAAAATGTTTCTAATAAAAAATTTTGGTTTGTGGAAAAAAGATATAAAACAATATTTTCAGCTTCCGCGATATGGCCAACAAAAACTATTCGACAAAATTTTGCCACTCGACAAAATTGACATAACTCCATTTGTTGCTAAAAGTGTTCCAGCTTGTTCTCAATGCGGACAATCGGCTGAATGCTATTGTCCAACTTGTTTTTTGACTCGAAGAGTCTTTTATACTGATGTAAGCAATTTTTTGATGTTTTATTAGAAAACTTATTTTTTTTTATTGCAGATAATTTACTGTTCGAAATGTTTCCGACAATCTCATTTACTTGCTGAAAATGAGGATCATCAAAAATCGGATTTATCATATCCAAATGGAAAATTACCAAAGAAACCAAGTAGTCATAAAATGGTGAGTTTTTGGGAATTTTTGAGATTGGGAATGTTTTTTTGAAAATTCTTGGGAACCTAAAAATATACAGTTTCATGGAATTTTTTTTTACTGTTTCAAAATATGTATGTTAGCAAAATATGTATGTCAGGGTTTCGTTATCTTTGAAATAATTTGAATTTTCATTTTCTGAAAAAATCTACTGTTCCAAATTTTTTATATAAAGAATCTGTATACTTCAATAATCATAATCCATGAATATCCAACATTTATTTTTCGAATTTTCAGAATTTGACCGCAATTTTATGCATCGAAACAAGTCATTATGTTGCATATGTGAAAACAATCAGCGGAAATTGGATATTTTTTGATTCAATGGCGGATCGAGAAGGACTATCTGATGGTTTCAATGTTCCAGTTGTTCGAGATTGTGGAGATTTGTCGAATTTTTTATCGATTGTTGGATGGAATCGATTGAAAGAAGCTGATGAAACTGGACAATTGAAGGTTTGTTCGGGTTTTTTTTTGAAGAGGGAGGTGTTTGAAATTGCTCATTTTGTGACAGGGGAAATTATGGATATATTTGGGTTTTCTAATACATTAAACAATTTCACGAAATTACGGTGATGTAAATTTTTTGAGTAATCCGAGGTTTCAAAATATTTGCAATTTTCAACCGTAATTGCCACGTGGCACTTTCCAAAAATCAATCAATAATTAATTCTCTAAACCTCTATTTTACAGTCATTATTTGGTAAACAAGTAATTGATCCACTTGTTGATCGTCTTTTGTCCGATGGTTATATTTGTTTTTACGAAGATGCCAATTCGAATTCTTCTTCATTTTCTACTGAAATGTTTAACTTGTCTTCAAATTCCACGTCATCGTCCGGTTCACATTCATTTTTAAATCAAATTAAAAATAAATTAAGCTAGAATTTCATTTCTTATTTTTGTTCGCGTGTGTTTTTTCTGTAATTTTACGTGCTTTTTTACGGGAACTTTAAGAATCGTACCATTTTTCGTCTGTGTAAATATTAGAGATACTACTGTAGATAAATTTGTTTCGTGTTTTTTTGTGGAATTATTTCCAAAAAATCACTTTCAGGAAATTTTCAAGATTTTTTGTTTCTCTCAATTTTAAGATACATTTGTTCCACGGAAAAGTTCACTGTGTCAAAGTTTTTATTTTTAATTTGGAAAGTGTTGAATTCCGTAGTTCATCTGAAATTTCTGGAAGTCCACGTGGGAAAAATATTTCAAAATTCGGAAAAATTTCCGCGTTGTTCCAGAATTTCAGTATCTAAAAATCAATTTTTTTCACTGCTTCAGAAAATTGTCAAGATTTTGTTGAAAAATTTATTAACAATTTTTTCAAGAAGCATTAGCCCAACTTTCGAGTTCTTCTAATTCTTTATTAGCAACTTTGGCTGGAACAAATGGAAGTGGAACTCGTGGAGCATCAGGAAGTGTGACTTGTTCTTGTTTTTCTTGTTCCAAATCTTTCAATTGTTTTGCGAGTTCCTCATCATCAAAATCCGTATAACATCCAATTGGACTTGAAATAGCTTCTGCTATTTGATTTGCAATTCCTTGTTGTTCAGAAAGATCATCCATCAATTCATCTACCTAAAATAGAGAATTTTAAAGGATTTTAGAAAATCAGAATTCTTAATTTTGTCCACCTAGGACTTTATCATTGAAAGAAAGTCTTATACTTTTCTGATTTTTTTCCGAAATAATAATTTTAAAACATCTACGTTGAACTGAAAAAATACAAACTTGCGCAGCATTCATGTTATTGTTAGCAGAAGTCAAAGCTTTGTTGGCTGTCATAAATCCTTTCAACATTTGTGAGTTTGAAGATGCATTTTCAAGAGTATACTTATTGGCTTCAATGTTCGCCAATACTTTATCAATGTGATTCAATTCCTTCTCAAATGTATTTATTCGATTCAAAGCTTGAATTGCGAGTCGTTTATTATTTTGTTTTCCATATTTTATCGCATTCGCTTTTTCCTAAAAAAGTGAAAAAAGGTTTCCTTGTTAACAATTTATTAACACTTACCTCTATCACTTTTTTCTCTAAATACTCTTGTTTCTTCTTCATAAATTTTTCTGATTCTCGCAGACTTTTAATAGCTTCTTCTTGATTCGGTTCTTGTTCCTGTGTCGAGCCACCAAAAAAATAACCAAAAGGATTCCAAAGCCAACTCATTTTGTGCTCAGCAAATCAAGCAAGAATTCTACAAAAAGATACTGTAACTGCACCACCCTTTTGTAGAAAAAAATGTCTAGAAATCAAAAATTTTAGCAAAAATGATATTTTCTTTTAGAGCTTCACCGTTTTATATTCCTTTTATTTGCTTCGGAATATTTCATCATAATAACAAATAAGGAGCAAAGAAAAAAATTGAAGATAAGAAAAATTTGACTTTTCATAAAAAACAGGGAAATGAAACTTGGAAAAAGAAGGTTCATTTGAATATTCTGAAAATCCACATGGAAAAAATATTTAAATTTTTTTTTTCGAAAATAAACTTGCCACGTGGATTTTGGGAATCTAAAATATCATTTTGTCCATAAATTTTTGTTCGAAAAAATTCACTGCTTCAAAAATTGTGTATATTTTCCATCATTTTTTCTTATTTTGATGATAAGCTGTAGAAGTCCTTAAAATTTCAGTTCGTAAAAAAACATCTCCAAAATTTTGAAAAATAAATTTTATTTCAGAAAATTCACTGTTTCAAAAATTCGATGTATATTTTAGAACTTTTCCACATTTTCGATATGACAATTACTCGGGAATACGGCATCTTTTGAGCACGCGAGCGTTTCCCGCCTCAGCGCCCTCTATTTATTTCCCGAGTAAAATCTTCATCAAAAATCCACGTTTCTCTCAACTTTTGGTGCCAAATAATAAAAATTGACGCAAGATTTGTCGTGACGTCAATAATCATTTTGAAAAATGAAAATGATGACGAAAATTTGTGTCGGTCTCTTCCAATCAAATAAGCAACAACTGTTGTTCCTTTTTTCCTCCAAACTAAATTTCATTTTTTTTGTTTTTTGGGTGAAAAAGGTTATATAGCAATTTTGAGACAGTGGATGTTTTTAGAATTGAAAAATATGTTGATTCAGAAATTTTGTGTGAAATTTTTGAAACGTATTCATCCCGGGAAAATCTTTGGGTCTAAAAAATTGACAAAAAAATTTGCCTCGAATTTTTCGAATTGAATAATTGCCACGTGGCAAAATATAATAGAAAAACCGAATTCTTCTAGAAAAAATATTCACTGTTTCAAAATTTTCATGTAAATTTTTAAAATTTGTTTTTTATGTTGTTGGACTATATGCAAAAATTATGATTTAAAAAATTCACTGTTTTTAAAAACCTTATGAACATTTTTAAGTTTTTCCCAGAATTTTCGAGATATTTTTTTCACTGTTTCGAAAATTTTTTTTATAAAATTTGGTTTTTCATTTTTTTCTCTGATTTGACTGGAAATTGTTTTCTCCGCTTGTTTTTTTTACAACAAACCAAAAAATCTCAGAATTTGGAATTTTACAATGCCAAATGTTGCCAAATGAGTGTCATAAAATCCAATTTCTGTTGTTGCGCGCGAAATTTTTATTTTTTTGTTTTATCGTCGAAATGTTTCGTTTTTTCTTCTTCGCAAAACAAAAAGGTGTGACATAAAAAATCAATCGATATAATTTTAATCTATTCAAGATCTAGATCTAGATCTTGAATAGATTAAGATTAAAACGAGAAAAAAAAAACAAAACTAATTTCGGTTTTGTCAAGGTTTTTGGTTGGTTTGGGATATTTCCAGGCTGGATTTATTTTGGGAAAGTTTACTGTTTCAAAATTTTCATGAAATATTTCTAATGTTTTCGAAAATTCAGTAGGCTCGTCTTTCTGTATTCAAAAGATTTGAAAAAAATTTTTCACTGTTTCAAAAAACTAATAATTTTTTTGAAAATATGTTATTTTTAGTTGGAATCCACTTTGTTCTATTAGGAATTTTTTTGAAATTTTGGAAGAAAAGAACAGGAAAAAGTTTACTGTTTCAAAAATTTCATGTAATTTTTGTGATTTTTAAAGTTTTGATTCTTCGGCACAGCAACTTTTGAGAACATCAAAAATCACAAAACATTTCATTTTTTTGCAAAAAAAAGTTCTTTCGTGTCACACTCCGATTAATTATTTATTCAACTTTTTGTTGGGGTTTTTTGTGTTGTGTCCCGTCCGTGTTAATGGGCTTTTTAATGGGATGAAATGGGAATAGAAAAGAAAACTTGAGATGAAAGATAGATATCTTTTGGCACTTTTTGGTAAAAAAAATAGCGCAAGTATAGATCAGTTTTATTTGAGAATTTTGAAACTGTGAATTTTTTTTGATTTGGGAAAAATTTTTCATTCAAAATTTTATAGAAATTTTGAAACAGTAATTTTTTCAATGAAAGAAAACTACATTTCGAATACCAGGAATTTTAACCTTTGAGTTCAAAATATCCACGTGTCAAATTATACTTTACAATTAGGTGCCAAATTTATCTAAAGATTTTTTTTACAAGAATTAGGATCAGCATTGATTAAAAAATACATAGTAATTTTGAAACAGTGGATTATTTCTGGTTTGAAAACAAATTTGCTGCTAACAATCCACGTGTCAAAACTGAATTCTAGCTCAAAACATTCCATTTTTTTTTAAAATGGGGCTATGTCTGATAAATTCCATCAATCAGATTTTTTCGCCTTCTAAATTTACACATAGAATTTTTGAAACAGTGCATTTTTTTCATTTCTGTCGGTCGCTTATTAAATTTTCTGCGAATTTTCCCCACGCAAAATAGAAACTGCACTGGTTTTTTGTGGCCACCCACCCTCAGAACTTGTAATTTGATCTTCTCCCCTGATCATATCTATCTTGTCAGTCAGTCACAAAAACTAATGTTTTTTCTTCTGATATTCTCCCTCCCTCCTATCCTCGTCCAAAAAAATATATTTGTTTCATCTTTCGGTTGGCTCGCCGAGCTCTTCTTTTTCTTCTTCCAACAGGTCATGAAAATGTAAAGAGAAAAGACAAGAAACAGTTGTTCAATTCTGATTTTGAGCACTCGCAAACATATATCCCTCTAATTGTCTGCGTCTCTTCAACTCATTATCTCTCGCCTCTTTTTTCTACCTTTATCAATTATATTCTGAAGAAATGACAAGGTTTCTAATTTTTCTTCGAAAAACTGAATTTGAGGATTTTTATGGCTTCTAATTGTTTCTTGTAAGAGTTTTTAGGCAAAAAATCCGTGACTTCTGTTTTTTTTAAATTTGTAATTTTCACTGTTTCAATTTTTATTTATTTTCAAATAAGTTTTATACAATTTGATAACTTGTTTGCACAGTGACGACAAATAATCACAAAAATATTTCAAATTAATTTTTTTCATTAAGAAAACTCAATTTGAGAGTATTCGGTACCCAAAAAACAATTTTTTTTGGTTACTTTTGAACAAATGACGTAAAACATCCTTGTGTCCATTGAAACATTATTAAAGTTTTTTATCAGTGAATCATGGAAAACACATAATTTCTGACATTAATTTTTTTCTAATTTTTTCGAAACTTCACTATTCATGGTCTAAAACTTTCTAGAACAATTTTTTTTAATAAACTAAAAAACTCTGGTTCCTTTTCTCTTGCAACAAAATCTGATTAAAATCGTACAATTTTCCTCATTTTTTTGAAATCTGAATTCTTCCAAATTTGATTTTTCTGGCGCCCAAAATGTCTCCCGAAAAAAACTTTTTCTGGTTTTTTGGCATCAGAAACTTGGTATTTGAAAAATGTCGCTGAAAGTTCAGGTGTCAATTTAATTAGAAACCTTAGTGTGTATAAATTCAGAATTTTTATCAGTGATTCATAAAAATTGAAAAAAGTTTACTGTTTTAAATTTTATACTTTTTGAAATTTTAGCTTTTCAAAATTGTTGAATATGTCAAAAACAACTTTTCAATAGAAAAAGGCGATTTTCAAAAATTTGATAATTTACTGTTTCAAAATTTTCTGAATTATGCTTTTTAAAATCCACGAGAAAAATACGTTTCAAAATATTTTATTCACAAATGTTTCACTGTTTTGAAATTAATTGGTTCGTGTTTGTCCCCTCAAAAATATCACTATTTCGAGATATTTATTCTTTTTTGTTTCTAATTTGTTTCCTGTGCTCCTTTGATGTCCTCAACTTTCACTTTTTCAAAATTGAAATTGAAAAATAATTTTTTCAAAAAATATTATACTGTTTCAAAATTTTCCTAATATTTTATTTTTAATTTCTTCCTTCTTCGAATTATCTTCTCCGAAACAAAAGATTCCATTTATTCCAAAAATTCACTGCTTCAAAGAAAGAATTCCAACCCCATTTTTTCTCCCAAACATTTTTTTTGCACAAAAATGAGCTAAAAAGTGACAAAAAAGTGCAAGCAGGCCAATTTAGGAACAAACAAACGATTTTTCTGTGTTTCTTTTTCCACAAAACACAAAAAATTGTGTGTGTGTTTATTTTATTTGCAAAAGCAAAACTTGTCGGCTTTTCGCCCACATTTTTCGAATCGCGCAACAAGAAAAGTTTTTGTGCTCTTTTTGGTCACTCACTCAATTTTTGACCTTTGTGTTTTTTTCAGCTAGCAATTCTGAATTTTTACTCTGAAACTATGAATTTTAATATATTTTTGATATCAACTTATGTAATAATATCAAATGTTATAAGAAAACTTTGAAACAGTGAATTTTTTTTCTGCTTGTAAAAAATCTATTTTCATTCTTATTCATAAATTTTCCCAAAAGTAGCTTCAATTTCTTCTTCCACCCCCGCTCGCCAATGTTTTTTCTTCTCCTTTCAAAAAATCTCAAATTTTTTTGTTTTCTGTCAGATGAATATATGGTTACCTCATCGATAGTTTCATATGGTGGTGCTTCTGTTGCCACGTCATCATTTTTGCCAATAATTTCTTCAACTTCATTATCAACTACACAACCAACACCACCATATTTATCAGCCAATTCCAATAATTTTAATCAATTGAATATGGTAAGAAATTGAAGAGCTAGAATTGAAAGCCGAAATTCGGAATTCCAGAAATTTTTAGAAAATGCGAGCTGAGATTTTGCCACGTGGAATTTTTCATGTTTCGAAATGTGTTTCTAAAAATCATGAAAATGTTGAAACAGTAACATTTTTTTGAAAAAGTTTTCAATTTGGCACTGATTTTGCCACGTGGAATCACATTTTTTGTTGATGAGAAAATTGCAACCTCAAAACCAGAGAAAAAAATTCCATGTTGAAACAAATTCACTGTTTCAAAAATAACTGTTTTATCGAAACTTGCTATTCAAAATGATTCCAATCGCAATTCGACAAAATTAATAAAAATTTTGAAACAGTGAAAAAATATGAATTCAAAATTTCCACGTGATTTTTTGTAGTTTTTTTTCAGTGATTTTGCCACGTGGCGTTTGACATTTGAAATTTAAAAATGAAAATTTTCCAGCTTTTCGGTTCAAACTTCGTCTACGATCGTCTCAATTCGTGTGCCCCAAATCAGGTGGCAAAAATTCGAAAAAAATTGGAAGAAGAACAAGATGCCGGTGTTTCGCTGCTTGAAAAGTTGGTTTTGCCTGAAAATTCTAAATTTTAAAAACTTCTGAAATTTTGCAGCACTCGACGTGGCGCTTTATTTTGTCGATCTGGAAATTGGCTGGAAATTGATAGTGATATGAGAATTCATGGAACTCGCGATGAAAATTCGATTTATTGTGAGTTTCATTGGAAAAAATGAAAAAAAATAAATTATGTGATTTTCAGCTGTTCTTGAATTTATATCAGTGGCAATTAGCCTAATTTCAATTCGAGGCGTCGAAACTGGCAATTTTATGTGTATGGATCCGTCAGGAAAATTATATGCTACGGTAGGAAATTTTTAAAATAATTAATATTTTTTAAAATTTCACTGTTTCAAAAAAGACTATGAATTTGAGACACTTTTGAAAATTAAAATTTCAATAAGAAAAAAATCTGTGAACAATATTTCAAAATCATCTCAAACATTTCTAAAAATTCTGAAACGTATTTTTCCCCGGGAAAAACATAGAGAAATTCCAAAAAAATTAATTTAAAAAATTACTGTTTCAAAATTATCATATGATTTTCAAGAAACATTTCTTGGATGTTAAAAATATTTTCTACTTTTCCGAAAAAAAAACAAACATTTCTTAAAATTTTTTTCAATTTTAATTCTAAAAAAGTACTAATAAATTTTCCCTGTTTCAAAAGTTTCCCTTATCCAAACCAGTTTTCTTCTTTGCAGCCATCCTCAAATTATTCTTCTGAATGTGTTTTTATCGAAGAAATGGCTCTCAACTACTACAATTTATATTCTTCATGTTCTTATGGTTCACGACAAAATCCTTGGTATTTGGAATTGCGAAAAACGGGAAAACCGCGACGCGGACCACAAACTAAAAAACGACGAAAAGTACGGTGGTTTTTGATTTGGGAAAACAATTTTATTTGAATGTTTTTAGGCCAGTCATTTTCTCGTTGTTCATCACGATTTGAATACCTATGGAGATGAGAGAAAAAATCGAGAGGTTAGTTTGAAAATTGATTTTTTCTTGGCACAAAAAATCCATGTGACAATTTTTTTTACTTCATGAAAGATTTACTTAATGACTTTCTGTGTCCCTAAAATTTCAAAAAGTGTTTTTTGAAACAGTAAATTTTTATGTTCAAAATTAGAATATTTCGAGGAAATTTTGAAACCTATTTTTTGCTGGTTCATTGAGTCTGAAAATAATCACAAAAATTCATAAAATTTTGAAACAGTAGTTTTTTCTGAAATTTTTAAAATAATTTATGTTTTAAACTAAAAATTCAAATATTTTATTCTCTATAGAAAAGTCACTGTTTCAAAAATTTCATGAATATTTTTTTGTTTTCCAATTTTGTTCATCCATCCTTCATTTTTTCAATATAAATTAAGTTTCGCTTATAAAAATTCCACATGGATTTTCAGCCGTCAAAAAACCTCACGTATTTTTTACAGGATGAGAATGATCTAATAATAGCATCTTTATATCATCATCCACCATCAAGACCACTTCGAAGACTTCCAGCAATTCAGGGAAAAGCAAGGATTTCCAAGTAAGATTTAAAAAATGGCTATGAACGGGGAAATGGGGGTTTTAGATGAAAACAGCGGAAGGTCCCAGTTTCAAAAATATTTTATCAGAATTTCTCAGAATTGCCATAATAAAAAAACCTCGGAAAATATTTTTCACATATAAATTTTGAAACCTATTTTTCATGTGAAAAATTCGACATGCAAACAATCTCAAAAAATCATAATTGTTTATTGAAAAATGTTGAAACAGTGAATTTTTTTTGGAAAAAAAATGCAAGTATGCTAGCGCGAAGACCGAAAAATATTCCACTATCAAATGTTGTTTTCAGCATTCGCGCAAAACTCGAACAAGTTCCAACAAGTCCTCCAATTCTTGTCGAAATCGAGGAAAAAGAAAAACGACGTCGAAAAAATCGACGTCAAAATCGACTTTTTAGAGACGAAAAAAGGAGAAGAGAAAGAAAAGAAGAATTGAAAAGACTACAAGAAATGGATCGAAGGCGGCCTTATAAATCATCATATTCAAATAGGCCTAAGCCTAGGCCTGGAATTGGACAGCCTTATATTGGAACAAGTCCAACAAGTAGACCAATTTATCCAACAAAACAACCTAATAATATTGTTTATCAAAGATTTCCTTGAAATTTTGCATTTTTTATTGAAGACGGGTTTTTTTCGCGGGTTAATTTTTTATTGAATTGAATTATGAATAAATATTACATTTTTTTTCAGTGACGTGGAGTTTTAGGTGAGAAAATCAAGATTTCTGACACAAAATATAGACATAGAAATATATACGTAGGCTACTTTAAATTTGAATTTCAGACAGAACTTATTCAAGCATAAAGATCTTTTTCTAAAAAAACACATATTTCATGAACTCAGTATCAGAACAAGAAGAATGCTTGATTTTTCACTATTTCTCTCTGGTTTTTCAAGTTTGTTAATTTCAATAATTGGAATGATTGTAAATTTTAAATTTTTCAAATTGATTTTCACAGCGACTTTCGAAAATTCATCTTTCAATATTTTTTGTATCTTGAAATCATTAACCAATTTTTTCAACATTTTTGGAGGATTTACCATAACTTTTCAAATTATTTTGATGTGAGTTTAGTGTGGTTCAACAAAATATTTCAGTATAAAAATTTCAGAGGCCAATCAGTGTTCTCCAACACAATTTTAACCAATGTTATCATAATACTTTTGCATTTAACAGTATCTGATAGTATTTTAAATCTTTTTATTGCAATGAATCGATTTGGCGCCACATTTTTCGCTCAAAAAATCACCAAAAACATTATGAAATTCACATATACTTCAATTATCTTCATGTGCAGTTTTATAGTTTTCATGACAATTTCAGATATCAAAGAATATTCCGAGAAAAATTGCACAACATTTTTCAATTTACAAAAACTTCAATGGAATTCAGAACCTTCCAATTGTTTTCAAGAAACTCATTTATTATATTTCTATCAATTCAATTTCAGTCTAATTATTATTCTGAATATTCTATGCTATTTGAGAATTTACAAATTATATGATAAAAATAAGAAGCGTCGAAAGAATTTGATTTTATTAATTCAAACTAGTATTCAAGATTCTTTATCAATTTGTGTTTTTGTGATATCTTTTAAGTTCAGTAATTTTTCAGATGAAAAGTTTTGGAATTTCATTTTCAGCACTGAAATTTATTATATTTTCTATGCAATTGATGGATTTATCATGCTTATTTTTTACCAAAAAAAACATCGAAATTCAAATAATTCACAAGTTATAAGTAGTGTTAGAATTGTTGCACTTTGATTTGAAAAATTTTTGGAAATTTAATAAAAATTTGATAAATGTAGTTTTCTGAAGTTTTTCCTTCACCAAACTAAATTTGAATTAAAAAAAACAAATTTTATTAATAGAAGTCTATGGTTCTCTCAATATTAATCAATAAAAAATAAATACACGTTATTTCAGAAAAATTGTGAAAATCCAAAAAATCCCCCAAAATATGACAAACCCGAAATTAGAAAAAAAACTAACAAAGAAAAAATAATTTACATAAATTCAAAATCTCGAAAATCGTCCAATTTTTTGCGATTTTCAGCTGAAAGTGTTTCGACTGAAATTCCTTTGCCATACACCAAAAATTCGAAATATCTAGAAAAACATGGGTTTTTTTGGTAGAATCGGCATGAAGAATCGGAATTCAAAAAAGCAGGAAAAATTAATAGAATTTTTGAAACAGTAAATTTTTTTTGGGAAATTTGACTAAAATTTTTGGAATGAAAACTAATATGACAATTTAAAAAAAAACCCGTGTCAAACTCACTTATACGAAACAAATTCAAATCCATTCGGTTGATACATCGAATGTTCGTGCGCCAAAACAAAATCATGTTCTTCAATTTTGGCCGCAGAATTCGAGTTCAAATTCGCTCCAAGCAAAACCGTATGAATCAAAATGTGATGTGAAGTAAGAGAATGAAGAAAGAATCGAACACCATTTGATGTTTTTGTAGCTCGAACTTTTAAAGAATTTATTGATTTTTGCTCTTTAATTTCAGCCAAATTATGCCATTTTTCAATATTTCCAATAAATTCAATCGATCCATTTGATTTTTCTTCGTAAATTGAAACTTTATCATCAGAAAATCCAACAAAAAGATAGCCATCAATTCGTTCGAGACAAGTTACAGCAACTTGAAGCTGAAAAAAAATATAAGTGAGGAAAAATAATGGAATATTTATTTTCCAATTAAAAAAGTGATTTTCAAACGAAAAAATTTCACTGTTTCAAAATATTAATAAGATTTTCTTTTAATTTTTAGAAACCAGTATGAAAACTGCAGACAATTCAAAAATTACATTTTTAATAATTTCGATCTGGCTTTTTCATATTCTCAGAAAAAAGAGCTAACCTTAACCAACTGCATTCTTTCACTTTTCAATTTTTTCTGTTGATGTCTATCCAAATCATTCCAAATTTGAATTGTTTTCGCACACGAAACATAACATCCCATTGGTCTTCCGTGAAAACAAATCATATTTTGGACAGCAAAAAGTGGCTCGATTTGAGCAATGAATTTTTCAGTCACCAGAAAATCGTGTTGACCAGTTAGAAGAGCCACGTAGGTTCTGGAAGAAATTGATTTTTTTTTCTCTTAAAGATTTCTCGGAACTGCTGATTCAAAAATATATGAATTCTTCAAGGAAAAATACGCTTCAAAATTTTCACTTGAATGAATTTTGGGAAAAAACTTCTAGTATTATTCCTCCTATCAACCAATAAAAATACAAATATCATTTTTCCCTCTGAAAAACCACGAACCTAATAGCTTTATCCGCAAATCCAATAGCATATCTCAGTTTACACGGTAATTGTCGATATTGCATTGATGGATCCAAGCTAACATTCAATACTTCAATTGGTCGACCATTTTCATCTTCGGCTCGAGATTCACCCAAATCGTGTAGACCAATTAGACTTTCTGAAAAAAAAAAATTGGATTTGTTGTTCCGAGAGGCTGGTTACATCAAAACATTTGAAATATGGTTGAAACTTTGAGAACTTTTTGAAACAGTAAAAGTTTTTATTGAAATTTTTGAAAGTGAATTTTGGTTCATAAAAATGTTATTCAAGCGATGAAATCCAACATACTTAGTGAATTTTAAATTCGCATAAAATTTATGAGAAAATTTTGAAACAGTGAATTTTTCTGGCATTAAAAAATCATGAAATTCATTTTTTTTCAAAAAAAAAGAAGCTTGAAACCCAGAACAAAACTTTTTTCTTGAATTTTTGAAACAGTAATTTTTTTTCAATCCTCCCCCTCTCAAAAAACCACTTACCTTCAGCATATTGCAATGCCTTAATTCTCACAAAATTTCTGCTAGCCACAACCGCAAAAGCGCCTCTTTCATCAATCGAAAATGGTGTGACTGCAATATTATGTGCTCCTCCAGTATGTTGTGTTACTCGATGCCATCTTTCTTGATCTTTTTCCGATACAACAACTTCATTATCAGTTGCATGAATTGCTAATAAAGAATCGCCAGTTCCAAGTAATTTTAGACAATTCACAGAACCAGTTGATATTGGATGAGCTAATATACTACTTGCAATTATGAAATGATCGTAATTTGATGCAAAATCGAATGATAAATGGATTAGACCGCCAGTGACACTTCCAAGAATCTGCAATGAAATATTGAAAATTGAGATGGAAAATAAGGATTTTCAATGATTTTTCAAAAATATAAGTCTGGTTATAAATTACAATACTTTGAAAAAACAAATTTAATATAGAAAATGATTTTAAAATCAATTTAATTAAAAGATTGAAAACTATCAACGCATTTTGAAACAGTCACTTTTTTTTTCAAATTTAAAATTTTTTCTCAAAATTTTCAAAAAAAAAGACATAAAATGGAATTTTTCAACGTGGAATTTTTGACACCAAAATTTGATCTAAAACAATTTCAAAAAACTTCGCATTTTCTGAAACAGTGCATTTTGTAAATAAAGTTTTATTGTGTTTTTCGTGCCAAAAAACTTGGTTATCATTTTGACTACATATTTGAACAAGAAATACGTTATTTTCACGTGGATTTTTTGGTGCCAAAATTTGAACTATAAGATTTTCAAAAACCATAAATAATCTGGAAGTTTCATGATTGTTTGAAGTTGAAATAAACGTACGTTCATTATCGGAATCAAAATAACTAAAAAGTGAAAAATTATCAACAAATTTTGAAACAGTGAATTTTTCAGATTTTAAAATTTTATGAAAACTTTCTCTCTTTAAAAAATCACGTGGAAATATTAATTTCACATTGACTTTTGGCGCCAAAATATTCCCAAAAAATCCCACACTCCCAAAAAAACTAACCATTTGATGTGGTTCAATCAAAATCGACGAAATACAATCAAAACTCGGAATTGCCAATTGATTTCCAGCATCCAAAAATCGTTTTTCTCTGAAAAACTCAATTTTTCATCTCGAAATCATTAGATTTTCCACCGTTTTCATGCAAGGGTGTATTTTATTTTAGAAAGAAGTGGGAAATGTTTTTATCTAAATTACCCTTTTCCAGGTTTCGCTCGATTTCTGAAAAGCAAAATTACAACACAACAATGACTTACAGATAAAAAATTGCTGAAAAACTTGGGAATTGAAATATCAGCTTACGTAAGAATTTGAGAAAAATAGAAAAAAAAATGAATACCTGTAAAAATAAATTGGGAACACGCCATTTTGATCAGCCACATAGACTCCTTCAATTGTTTTCATCGAACAAGCTGCTGTCAGATTTGTTGCGAAACTTGCGTCGAGAGAAATTGAAGCAACTCTGCAAATAATGGTAAATTTTTATTAGAAATTTTAATTACAAATTTTTTACTGTTTCAACTAAAAAAATTCCGAAAATATTCAAAATTACAAGAACAGTGAACTATTAGCGTTCAATATCACCCAAAACATGAAATAATTTTTTGAAACAGTAAATTTTTTTAAATTCAAAAATCCAATTTTTTTTTGAAAATTAAATTACAGAAAAACCCGCTAAATTGAAGGGGATATTTTGACAAAAAAATATTCCAAGAAATTTGAATTTGTGGAATAGGACACTTCAAATTAAATAAACCAGAGAAGAAATAATTATCAAACAATTTTGAAACAGTGAATTTATTGCTGAGTTTTTGTTTTCAAAAAATCTCACTGTTTCAGGAATTCATATTAAAAAAATATATTTCTTCCAGACAATGATCTTTCTATTCCCCCCTCCCAAATTTCGGCCCAAATTTCCCTAACCTTTTTCCTTTTCTCGGATAAATCGCCAAAGTTGTCAAACCGGATAAACAATACAAAGTAACATCTCGTGAATTTGCATCCAAAACAAAATGTGTGAAAATATCCTTTTTATCGCCTCGATGTTCGAAAATATTTTGCGAAATAATCAATCGCATATCTTTTGCTGATTCTGAACATCCATTCAATTGTTCTATAATATGAGCAATGTTTTGATTCCAATCATCCGCGTATTTTTTGATTTTTTCGCTGTTCACTTTTGAGATCAGCTCGTCGACTACCATTTTTCTAGAAGAATAAAAAGTTTAGAAACAGTAGGTTTTTTGGAATTTTAAAATTGTATTATATTTTTTCAGATTTTTCGGAAAATATATTACTTCTCACAATGAGAATACAACTAAAAATCTGAGAAATAAAAAATTAGAAACAGTATTTGTTGTGAGAAAATTCTGGCAATTTTTTTCTGAATCATTTTCGTATTTTTCCAATGAAACTACGATCAGGATGAAATATTTTTCACAAAACTCTATTAATCAAAATTTTGAAACAGTCAATTTTTTTCACCCAAAACCCTCAAACTCCTCACTTTTCCTCCACAGCAATCCAACTTTTCCCAATCAAATTTTGATTTCCAGTCTGTTCAACTTGCTCACAAAGTTGTTCCAATTTTGCAAGTTCCTCAATCTCAGTTACCAAAAATCCAATATTCATTTCAATATTTTCATTCATATCCATCGTCGAATTTATCAAAGATATCAATTTCTTCAAACAAATCAATCGTTGCGAAACTCTTTCACATCGAATTGATTGATTTTTGAAATCGATTTTCAATTTCGCAAACATTTCATTCTCTTTTTCCTGATTTTCTTGATCTCCTTGTTGTGTTTCAGCTTCTTCCGAATTCAAAACATCTCCCAAACTTCGCGAAATTTTCAACATTTCTTCTCTTCGCAATTTTTCCGTATCTTCGAATTTCGTAATTCTTTTCATTTCCTCTGCGACAACATCTAATAAAACTGGCAAATTATTCGAATTTGCAGCAACTCTTTTGACTAATAACATATCATCATATTGTTCATGTACAACACCAACTCGAACATATCCATCATAATATGCCACGTGAAGAAGTCCGCTATCTCGCCAAAGAAGACCTGATGAAATTGGCCGGCTGAAAATCAGTTATTTGCACATAGAAAAAAATAGAACAATTTTTGCTGCTGTCCGGTGTTTGCAGACTCGAAAAAGCCCGTCTCGTTTTCACGTTTTTCCACGTGTCAAAGAAATTTCGTTCTTTTTTCCATTGAAATTTAGAGAGTGCGCCGCAAAATTGCAAATTTTGAAAATAAAAGAGGGCGGAGTCGTGTGTCTTCACGCGGTCAGAACAATGAGTCCGCAATTTCACGTGGAAAAGAAAAATGTTTTATTTTTTTCTATGTGTATTTGGGGCTGAAAAGGAGGAAATGAAAAAATGCGTGGAAAAAATAATAGTGGTCGTGTCGGTTTCTAGGTCACGTGACGTTCGTCCCCCATTTTTCAAAACCTGTTTTCATTTTATTTTCTCTAACTCACTTGCAACGAAACGCTTGGATACATTGAAAATGATTGGATGTTTGAGCACAAAAACTATAGTGATACAAGCCTGTTTCAAGCAAAAATACCAAAAGTAGCTGAAAAACATTTTTCAGTGAGTTTTCCCATTCTCAAAAAAGGCATACCTCAGTATTCGAATGTTTTTCAGCGTTGACTGCAATAATTTTGCCCGGAAGTCGAAGAATTCGTGATTTTGAGATGATTGAACTCTCAAATAATTCGACTGCTTGAACAATTGAAGTGTGATAATCGCCATGAACAATGACGTCATCAGTTCCATCGATTGCTTGGATTTCGCGAATCACATCGTTTGAGCCGAAAACAACGACATTTGTGACGCGAACTGGGATTCCGGTGTTTTGAGAACGATCGAGTTCGAAGGCGTGGATTACTTCGATGTCGCCACCGCAGCCTGCAAAGATTATCGTGAGTTTTTAATTAATTTTCAAAAATTTGAAATTCAAAACATTATCTGCTTCTACATTTTAGTAGTCTAGTGAATCCAAAAAATATTTGAAAAATTAAATAATTTTAAATTCTTCAAAAAAGAACAAATTCCAAAAATTCGCTGTTTCAAAAAAATTGAGAATTTTTGAAAATATTGAACACATTTTTGAAGCTACCCTAGTTATAGTTTAAATTCACTGTTTCAAAAATCTCCCTCATGTTTCTAGTGATTTCAAAATCTTTCTATCAATGTTTTTACTATTTCGATCTTTTTCACAAAATCAACAAATTTTCTATCAAAAAAGTCCTTGACATGGGATTATCTCATTTTTTTTCTCAATTAATTAAATTACCTGACAATAATCTTCCATCCTGTGGATGTCTAAACAATGCTCCGCGATAACGATAAGCCGGCTGCACTAAAGCATATCCACTCATTTGCCTTTGTTGAACAATGAAATCTTGATGATTTTGATGTGAAGTTGTAGATTCAATCATACCCTTTGAATAGTAAAACAGTATATTTATTTATCATAAAAAGAAGGAAAATATGGGGGAAATACTAATTAGAAGATGAAAAAAACTGTCAGATGGAATTATTTTGATATAATCTTCCTCTCATACATTCTTATTTTACCGCCCTAATTATCTACATAGATTTTGGAAATGAATTGAAACAACAAAAATAATAATGTGAACTGAACTCTGAGAGAGAAAAAATATCAAAATATTATTACAACACACCGAAACGCTCAACAAATTTACGAGCTCAAGACAAAAAAATTGTGGGAAAACACATCTTGCGAAAAAAAACATTGATTTTCGTTGACCGCAGTGTAAAAACATGACAATTAGTTGGGAACTTTTATTGCTAAATTTGGGAAATAAATCTGGGATTTTGCTAATTGCCACGTCATAGGTCACGTAAAAATTGATCGAATTTTCATAATTGTCTTTTAAAAAATCCTCTGCTTCAAAACTACATAATTTTTTTAAAGCTGTTTTTTTTGAATTTCAGTTTCAAAAATTGTACTGTTTCAATAAAAAAAATGCATTCTGAAAATTTTAAATGGCCACGTGGCGCCCAAATGGAAAAAATTGAGTTTGAAAAAATCCACTGTTTCAAAATTTTTATATTTAAAAATTGAGAATATCACCTAGATTTGGATTTCGTTTTTAGCTAATTTCAAATAATTCTTGGAAAGTAATTTCAGAGATTTTTATAATTAAAATTTTATGAGAAGCTTTCACTGTTTCAGAAAAAAAAACTTTACAAAGAATCAAAAAGAAAACATACATAAAAAAACAAACAACACAATTAAATCGCAAAAATAAGTGTCTATCTATTCTCATTTCTGTTTTTTTTTGCTGTTGATGATACAATTAAAAAATAATAATGTATCTATTTGATGTAGTCAAGTAAAAACTAGGAACACAGCACAGCGCCCGGGAGACGCAGACATAAAAAATAACACTGGGAACGAATGCAAAAAGAGAAAAAAAGATTGATTTTTATATTGACGGGGCAATTTTTTATGTAACCTATCTAACCTAGAAAAAATACAACTTTTTTTTTGTTATTTTTACTTGGGCTTAGTAGGTTAGATGAAAGAAGGAGAAACTCTTGACCAATGTGAATTACTTGGCAAATAAAACTTTTCTCTTTTGCGAGAAAAGTTTTTTTTTCCAAAATTTGGAAAAGTGGCACAGTTTTTTCTTCTGGCGTCAAAAATCTGTACAGTTTATGAAATTTGGTGAAAAATGCGCGAGTGGAAAAAGAAGAAGAAGAACAGATGATCAAACAAATATAACAATGTGCTTCACAAAAATGATTATTTATTATTTCTTGACAAGAACTGAACAGACATGATGATTGATTAAACAACACTTGTTTTTCGACGCGCGCCAAAACACAGGGATTTTTTGCGAAGAGAAAAATATATTTGGAAAAAATTAACTGTTTCAAAAATTAGTTTCAAAGTTTCTTTTAGTTTTGAAAAATGTTAATTTGGAGACTAATCAAAATTTAGCAGATTTTATTCTAAAAATTTTCAAACGTATTTTTTCTTGACAATTTTCAAAATTAGTTTTGTACTGACTTGTGAAAATAACAAATTTTTTTATTTTATTTTGAAAAACTTGCAGTTTTACTGTTTTTACTGTTCAAAAAATTGCAATAAATTCTGAACATTTTGAAGTTTCGATGATCCAATGACTCTAGGGCAATGTTATAAAAATTTGATTTCATTTTTTCGAAACTTAATTCAGAATAAATTCGAATGCTCCAGAGTTTAGAAATTTTTTTTTGAAAAATGAATCATAAAAATTTACTGTTTCAAAAACTTATTTCCCTAAACTGCTCTCCAAAACGTTGACTCCATTCTTTGTGCTCTCCAAAACCTTAACAAAACGAAAACTTTATCCTCAAATCTTCACAACATTTTTCAAAATTCCCGCCAATTCTTCCAAAATCCCATCAATCTTTGTTTTTTCCTTTTCCAATTTCGAAATCTGATTTTCAATATCAATAATTTCTCCAAATTCAATCGGATCTTCTCGTAAAAAGTTCAATTTCTCTCGAATTTTCCAGATTTTTTTGGATTTCGCTAGATTTTCAGCCAATTTCTCTTTTTTCATCGCTGAAAATCGCACATTTTCCAGCTCAATTTCATTTTTTTCGACTGATATATTTTTGACAAGTTCCTCCGATTTTGTTTTGCAAACTTCAATTTCCAATTCCAGTTTCAGTTTATCTTTTTGAAATGTTTTATCTTTTGCCTTCAAATTTTCAGCTTCTCGAATTTCAGTTTCAGCAAAGTTTTCCGGATGAAAATGATAGGATTTTTGGAATATTTCAAAGTTTTTTCGCAGCTCATTTTCCAGTTCTTTTATAATTTCTTCCACATTTTTCTCTTCAGGCGGACTTATTTGTTGATGTATTTCATCATAATATTGACAAGTCTGCAACAAAACCAAGATTACTGTAAGTACCGTAGTTAAGTATACTGTAATTAAAATGGGCGTTAAAAATTAGCGTCAAAATCATTACCTCATTTATAAAATTGAAAATATCTTGAACTTCTTGATCGATTTCGTTTTTCAGAATTTTTTGACGATTTTGTTTCTCGATTTCGTCGACTTTCAGAAGATCCAGCAATTTTTGACAATCTTTTCTGGAAATAAATGGGATTAAACACAATTTTGATTCCAAAAAATTACTGTTTCAAATTTGTTTAGAAAATTTATGTTGAGTTTTAATGAAAGTTGCATTTTTTCATATTGAGACTATTGATTTGCATGCGAGAAAAATTTTGAAAATTGCTCTATGACAAAAATTATAATATTTTCTATTCTATTCTTGTCTTCTAGATGTTCTAGATATTAGAGATCCGAGTTATTCAACTCAAAAAACTTCAAAATAAAAATGTGTTTAATAAACAGAAAATATTAACTATTTCAAAATTCTAATAACATTTTTGTAAAAAAATTTTAAACATTGATTGTATTTTTCTATATGCCAAAATCCCTACTCACCTCACATTTACCTGATTCAAAGAAAAATGTGGTAATTTTTTTACTGTTTCAAAAATTCATCAAGTTTTTGAATTTTTGTGTGAATCAATACTATTAAAATTCAAAACTATTAAAAGTAAAATTCACTGATTGAAAATTCTAGAAACATTTTTTTGAAAAACATTTTTCAAATCTCTCACCTCACATTTTCCTTATAAAAACTCCGTTGATTTTTTCGATGATCCGCAATCAATATATTTTCGTTTTTGTTTGTCCATTTTTCTTCGCCAACTTCTCGATTTCGTTTTTTCTCCTCTCGAATTTTGGCGATTTTTTCCTTTTTTGCCTGGCGAATTTGGCGACGTTTCTCGGAACGAAGGCGCATTTTTTGGAGAGGAAAATGGGGGAAATGAGAAGAAGTTTGGAAGGGAAAAAATTGAGCGGAAGTTTAATTTTCACACCTGAGTTGGTGTAAAATTAATCGATTTTGGGCGTGGAAAATAAGTCAGATTTTATATTTAAAAAAAATCATTTAATTATGTCCATAATCGCAAATAAATATAACTCAAATAAAATAAAATAAAGCTCATTAACAATGTCTATTTCAAATCAGCCACTTGTTTTTCCAATAATTTAAGTTTCTCAACAACTTGACTCATTTCTTGTTTTCCCGCAGTTTCGAATTCTCGAATAGCTTCTCTTCCTTGCGAAGCCTCTTTTTCCAATTTCTCGCGGATTGTTTTGAGTTGCGATAAATTCGAGGCAAAATGTTGAGCTTGTTCATGAAGACGATTTAGGGCTTTCACTTTATTTACATTGCTTGGCAAAGATGAACATGAAATATCCCATCTGCAAAAAAATAATATTTGGGGACTTTTGGAGAGTATACCAGTTATGTTGAAAAAAATAGTTGAAATTCGGAAACAGTTAATTTTTTTTTGGAAAAAAAAAAGAATATGTTTCTTTATAAAAATTGTAACTTGATGTTATTTTCCAAATCAATTTTTCCCGTTCCTCCCAAAGCTCTCTAAACTACTCACCTTTGCATAATTTCCAAAATTTCATTAACCTTCTGCTCCGAAGTCTCATCAATTGAATTATTTGCTCGAATCTCTTCAATTTTCTCTAATTTCGTCAAAACCACATTCAATCTTTGTTCCAATCCAGTCACATAACCCGAGTTCAAAGTTTCGCATCGAAGCTTCAAATCTTCCAAAATGTCCAAAATCGGTGCTGATTTTTCGTCCTGTGCTCCCAATACTTTTTCAATTCTTCTTAGACGTTTTTCCAAGGCATTCGATTTTGCATCAAATGGCACAGATCTTGGCAAATCGACTTCTTCATACGATTTTTCTCCTGATTTCGGAGTTTTTTGCAGGTTTTTCACTTCGCTGGCAAGGTTTTCAAGAACTTGTTCATTCAAAAACTCATTTTCCTCTTTTTTGCCTTCGGAAGTCTTCAATTGCTCATTCAAATCAGCAATTTCATACAAAATTCGATTCAATTTTTCATTTGTTGTTTCATGTCCATTATATCCACTTCCAACAACTTCCAAAACGTATTGATTATTTCCAAACGCATTTCTTCGTTTTCTGGCAATTGAATCCGAATAATCCGCCGCTTTCAAGTTCAAAACTCTTCCTTTGAACTTGTTCAATGCGTCATCAATATCTACAGAGACAACTTCGATGTCTGGATGATTTTGAGCATCTTTTTCATGGATTGTCAAGTTTTTCGATTGATCCGCTGATCCTTCAGATTCATAAATGTCTTCTTTCGCTATCGCCGACATTTTCTACCTGCAACAAATTAAATTTTGACGCGAAACACATTTTTTCGCGGGAAAAATAACAAAGCTTAAAAAAACCGAAACTATTACACGACCATTTACTCCAATAGAAAATTGCCCCTTGGGTCAGACGAGAGACGACGGGAGTCTGATGACGTCATCTGAGACAGAGAAAGACATCGCTTCGAGATATTTTTGAGAAAATATGTGTCCCTTTGAAAAAATACCGTATTTTGTTTCAAGGAACACACGTTTTATTGAAAATATCTCGAAGCGAAATTCATTTTCGAGATATTTTTGCAAAATACTCTCGTCGTCTCGCGTCTGACTCAACGGGCGCCTTGTATGGTCGTGTATTGTATAAGTCACAACATGTCAGCTCAATGAAAAGTGGCAATTGGCGAGAGTGAGCGAGACGCAGACATTTCCACGTGAAAATCTAATTTTTTGCATTGAAAAAAAAGATGATTAAAATTTTTAATAAAAACGTGAACTACGTGGCAGTCAGTCTCTTTTCAAATTGGAGAATTTCTCTGCGTCTCCATCACTCTCACCGATTGCTCTTTGACATGATGTGAAGTTAGGAGGTTCTAGGGGTTTCCAATGTTTCTCCGCGTATATATAACATCTATAAATACCTGAAAACAGGGAAAACACTGTAAAATCCAACTGCAAAGTCAAGGCAAACATTGCGAAATTTGAGGGACGAGAAACCGGGGACTAGAAAACCGAAATTAAACAACGGGCACGCCGGAGTGTCGTTGTTCTGTTTTCTTTCGAAAAAAAAAACAAATTCGAATTTGACTCGACAAATCATGTATTCTGCGAATCGCTCACATCGTGCAGAAACTCGAAATCGCACCAAGGATGAATTGAGAAAAGTGAGTTGTAATCAAGTGTTTCGCAAAACTTCTATTTCTTTAGGTAATCGCGTCTGTCGAAAAAGTGCGAAAATGGGAAAAGAAATTGGTTTTGATCAAAGACACCAATATTCGGATATATAAATGGGTTCCTGTCAGTGCTCAAAATATTCTTCCACCACCACCAAAAGTGAAAGCAATAGATGAGGAAAGTAACACAATTCAATCAGCTGAGGAAAATTCGCAAGGTATGTGGCTCCTAAATGAAATCATGCACTTTTTGACAACAAAAAACATCCTCGTTTGGCTGATTTTTGGTGCATTCTTTATTGAGTGTTCTATAGCATCAAGCCTAAGCCTAAAGGGATCGAATCTTCTGATTCTTTTCCTTTCTCAGTTTCCTCTTCTGAAGAAAATGAGACTTTCAAAACAATCCAGAATTGGCATCGCTGATTTGATTTCTCATAAAAATTGTTGAATTTCTGAAATAGACCAGGATTCGTTCTATCGTTTCAAAATTTAATAAGATTTTTGAGATTTCGTATCACTTCAGTGAAGATAATAATCTACGAGGTATATAATAATAAGTTTGGTTTTGGAAAGAATTTCTATGAAAAATGCGATAGATGTTCTATTCAATGAAATAACAAACAATATTTTCAGATTCTACAAGTGTTACTCAACCACCAAACTTCGACATCAATGAAGATTCGAACTTTTCGACTGGCGACAACTTTGACAGCGATTCGAATCAAACTTTCGAACCACAAAACTATCAAGGTGGCGACACTGGAGCTTCGACTGATTTCAGCTCAATGCGCGATGCTGAAATGGACAAATGATCTCGACAAACAATCATGTAAATATTTTACTAATTTATTCGTAACATAAAACCTGTACTTGCGAAAAGAAAGAAAGAAGCAAATGAGATAAGTGAACACAAATATACACGTAAAAGTTTCACAGGGAAAGTTTAGATTTAGAGCAAATTTAAGTTTAAAGAAATATATATCAAGAAACTCCAAAAATAATTGAGATTAGGGTAAATTGTAGAATTTTGGTATAGGGATAAATCACAAAACTTGAAAAATTGTTGAATTCTGATCGGATATCCATTTTCGACGTCGAAAACTGCACGTGAAGAATTCATACGGTAGATCAAATTGTCGCGAACGAAATGAATTTCTAAGAAAAAAAATAGAAGTTTTCACCCAATATATCTTACCATCTTGAAAATTGAAAGCGCTTGCCACATTTTTGGGCACATTTGCCCAATTCAAACTAATATTTCTCGGATATCTTTCATCACTTTTTCGATACCATGAATGTTCATCCAATTTCCAATATTTCTCATTTTTCCACAAATAAATTGCGGGCGGTTTGAAATAATGCCATTCGTAGGCTAGATCTATTGAAGTCTCATTGATTCCGAGAGATTTGAGCGAAATTGGAGCATGAACTATTTGACGACCATGAATCACATAGATTTTATCGTCTGAAAATTGGGATTCTTCGTGCGAAGAACACTATTTATAACTCACCAACAAAAACCCACAATTGTCCCTGAACCACTAAAGCCGCTTGAATTGGCGCCGCCACTAAACCAGGAAACATTGCCGAAATCGCGATAGCCTCTGTGATTTTCGCGCTAAAATCTGCAGTCACTCGCCAAACCCACAAACTTTTTGAAAATCAAATATTCGTTGCGATAATTGACGATGACTGGATTTTCGATTTCACAAAGTTTGGGAGGGCGGAGAGTGTCAGTTTCGGCGGTTGGTGTGGGAATTGGTTTAGGGGCGGGTGGAGAACGAGTTGAAGATGTTGGTGACGATTTTTTGGAGCCTGGAATATTGTACTTGACAATAGATCTATTGATTTTTGATGTCAAAAATCACCAAATTCTCTCTCCCTTCTTCACTTACCATAACTCATTCTCATAAAATATCGATCCCTCTCCGTAAATCTCCATTTCCTAATTGTATCATATGCAAACATAACACTATCTTTTTCCTCATTATGATCAAAACCCAAAGCATGTCCCATTTCATGAACAACAACTGAAAACAACGAATTCGATCCGAAGTTTTCGGTGAAATTTGTCATCACAAAATCGACATTTTCATTGAGATGAATATTTCCGTAAGGCGGTTGGAAAGCGTGCGCTAAAGTACCGTGTTGAAATGGAAATGAACACGATTGATGATAACCGTCGCGCTGAAAAAAAAGAGAAATGAAAAATATTAAATACAGTCTGGCGTGAAATGATGTCACGTAAGAAAAAATTTTCAAAAATGTCATTCCTAATTTTTTTTTCGTAATTTCTAAATGATGCTAAATTACCACGTGGTTTTCTTATTTTTACACCATCAAATAAATCATCTTTTTTTGCTCCCCTTCACATTCTCAATTAAAAAATTTTGTGTAAAAAATCGTCCAACCAACCAACTTTTTAATATAAACAAAGCAAAATTGTTTATATTATTTGTTAAAATTCAAAAGTTTTCTCCAATTCACTCACCTCAACCGAAATTCGAATATCAGGTTTCACACCATTCGGTGCTTCGATTATCTCGATATCCGCTAAATCAGACCATTGTTGAGCTGCTTGACGAGCTGCGCGGCGAATATCAACCAAAGAACGCTTGAATTTTTGAGCATTGGAAGAAGGGGCAAGAACTCTGCAAATTTTAATCAGAAAAATATGCATTGAAACAGTAAATTTTTCTCGAATTTTTAAAGTTTCTGTATATTGGCGTAAATTTGAACTCTGGAAAATTGGAGAGAAATTTGAAAAAATTTTTTGATGTGAAATGTGAACTTGAAGTTAAATTTTTCAGGAAATCTTTTCATTTTTATGGAAACTCGGGCAGATCGAAAATCATTCTGAATAATGAATCTTCGTTAGAATATATGAATTTTTTGAAACAGTAATTTTTTTTTACAAAAAAAAATAACAAAACTCATTCGGATTCACAAAAAATAATTCTTCACAAAATGACTTTATGACGTGGCAAAATTTGTAATTTTTTTCTGAATTGATTGTTTTCTTCAAAAATTAGCTGTTTCAAAATTTCTACACTTTCAATTTTTCTTGTGCAAATTTAATTGAAATTTTTTCCTTTTCTGAAAAAGTTAACTGTTTCAAATTTTCTACCAATATTTTTCTGCTTCTAATCACTCCAACCCTAATCCACCCTGGATTTTTCCACCAAATTCTTCTCATCCGTTGTGCAATAAAAAAGCGGCGTTCCGTTGGTTGGTTCTCAATTTTACACACAAACACTTACAAATATTTCATCTGGTGACCTCTCTTTCAAACTTCTTCTTTTCCTTCTTTTTTCTTTTCTTACTTTAAACTCGCCAGCTGCCCAATCTGCGTCTCTCAAAAAATCACACTCTCTAATCGATCTATTGCCACGCCCACTTTTTTCTGTGCTCTGCATTGCTCCACTCATCACTTCTACTATTTTTGCTGCTTCCAATATCTATCTTCCACCGTAGTCTATTATTTTCTGACGTGATGTCAAAAAGGAAATTATTTTGATCTACCCGTTCTGCTGGTTGTCATGTTGTACAAAAATGAAAATGAAAAATCTGATAGATTTTTCGAGAACATCACAACCTCCTAGAATGAGTTGATCAAGAGAGATTTCGCAATTTTTTATTGAATTTTGGGGGAAAATGTTTGACCTACCCGTAAGTTATCACTTTTTTGTTCCACGTGGAAATGGCTGGACCACTTCGTTTTGCACGTTTCCTGAAAAAAAAAATTATTGGAATTTTTTTGCGGGAAAAATGAGCTACAGTAACCTTAGCTTTGCCACTTGGATTTTAAGAGTACAGAACACATGAAGTGCATACTAATATTTAAGATTGAACGAAAATATTTATAAAAATTTTGAAACAGTGAATTTCCTTTAAAGCAAAAATAGTTTCAAAATTGAAAAATGAATATATTGAAACAGGAATTTTTTCAGGAAAATTTTCTAGAATTTTTGAGGGTTGTTTGTCTGTTCTATCAAAATTTGAATTTCACGAACAGTATTTATGGATCTTTTGAAACAGTAAAATTTAATATTTTCAATATTTGCATAAAAAATAATTGTTTGACAAGCATTCGAATCAAACTACAAAAAATAATTAAAATTATTGAAACAGTTAATTTTTGTTGAAGTCAGGAAAATTATAGTTTGAGTTTTTTTAATGATCAATTCCACAACCCCCCCCCCACAAAAAAATTTATATAATTTTTGAAACAGTAAATTTTTTTCTTTCAAAAATTTTTGCCAAATCCTAAACCAACCTAACTTCAACATCAGGAATTCCACATCTCGGTTGTGCCATCATATATTTCGTCCATCCATCAATCTCTCCAGTTTCTCGAATTCCAGCCATTTTTTGCATTTTCTTCACCGCTTTTCTCATTGATTCTTGACTGAATTGATGTGTTCCAGCAGGCAAATAACCAAAGTTTTGCAGAAATTTTGTCTGGAAATTGAAATTCAAAATTCCATCAAAAAATATAAAACCTACCGGTTCAACATCTTCTTCTTCTCGAGAAATTCTAAATTTTATGAAAATATAGAGAATAATCGAAATTTTTTGAAAATTCATATAAAATTTGGCCACCAAGTTTTTGATATCAAAAAAAAAAATATAAATGAGTGAGCGACCCTGGAAGTTTTTGTTTGTTCAAATTTTTTTTTGATAAAAAAAATTAGAAGATTATTCATGAGTCATTGAGTTTTGGCGCGAAAAATCTACGTGGGTGAAAAAATTTTTGAAAGAAAATCCACGATTCAAATTCTGGCACCACAAAATTTTCGAAAATTGTGCCGGGCTCCAAAAATGCTAGCTCTCAAGTTCGAGATCAAAAAAAAGTTTTCCTAAAACAAAGTTCGCGCCAATATTCCACGTGGCAAAATTCAGATTTTTGAAGCCAATTTGCCACGTGGATTTCAATTGTTTCGGCGCGAAAAAATCCATATATTTCACATCCAGATTATTTGGCGCCAAAAAAAACCCAAGTAAAACAAAGAAGCGAAAAAGTGATTCACTTTTCTCTTTTTCTCCATTCGGCTGGAAAAAAAGAACCAAAACCCAACACATTTTATTCATGTTATATATGCAAATAAACAATACAAGCATTTTTATTGGCGCCCAGCCAGCGAAAAAAATACTATAAAAAATCTCATTTAAAGGAACATCCTTCACTTTCTCATATAAAAAAGAGCAGCGGTTTTTTCACGTTGAAAAAATGAAAAAAAAAGTTTTTTTGCGGATGGACAACTGACATGTCTGCGGTTCTCATTTAGTTATACTCTCTTGGTTGGCGGTCATTTGAAAATGAAATATTTGAGGCGATTTTTGCAACTAATTGGATGGTTTGTTTTTGTTAGCGAAGAGGGATTTTGGCACATGGAATTTTGAAACATTATAAGTGAATCAGGAAACCAAAAATATTTAATAGAAATATTGAAACAGTTAATTTTTAAGATTTCATAATTTTAAAGAAAAATTTTTTTATCTCACCTGTTTCTATTTTGGTTAGAAATAAATAAAAATGAAGAAACCCTACAAGAAAATGTACTGTTTCAAAATTTTCAGAAAGTCTCAGAAGTGTTTTCAAAAATTGATAAATTAAACTTTCTTTTGAGAAAATATATCCAAAGTTCAAAAATAAAAAAAATAATAACCCAAAATGATCCAAAACAATATGAAGTTCTCGATTTCGCAATTTTCTTCTCTCTTGGGAATTTTTCTCATTTCATTTTTTATTCACCCCATTTCCCTTCTCTAAATTTTTGTTCTGAAAAATTCACTGTTTCATGTCAGTTTATTTTCCTCATTCAAATTTTATTTTATTTTCTGGCACAAAATATATAAAGCATTTATTTGGGAGTCGGTGGACTGGATGATATTCCACTGCTTGAAAGTGTCTCCTTTTCCACAGTTTCAGAATTATTCGAGAACTCGGAATTGTCAATTTTTCGGCGGAGAACAACAAATCGAATTGGAGAACCAGAAGAGTCGGAGATGAGTTTTGTAAGCATTAAAGCTGATTTGAAATGTTCGCCAGATCGCTCGTTTATTTCGAGAAGACTGAAAAAACAAATATTTCAAAAACTTTTCCACGTAAAAAATAAACAAAATTAGGAATTTTCGCCAGTAAATTTCAAGCTTTTAACTTACCAATCATGTTCCCTCAACGGCAAATTTGCTCCATTCACTTTAGTAATCTGCAAACATCCCAATCTTCCATGTGTTACAGTAATATCTCTAGTTGTTAATGGTGTTTCAACTGCCAAAACTTGATCATAACTTGTTTGTTTCACCAAATCAAAAAGTGTTCTTCCCTCTTTTTCCGGTCCATTTTTCTTGATTTTCTCGAGTTCTTCTAATAGTTTTTGTCGCATTTCATCATCTCCAACTCCTAATTGAATCAATGTGTTATCATTCCATTCTAACAAATCTTTTCCGCTCAAATCATAACCGATTAAAAGCGATGCGATTTCATCCATTTTATGAGATTGTAACCAAAGAAGAACATCATCAAGGGTCCAATCTGCAAAAAATTGAAATATTTGTGAGTTCTGATCGGAGTTTTTCATTTCTAAAAATATTGAAAAACTGCCGTTCGAAAACTACAGTAATCTAGAATACTGTTGATACAGAACCTTTGCTCATTTCAGAGTTCAAAGGAGCATACACTCACTCGGCTCAAAAGCTACAGTAACCTGGAGTACTGTAGGTGCAGTGCCCCAAAAATCTCTACCTTTCAAATATTTCCTTTTCCAAGCCGCCAATTGTGCTTTTTCATGTGATCTCCTCGTTTTTCGCTTCTTCGTTGATATTCGAGATGAATTGAAAACGTTTTGCGCATTTTCCAGATCTGGACACGATTTTCGAAGTTGAGCGCTAAATTTTCAAAGTTTTTGAATGTTTTTAGAAAAAAACCTCACCAAGACTGGAAACTATAATTATTATTTTGTTCATCTTTCTTCGGTCGAAGAATTGGAAGGTTTTCATGAGTTTTTGTGGAAGAAGAAGAAGAAGTTGAGGTATCTTCCACAGTTATATTTGCTGAAATTTGAAGAATTTCAGGTTATGACGTGGCATTTTTAGTCTGGACAAAAAAAACAAACTTCGAAAATCATTTCTTGGACTTCGTTCAACTTTTATCGGAACTCTAGTTTCTCCACGTGGAAAATCTCCAATAATAATTGAAGTTCGATTCTGACTTATCGCATCTCCCGATTTACTTCGTCGAAAAATATCGGGCAAATTTGACAGATTCATACTTTGTGGTCTCGAAGAGTTGTTGTTGAAAACATGTGATTCGGATATATTTTGCCTCGCCGATTTCTTATTTTTGTCTCGAAATGTCCAATTTCCCATTGAGAACAATGGTTTTTTTGAGGTCGAGGAAGAGTTTTTTGTAAACATCGATTTTGGACTTTGCATAACTTCGGGAATTTGGGATGGCATCATTTTTATCGATTGATTATATCGGGTGAATCTACGTAAAGATGGTTGCTCTTCGCTTTGATAAATTCCAGCGATCTAGAAAAAAGAAAAAAATGTTTTAGGACAAAAAACTATAATATTGCTCACATTAGAACTTCAAAGGGGCCTTTAAAGGAACATGTATAGACTGCTAATTGCTCAGGTTATTTTCTAAAAATTACGGAATTTCTCCTCATAACCTCCAATCACATAAAAAATATAGAAAACATTGCTCAGATTAGAAGAAAAGTTCTAGTTATTTTTTTGAAAACAAAACTAACAAAGAGATAGATAAAATCCGGGAAAATGCAAGGATTTTATAAAATTTTTATGTGATCGAAAAACTTGATGAGAGATTTCTATTGATTTACATAAACATAAATATATTATAATTTATGGAAATTGGTTTTGGGCTTTTTTTGGAGGGGGGTAGGGGAATTGGATTTGGCTGAAACTTTTTGGGTTAGAAAAATTAATTTTCCATTTGAAATCTGTACAGAAATTGTTTAAAATAACTTTTTCCTAAATATTTTCTAATAATTGGCATAAATTTAGAAATTAAAACTTCAGAAACGTTTAAAAATTGAAATTTGAATTCTTAGCAGTTTTTTTCTTGAGTTACAGAATTTAATTTATTTTGAACTCAGAATTTCGATTCTAAACAGCTCTATGACGTGGCAATTTTAAAAAAGTTTCCGAAAAATAGAATTTCTGGCGCCAAAAAATCACTGCAAAAAAAAACCAAAAAAAATCTCGATGAAGAACACTTTTTTGCGCTATTCTTCTTTTTGTATTCTTTATGTAAAACAACAAAAAACTTTCGTTTTTTCTCAAGATTGAGGCAAAAAAAACCGGTTCGACATCTGATTTTTTGGGACAAGAAAAACTCTAACTCAAAATTCATTTTTGAATAGCATTTTTATTGCCCAAATTACAGTTCCTAGAAGCGTTATCCAATTTAAAAATGTTTCCCAAAAAAAATCTTACCTCTGGAACATGTCGAGTTCTGAGCATTGTTGCTGAATTTTGATATTGGCTGAAAAAATATCCAATTATTTTTTGTACTGAATTTTTTTTTTGAAAAAAAATTGTACCTTGATAGATGGACTTGTTGTTGATGATAATAGTGATTTCTGAAAAGTACATTTTTTTTGTAAAAAAAAATTCCGTTCAAACGAACTTACCTTGGTGTATAATATTCGATTGATTTGTTATTAGGCCATCGGTCTTCTACCATAGGCTGCAAAAATACATGTTTCAATTTTTTATTTTCAAAAAGTTTTTTTTTCAAAAGAGACCAGACCATCAACACTATTTTCATTATTTGTTATCGCGCCAAAAAATATGAGCGGAAATAGAACTTGAATTATAAAATATCGCAAGTTTTGTTTTGACGCAATAAAAGACAGTGAGATAACAAGGGGAAGTGAAATATAAAAAGTAAATGTGGAATAATGATTGAACCATGGTTCTTTGTATATGTTTAGCTTGTCTAGTATGAGCAATATTAGAGTTTGGATTATATAAAACTGCAAAATTTCGAATGTGAAAATTATCAATTTTAACAAATTAAGTGTAGTTTTTCTCGAAAATTCCCACTTAAAAATAATTTGAAAGTTCAACTTACAATCTGATGAATTGAAATAGGTAAAATCTGATAAACAAAAAATACAACATTCTCATTATTTTTCCTCAGAATTCGATAAATATGCAAATAAATCAAAGAAGTTATAAAAATCAAAATTGCGCAGAAAATGTAATAAAAACATAGCAAATTTTCGTAGTAATTTCGAACTTTTGGGTCAGAATCCATACATTCATAAAAACTTATAAAATTCATGAAAAGAGGACATTGATATATTCGAATATATATGAAATGTATAAATAAAATGGATAAAATTGAGATATAAGTTTTCAAATAATTTCCACTCATAAATCTCATTTTCGATTTGAAATAAAGAATTGTGAATCTTTGAATTGCTAAAAGTGTCAAAAGCCATGTCACAACAAAAAATATGACTGGAGAAATCAAAAAGAATTGGATGAAAATTATTGCAGTTTCGAACTTCAAAGAAAATCTGAAAATTTATTGAAAAGGGTGTTACCGTGTGTAATTTATTTCCCCAAGTCTTATCCAACTTTTGTACACTATTAGAGGTCGATCAAAAATGTTTATTCCTAAATTCTTCTTCCAATCCGGAGAAGTTTTGTCTGGTAAATCACACTGTTTGGGTGTGGTCCCAATCTCAAAAATCTTACAGTCTAATAATGCAATCGAAGGTATTCAAGAAAAAAATAAGAAAAGATATCCAATATAAACCATTAAAAATACACCAATCTTGTGATTTATTTTCATCATTGAGACGATATTTGTAGATCAAAAAGAGAAAAAATGATAAATTCGAGAGAATTGAAAGAATATAGATTGATATTTCATGGACTGATTCAAGTACTTCCATTTTTATTTAAAAAATGAGACGAATACTGAAGTTTTTGCAGAGAATTTGATATTTGATGAGAAATTAAGAGAACAGGTGAAATTTAGAAATGCATTACTTGGGAATAATCAAAACTAGAATGAAGCGTGAAATTGTTAAAGGCGCATTGGGTCCCGAAAAAATCAATACTAAATTTACGCAAACGCGTCAAAAACCTGATAATTGTATAACAACAACAACAAAATAATCAAGAAAACTACAACAAAAACTATCCAATAAAAAGAAATGATTCATAATATATCATAAGCAATAAAAAAGTTTTTTTACGAATAAAAATGTCATTTTTTTTGGGAAGAAAAGTAAGATAGATATCTTAAGATTTTTTTTGTGTTAAAGAAAGGATCATTTGTGGTGTAAAAATCATGCGAAAAATGATGATCTCGCTATTTTTACCTCTCTCAATGTCAAAGTCAAATAAATATTTGCTCACCTGCTGAAGGCTGGCTGGAAAAAAGGAAGAGTTCTAGATAGATGCTTTGAAAAAAATTCCTCCTTCAAATTTTCACAAATAAATAGTACAAAAGAAACAAGGACGGGAAAATAATAATGATAATAAGACGTTAAGACGAAAAGGATGTCCATTTGTTTGTACAACAATACCGCCAAAAATCACTTCATATTTTGATTCAACACAGCGAAACAACAAAAAACATCAGCGCTTTTTTTCATAAAATTTCAGTAGACGTCACTTTGAGCACGCGTGTGCAAGTGGTTAACACGCGAGAATTCTAGGCGAGAGACGCTGGTTCGAGGCCGCGTTTTGCAATTCAATTTTTTTTTTTGAAAAGACAAGCTTCAAGGTGAATTCAATTGACAAGAACGTATTATTATCGCATGAAATGTGAAATGTTTAAGTGGTTTTGATTCAGAAAAAATTTGGAACACGAAACTTTTTGGATAAACCAAGAAGAAATCGCAGGTAATTTCGGAAAAAACAAAACCGAAAAATGAAATCGAGATTTCTCTGGTATAAATAAATAAATAAATGAATGATTCAAATATAATAATATGTGTGTGTGTGTATGTAAATTCTTGTTCTCGTACTTTTTCCATCCAATTAGCAGCGCGACTTTCTTCTTCTTCTTTTAAATAATAATACAGAAAAACTATATGCAAAATGAATGGGAAAAGAAAGTGAGGCGCGCGGGAAAAAAAACAGAAAAAAAACATCGAGAACGAGATAATTGGACAGGGGTGAGAAGAATTCAGGATGTTTTGGCGTAGACATTTTACTAGGCCCTTGGAAATTTCTAGAACATTTTTTGGAAATTTAATTTTGGTGCTGAAATTCGCAAACAACAGTAACCCTAAGGGGTTTTGCATAGAACTATATGCAATACAGTAATTCTGGAATACTGTAAGTACTGTACAGAAGCTCAAAGTTTAAAGGAGCATACATTTTTTCAAGAAGTTTTTATGGCAAAAAATTCAAGCTACAGTAATCCTATTATTCTGTGAGTACTGTAATAATTGTAAAATCAAAATTCAAAACGAAAAAAGGGATCTTTGGGAGCAAAAAATTATTTCTATAATTTTTTAATTATTTGATTTTTGTTGCAACAAAAAACTAGTTGTCTTCTTTTTTCTCCAAAAAAACTGAACACTGAGCAAATATTTAAAGTTGAAAACTTTTTAAAAACTTTTTTCTCCCTCTTTCAAAAAAAAACTTACATAATCAGGCGGAGGTTCGTAAAACATTTCGAATTCGTTTGATATGAAACCTGCAAACAGAAAAAAAATTAAATCATAATCATAATTCGAAAAAAGTGCAAAAAATTGTTTACGAAACGGATTGTGAAATCAAATCATAAAAATTTCCGGAAGAAATACGATATTTATTTATTCGTTAAGTATTTTAGAGAAAAAAAAACGAAAAAGAAGAGCGGAAAGAAAGTGAAGAAGTATTATAAGTACAGTAGTAATTAGCTGTTGCGCAACTGTTTTTTTTTTCTGGAAAAAGTGAGAAAATAATAGGAGAAAACTGTGAGAATTTATATAATAATGTTATATAATAGTCCTACAGTAATCTTGTGGTACAGTAGAAGCTTTTTTATCTAAATACGCAATGTTTTATGGATCTACAGTACCCTTGAATTTTGGAAATTATTTTTAAAGCTTTTTGCACCGAGATTTGAAAGCTACCAAAGGGGCTACATCCAGGCTCACTGTTATTTTGCGAATTTCTAATCGTGATCTACAGTACTCTCAACTCTACAGTACCCCAGCTCAATATTTGAAGGAAAATTCATTATAACATATGTAGTTATGTATATTATAATAAAAACGATAGCGAATACTAAAAGAATAATAAAAAAGGTATAATAAAAACATGTTCACTTTAGGGAAGAAAAATGAGAATAATAATAAAACATCCTTGACTGAATCGCAAAACAATAACAATCAAGAGATTCCCCAAAAAAACATTTAGGATTTGATTTTTTGGTGAAGAATAGCGTCAGAGTTTGACTCAAAAAATCCACCTCTAAAAAATGTTCTAGTTTGCGCAGATTTTGCACAATTACATCCTTACAATTAGAAAGAATATCAGATTTCTACCGGAAAAGAATTATAATAATACAAAACGCGCGCTTCTTTCAATAAATAAAAGGCAGATGGTTTTGGAAACCAGCGATTGAAACGATTCATAAAAAAAACACACACCTGCATCGGGCCGCCGCAAATTCCGGAAAAAGTGTCAAATCATATGTTTGTTTTGACCAAAAAGTGAGAAAAAAGGTGTTCCATCTTATTTGTTTTGGCGCCGTGAAGAGGGGCGAAAAAAACAACAAACTTGGAGAGTTTTTGGGCATTTATGAGGTGATTCAGCTAGAAAACTATTCTAAAAATCTGAAATTTCGGTCCCAAACTATTTCGCCAGTAAAACAATGTGAGGGTATTTTGATGTGTTTAACTAACGAAAAGTAAGAAAATTTGTGTTTGACACGTGGCAAATACATTGATGAATAATTTTTGGATACCTAATTCTTGCATTTTTGAAATTCTCTTCATTTGTTCCCTTTTCACTTTTCCATGTTTTTGTCCCCTCGGGGACTGGGCCGAGCTCAGCAGCAGTGCAACGCTGAGACGACCCTTGGAAAGTCGGAGCAAGCCCCGAGTCTCTCCTAGGTTCCAAAAATCATATAACCTTAATTACATTCATTCGAATGTATACCGTAGGTTAATACGATAAGAACAGATACTACACTTTGATCTTAGCTAATAAGCCGAAGAAGCGATAGAGAGAAGACAGCAGGCGTCTATTTACATGTGGTCATTCATAGACAATTCACTGGTTACGCGCTGCATCGAGAAATACATGTGAAGGGGGCGGTGCTTATTTTATTTTTATTTTTTTTTTTTAAATGTTTTTTTTTTCGAAAATCTGTCAATAAAAGATGGTTCTAGGGTGAAATTTTGCGCTGAACACGATGAAAATGATATAAACGTTCAGAAATAGCTCCCCAATCCGATAATAACCAGCTTATCACGTCACAATAAACTATTTTCAACGAAAAAGAGGCTTTTTTTCGAAAATATTCGTTATTGACAGATAAAAATTATTAAAATCTGTCATTTAAAAATTTTTTTTTTTTAAATAAAAGCTGTCAGTAAAAATTCTCCATGTATGAATAACATTTCTTGTTAGAAAACATGAAAGTTCTGGAAAACCGCAAAACCATGAGCGAAACCGTGAAAATCGAAAAATATCATCAATTTTCCAGGAAGTTGTAAATTGACTGATAAATTGCTGTTGATAAGGAAGAAAATATCAAACAAAAAAAAAAGAAGAAAGATGAATTTATAACCTTACAAAAATAAAGAATTTAACGATTCTTTATTCTTTTTTTTTACAATAAAAATTTGAAAATGACTACGACTAGTATTGAATTTTTATGAAAATTCATAATTTCCACCGTTTTCAGTGTAAAATTTCACATCACAAACTTATTTCCAGCTTTTTCCCTAAAAAAAAACTCAACATTTTTCCCTCAAGCAAAACTAAGCTCCGCCCACTTTGCATGCATTCGACGGAACCACGCACAACCAGCCAGTTGTCTGCAGCACTGATTATTTTCATCAGCGCATTTTCTCAATCGCTTCTTCGGCTTATTAGCCGCGAAACAATTACTTAGCAGATGCTATTGGAGAGGGATGTACAGCTGGGAAAAAATGGCTGTAACAACTTCCAACTCAAAATCGAAAAACGATGAGCCACCGGTAAAGAAGTTCAAAAGAACTGAAGAAGCTAAACCGGCGAAGTTTGTGTAGATTTCGAAAACGAAGATCGCACAAGACTCGGACAAGCCTACAAGACGGTTAAAGTATTAGTATGGGTAAGCTAAAAGATGATTCTCAAAAAACATGAACTCAAAAATTATCAGAATAAAAAAATCTCATAAAAGACGTGAACTTTAAAAAATATTTACATTTCAAGTTATTTTCCCGAAAAAAACCGAAAAAAGGGAACGAAGATGTCAAAAAATGAAACAATTATCCAAGGATCATCCATCGACCCACAAACAAAAAAAAATAACAGAAAAAAAAAACACAAATTTTCTTCGTTAAACACTTCAGCGACCTCTTTCCTTTTTCTCTACTCTATTTACAAAAAGATAGATTTTTGAAGAATTTTTTTGGTTTTGGTAACTGGTAACTTATAAAAAGTATAGTTTGGGACCAAAATTTAGGAATTATTACAAAAATGATGGGAAAATTAAATCTCCTCGAAAAAAGATAAAACTAAAAAAACGGTTTGCAAAATTCCTCTAGAATCAAAAAAATTCCCAAAAACCCGAGATCCTTTTTTTACAAAAAAAAAAACTGGAAAGATAAAATCTACCAAACATCCATAGAAAAAATCGATAAGAAAAAATAATACAAAAACCTTGAAAATACAATATTTACATATGGTTTTCCCGGACGAACAATGCGCAGAGGGTCATACAGAAAAATCTTTAGAAAAAATTAATTCAGATAGAAAAATATATGTTTAGCCACTTTTCAAAAAAATATTAAAATGTTAATGAAAAAAGCTCAAAATGAATTAACTACGAAAATCGTAAAATATAGACCCTTTTAGTCTGATAATAAAACAACAACGCGCGCGTTCGTCGACGAAACACACACATTTTTGAGAGAGTGCATGACATTAATGTTTTATCAATGGGGCGCGTTTCCATTTTTACTTTTATTTTCTTGTTTTTGTTTTTTGAACATTTTTTCATTCGCGTATTTTTTGTTGTTTTTTCATGAATTTGAATGGAAATTAAATTCCGCTAGTGCAAATTCTCTAGATTTTCAAGAATAAATTCAAGCCCATAGAACTACAAAATTTCAAATTAATCTATTCTTTGATTTGAGAAAAAAAGTGAAAATGCAATTGTGATTATGAAATAGAGATTTTGAAACTTATATGAATTTTTTCAAAAACTTTTTTTACCTGAATTCAAGGCAGTTTCCTAATTATTCATTGAACTGGAAATTCATTCATTAGAGAAAGGTGGAAACTCTAAAGTATAATAATTATAATTATAACTAAAAATAAAGTAATGTAACAAAAAAGTTAGGGTAAGTAACAAAACAAATATTTTTTGTTTAGTTATTTAACCCCACGTAATCGGATAATCTGCCTGCCAACACAATTCAATTTCACCGCAAAAATATTTATTCATCAATCAACATTCAGTCGATCTTTCCAATCGTTCATAAGATACTTGCATTGGCTTCGCATTCAATGGAATTAACCGAACTTCTTGTGCACGATGCAATTCAAATTCCTCATCAAATTCGATTGTTACAATATTAACAGCGATGAGCAAAACGATTAATTGAGCAATGAATTTGGCAATGTAAAGCGATTTGCTGTGAATTTCTTGATCTTCTTCTTGTTCTTGTTCTTGTGGGAATTCTGTGGAAGCAGGAAGAAGCTTTGGAACTTCTGTGATATTTGAATAGGATGAAACAGCTGGACAAGTTGGATATTGGAAAACGATTGGAAGATTTGATGCTGATGAAATAACGGCGAGCGACAAAATCAAAACTGCGATTATCACTGAAAAATGTATTTTTGAACCTGAAAATCTTTTTTTTTCAACTTACATTTGTTCATGACTGGTTAGTAAATAAAAAAAGAAGAAAGTTAGTAGGAACTAGTGAGTTATGAGGTTTCTGAATTATCCCTCTCCTTTTATGCAAAACTGATAAGATCTTTGACGTGGAATTTTGGAAGTACACGTTTCTTCCCGCAAATTTTTTTGAATTTTTTGTCAATTTCTTTTCAAAATTCAACCTATTTTGCGAGAATTCATTTGCCTCAATCTCGATAATTAAAAAAAACCTTTTTCTCAAATTTTCAACAAAATTCATAATTATAAATAAATTCATTCAAAATGATATTTACAGCAACTGAGACAATATAATTGTGAAAAAAGGTAATTGGCGAGTGACAAGGCACACAATCTATATCTCGTCTTGATCAATATTTCAGATCAATTTTTCAATGGAAAACGAGTAGATTTGGTGAGAATGGAGAAAAAAAACTGAGCAAGAATCTACAGTAATTCTAAATAATGATTAAGATTATGTGGTTTTAGAGAGAATCAGAAAATTTTGACAAGCAGAACACGTTACACTGTTTTTTGTTGTTGTTAGACAGACTTTGGAATGAAAAATGTCGGGGAAAAGGGGATTTCTAGTATCTTCTAGATGTTCTTCTTGGAATTGTCGATGATGCATAAACATTTTCACCGCCTTCAATTGTTTTTGATCTTGAACGAGATCGAGTTTTGCGTTTTCTTGCTGGAACTTCTTCTGAATTCACTAGTTCATGATCAGATGTTTCGTCCAATTCTTCGATTTCGTTGTCAATGTTTACCCGTTTTCGAACTGAACTTTCACGATCTGAACCAACATCATTTGCGCTGTAGGATCTGGAAAAATTATTAGATTTATTTGTGGAAATTAATTTTAGAAAATGATTTTAGATTCTAAAATTTATAAATAAAAAAAATATTGAAGGGTCACGCAAAAACAGATTTTATTATTTTCTCAACGAAACAGTTAATTTCACATTTTAAAAAATTCGAACTTTCTTCATATTTCTTTGAACTAACATTTGAACAAAGATAACAATTCAAAAATCGACAAGTTTTATGATTTTTGGCTGAAACAGGATTTCTCGATTTCAAAATTTCAAGAAAACTGATTTTTCAAAAAAAAATTTTTTTTTCAATTTTTGCGAGAAAATTCGACTCCAAAACATTTTTGAGAATTTTAAATTATCAATTTTTGGTCTTAAAAAATTTTAGATATTTTTCAAACCAATTTTTTTGAAAGCTGAAGTCAGTTTCTGGCTTTTCTAGGCGAAATTATATTTTCAGGAAAAGATCTCGGAATTCCAAAATTTTCCACCCCCAAAACTACGAACCTTTGTAATTGATTAACTAATTGTTGTTGTCCTCTAACAGCAGCTTCAGCAACAATATCTTTTGCATAAACCAAACTTTTACTTCCAAACGAAACTAATTGATTATAACTTTCCGATTTGGCCGATTCAAGAAGTGCATCAATATCTTTTTCATGTCGATTTAATGTTGGATGAACCCATTTCCGATATAAAATCGATGCTCCTTTTGTCCACGGACTAAGCAGCCAAAAAATGAATATAATCTTGAGTTGAAAATAGAAGGGAAACCAAAATGCAAACATCAAATCAAGAATATTTTCGAGAAATGAATAAATAGCAAAAACAATCCAATACATCATCCATTTTACATATTCTCTTGTATCTTTGGTTCGAACTGCTTTATAACTTCGATACGCTGGATAAAGTGTTCCTGCTGTTATTGTTAGTAGTTTTGAGAGGGTTTCCGACATTTTTCGATTTTCACCAAGTCGATCTACAAAATTTGATATCAATTAACAATTAAATTAATTAATGTTTGATTGTTGTAAGAATAAATGTTGAAAAAAAGTCATGTGAACAAATTATGCATTTCATTTCATCTTATTCTTATCGCTCTCTCTTTTCATCGAGTAAACGTAAACGTAAACTATTTGAAAAACCAAGAAAAAAACCGATTTTTTACAATAAAATGAATACAATACAAATAGAAAAATCCTCTTCGGTATCGATTTTTTTCAATATAAAAAAGAGTACGAAAAACAACAAAAAATCAATTTTCTTTAGTGTTTTTCTATTTTTTTTGATAAAAAGTTGGAACGAGGACGAAAAATGTACGTAGCATGTGATTTTTGGACAGTTGTGAAGTTGTGAGGCGAGATTTGATCACTTATCACTTTTTTTTCGAAAAAAAACTTGGAGAAAAAAAAAAAGAAAAAATATATTCTGTGGAGGAAAGTGTGCTCTATTGATAAACTGTACTTCAAAGGCGCACATGAAAACAAGCAATGGTCTCGACGCGTTTAAATATTAAAACATTTAAAAATTATTAATTTTTTTATTTCAAATTTTTTTTCGGAATTAAAAAGAAAATTCACATGAATTGGAAGAAAACAAAAGATAGATAAGGTGATAATTGTCACCCATTAAAAGATGATTAATTAGTTAATATTGAGAAATCAGGAATATGTGAATTTCTAGAATTTCATCAAGAAAAACTAGCGGGAAGAAAGGCACACTTGAAATATGTTCTTGCCAAACAAAAATCAATTGTTTTATTTGCGCTGACTGTTTGAAAAACGAAAAATGCTTCAGCTGCCGTTGGAAAACGGAGAAAACTGGTAATGATTAGTGTTTTTTTGTCAAACGGGCGGGAAACTTTTGAAATTTTATTGAAAACAGGAGGCAAAAAAAACTTTTCTTCACAATAATAATAATATTGGGGTGTGGGTAAGTATAAAAATATATGTATGTATGAAAAAAAGAAAAGAGATGAGGGGGATCAGCGTGGGGTTGACATCTGTTCGGGAAAAATGAGACACAAACTCTGCGTCTCTAACAATAGGATAGAGAGAAGAGACGTAGACATTTATGGGTTTATCTAGAAAAATGGCAACTTTTCGGCAATGCATATTTATTTTGATGCGGAAAATAATGTGTCAGATGATTGTTTTTGAAAATGTCAATATTTAACATTTTTATCGCAATCATAATGCAAACAAATAAATTTAGAAAAAAAAAATCAAAATTCATGTTTTTTCGAGGTTTGGCTCTATGCACTCAAATGTTTTGCTCTTAAAGTCGCAGAGTAGCCATACCTCAAAAAATCAGAACTTTTTGGAATCACTAGAATTTTTTCATTATTTTTCGAAATGAAATGGGATATGAGAAATGGGCGGAGCGTTTTATGTTTTAAAACTTTTGACGGAAAAAATGGCGGCTCACGGAAAAAAAGTAAAGAGAGAAGATGATAATGATAAGAAACAATAAAATGAGTACAGCTTATAAGCCGGAATTCCTGAATCACAATCTTTTCAAGATTCTGAAAAATTAGACGTTTTCTCAATAATCAACGAAAAATATTTTTAAAATTTATTCCAACAAGTTTAGTTATATTTATATTTTACATTTCCTTTCATTTCGAAACTCAAATCAAATATATCCCATATTACAAATCGAATTATGCACTGGAATTGCTGAAAATGCAGCCAATAATATTCCAATTCCATCAGCAACTGAACAAGTTCCAAGAGCAAATTCTCGAATATTTGAATCAACATTTTGATGAATATGTCTGAATGAGTTAACATAACTCGCTCCTCCAATCAAACCTTCGAAAAACACCAAAAAACAAGCAATTCCAAAATTTGGAATAAATGGATGAAGAGCATTTCCAAGAAATATTGCAACATTTATAAATTGTAAAACTGGGAGAAGAGTTATCATAACTAATCCAAGTTGAATAATATCACTTGAAGATCTTGAAATAAATACTCCAACTTGATATAATACTTGATACCATCGATATTGTGATTTTGGCGATGTTCCAAATCCTGAATCACATGTAAAAACTGAAAGTTCAACGAGTCCTTGATTTATCAGATATTCCGCATAATAAACAAGAGCAATTGGGATAATATAAATCAATAATTGGCGGATAATTTGAAATTTATTTGGGAAATTTTGATCCTCAGATTTCCTGTCTTCATTGTTTGTTAAAATAAAAGATCGAGGTTTCCGAATTAATATTCTTCCTCGAATTGTCGCTGGAATAACTAACAAAAAATAATAAGTCAGTGCAAAAACAATCGGAACAATCAAAGCAATCAACATTGTATCAGTTGGTGAAACAGCAAAAATATGTGGATCAGTTAGAGAAGCATAGACAAATGCTCCAATAATTCCAGCTGCACCAGTTCCACTGCTCCAAGAACTAATTGATGCTGGAGAATAATGACTTGCCATTGATAAAAATGTGTTTTCTCCTAAACCACTGGCAAATGAAGTTAGAAGAACTCCAACAAGAGAAAGAATGACATTTCCAGAAAATGTGGTGATTAGAAAGGCAAAAATAGTAGAGAGGCAGACAATGAAATGACGAGTTCTGAAATGCGGAATTTCTTGGGATTACTGTAGAAATTGATGAATCAAGATGACGTTTAAAATTTTAAAAATCTACTGAGTATTTGAAAATTGTTTTTAGTTCAAAAGTTTTATGAGGGATTTAGAATTCAAGTATAGATTCATAAAATTTATTTTTTTATTGATTGTGAAAAAAATCTGGCTAACTTTTTGAGCTATCACAAATTATCCCCATTTTTTTTATCAACAACGTTTTACTCAAAAAAATATTCGAACCTACCCATAAGGTATCTTATGAATAAAAAATGGGGCCAAAAGTTTGATGATCAATCCAGGAAAAATATTACAAAGCAAAACAACTCCAGTCGAAACTTCATTGCAAAATCTAGTTTCTGTGGAATTCTGAAAACATGAATCATGTTTTCACAATTAGTTCCGTCAATTCTCCTTTTTACCAGGCAAACATCATTTTCCTCTTGTTTTTCATTTCCAGTTTCTCCTTTTGTTAAAATATCTTGAGCAGCACTGAGCATCATAACATAACCAAAGTTGTTGCATAATCCGAAGATCCTAAAAAAAGCTTCTCGATTTTGAAAATATTCGGAAAGACCTACCAAAACGACAATAAATTTCGAATATTTTTGAATTCGACCATTTTTCGAATAGAATGTTTTTGTTGAAAAAAAATAACAAAAAATAAACCGAATGTTTATTCTTTGGTTGAACAAAAAGGAACAAAAGATAAAATCAATGGCATTGACAAAGGTTTCATTGTCAAAGTTTTGAGAAAAAAATGGAAAATTCTTGTTTTTTCGAGCATCTCTTTCAAATCAAATAATTCCAATGATATTTGATTTCCCAGAGATACTCAAAAAATCCGAACTTTTTAGGAATACTTTGGAAATGTAGAGAGCAAAAATAGTTGTAATATAAAAATTCATATTTTTTGAGAAGCATCTTTCGGATCAAATAATTCAAATCATATTTGATTTCTCCAGATTTCTCAAAAAATCAGAATTTTTCTTTGGTAGCAATAGTAATGAATCATTTTTCAAAAATAAAATGATATAAATTTGATAAATGCTTGTTGTGATAAAAAGAGGCGGAGCTTATTTCATATTATGTTTTGAAACTTCAAAGAAAAACCGATTGCCTTTGATAAGATTTTTGATATGAGCAATATTTCCCAATATATTTCCAAGTTCCTTATTTTGTTGTCCCCCATTGGGGGACTGGGCCGAGCTCAGCAGCAGTGCAACGCTGAGACGACCCTTGGAAAGTCGGAGCAAGCCCCGAGTCTTTCCTAGGTTCCAAAAATCATATAACCTTAATTACATTCATTCGAATGTATACCGTAGGTTAATACGATAAGAACAGATACTACACTTTGATCTTAGCTAATAAGCCGAAGAAGCGATGCAGAAAATTGAAAATGCACTGATAAAAATAATCAGTGCTGCAGACAGCTGGCTGGTTGTGCGTGATTGCATCGAATGCATGCAAAGTGGGCGGAGCTTATTTTTGCTTGAGGGGAAAATGTTTAGTTTTTTGAGGGAAAAAGTGGAAATAATGTTTTCGGGGTAAAATTTAACGAGGAAAAAGCTGGAAATATCTAGAAATTTTGAAAATCTGTAATTTTCATTTTCCATTTATTGGTAAACCGAAAGAATATGTCAATAAATTTTCTATGCTAAAATTTAATAAAAAAGAATCTAAAAAAAATGAAAAACTAACCTTATCAGAAAAATGAATAAATATGCGGTTCAAATATTCGAACAAAATGTGAAATTCAGTGAATGAAAACAAGAAACAGTTACATGAATTTACAGATTCTCATTTTCAAGTTTTCTTTTTGAAGTATTAATATTATGTTCATCTAAAAAGTCGTCTTCTTCTATTATTTTTGCCTAAATCCCAAAAAATACAATTCCAACCCTCAATGATTAATTCTCCAAACTCTTTGGCCTCCAATATTTGTCCAAATTCACCGGAAATAGAATACTCTTCAAAAGAGACGCAGAGATATTTTCTCTGTTTGAAAACTTATCACTTTTTTTGCAGCCGTTTTTTTGTTTCGAATTTTTTTGGTCAAAGTTAGGAAAGTGCGTGTTTACTTTTCAAGATCTCTTGGATAACTTCTTTTAACATCTATTTATTATTAGTTTTAAACTTTTTCGTAGAATCTCTAAAATTCTCTCATTTTTTTTGTTATTTTTTTCATATGCTCAACTTTTCGCGTTGTAAAGTGTCATTTGCTTCTTTTCTTCTGTTTTTTCACGATTATCCAAATATTTTTTGGAAGAATTCCTACTGATTTTCAGAATGTCAGCCTCGGATACTATCAAAAAATTTAACGCTGTTGCTCAAAAAAATGAAGAAGTTTTGAAAAAGTTTGTTTTTTTTTATTTTGTAATTAATTAATTTACACACATTTTTCTAGAAACCCATACTCTGAAACTTATAAAGTTCAAAAATTTGGAGTAACTGATTATGGTCGTCCACCACCTGGAAGTAAAACTGAAGCACGAGGTGTAAAAGCTGGTGTTCATGTTTGTCGTGAGATTTTATTTTTGTGTGAAACTATCAATGAAAATGCAAAAGGAGAAGAACCAAATAAATGGATCAAATTTGGACCACTTTTTTATATTTATTCATTTTACTCTGATAAGGTCAGTTTTTCATTTTTGAGTTTCTTCTTTATTAAATTTCAGCCTAGGTCTTCGCTTTTCCAAGAGATGGAAAACGAAAATTTACAGATTTTCAAGATTTCTAGATATTTTAAGCTTTTTCCTCGTTAAATTTTACCCCGGAAACATTATTTACAGTTTTTTCCCTCAATAAACTCAACATTTTCCCCTCAAGCGAAAATAAGCTCCGCCCACTTTGCATGCATTCTATACAACCACGCACAACCAGCCAGCTGTCTGCAGCACTGATTATTTTTATCAGCGCATTTTCAATTTCCTCCATCGCTTCTTCGGCTTATTAGCTAAGATCAAAGTGTAGTATCTGTTCTTATCGTATTAACCTACGGTATACATTCGAATGAATGTAATTAAGGTTATATGATTTTTGGAACCTAGGAAAGACTCGGGGCTTGCTCCGACTTTCCAAGGGTCGTCTCAGCGTTGCACTGCTGCTGAGCTCGGCCCAGTCCCCCAAGGGGACAACAAATACAGAATTTGAAAATATATTGGGAAATATTGCTCATATCAAAAAATCTTATGAAAGGCAATCGGTTTTATTTGAAGTTTCAAAACATAAGCTCCGCCCCTTTTCTATCACAAATGCGTTTATCAAAATTTCATTTCTGGAAAATTATTCATATATTTTTACTAGCGTCAGTGAGTAATGAACACACTTATTTTCAGCTTGTTGGAATGCTGATCCGAGCTCGAAAATACGGTCTCGTTCATTTCGAAGGCGAAATGTTATATCAAAGACAAGACGACGAAAAAGTTATCACAATGTTGATGCCAATGTCAGAAATTCGTGAAAGTCTCAAAGCATCGGGGGATCCAGCAAATTGTGTTTCAATCCGTCGAAGTTCGGCTCCAACATTTGTTCCACCACCAGTTTCAGAACCAGAAAAACCAAAATTGAAAAAACGATCAGATTCGATTGCAGTCTCAAAACAGTGAGATTTTTGGGATTGGGTGAACTTTTGGAAAAAAAATGAATTTCAGAATCTTCGAGGCTCCAATTCCTCCAATTCCAGAAGAAACTGAAGCGACATCGCAAAAGACCAAAAAGCCCTGGACTCCAAAAGACACATCAAAAGCACCTGTGTTTTGCATCTAAAATCGAGGTCCCAAATTCTAGTGTTTTCAAACATTCTTATGTTGTTACAGGTATTTTTCAAATAAATATTTATTTTGTAACTGTTTCTGATTCCTTTTCCTTTTCCTTCTCTTTTTCAGTTTCTTCTTTTTCTTCTGGTTTCGTTTCCGAAATTTCAGATCTCTTTGATTTTTCAGAAATTGATGGTGGAGTCGGTGGTGGAAGTGCCAAACTAATAATCGACGCAGAAATCTGTGATGCTGATTGTGAAGTTATTGATGTGAATTCTCCTTCAGTGTCAGTTTCCTCTTCTTGACTTCCAATTATAGCCAATTCAGCTGATGTTAAATGACATTCATCTTTCGATTCAATTTGTTTACAACAACACTCCGTTTTCGGCAAAACCATTTTTGTTCTTGGTGAAATTGGTGATCTTGCAATTCCGAAACATTGTTGATATGATTCACTAGTTTGTTTTTCATTTTTCGATTTCGTGTGATTTCGGTAGAATGTATAACACCAAACACCAACACTTGCACCAACGGTTAGTGATAATAACACTTTTTCATAATTACGAATCTCTATGCTTACTATTTCCATTTTTTCGAATCAGTTTTTATACTTGCAAAAATCTAAAATAATCGGGACTCTTTGGATTTCCACGTTTTTTTCTCGAAATTTCAGAATGTCACGTTTTACTGTTTTCTCGCGGAAATATGACAAATTCATTCATTTCGCGAAAAACGTTTTCGAAAAAAATTCAAAAATAAAAATAAAACAACGAGACTCCGCATGCCTGCTGTTTAGCAGCATTTTTCTTTTCTTTTATTTTTTTGCGTCCGTTTTTTCAATGTGTAAACTACACTCTAGTCTTCTTATCTTCGGCGTTGATGTTGCGAAGAATTGCATCAAATATTCTAATCACTCAAAGATTCTTGAAAATGAGTGCGGCAGATAATGCTGGAAGAGGATTCAAGCAAGGTCGAGGAACTGGTGATTCAGGACAATCTTCGCTTTATAATTTGGAACGAAGATGGAAAGATGATGATACTTTTATGGCGTTGGGTGCAACAGATGAATTATCATCATATTTAGGGTGAGATTTTATTTTTGATATTTTCTAGGCTATAATTTATGATAAATTTTTAATTTCAGAGTTTGCGGAGCAAGTGCGCAGAACGATGGAACCTTGACCGACGTTGTTGAAACTTTAACTCGACTCCAATGTTGTTTACAAGATGTTGGAGCACATTTGGCAACTCCTCCTAAAAGCTCATCAGAACGCAAGCAGAGTAAGTCTTAAAAATCCTTGTTTTCCTCAAATAATTCAACATATTTCAGAGAAAACCGCTTTCGATGTGAATATGGTCGATTGGATCAACGCAGAAATTGATCGATATGGTGATGATCTTCCACCAATTCGTCAATTTATTCTTTCTGGCGGTGGTGCAACTTCTGCACAATTGCAATATGCTCGCGCAATTTGTCGACGTGCCGAGCGGAGTGTTGTTCCTTTGTTGCGCGATGAAGATGTCGATCCACTTGCGTTGAAATTCTTGAATCGAATGAGTGATTTATTGTTTGTTTTGGGTCGCACAGCATGTATGCGAAACAAAACTGAGGAATTGACATATCTTCGACCAGATTCGTTCACAAATCTCAAATGGGAACGAAAAACTCTTCATGACAACAAGAAACTATGATTTTATTTCTTCGAAAATGTATTTCTAGCTTACCTACTTGCCATAAATATTTATCTATTTATCACTCATGTTTACTTTTGTTGGAATTTACAAGTTTTGAAACATCATATTTTTTTGAAAATCAAAAAGTTCCACAATCAAATAAAATTTGAAGATGACATTTTCTGGAGCAGAAGCTTCGATTCGGTATGACAGACAAGTTCGATTATGGGGAGAAGAAGGACAATCATCAATCGGAGCAACAACAGTTTGTCTACTTGGCTCAGATTCATTGGGAACTGAAATATTGAAATCGCTAGTTCTCGCTGGAATTCAATCATTTTTTATTGTCGATGATGCAAAAGTTGAAATCGCTGACATCGGACAAAATTTCTTTTTGCACATCGAAGATGTTGGAAAAAATCGAGCCGAAGTTACTCTCGAAAAATTGAAAGAATTGAATCCATCAGTCGCCGGTTTTGCTTCAACAATTTCACCGACTCAATTACACGAAACTGATATTGGAAAAATGTGCGAATTTTCAGTGGTTGTTGCTGCAAATCAAACTGAAAATATTGAATCATTATATGCGAATATTTTATGGTCTCAAGGAGTTCCATTGGTTTGCGCAAAAACATCAGGATTTTTGGGGACTATTCGAATTTGTGTCAAAGAACATACAATCGCAAATTCGCATGAAGAAAATCCTCGACCAGATATGAGATTGGATAATCCTTTCCAGGAATTAGTAGAAATTATAAATGAGACAAATTTGGATGAAATGACAATTGATGAACTTCGACATACACCATACATTTTGATACTTTTCAAAGCTTTGGAAATTTATCGAAAAAATCGGCAAAATCCAAATGCATTTCCACAATCATATTCCGATCGAAAAGAAATTCAATCAATTGTTTTATCATTGCGAAGAAGTAGCGAAGAATCAGGAACAAAAGATTCGGAGAATTTTGATGAGGCAAAAATGGCAGTGACGAGAGCATTTCAAAAAACAGAGGTTAGAAATGGGGGCGGGAAGAATTGGAAATGAAATGAATTATGAATTTCACGTTTAAAAAAAGATTTGTGAAAGTTCACGTTTTGAAATTGAAAATAAATTATTTTAGTGCTTATTTTTTGCTGGAAATCTTTCAAGTTGAAAATTTTGGACAGTTTATGAATCAATTTTGAATTCCCAAAATATGTTTCTTTCAGATTCCAAGCTCTGTTCAACAAATCCTCAATGATCCAAATTGTTCAACATCAACCGAACCATTTTGGATAATTTGCGAAGCTCTCCGTCGTTTTGTCGATTCAAATAATGGATATCTTCCAGTTCGCGGAGATTTACCCGATATGACATCAGATAGTAAACGATATACACGATTAGCAACAATATTCCACGAAAAAGCATCGATTGACGCGAAAAAAGTTTTGGAATTAACAAGAGAAGTGGAGAAAGAGAGAAATTTGGAAGATTTGATGATTAGTGAGGAATTGTGTTATCGATTTTGTAAAAATGCGGATAGAATTCGGGTTCAAAGAGGGCAGAGTTATGATGTTCAACGGGAAATAAAGGTATATCTTCATTTTTAACTTTAACAGCCAGAATTTCGAACTCAATTTTTAGAGTATTATCGATTTGATTAAACATTTGTCAATTGATAGTGAAAATGATAAATCAGTGGATGGTTCAATTTGGTTATTATTACTTCGAGCTGTTGATCGTTTTCATAATGAAAAGGGAAGATATCCAGGAACAAATGGAGTTCCTTGTACAATTGATGCATTTGATTTGACACAAAGAGTTGAGACTATTGTCAAAAAAGCTGCTGAAACTCAAGAAGAATCAATTAAAATAATGAATAGAATTCCGAAAAATGCGATTGATGAGATTTGTAGATATGGAGCAGCTGAATTACATGTTGTTTCTTCATTAATTGGTGGAATAACATCTCAAGAAGTTATCAAATTGGCTACAAATCAATATGTTCCATTGGAGAATACTTTTGTTTTTGATGGACATACACAACAATCAACTACACTTAAGATTTAGGTTATTTATAATTCTATTTATTGTTTTTTTCTCGTAATGTTGCACACTGTGAAATAGATATTTATGCATTTTTTTTTTGAAAAATGTTTTTCGATAAAATCTCAAACGTGACCTCTAAATTTTTTCACGGGAAATTGAAAATGACTGAATCTATCATTTCATTTTCAAACATGCATGAAAAAAATGCCGTGATGTTGTGCGAAAATTTAAAAAAAAACTACGGTTTCCAAAGACGCAGTGTGTTTTTTGTTGATCGTGGTGAGACCAAGTGTTGAAATTGCGTGTTTCTTCAAAAACGGTACGGTATTGTTTCTATCAAATTTTTCGAAAAAGTTTGCAAAGAGCGAATTCGCGAAGTTTTCTTGTTTTCAGCCATGCTTGGTCATTTTCAGTAGACTCTTGTAGTTTTTCAAGTAATATCAATTATAAAATTCAACTCTTACGTCTTAAAATCGGTTTTCTTTACTATTGTCTCGTAGTTTTGTCTGATTTTCATTTATAAATTTGCAGATGGAACCACCTGCGAAAAAACAATGCTTGGGAAAAGAAACCGATAAACAAGATGAAGAAGGCGAGGAGCAAACTGGTTGGTTCAATTTGCCATTCGAGTTAAGAAGTATTATCATGGAACAAATGGACAATGGAGCGATTCCAAAGTTTGCCCGATGTTCGAAGTTGTGCTATGAAGAAGCGACATCTTCTAATAATTATTGCGATGATATCGGTTTGTATGAAATGCGCGGAAATCCAAAACGATTCGAAATTCAATTTACGTCTCGAAGTTGGCAAATTGGTTCGATTAGTTTGGAATATTTCGCCGATGGAACAACAAAAGTTCAATGTGAAAAATTTTCGTACTTCAGAATGATTCTTGGACAAACTAGTACAGTTTTCTTCGAACCAGGCAATGTTTATGATGTTGTTGCCGATTATCTCAACAAGTATTTGCAATTATTTCGAGCCAATTTGAAATGTCTCATTATCAGAGTGGTAAGTGGTGATTAGAAAATCGTAAAAACAAATATGTTTTTTCAGTTGGGTAAAGCAAAAAACGTATTGACTCGTAAAGTTTGCATCAGTGGATTCAAAAAGTTGCAATTACTTCGATTTGGCGAGACTTCTAATCAACTTTGTCTTTTCAAATACAATTTCGTGGACTTCGAACAAGTTTTGAATGTCAAATCATTTATCGAATTACCAGGAACACGTTTTACATTCGATCAATTGATTCAATTCAAAGCTAATCAATTCACAATTTCCCAAATGGATTTGACGAAAAAAGAAATCAATCAATTTATAAAATATTGGCGAGATGGAAAATTGTATCCGAATTTGGAATCCTTCACTATTTCTAATGACAAAACCAAGAAAAAATCAACTATGGAAATTGATTTTGAAGGAATTGATCATGAACCATACAAATCTCCATAGTAAGTTAATTTTTTTTTTGATAAGTTTTGAGAATCAATATTTTATTTTTTCAGTGGTGATGAATATCTCAAAGTAAAATCAAGTTCGGAACAAAACAAATATGCTTTATTGGAATTGAAGGACAACTCTCTTCACGTAAGAATCGAAAATGATAAATCATAATTTTGAGTTCTGAAAATTATTTTTTATGTTAAAAAATAAGATGTTAATAAAAAATACCTTTAAAAATTTTTTCTTTCTTATATATTACACGGTGTGTCTGTCCGCTCGACCTACTTTTGTGTCCTTGATTTAATTTGACGTGAATTATTTTGCTCATTTCTGATTTTTCAAAACGCTTGGATTGCCGCCTTAATTTTTTGAAATGTATCGTAAGTTTACTTAAAGAAAGGTGTGAATATTGGAAATCTCTGAAGGTAATAGATCTAAGATTGTAGGGAGATGATTATTTTTGGTTTCAGTTTTGGGATCAAATTCTTTAGAGTCTAGTTTTTTTGTGATAATTGAACTCAAACTATGTTAATTACAACTCAGAAATCGGTGGAGTAATTATATTGGAAGCATACACTCGTTCCCCCTTTTTTACAGTGAACCTACACACAATGTTCGGTGTAATTACATAACTGCCAATTTTTGAGGGTTGAGCACGTTTTTGCAAAAGTGTAATTATATTGTATATTGTCAAAGTTGAAAAATGTGGCAGCCGTAAAACATGAAAAACAGTGCAGAGCTGAATGAATGACAAAGTCATTACTTCGTCAGTCGCGTGCGGCTGTGCGTCGCGGTCGAAAAACAATCAATTATTTATTTTTTCCTTTCTTTTTCGGCCGCGACGCACAGCCGCACGCGACTGACGAAGTAATGACTTTGTCATTCATTCAGCTCTGCACTGTTTTTCATGTTTTACGGCTGCCACATTTTTCAAATTCGACAATATACAATTTAATTACACTTTTTCAGATTCATCCGTGTATTTACAAGAAAACATCAACGTAATTACAAATTGCTTCAAGTTACACTGTAAATACTCCACCAATTGCTGAGTAAGATATATTTCAATAAACAAATTTCAATTTTTTCTCAAAAAATGACCCGGTGTAAAATACAAATCGATTTTAATCTTGCACTGGATAAGGTCATCACCCAATTTTTCCAAATAATTTACAGAATCTCAAGTTTTTTTCTGATAATTATTCTTAAACTCCCGTAACACATTTTCCGATGAGTACTGTAGGTGTTTGCGCGTAGTGTTTGGTGTTTGGTGCATCCAGATTTTTCAGTATGTTTGCGGATTTTTTCAATGCATATTTTTTTTGAAGGTTCATGAACGCCAAATTTGGTGATTTCGAGCAGAACCTTTGTACCATATTTCCATTTTTTAAATTTGTAGATGGAACCACCTACGAAAAAACAATGCTTGGGAAAAGAAACCGAAAAACAAGATGAAGAAGACGAGGAGCAAACTGGTTGGTTCAATTTGCCATTCGAGTTAAGAAACATTATCATGGAACAAATGGGTCACGAGGATATCCCAAAATTCGCTCGATGCTCGAAGTTATGCTATGAAGAGGCGACATCTTCCAATAATTATTGTGATGATATCGGAGTTCATGAGTTTCGCGGAGATTGGAAACGTTTCGAAATTCAATTTACATCTCGAGATCGGAAAATTGGTTCGGTTTGTTTAGAAGATGCGCATGATGGAACCACAAAAATTCAATGTGAAAAATATCTCGACTTTGAAAGCAGAACAACATTTTTTGAAAAGGGAGATGTTTATAATGTTTTTGTCGAATATCTCGACAAATATTTGCAATTATTTCGAAGGAATTTGAAATCTCTTTTCATTGACTTGGTAAGTATTTATCACAAAATCTTAGAATCAAATAACCACTTTTTCAGTTTTTTAAAGCGAAAAACTTGGTGACTCGTAAAATTTTTCTTCGTGGCTTCAAAAAATTGAAAAGTCTTCGAGTTGATCAGACTCCTCGTCAACTTTGTCTCTTCAAATACAAATTTGTGGATCTTGAACAAGTTTTGTATGCCAAATCACTTCTACGAATAAGAGGAACACGTTTTACCTTCGATCAATTAGTTCAATTGAAATCCGAGTGGGTCGAAATTTCACTAATGGATTTAACAAAAAAAGATATCAATCAATTTTTGAAATATTGGCGGGATGGAAAATTGTATAAGGAATTCCGATCTTTTTGGATTTATAATGATAGTAAGAAAACGCCAACTATTGAAATGGATTTTGAAGGAATTGAGTATGAAACAGTCACAGAACTATTGTAAGTTAATTTGTTAAAAATAATTTTTTAAATAAAAATTTGACTTTTCAGTGGCACTAAATATATCAAAATCAACTTGAAGACAGAACCAAACAAATATATTCGATTGAGTATCGAGGATGAATTTCTTCATATGTTTATTGTTAAATCATGGATGTGAGTTCTAAAAATCATTTTTTAAATTAAAAAAAACAGTAAATAAATAAATACCAGAGATCATATTGAAAATCACAAGTAAAACAAATAATTTAAGTCCTTAGTTTATTCAAATCCTCAACCTGACTCGCTAATTGATCAGCGAGTAAACGATCCAAAAATTGCTCGGTTTGATTCAACGCAATTTGTTTCAAAACCGGTTTCACAACTTTGCCAATTGAGTTCGGGTTTTTATGATCAGGATCATCTTGAAGTTTCAAGTTGAGAACTGGCAAAATTCGACTCAAAAAATCGGGTTGAACTCGAGGGAATAAAGGATGAATGTTGGATAAATCAATAGTTTTTGCAGCCGGCTGTAAAAAAACAATAAGAATATGATGAGGGTTAGAAAAATTAGAAAAAAACCTGTGCAGGATAATTTTGCTCTTGAATTTGTTGTTGTCCACTAATAACACTTCCATGAATATTATCCGTGTTAATTGTTGGTAATAAATCTCGCGGAAATTCTTCGATAGTACTATAAATCGAAGGTTGTTCAGATTCAGGAATCGGCGGATAAACTCGGGGAATCGGTCGATTTTGTGGTGGAGTTGAATCGATTACTCGATTACCTGTCCATTGAATAAATTCAGTTTCTGAAGGAAGTCGAGGGATAACAACACGATTATCCGGATCATAAGGAGGTCTGCGAATCGTATCCATAGGTTCTTCTGGTTTTTCACATCTTCCTTGAGATACAACAAATTGAAGAGTATCTGGACAATGTCTTTCAGTCCATCTACCGTGTCTTCCATATAAAGGAGCACATTGGAGATATGAAGATGGATTTCTGGAAAAAAAAACGTTGGGAAGGTCTAGTTTTTGACTATATCTTGACTTCGCGCCTTTTTTGTTGAAAAATCAGGCAGCCCACATTCTGATTGAGTCCAGGACTAAAACATATATGACTCACGCTCAAAAACTTACGTTGGATGTTGACAGAATGAATCGTAGTTATATTTCAATTCACAATCTCCATTCACTAAACATCCTTGATACACTTTTGCTCCTTCTTCAACTGTTGTCGATGCCGTCGTCAACATCCATGGTGCTTCAGTCGTTGTTGTTGTAAATCGAATCATTTCCAATTGTGGTGGCTGATATTCTGTGATTTCCGGACGATAAACTGGTTGTAAAATCGCACCGTTCTCTTCATTTCTTTGATTCTGGTTCTGACTTTGACTCTGTTGTTCTATCATTTGTCTGATAATTTCTTTTTCTTTTTCCATTTGCTCAATTCTTGCTTGTTCTTCCGCTGCTCTTCTTCTCTGCTCCTCGATTTCTCTCATCTCTGCAATCTGCTTCTCTCTGCGTCTTTCCTCTTCTAACTCTCGTCGTCTCAATTCCTCCTCCAATGCTTTTTCTCTCTGCACTCTCTCTTCCTCTACCAGTCTGCGTCTCTCTTCTTCCATCTTTGCTTTTCTCGCTATTTCTAATTGTTGTCTAACCTTCTCATTTTTCCTCTTTCTCTCTTCCATCTCTCGTCGTCTGTCCTCTTGCCTTATTCTTGCTATCTCTTGCTCTCTTTCCGCCGCCATTCTCTCTTGCTCCGCATAAATCGCAGCTTGTCTCTGTATCTCTAACTGTCTAGTCTTCTCCATCTCCTCTAATTGTCTGCGTCTCTCCTGATCTCGTTCTCTCTCCTCTTTTTCCTCTCGCAATCTTTCTTGTTCCATTTTCTCAAACTTTTCTGCTCGTTCTTTTTCCGCCAACATTTTCTGTGTCTTCACCATTGATAATAAATGTGTCAAGAATTCGTTTTCCGTCATACTTTGTCCATTATATTTCACAGTATATTCTGGTTGTACAGTAACCGCATTCAAAGGTTCTTCTGGCAACATATTTTGATGGCTTCGATCCATTTTTTGATATGGCGCCAAAGTCGCAGGTTTTGCATAAGTTTCTGAATGTTGTGTGGTTTTTAATGGTTCCTGCATCGGAGATACGAACTTTGCAGGATGAGTTACTGGTTTATGAGTTGGTCTCGAAAAAGCTGGACCACCTTTTGGAGGTCGACTAAAGATAACAATATTCGGTTGGGTAGTTGTGGATGTTGTAGATGTTGTTGTTGTCAAAAGTTCAGTAGTGGTTTGTGGTATCGGTGTTGTTGTCGTAGTTGTGCTCGTTCGCCTCTTTTTCGTCTTAATTCTCGGTTTTTTCGGGCGAATTGTCGAGAACACGAATTCTTCCACATTTGCCTGTGTCACTGTTCGAGGAATGGGTTGTGGGGTAGTGGAAAATGGAGCTGGTGTAGTTATGATTGTTTTGGGATGTGTTTCGTATTTCCGCATCACCAGTCGGGTTTCGAATTTATCTTCTTTGCAGACCTGGAAGAAATTATGTTTTCTAGGGGTAAACTTTGGCTGACTTTGTCTGATCCCTGGAGTATAACCAAAATCTCTCTAAAACCCACCCTATCCTGAGGATCGAAGCTCATTTGCGGAGCACACGGCACAATCCAAACTCTTCCCGATGGTCCGCATTGTTTATATCTTCCCGGATCCCCGTTTACTGTCCGCAATCCAAAAGTCACTCGATTACACCGCTCCGATGTAAATATCACATCAGCCAAACTATCTGAAATAATTCCCCAGTTTGACATGCTTTGGTAAATAATATAAGATATAGCCACCAATATTTGATTGGTGACTGTCAGCAGCACACTTGGCGCAAATTGTTGTTTTTATCATATTTGAATGACTGGTAAATATTTACTTGTTACGAACTTTACTCGCTACTGTCAATCAATTTGGTTCCAATAATTTCTATCATTTTTTGATAATATGATATGATATTAATTATACTCAACAGACAAAAAACTAATTAATCCAATTGACAAACATATCATTTCACGCACGCGGCGACGACAATCGGATTATTTTTCCCCAGTTTTTTTGGAGGCGAAACAGCAAAAAAAGTTATACAATGTCGTCATGAATCGGGTTGGTAATTTGATATTGTGGCTGCCAATGGTCAGCAATGGATAGTCTGTCAACCCATTGAAACCTAAGCTTGTTCATAAGCTGCGCACTATTTTCCCGGAAAAAAACAATTGACTTACATTTTGTCATTAATAAGAGGAGCAGTAGAAGTTTTCTGATGAGCATTTTTGAAGAGCTGGAAATTTGATTGTGAGGCATTTGGAGGTGATTGAGGAGAAAAGGGGTACAAGGAAAATACGTGGTTGCAAAAAATTGTAGACAATTTATTGTAATGAAGGCAGAAGCCACGTGGATTTTGCGGCTAAAGTGGATACGAAAAACAGTGAAAATTATACACATTTTTGGAGCGAAAAGTATTCCAAATGGAAAAATTCTAAATTTCGATAAAGGTATATCTTTTGGAATTTTTATAGTAAATAAATTTAACGTCATAAAACAGAAAAAACTTCGGAGCCAACATACATTTGTCAAAATTTATCCCCAAAAATCCCACATGAAAATATATATTTTCAAAAAGATCGAACCCCAAACCAGATAAGAAAAATCAAATATATCTTTATCAATTCGAGGTATGCAGCACGCGCGTATTACTTCGACCTACCGCGAAACGCAAAAGCTGTCAAAAAGTTGATCTAAGTCTTGGCCTAATTCTTGCTCTCTCTTTTTCCCGCGCGCAGCTCGCGGAGCACACACACACAGTAAAAAGGAGAAGACTCCGCCCGAAACACAAAAATGACATTGTGAAAAAGCGAACAGAGAGAAGATGAAAGTGAGCATTTTGAAATTGGATATGGGTTGGGCAGGGAAGAAGACTGTCTTCAGGCGGATGTTTAGACAACAAAAACATCTGATGTATCATGAATGTTTATGTTTTTGTTAGGAAAATAATAGGAATACAAAAGAATTTGGGGAGAGAAATGGGAAGAAATTTGGAACGAAATTGTGATTTTATTGGTCTTGGGTGGAAATTATGGAGGGTACTGTAATCTGAAACTGGAGTTTGAATTTCAGAGAACTATTTGAGCTATTTTTTGAACAGAATGAAACATTTCGAGTGATCTCTGGTCTGCTGGTTTCTAATTTTAATTTGGATTGTTACCAGAAACATCTCACATTCTTTCCAGAACTTGTTTATAATTTTGAATCAAGTTCCCAAAAAAATGTTTGATCATTCAATCTTTCCACGTCATAACTCATGTTCAGAGCTCAAAAGTTTTGTGATTCTTTGGAACTTTTAGTTTGATAGGCTAACCTTTTGAAAAATCACTTGATAAGTTTATTTTAAATGTTTCAGCTGTTCATTTTTCTCAGAAGCTTTTCTGATTCAAATTACGTGAAAAGCTTGAAAACTTTTAACATAACTAAGAATTTCAGGATATTCCTGCGTTCAACAAGTTTCTCTCTCCCTTTGTTTAATATTTTCAGCACCTCGAAAAATCCAATTTCAGCCTCAGTTTCCAGCGCAGACTCTTAAAATTAGAGTTCCTCATTACTTTCACGAACACCTATTTTCTTGCAGACATCCAATTATTTTCAAAAAATTATGTGGGTGTTTTTTTTTTCTGTTTGCGAACTTTTTTAATTATTATTTCTTACGATTTTTGTTTTGAGAAAGCGGTTTTGTTTCTTTGAAGTTTTTGATGTCAAAACATTTTCGCTCGATTTTTTCTTATCAAAAATGAATTTGGCCACTATAAAAGCAGCCACTTTTCCGCAGAAAATCATTTTTTATTCGAAATTCTCTATATTTCTAGCTATACAAAAATAAGATTTTTCTGATTTTTTGAGATTATCAGGTTTGGTTAGAAAATAATAGCTCAATTTCTTTTACCGTACTTCATAATCTCGAAAAAACGCAAATTTCTTTCTCTTTAAATATAAATTTTATTTTTGAACAAGGAAAGAAAAGTTCGGAAAAGATTGTTTCCTACGATTAGACAAAATATGTTTCTCCACCTCAAAAATCGCACATGTTTTTTTTTTCGACAGAATAAAAAATTGGTAGAAACACACACGAAAAACGTATTTTCTCGCCGAGTTTTCTTCGAGATCAAGTTTCAGATGTTTTTCTATTTATTGATTTTTTCGGGTTGAAAAAAATGTGTTTTTGACCGAGGTTTTTTTTTTGAATTTCGAAATGATATATATTTCTTGGAATTTTCACTAGCGCACCCTGAATTTTGTATGCATTTTGTTAGTACGAATTTTTGGAGATCAGAAAATCTGCCTGAAATTTTTTTATTATCAAGTCTCAGGGCTCCCGCAGTAACGTGTTCTAGTAGAAATAAATGCTGAAAATATTTTGATTTTTTTTCTGAAATAAAAAGTGCGATTGCGCTGCACCGATCAAAAACCAATAACTCTCCTAAAATCAAATTGTGTTCGCTAGAGCGCACTTGCCTCTTCTCTTCCCAAAAATCTCCTAATCCTCAAGTCCTTTTTTGCCAATGTCTAATCCAATATTTTCCACTATTTCGATCATTGATACTTCTTCTTCTTCTTATTTTCTCTACTACGAAGCACAAAAAAGTCCACAACAAGGTAAATTACATGTTTTTTCTTAGCAGCTCACTTCTTCTTGTCTTTTTTGTCTTCGTTTTTTTGTTCTGAGTGAAAAGAGTGAGTGAGTTAAATTTGTAGTCGTCGACACAACAAAAAACATTGTTTTTGACTTGAGTTTTTTTCAGAGAAAAAATCTCGACTATTTTTTATATACATATAATTTTTCTATAGTTTTTGGTTGGCTCCGCGAGCTCCTAGGACTTGATATTCGAAAATTTTCTATTTTCCAAATGATTGGCCACGTGGATTTTGATCCACAAATTATAGTTTGAAAAATATTAAGCCACGTGGATTTTCAGCTCAAAAATTCAGAGAAATTTCGCTGGAAAATTCTCGACTATTTTTCATATCTTTATTTTTCTTGGCTCCGCGAGCTTATAGAAGAAAAGTGATGTTATCATTCAAAACCTATATTTAATTTTACTTTTTTTTTGCTCTCAAAAATTCTTGACTACTAGTTTAATTGCTCTGTTTTTCCGCAGAAACTACACATCATTTGATTCAACAAAAATCCCAATTAAACTCTTCTCGAAATGCTCAAAAATCATGAGCAATTTTGCATTGCCTGGAAAAATGCAAATACATAAAAAAAATGTCGATTTTTATCGAATTTAAATTGGGCCGTTCGAGTCGCGTTTTAGTGCGCTTTTATTCTAATTTTATATGTTTTTGTGTACTTTTTTGTGGAAAATGAAAAGTGAAACTATTTCAAAAGGTATTTGGTATTTCTACAGTAATCTAACAATTATGGGAGTACTGTAGATTAGGAAAGTCCACAGTAATCATTCAAATTTTGAAAGTTGAATACTGCAGATCAACATCTCAGATTACGGTAGTCAGACTTCTGGTGCCAGAATTTCCCAGAACTTCAGACATCAAAAGTGCGTGATTAGAATAAGTACTCATCTGAAATGTACATAGGTCAACTCCGCTTCTTCTCTTTTTTTGCCTTTTTTCTATTTTTTCCCCATTTTCCCCTCAAACAATGGCATTATTTTTCGAATAAATCAAAAATAAACCCTTTTTTTATTTTTATGAAACGAAAAATATTTTTGCAGCGGCGAAAAAACGCACTTCTTCTCAAGTAAACCGGAAAAATAATAATTAAAAACGAGAATAATTATTATTTTTCTATCTAGCTCAAAAAAGAAGATTTAGGTTTTTGGAATCTTGTGAGTTCGTAGAATTTGTGTTTTTTCGCGAGTTAGGAGGAAAATATTTTTGTTGCTATTCATTCAAGTAAATAAGTTTAGTTTCTTTTGTTTTATATTGTTGTTTTTTTTGTTGGCTGAAAAAATTATTATTTTTTTGAGCAAGTTTTCGGGTTGGAAAAATTCGAAACAAAAGATTTTCTGAAAGCTTAATAGCCACGTGTTGTTTCGTTAAAAAATGAATTGAAAATCAGATTGAACTTGAAAATGAAAGTTTTTCCACGTCATAGTTCACGAGACATAGGTTTCTAGGTTTTTCAATTTTGTCTGGCTTAAGATTTAAGCTTAAGCTTGAGAATCACTTTTCGGGTTCAACCTTGAGGCTTCAAATTCAGAGTCAAACTTTACTCACTTGCCACGTCATAACTCATTTTCCCAAGTGTTGTTTTTTTTTTCAAAAAAAAAAAACAATTCCTGTAAATAATTTTTTCAAAAACCGCCCAACAACTTTTCGAACCAGAAATTGGTCGCATATGTGGCCAAAGCTTTCTATTTTCGGTCTCAAACGAAACAAAAAAACCAAAGATTTCTCAAAAATTCATACATTTTCTGCAGATTTCTGCCGAATTTCCCCCAATTTCCTGTTTCAGTTTCATTTTTGTCTCTATTCTTCATATCCGAGAAAAATTGAATGAATAATTCATTGTTCTGTTGTTTTTTTCTGTTCAGTCAGTGTCACCATTGATTTTTTACTTGACTTGACACTTTTTGGCCGCCCGCAAACATTTCATATTTTGCGCCATTTTTTCAGACCATCAGGCCCGTTGGCCACGCCCATTTTCTTCATCTGAATAAGAAGCCACGCCCACTTTTTTTGCTGTGAGAAGGCGAAAAAACGACGAAGAAGGACAAAGTGGATAGCAGCAAAAAACGAGAAAAAATATGACAATTTTCGACTCGTCGCTTTTATTTTTTATATTGTAAGTTATACTTTTTATGGGTGGTTTATTGTGAAAAATTGGGGAAAAAATTGGAAATTTTTTAGTTAGGCTATCTACGAATTTTTCGTGTAGACATTTCTATTTTCTTCAGGCTTTAGGGATAACAATTTAGGCTTCTGGCTTCAGGCTTAGATTTTGCTCTATAGAGCTAGAGGTATTCAAGTTAGGCTATCTACGCGTTGAAGCATTAAGCTTAAATCTAAAGCTTTATGTTTAGGCTTCAGACTTCAGACAAGGTTGAATATTTTTGAATCAGAGAAAAATTTTGTTTGGATTTTTCTTCAACCTAGATAAAACTGCTCAAAAATACAGATTAATTGAAAAATTTTGCTATATACGGCAAAACGAGGTGTTTTTGTTTTTTCCACAGCCGTTTTTTCATAGGCATTTAATTGAAAAAGGATAAGATGAAAATAAATATTATTGGGAAAAAAAACTATTTTTTTTTGGTTAAGCCTAAGCAAATAAAATAGAGACTGAAGAAAAGCCTGAGTCTAAGATTGTATAATTAATTTGTGAAATTTTGTTTTCGAGCAGATCTCTCAGCTTTTATCCAAAAAAAATTCCCCCCGCAAAAAATGAACTTTGCTCTCTCCAGGGACACATATGTTTCTTGATGTTCTTTTTTTCAACAACAACAAATACAAATTGAGAACTGAGAACTGAGCAAAGAGCTCTGGCTCGAGAAAAAAGAGCTGGGAGTGGAGGAGATCTAATCAACACGAATTTCGTATGCTTCGTTAATTTTTCGAGAGACAAAAAGCCTTGCTCTTTTGTCGAATAATTAAACAGATTCAGATTTCGAGAATTCTTTTTATTTCATTTTATTTCTTATGCTTGAATTGAGTTTCGGGGAAATCTGGGAGACTACAGAAAAACAACGAGACTCCGATGTAGTTAGTCTTTGGCTGAACACATTTCTTGGGGGCTCTAGAATTACAAAGGAATTTTGAATGTATTGAAGAAGGTTTAGGCTCTAGATTTTAGCCTTAGCTTTCCATAACCTCCAATAAAAAGTCCAAAGGCTAATTCAATTCCATAGTTGTTTGCCTATTCAGAATTCGAATATGTTGTTCAATAAAATCGCCCGAAGTCTTTGAACTGCTTCAAAAAAAGGCGATGCCAAACAATGAAAAACTCGATGAGCCCCTTCAGGTGTACTTTGGATTCTATGTCGAAAGTTTGGGCAATTTTCGAGCAACTGAAATGGTGAGTGAGTGGGAGAAAGGAAATTGACAAATTATTCGGCGAATGACTTGTTGACACGCAGACACGCAGTTATTTATTTTTTGCTAACAAACTTCCGGGATTGAAAGAAGAGTTTCTTTGATTAATTGGTTTTTTCAGACATTTGATATGGATATGTATTTATATATGAGTTGGCAAGACGATGCAATGAAGCATAATGGAACCGAGCACATCCTTATAAATGGTTAATTTTTTTTTGAAATTTATCTTGAAGCAGAAGCTTCCACTCGCTTCAATCGAAAAATCCCATAATAATTTCCCTGTTTCAGATCGCGATATTTTGGACAAAATCTGGCTGCCGGATTTGTACTTTGCCAACGCGCGCACAGCCTATTTCCACAAAGTCACCCTCTACAACTTCAACATGTTTATCTCGCCAGCTGGCACAATTTCATATGGAACGAGAGTGACATTGAATTTGGCGTGTAATTTGGATCTCAAAGATTATCCGCTCGATTCGCAGACATGTTTTATCAAGATTATAAGTTGTGAGTTCTGAGAAGAAGCTGAGAAGACGGGAAGGAAAAAAAGAAAGTACACATTTTCAGACAAATTCAATTTTAGTCATTTTTTCGAATTGTGAGGGAAGAAAATACGAGAAAATAGAAAACACAAAGAATTTTTATGGTGATATAAAAATAGAAGAAAAATTCTGGTCTGTTTTTCTAAATTTGGAAAATAGGCCCAAAAATTGTTCTAAACCACCTTTTCTCATTCCAGATGCTCACGTGAAAAATGAAATGAATGTAACGTGGTTTCCCGATGCTCCAATCCGCTACAATCCCGAAATCGATCTTCCCGAATATCACATCAAAAAACTTGACAAAGGTTACTGTAATGGTGTATTCTTATACACTCTAACTCATAATTCATCGCGTGTTGGTGAATTCAGTTGTCTTTTGGGAATGTTGAAATTGAAGCGAGCAATTGGTTTTCATTTGGTACAAAGTTATATTCCAACTGGTTTGATTGTTGCAATTTCTTGGGTTTCATTTTGGATTGATAGAAGAGCTGTTCCAGCAAGAGTTAGCCTAAGTTTTACAACTTTGTTGACTTTGAGCACACAAGGAAATGGTATTCGATATGCACTTCCAGCTGTCAGTTATGCTAAAGCTATTGATTTTTTCTATGGAGGTAAGTATCTAACATTACTGTAGTTTCTTGGCGTCAAATGTAATTTCAAATTTCCTCAAAAAATTACGTTTCAAATATATATAATTACAGAAAATGTTTGAGAAATATTGCTCACATTCAGTAATCTGTAATTGTCAAAAAGAATTTTTGCGCCAAAATCTACAGTAATCTTGTACTAGAGTACTATTGTATTTGAGTGCGCATTTATTGTTTCATTTGACATCTGAAGTCACTCAAGTAAAAAAAAACACAACAATTATGTATTCATTCTTATTTTTCTTTTCATTTCCCACTTATTTTCAGTATGCATGTTATTCATCTTTGGCGTTTTGCTTGAATTTGCCCTTGTCAACAGTTATATGCGAAGAGCCAACAAATACAATCATATGGCCGATAAAATACAAAGTGCATATGGTGGAAAACCGATAATTGCGGCTGATTATGATTCAGATTATGAAGAAGGTCCAACAAATTATTATGGAAATTTGAATAAGAATTCGGCACATTTGATGTATAAAGCACTACAGTTTTCGAGAAAAGCGTTGGCTATTGATAAAGCAGCAAGGTTTATCTTTCCATGTGAGTTTTGTTGCGAGTGTAAATCGCAAGCTTCAATCTCGAGAGAAAATCTCGAAATTTTTCCAGGTATTTTCCTGATCTTCAATCTTTGCTATTGGTGGTATTATATGAAACAACGACGCGATGCAGAAGATGAATAAGCAATACGGATCTCCCTCAATTGATTTTTACCCTTTCCTTTCCCATTCCAAATCCCAAACCAAACCAAAACACGGTTAGCCGAACTATTCTATGCGGGTCAACTTTTTTGCCGGATAAAACCGAAATACATACAACAATAATAATAAATGAATGAAAAAATAAATATTTATTCAAAGAACTCCTTCAATTCTTGTTTATTTACTTTGAGGTTGAAAAAAAAGAACACCGGGAGATTGAGAAAGAGCAAAAAACACAACAGATTGTTATCACCCCATTTTTGGAGATTGTGAAGTGGTTTGAGACCGGATAATATGTGATGATCTTGTTTCAACAAATCATTTTTGACACTCTCAAGTGGCCAATTGATATGTTATTATTATAGGAGGCGAAGATAAGTGTGCCAAAAATGGATGGAAAAAAGAAGCAACAGGAAAAAAAGGACACCGTGAACATTTTTGATCAGAACTATGTTCCTCTTAAGCCAGTTATATCAAAAAAATCTCTGTCTAAATAATGAATCATAATGTAAATGCATGTCGTAAGTATCGAAGAAAAAAACTTGTCAACATTTTTTTCGGCTCATTTCTTGCTCTTGTAGATATTTAAAATTCATATGAGCCATGCATACTGTATTAGCTCACAAGCTCAAACTACAAGAATTTCGCACAAAGATTGATTGCAGACTGGGTGGTCTTGGTTGAGCGGGAGAACAACGATGCTCCGTTTGCACCTATCGCAAACTTTATTAACCACAATCAATTGGAGCCCCATTTTTCCAAATTTATCAAAAAAAAATCTGCCAAATGGCAGCCCGGATATCCTATTTTCGCAATCTGCCTTTGTCTTCTTCTTCCGATTATCATTCATTATTTTCCTCATTATTTCTATTATCGAAATAAAAACAAACAAATAAACAAGGCCTTCGACCTTCGGATCTCCGACGGTTTATCCGGTTTTGAAATGTAAACACACACAGACACAAAAAAGTGGATACAGGAGTTCCCTCCCATTTTTTGCCGTTTCCTCGGAATATTATCATTTTTTAGTAGAACACAAGAATGAGGTTAATTTTAATATTCACAGTCTTTTATTTTGTGGAGATCTATGGTTTGACAACAATCGCTGATGTTGATCGAATGAAACATGATATTTCAAAGTTTTTGTCGATTTCTAGACATAATGAGACTGAAAAATCAGTAGCTAGAGTTGCAATCAAAAGAGCATTGGAAGCTGTTGGATTATCATCGATGACTCATACTTTTATTCATGAGGAAACTGTGAGTTTTGAAGGAATGATCTTATTCCTATTTTGTTTTAGAACGAAATTGGGGCAAATGTGATAGCTGTTCAAAAAGGTCCACATTTTGGAACATCTCAAGATCGACTTGTTGTACTTTCTGCCAACTACGATACTCTTGAAGATAATCCAGGTGTTGATGATAATGGTTCTGGAGTTGCAGCTGTTATTGAGGCGGCGAGAATTATGAGTACATTAGATACATTGTATTCAAGAATGTACACGATTATTTATGTTTGTTATGATATGAAGCATAAGGTAAACATGAAGGATTTTGGTACGGGATTCAGAAAATTTGAAATTCCTTTGAACAAAAATTCATATTTTTTTGTATATTTCTTCAAATGTCGTTAAAAAAAGAACAGATCATTGGCAATTTTTGTGGAAAAATACGTTTCACAAAAACATGAAATTTTAAGGGTTAATTCACAAATGATTTCAACTTTTTCATATCCAAATATTCTTTCAGTCTCTAGCCGGTTCTCATGCTTTTGTCGAAGACATTCTTCTTCCTTTGGTCGAAAGAACAAATGCGGAAATTATTGCAGCTGTTGTTGTTGATGGAATATTACATTTTGATCCGTTTCCAGGTTCACAAGCTATGCCAGCTGAGTTTGAAACGGTTGGTTAATTGAAAGATCAAAGGCTGATCAGAAAATTTCGTGGAATATCTTCAATGAAATCAGTTATTTTAAATTTTTACAAGTTCTTTCTAATGGCATCAGTTATATTTTTTACCTCCCTAATCTAATACTTTCAGCTTTTCCCCGACGCTGCTCACGAACTCCATTCTCATTCTCACATGGGTGATTTCATCCAAATCAATTCTCGTTCTCGAATCGATGATCATCTCGTCCATCTTTTCTCCAAATCCTATAATCGTTCATCCGAAATGCTTTCCGATGATTGGCCATTTCATCCGTGGATGTTATCATTGAAAATGGATATTGCAAATATAACATCACTCGATAGATTATACAAGTGAGCTAGATATCTCTAAAATTTGTAGAACCTTTTTAATGAGCATTTTCAGAAAAGTTGCCAGAGATCAAAATGGGTAAGACACAAGCACTTTAGTTAGAAAAAATCACCCTTTCGTTAGCTTAGCATGGCTTAAATTTAAAAAAAACCCTACCTAACCAAATATGTAAAATTAAATTTTATTAAAAAAGAACAAATTGCAGGCTTCATCCATTCCTGTTTTCCGATCATTCTTCATTTTTCTTCCACTCAAAGAAAAACGATTTCGAAATTCCAACAATATATTTAACAGATACTTGTAAGTTTAGAACATTGGGGCTTTTAGATTGGGACAGGTTCATAAAAACATGTTCAGATTGACATATTAATTTTTTACCTCGTACCGATTCAAACTTCGCCTGGAAGTTCAGATTCAGATCCCAAAAATCCTCCTAAATTACAGTAAACCTTCGAGGTGTCCGCCAATACTGTGTTCAATGTGATGGTCTCTATATGATGACTGAACAAAACATGAAATTCCTCGCTCTAATGACCGATGCTCTTATCAGATTTTTGATTGAAATGAGTCAATCAAGTGCAATCGGAGTTGTCGATGATCTATATTCATTCATGTTCAACATCGATGTTGAATAGAATAAGAAGAAGAATCCCTCACTAATGTCTTAATCAAAGAACAGCAAAAGGAAGTTTACGAGTATAATTTATTTACAACTTATTATTATTATTATTTTTTCATGCATAAAAACCTGTAAAACATCAAAAAAAGTACATATTCAGAAAACAAAAGAAGTTCAGAAAAAGAAAAACCCGTTGAAAATGAGACTAGTCAATAAACATCGGCTGATTTGATTCGATTATTATGATGGATGAGACTAGCATGAACCTGGAATTCAATTTATCAGTTTTTGGAGAATTGTGGGGTTAATAAAGGCACCTTTTTTTGAAAACATTTACAATTTGGAAAATGAGAAAAACAGTGAGAAATTCCAAGAATTACAGTCGTAACTTTTCGGAAAACAAATAGATACCGTATCTCATCTAGAATCAATATTTGAGTACAGTAATATTGAGCCTTAATACTGTACCACAGTTGGAATTCAAATTTTAATACGGTAATTTTGATCCCAGCTAGAGAACTAATTTTGAATTTAAACAACACTTTATTTTTCAGATCTAAAGTATCGTCAAATTGTTTTCAAACTCCTGAATATTTCCAAAATAGTTACCCAAAAACTTACAGTTCTAGAAATCACTGGAGTTCTCGTACCATTTTTTGTCTGAAATTTGAATCATTGTTTCACCTATTTCTTCTTCACAGTGATTTTTTGACCCCTTGAAATTCCTAACATAAGTGTTCCCAAAATTACCCTTATCAAAATTCAAAAAAAAAACTCACAGTTCTAGAAATCACCGGAGTTCTCGTACCATTTTTTGTCTGAAATTTGAATCATTGTTTAACTATTTTTTCTTTGCAGTGATTTTTTGACCCCAGAATGAAATTCCTAACATAAATGTTCCCAAAATTACCCTTATCAAAATTCAGAAAAAAAAAACTCACAGTTCTAGAAATCACCGGAGTTCTTGTACCATTTTTTGTGACCGTAACCGGATCGTTAGAAACGACTTGATGTTGTTGAATGTAAGTCGACGAGACCGACCTAAATCAAAAAATATATTTTTCAAATCTAAGATTCATAAGGATAATCTACAATGTGTGAGTGGTGTTAAGTAAGAAAAGAAGTGGGGTTAGGGATTGAGATTTACGAGTTGTGAGTGTGAAAATGTGAAAACATCTAATATTTATTTTACCTTTGACCAATCACTTTCAGATCGTGAGCTGCTGAAGTTGGAAAAATCATTTTTCAGAAAAGAAAGCCAACAAAATTATTTTTAATCAGATCAAATAAAAAATACAAACCTATTAATCATTGGTTTATCATTCGATGATTTTCCATTTGCTGGACCACCATTGACCGGAATATAAACCTGAACAGAAAAACAACTGAATATGTTGCAAGTTAGGCAAATCACAAACACGGGCTTTTAATAAAATTTAAAAAGTTTCAGAATAAAATTGAAAAGAAAGTGCAAACCTTTTGAAAATGATTTCTCATATTCTTTTTTCGAATTCCAAAAGTCGCATAAACTGCATTTCTGAATTTCTTATTCAAAAAGCAATATGTGATTGGATTTGTGCAAGATGAAACATAGTTCAGCATTGTGAATACGGTATTCAATCGATCATTCCAAATATCCATTCGCAGACTTTGGAATGTGTCTGTTGTTATAAGACATAACCAATAAATATAAGATGGTGTCCAACAGCAAAAGAATATTATCACAACTACGATTAACATTCTGCAAAAATATGTTGTGAAATTGGGGTTGGGGTTGGTTCTACTTACAATTAGTTTTCGAAACTGGGGAGATTCATACGTCAAAAGCTAGATACTTTTGAAATTAATGTTTTTTTAATCAGTGATTTTTGTAGAAAAATAATTCTAGAGATTTACTATTTCAGATTCCCAATCTCATTTCAACATCTACATCTTCTCTGATACTTACTTGATAACTCTTTGCTTTGCCATCGCACTTTTTTGATTATGCGTCGATCGCAAACTTGGATTCTCCAAACAAATCGACGCCTCACTTTTCCGATGACTCATATTAACCTCCAAATTTGCACCCTTATCTGGCTGATAGGCCAATTTATTTGTTAACTTTTGCCAGATCGTTAATTTCGAATCGGGAAGTGCAGATGTGACAACAGCTAAAAAAATATAAATTTGAAAATTATCAGAAGCTTTTAAAGGACGGGTCCCAGGGTCTCTTAACTTCACTGAACTTATAGATTTAAACCAAATTGACTGTCAAAAAACGAACGAAATTAAATTATTAAAAAGAAAAAACGTTACACACACTTTTTGGTAGCAGGGTTGATAACATCACTCATACTGGGGGTAAATCAAAAAAATTCAAAATAAATTAAAAACACAAAAACACCTGAAGGAGGTAAAAGCACAGCACCACTAGAACGACGACGTTGTTCTTGAAGTTTGTAGTCATCAATTGAAGTTGGTGTTAAGAATGGTGTAGAAACTGAAGATGCAGCTGGAGGTGGAGGTGGTGGAAAAAGAGCAATACACGATGTGGCTCGAGCCAATGTTGAACTTCCAACAAGAATGCTGTCAAGATTATGGGAAGAATGAGATTGTTTAAGAGGACCTGTTGCTGCTGCAATTCCATTTGATGGAGTTGGTTCAACGACTGAAGTGATCTCCAATTTTATACCAGTTTTTAAACTTCGAATCACATTTCCGTATAAGAATGTCATAATAAACAATGGAACTATTAAAAGAACCACTGTGATATAGCACTGAAAAAAAAATAAATGGAATCAGGGAACTCAGAGAATAACAACGGAAGTCCAGTGGACAAAGTCCTCCGCTGGAGTCCCGAAATAGCGAATTTCGGAATCCCGTCGGAGAGATCTCTCCGGCGGACTTCCAGATTTGTTTTTTTGCCAGAACGACAAAAACGGACTCCAAAACTTGGAAAACCAGTGGAGAACATTGTCCGCTGGAGTTCCGGAATGAGATTTCGGCTTTTTTTGGAATTCCAGCGGAGAATTCTCTCCGGCGGAGTTACCAATTGTGTCCAGAAAGACTACGGCGGAGAGAAGAAGTGAACTTTTGACTTTTGAGTTGAAACTTCGATTTTCATGTTTTTTCCATTAGGTTTTCGGTTAGACGTTGAGGAACAAACTTTTTGATTAGACGACCGAAATGTAAACGGAAAAATGAATATTAGAAAAGTTTTAGTTTGTTAATTTCATGAAGTTCCTCCCAACTTCAAAGACTGGAAAACAGTTGCCTCATTATGATTTTACGAACTAAACTTACTCGTTTCTGACAGAAAAAAAGTTGCACTGTAATTTCTATTGTTTGAATGTCTCACATCAAAGCTATTGATAAAAATTAGATTCTGAATTCAATATAATCATAATTTTTTCTATAATTTCACGGAAACATTTGAATACCGGTTCAGGAAGTAGTATCATCTCTTTTCCTAAAGTATTCATGAATTAGAAAATTTAAATCAGCCTGAGAAAATTTTTCGTTACTTTTCAAGTAAAAATTATAAACACATGTTTCGAAAATTGAAATTTCAGCACTATTTTACGAACATTTTTGAATCAAAAAACTTATGATTAAAATGTTCAATTTTGACTCTCTGGAGTTAAAAACATCATTTTTCTATGTTTTTCAAGAAATATTTGGAAAACTAGATAAATCTCATATGAAACAACTTTCAAATGATTAATTCTAATCCTTAAATAGCTAATTTATGGGTCAAAAGTACTAACATATACAAATTCGGCTGATACTAATTATATAAACACCAATAGCCGCTGGTGTTTCTATGCGCGTGGATGGTGTAATTGGGTGAATGGCTGCCTATTGATCCGCCCTCAATAGCCAGGTTCGATCCCCGCTAGTGGCAGATCAAAACAGACAACTTCAAAATCAAACCGACTTATCATAAATCAGTTTCAGATGCTTCAAATAGGTTCCAGATGACAAAAACAGCTTCAGATAGAAGCCCCAGCAACCTCATATTTTCCTTTTTAATTTTGAAAATTTTGCCTCCCGGAGCTCCGGCGGAGAGTTTTCGGACTTCCGGCGGAGAGTTTTGGGACTTCCAGCGGTGGTAGAATGGAATTCCAGGTTCTCTCCGCCGGAACTCCGAAAACTCTCCACTGGTCTTCCGTTCTTATTCTCTGAGTAATTAGAAAAAAAGATAACTCACCTGATTGATAAAAATATAAATCTGCGAAAAAATTGGTGCACATGTAAAAGCTCGTTCATTGAGTTGAGCTTGTTCATACATAAATAACATTGCACCATTCGCAGTGATTGCGACAACCCAAACAAGAGTTATCATTGCGTAAGCATGCGATCTTGTTTGCCAAATTCGAGAATGTAAAGGTTTACAGATTGCATAATACCTTTCAAATGCGATTACTGCTAATGTATAGGCAGAGGCAGTTACAACCACAGCTGAAAATATTTTTATGTATTAAAAAGATCTCTACTGTAAAATTGTATCAAAAATTTCAAAAACTGCAAGAAATCCCCATTTTTTCAAAAATTTGACTCACGCTGTAGATAGGCAAAAACTTTACACATATACGCGCCGAATACCCAACAATTCATAATCATTGAGATCAAAGTGGGTGGCATACAAACAACGGATAACATCATATCACTTGCTGCCAAATTCATCAAATATATATTTGTTATTGATCGCATTGTTCGTTGCTGAAAATTCAGTCATATTATAATTCTAAAGAGACCCTTGTGAACCAAAATTTTTTTTAAAATTAGCTTGTTTTTTGAACCTAAAGTTCGTTTTGTTTCTAGATCACATCAGAAGTTAAGAAAAAATTGTATATAAATTATTCATCCCTATTTGTGTTTTTTTGATGAGTGAGTCCCTTTTCAGAGACATTTCAAGAAAAAAGTGCACTCTGTTTTTGACAAAATGAGAAAAACACATTTTGTTTAATGAAAAAAAAAAGTTCATGGGAAAAATATTTTTGTTTTGAATTTCTTTGAAGAAAAATGTCTACATGTTGAAAGTGCACGGCATGTAATTTACTATTTAAAAATTCCCCAGATTTTTTGAGAATAAAATTTTTAAAAAAATGCTCACTTTTAAAATAACCAATAAAACCAGTGAATTTCCAATAACCGAAAGCAGAAAAATTGTGCAAAATGTGAAGATTAGAACAAAATGTTCGGTTGATAATCGAAGTGAACATTGGAGTGATGTTTCTGCATGATCCAATGATGACATATTGCTGGAACACAAAAAATATAATTTTTGTTGACTAAAAATAATAAATGAAAATAAATAAATAGTAATTAGATTTGTATACATAGATAAAGTGCATTATGTGTATTGCTCATTTTCATTTTCAAAAACATATTCGACGAAAAATAAAATGACAATTACAATATTCACACTTTGTCCTTGTCCTGTTCAAAAAATATCAACAACAAAAAAATGTGAAATCGAATTTTGAATTGCCAACAATTTTCCAATCTTTTGTGTGCTCTTTTTTGCGAACAACATCGAGTTTTTCGAACACAAAACTAGCTGGAAAAGAGGATCAAAAGTCAGCAAAATTTACATTCAAAACAATAACATTTTTGTTTTATTGAACTTTTTTTTGCCAAAGATTGAATAAATGTCTGGAGACAAGTAAAACACTAACAAGTTTAGGAGAGAATGAGAAGAGAGCAATTATTTTCAACACATCTGAAGAGTCGGATTACTTTTCGATGAATTATTCAATAAATGTTTAAGGCAAGGAGGAGACAGAAGGGTATTTAAAATAGAAAAAAAGAAAGTGTGTTTTCTTTGTCAAGATCTATGTTAGGAGAAAAAACCAAGGAAGATTAGAGCAACAAATCTTGGGAGCTTCAGGTTTTCAAAATACATATATTTTGACCACAAACTGTTTCAAATTTCATCGAATTAATGGGAAAAAAAATACGTTTCAATATTTGGTTTTTTAAAAATTTCAATTTATCAATTTGATAAAGTAGTGTTGTCTTCGAAGTTTATCAAAATCTTTGTTGTGAATTAGTTAGGATAACTCGAGATAATTATTTTCCTAATAATATTGAAAAATTCAAATGACGTCACTTTCACAGAAATTTTAAAATCTGCTGTTTCGCTGATGCGGAAAAATGTAGTTTATATTACTCTTTGCTAAAATTTTTCCCACATAGCACGAAAAATAAAAAAAATGATTTCGTCAAAATTCCCATGTCTGAGCAAACTCCAGGGGTTCAAATATGAATAATTAAAAATATATGGAAAATTTTGCAGGTGGAAGTCACAAGGTTTTTTCAGAAAAAAAATCAGAAAAACTAACAGACTGAAAAATGTCTGGGCTCAAAGTTTAATTTCAAATTCGCAAGAAGGTTTCGAGTTTCAAAATTAGAATAAGAAGAGGAAAAAGAAATAGTAGTATTCTAAAGTCAATAAAAATTGCAGAGCAAAAAATATATCTTTATTCGAATAAATAGAATAAATTAAATCTTTTATTGAGAGCAGAATAGGAAATTCCGGGTACACAAAATTCCCAGAGGATTTTTAATTCGGAAAAAAAGGTGTTTTGATTCCTTGAGATCAAAGTTTCAAAAAAAAAAACTGAGAAGATGCGTGCCTTAGGCTTAGCTTAACCTAAGCCTAATTTTAGGCTCGTCAGCTTCAAAAATCGCGATTTCTGATGCTTGTCGAGAAAAAAAGAAACATATGAATGTTTATTTATTTTTGGCCTTGTTCTTCAAAAAATCTTTCGCCCACTAAAACAAACTTTTCTTATTCATTCATTCATTATTTTTTAAGTAAGAGGAAGTGGAGAACGAAAGTTCGAAAAATCTGAAAATCACCAAAAACTCATTCGAAAAAAAAACTAAAAACAGCCGGAGGGCAAAAAACATACACATTTTCTCGTGCGCGCGAGATCCTAGGCCTCACCCCAAACAAAATAGGAGCAAAAAAAGAATAGAAAATATTTTTAATGTCACAATTATTGGGACGCGAAAATTAGACATCGAACATCGAGAAAAACAAAAGAAATAATGTGTCATATTCAGCCATTTTTTGCTCTATCTTCTTTCATGAAAATTTTTGGGGGAAAAAAGAGGAGGTTGTTTTTTAAAAATGAAATGGGCTCTGACGTAGTTTCGAAGTTGAAAGTTCAGAGGATTTTTTGCAGGTTGGCGCAGGCTTAATTGAACTGATAAACTTAGACTAACTTTCACTGTCCAAAAAACAATAAATGTGCCAGCTAGTTCAGAAGATACAAGAAAAGCGTCAACAATTCTGGAAGCTTCACGAAATGCGTCAGTGAATCTTAAAACTACAGAAAATGTGTCAGTGAAATTTGAAGCTATCAAAAATTCTCCAAAAAATCTAGAAACTATAGAAAATGCGTCAACTTAGATCTTCTAGACTCTTTTTAAGGTCATCTTATTTCTAGAATTCCAGACACGTGTTCAAAATATTTGTCAACCAAAATTCACAAAAAGTGCGCAAGCACTCGAAATGTGTCAATAATGAACTCGAGGTCCCAGAAATTTCTGTGAAATAAATATTATTTTTCTGTCAAGGAAGACGGGTCTTGTTTTTGGCACTTTTTCGAAAAAGGTGCTGACGTAATAAATAAATTGTGGAGTGAAAATTCGAACAGGAATTTGATAGCCGAGTCGGATTCAAGGCCATAGAGTCCATATAAATTCGGCCACAGAAAGCCGTGATTATTCGAACTCACTCTGGTTAATAAAAAAATACTCGGAAAAATATGTGGATTCAGAAAATTGAATTATGTTTGTTGTTTTTGGAACACGAAGGTCAATAATTCAATTTTTAGGAATTTTTCTGAAAAATAGTGGCCGAATTGGATTTCTGATCCTAACATGAAATTTTTCAGGATTTTTTTTATTAATTTGCTGAGTTCTACGAAATGAACAAAAACAGCTGAAAAATCCAGCTTCCGCTTTTTTGTTCAAAAAAAAATCCACTATTAGATGTTTTGGCGAAAAAAAAAGCGACACGGAAAAAATAATTTGTGTGTGAGGTCTTGGAACGAAATTAAAATTCTCTTTCAACTAACTTTTTCTTTTTTCTATCTAAAAATAACAAACTTTGAGGAGAACGAAAAAAAATAATCTTGAGAAGGAAGCAACGAAAAAAAATGATTTATGAGTTGAAAAATATCTTGGGTTGGTAGAATGGAAAGAAAAAAAAGTGGGCGGAAAAATGATGGGGAAAATATATTTACTATATCAAAAATCTCTCTTATGTTAGCCTAACTGTAATCCTAGTTATTTTCGGAAATCCTAAAGACTAGGTCTAGGTTAAGCCTAAGTCTAGTCCCAGTTTTTCTCGCAAGCCTAACGTAAGCCTTATTTTTTTTTTGAAAAAAATCTATATAAAAATGTGTTATTTTCCAATTTTCCAATATGAATAACACCCCAAAAAATCAATTTAGTTCCATAGATTTTTGCTGTTGTTGGATAACAAAATATACATAAATCATGAATATATATTTCCAGGAAATTGAAAAATGCACGTTGAAAGTTCCGGGGGCAAAAAGGAAATTGTTAATTTTTTGAAAAAATAAAAGGAAGAGAAGGGGAAAAATTGATCCTCGTTCCTACGGTAAAAATTTATAATTCTTTTTGTTTCACACATTTTTTTCACACGCGGCATTTGCTCTCCAAAAAACTTATTATTTAATTAACTCTCATTCAAAAGTATTATAATATGAGCAGCAGCAAAATACTTTGGTCTAACTTGAACTGAGACGTAGGTTTGGTAAACAAGTTAGGCTAAGTCTGGGCCTAATCTAGGCCTAGCCTTACATTAGGCTTCAAAAACAAAGCTTAGGCTTGAGAAAACCCTAGGTATAATCAGGTAAAATCTTAGGCTTGATTTAGGTTTAGCCTAGTCTTAGGCTTCACCTTGGTCTAGTTTATTTTCTTTCAGCAAAACCTTTCAGAACATTTTTACCCCATAAAAATTTAACTCACCTCGAAACGCCTGTGACGTTGAAAAAATCATCAGTTTCATTCATTTTTTATCTCTGAAAAAAAAATCAAAGTTTATTATTATAATAATAATAGCATTTTTCAGGAGAAAATTTCAAAAAAGTGACGAATTAAAATGAACCGGAAACACGGTGGGGCATTGTAGTTTGCTCCAATGCGCACATTTTCCCACCGCTAGCAAAAAAAAAATTATAAAAAGAATAAAAAAAAACTTTTTTCGTACTTAGGTGAAGTCGACTTCCTTCGAAACAATTTTTTTGTTTTCGAAAAAATCGATGAAAACCCCGGAAAAAAACCGAAGTAAAACTCCGAACGAAAAATGATGGATTTTGACAAGTTTTCGTCAATTTTAATGACAAGAAAGTGTCAGAATTTTTTTCGGCTCAAAAGAGAAAAAGCAACAAAAAATATGGAACACAGAAAAAGTTGACGCAAAAAAATTGAGATTTTTTGGAGGGCTTAGTTTTTTGATAGATGTGTTCACACTTTTCGGAAAAAGGTTAGGCAAAAAAAGGAGAGCAAGAAAAAAATAATAATTTTTTGCGGAGAAAACGAAAAAGTGAATAACAAACAGAACATTTAAACTAACAAGTTTCCCACCATTTAAGACGATTATTTTATAGAAAATATGTTGGAAAAATGGGAAAAGTCAGTCACATTCCGAACTTTTTTAGGATTCGGGATTTGGAGAATCAAAAGGGCCACAATATAAAACTGAACTCAAAAATTAAACACTTACTTTTGATATGGCAAATTTTCAGGTACTGTAACTTTGTTGAAACTTTTGGCATGTCATAACTATTTTTTGAAGCAAATAAAAATATCATAATTTTGGAAAATGTCTTTCAGAAAACTTATTTGCTAATTGTAAACTACAGAACTCTCCGACGAAAAATATGTAGTTTGGAAAAATTAGCCTAAATAAGCTAAATTGAGAAAATTCCAGAACTTGCGGGTCAACTCTTCTTGTTAGCATAAACAAAAAATATTTATTTGAGACAAGTCTAAATTTCATGAAATTCCTGAATTCAATTCTGATTCCAATTCTAGAATACACATTTGCAAAAACTCTACACCGTATCCCCAAAAAGCCACATCGTTTCTCTCGGAAAAAAACGAAAGAAAATGGGATTTATGTCTGAAGATGAAACATTTTTATGTTACTCTTGACTTTTGAGAAAAATTCGAGTTTATGGGAAAATTTGCATCTTTCCAAATTAATTTTCGTCGTCAACTGAAGAAAAAAAAAAAGAAATTTTGGAAGCTATGTTTAATATAAAAATAAGAAAAAATAGCGGGAAAAAGTCAGTCGGATAAATTGTCCTTTTTGAACGTTTTCCTTCTGACTTGAATTGGAAATTTAGGCAAATTAGGTTTGAAGACGGGGAAAAAACGAGGAAATTTTCAGAAGAAAACAAGGCAAACTTTTTCGCGTTGCGAGTAGAAGAAGAAGCGTTTCGAGTTCAATTGAAAACCAATTTTGGTGAATGAAAAAGAAAGTATTTTATTGCTCTAATTTTCAGGGGCACGAAGACTTTTTGCTCGTTTGAAGCCGCGAAAAAATATAATATTGAAACACACAGATGACACCTGTGAAATGAGAAATAATGAAGAAATACGGGAAGAGGACAGTTGCGATATTAGATATATTATTAGATAAATTGAGTGAGAGAAAAAGATTTTTGAGCACATAAGATACAAAAAATCAAAAAATAATAATGTTTTATGGATACTGTAATCTTAAAGGTCCACGAGTTTAAAAAAAAATGTTTCAAAAGATACTGTAATCTTAAAGACACACTCAACAAAATATGTGAGGTCTCGTGGCGAAAAAATTCATTTCTGAAAGTTTTAGCTTGGGTTTTTTGTAATCTTGAAGGCGCAAACATAAATCATTCAAGGTCTCACAACGAACAAGAATCGAATTTATCTAAATTTTTACGTTAAAAAAAATAAAAACATTTCTGGAGTGCCGAAATTTTAAAGGCGCACAGCAGAATCTACCTCGGCTCTCGCGACGAGCGCCTTTTTTCATGTTACTTTCTCGTGATCTCAGAAAAACAGCAAAGAGTTCCCTCTCTTCTCAAAATAATTATATCTAGTTTTTACTCAAATTTCCAACCAACAACTAGGTCAAAACTGCTCATCACACCAAACTTCGAAACACAAACACATTCACATCCAGAGCAACAAGCAAAAAAAAAAAATATAAGATAAAAAGTGGGTGGTGTAATGTGATCTTAAAAAAAGACACGATTTTTTTCTGTTCTTGTCTTGTCTTTTTTCTACATTTTTTTGTGCCTGATGATGATGACAAGATTTTAGTTTGATTGATGTATGAATGGGAGCGGAGAAACGAAGAAAGGGAAGATGCAGAATTTTTTAACTTTCCCATATAACATTCTCAAATTACAAAAAAAATTGAAGACTTCGGAATAAAAAACACGTAGGTAAAAATAAGGAAGAGGGTTCCTAGAGGGAATTTCGTTGTTTTTCTTCCGTTTTTTCGGGAACCAAATAAAATAAATATATGGTAATTTTTCGAGTTCGTGTAAATCAAAAATAAAAGAAGAGAAAGAAGTGACTTAAAATAGATTTGGTTTTGAAAAATTGGAAATGTTCCTAATCGTCTCACTATTTTTTAGAAAACTTCTGAAGAATCCAATATAGTCAGAGCTCAAAATAGCTCTTGTGAAATCAAAAAAATCAAGAAGAAATAGAGGAAAACTTTGTTACTCACGTCAAGTGGAAATTCACTTTTGTTTTTTTCTTCGAATGTATTTGGAGAGGAAAAGCTCAGCAGCAGAACAAAACACAGAAGCACTTGAATAAGTGAGTGACAAACTGATCCCAGACGCGCGAAAAAAAAACACATTCAAAATATAAGTTTTTGTGTTTTGTCTGCTGGGGGAAAACTTGGGTAAAATTGGGAAATGAAATGAAATGAAATTAGATGGAAGAACAGGTGTTTGGGTCAAATAAGAATGATTGATTTTGTGTTGAAAACGTGACTCGCAAAAATTGTGTTTTGAACGTTTTTTTGTCAAAAAAAAAATCCCGTTCCTCAAGGTGTTTGCACATTTTTTAAACTACAGTACTATTTTTGTTTTTATTTATCATAAATAAATATTCAGTGACTATGTAACTCGAAAAAACAATCCAAACCAATAAAATCTAGACTAATCTATTTTACTTTCAAATTAATTTTTGATTTACTAGCTTGTGTGGGAATTTCGACCTTTTCCAGTCAGAACATCCACGTCATCTCCGAAGGTTTCAAAACTCAAAAAAACCAATAAAATGAAAATGGTCCCAAACGCATAATTCAAAATATTCTAAACCAACAAAAATGTGTTTTTCTCTCCAAGACTTCTCAATTTTTGGACCAGACTAGGGACAGGAAAGCGAAGAAAGGAAGAAAAAACAATCATTCATTTATTTCAGAAAAAAAAAACGAAGATTGAATTGGTGCAAGTCCAAAGCATGGAAAAATTGAGAAAAAATGGGGAAAAAGAAGAAGGAAATGATGATGGTAATTGTAGAAGAGATTAGAAAAAAAGGGGAGAAATAAAAAAGGAAAACGAGATTCTTTTTGAACCTAACTAATATAAGTGACTGACTGAAGCAGTTTCAAAAATCAACAGGAAATTAGAATTTTTTTTTTTGAAAAAAAAATTGGTTGGCAAGCAAAGGGCATCGAAAAAAGTCAACTGATTGAAGAATTAATTATTGATTACGGTAGAGGATTTAGTAAAAAATCTTAGGAGGTTTAATAAGACGCGACAACTTTTATTTTGGAAAAATTTATTCTGGAAATATTGCTATGAGGATTTTTCCAAATGGAGAAGCTAGGATGAATCAAATTCTTGACTGAAAATCTGATATCAGAATTTTCGAAACAGTGAAAATTTTGAAATGTTTATAAAAAACAACAGGAGTGCAACAGCACATAATATTTTTACTGCCCTAAAATTTTCCCGCGTTTCTTAGACTTGACACAATTTTAAGTGCAAAGCAAAAGTGAGAGATTTAGAGAACACAATTTTTGATCTACCACCGAAAACATTTTGGAAAGTTTGAGACCTAGAGATTTTAAGTTGTAAGTTGCGCATTGTGGAGTTCTGTAGCTTATGTTATGAAATATTTCAAACGCGTAAAAATAATATGGTATTTTTCAATTTTAACGAATTCTAGAAAAATTCGAGAGAATACTGTGGATTCGCAAACTTTTTTCTTATGGCCGAGAAAGTATTAGAACTTAAAATCTAGAGCTTTCAAAAAACATTTTAAAAATTGTGAAATACAGAAATCCATCCATAATAATGATGTATTTAAATTTATGCAGAAACTGTTTTTAAATTTTGAATATTTTTCCTAATTGATAATTGAAAATAATTGATTAAATAGACAGTATTCACAACAATCTTTGAAACATCTGTTCACAAAAACTTTCAGAAAAATCAATAAATTCTAGATGATCGCATGATTTTTGAGCCTTTCAGAAAGCGAATCGGAAAACGAGTGGAAAATATAAATAAATAAATAAATACTTGACACACGTATAAACGGACGACGAATTGAGGAGAAGAAGGCTTCTCGCGCGCGCTTCTTCTCGTTGTCAAAACTCAATTTCGTTTAAAAGCAGTCTTCGTTTGTTTTTTATTTTATTCGACAAAATTTGATTGAGCCAAAAAAAATTTACACACGAAAAAAAACGTAGTGGATTTCTATTTTTTTGATTCGTGAAACAGGCAAACGGGGAATTTTAGTTCGAATTTTAAATGTCGACCTCAAAGATCATTGTGTCTGATGTTCGACTCGCCTAAATGCCGTCATTTTCGAATTATCGAAAAATGGAACAAAAAAGGAAAATATTGGACCAAAAATATATAATATCATAGAGAAAAGCGAGGAAAAATTGAATAAGATATAGAGAAAAGAAATCATGAAATTAAAAAAAAAACTCGAAAAGGTCGAAGAAAGACTCTTAAAAAATGTTTGCCGGAAGAGGATTCGAACCCTAGTCTCATGCGTGGAAGGCAAAAGCATTACCAACTAGACCGTATCTCTTTTTTCTCACGTGGTGAAAATATTGGTGAAAAGGAAACTGTTTTTCAAGCAAGTTTCAATGCTTCTCGAAAATTGAGCAATTCGACAAAAAATATATATAATATCATGAAAAAGCAAAAAAAGCATCAAAAAGAAGAAAAATCATGGGCGCGAAAAAGATTCCAGTCGAATGCGGGCGCAAATTTGCGGAAAATATTCGTGATTTTTGAATTTCCGCTCACTCACGACGCAAAAAAGTTGTTCTTTTTCAGGTTTCTTTTTGTTCAAATTAAATTTCAATGCTCTTTTTGCTCGTTTTTTGCTCACGAAAAAACGAGGAAAAAACGTTATCAAAGTCTGCATAAATTTATATCTATGTTGTTTTTCCTTGAGGCAACAACACAGAAAAAAAAACAAGACAAAACTGGGTTATTTATGAAAATCTTTTCTTTTTTGGGGGAAAACCAAAGTCTCGGGAGATTTGAATGGAAAACGAAGATTTTTGAACTATTCGGGTGATTTATCACTTTTCGTTTTTTTTCGGAGGAAAAAATGAATTTGGTAACAGGAAGGAAGTGGAAGTTCGTTTCAATAAGCAAAATTGTTGGTTCAAAACTTGAAAAATGCTTGCTTTTTCGAAAAAGAGAAAGGAAATTGAAAAAATGAAAAAAAAACATTTTTGAATAGCCACCTTTCCTTGTCCGCGAGAACTACACACTAGTTTGCAATAGGGCGCGCATGCAACATCAAGCATTTTTCTTTTATTTTTTCGTCGAGTCTTCAAAAAACACAAAAAATCTATAGATATAATATTAGATGAGTCTTGATTGGGTGAAAAAGCGAAAGAAAACCACGGATGATGAGGAGGCAAAGTTGAACGATGCATTGCTCGAATTTCAAGCCGAATTTGGCCAATCCTCTTCGGCCGCCCAACCAAAAACGTTTTTGCGTGGAAGTGTTGTAGAGGGAAATAAGACTAGTAAGTTTTCATGTTTTCTTTGTTCTTTTTTTTGCATACTAGTAAACAACACAATAATATTGCAGTCAATTCGTCGTCTCAAGGAAATGTTTACGCACCAAAAATATCGATGAATATTTCGAAAACTTCGAATCTTAGCTCGAAGGATTTTGATGAAGCGAAAAAATTAGCAGCTGCAAAAGCAAGAAGAATGCTCGAAGACGCGGTGAAAAACAAAAACGTGAAAGTTGTGCCAAAAGTCGTTGCTCCACCAACTCAACATCTCAAAAGACCGCCAAAACCAGGATCCTTGAAAGCGAAAAATGATAAGCCAAAAGTCAGTGTATTGGAAACATTTAAACTCGAATTGCAAAAAGTGCAAGAAGATCGAGAGAAAAGGAAAGATTTTCGAACACATTTGGAGAGTTCTGGAATAAATCCAACAGTTGTTGAAAGACTTGCACCAGAACAAGGATTTCGAGGAGGTGGAGAATTTGATAATGATCCATATACAACAAATATTTATGTTTGTAATATTCCACATAGTGTAACTGAAGAGGATTTGCTATTCACTTTTGGATCATTTGGACCATTGGCTGCTTTGAAGATTTTATATCCAAGATCTGAAGAAGAACGAAGAAGACCACATATTTGTGCATTTGTAGCATTCATGTAAGATTTTTAAAAACAAATCATTTATTCACAAACAAATTATTCGGATTCTTCCGATTCACCGGATGCTTCTTCTGATTCTTCCGAACTTGAATTTCCTTGCACAAAAGCCAACGAAATAATCATGAAAATAGTGAAGATCAAGAAAAGTCTCATTTCGAAAAGAAAATTTAATTTGAAAATAGAAACCTAGGCGGTTCACTTATATATCCCTCAAATTGATAAGTTCAAGGTTTTTACGCAAAATGGACAAAGACTTAGAATGTAAACTATTTGAACTATGAGTAAGAAAAACTAAAGACTATTTTTCTTATTGTCTAGTAAAAATTACAGCTGATGATTGAAAAAAAAAGAAGATTTGTGTAATAAAAAATAAGAAATGTCTGAAAATGTTAAATATTTAGAAATATTTGGAAAATTCACGTGACGTGTAAAAATTCGTTTAATTTTTGGTCATTTCCAAAAATAGAGTATTACCACACCAGCCTATATATTTTTTCAGGTCCCGTATCGACACAGATCGTTTCCTCAACGAGGCTCGCGTTGTCGTCGTCCGCAATGAACCAATACGTTCTTCTCTTGCACGACCTGTCACAATTCCACCAACTCCCTATTATATCCCACCACAATTAGTGCAACTCCAATGTCCCGATCCAATTTCTGGTCTACCATTCAATGCGCAACCAAATAAAGATGATGCAAAACAATTCATTGAGAAATATAAAAGTTTTCCGCCGTTGAACTCGATTCCAACACCAGAACATCCAGCATATGAAGATTATATGAATGTTAGTTTTTTGAGGAGAGAATTTGGGAGTTTCTCAGTTGGATTTGCTCCGCTTTTCAAGATCTTGGACCTGAGGTTTTAGTAGCAGGTCCAATTTTTGATAAAAAATTCTGAAGAATTATTTTTTTAATTCAAAATTTTGCAGGTAATCCGAAATTCTGTAATTCGCGTGGTAATTCCTCCAAGTCGAGCACCACTTCGTTTAATTAATCGAACTGCAATTTATGTGATAACAGAAGGTGCACATTTTGAAGCAATGATTTGTGCACACGAATATCAAAATCCATTATTCCAATTTTTATGGGATAATACAAGTGCTTGTCATGTTTATTATAGATGGAGAATATATTCACTTTTACAAGGTGATTCATTAACAAATTGGAGAAAAGAAAAATTCCGAATGTTTGAAAATGGTTCATGGTGGATTCCGCCTTTGTCAACAAATGATTTGAATTGTTCAATGCCTGAATGTTTATATGATACAACATGTGTTCGAATACATCCTGATAGATGGTGTCAAGTAAAAGGTGGAGGAGAAAGAAGAGGTGGAGAAAGTAGACAATTATTGAAAGAAATTGAAAGAAAAAGACGACAGGAAATGGCTGAAAAAGTGAGAATTGAAAAAGAGCAAAGAAAAAATAGAACGAATTTATCGGAAAAGAAACGAGATAAATTGGAGAAATTGATTCGAGAAATTACGCCTGAACAAAATGTGATTGGAGAAGCAATGGTTTGGTGTGTTGAAAATGCGATAAATGCAAAAGAGATTTGTGAATGTATTTATGAAAGTTTGACGATTGATGAGACACCATTGCATAAGAAAATTGCGAGATTATATTTGATTAGTGATATTTTATCGAATTGTGTTTTGAGAGGAGTGAGGGATGTTTTTTTGTTTCGAAAACATTTTGAAGAACTTTTAGAGAAGGTAGGGCATAGTTTTTACTAACAATTTCGATCCCTGAAATCAATAAGAGCATATAAAACCTTGAAAAAATCAATTTTTCTGCAGATTTTCGAAGCCATTGGCTCAACCCATAAAAGCATTGGTTCTCGCATAAAACAAGAACAATTCAAGCAAAGAGTTATGAATGTATTTAGACATTGGGAAGAAACCACGCTATATCCTGTCGAAAAACTAATTCATTGTCAAAATGTTTTCCTTGGCTTAGTCAATCTTAAAAAATCAATTGATTTGGCTGAAAATGAAGATGATGACGATGATTTTACTACAAATATGAACAAATCTGGCAAAAAACCGCAGGAAGATGAGGAATATGATGATGATTTAGATGGAATTCCGATTGGACCAGATGGAGAATTGATTGAAGTTTCAGAAAATAGAAAAGATCAGGAAGATGATGAAGAAGATATTGATGGAATTCCGATGGAAACATCGAAAAATGAATCTGAATCAGATGAAGAAGATCGGAGATTTGATAATAAAAATCGATTTGCTCAAAATTTCAAACCTATTGAATCGACACCGGCTTCGAAATGGGAATCGGCGAAAATTGATGATATTGATTTGAATATTCGAAAAAGTCCGGAAAGAAAAAGAGAAAGAAGTTTATCACCAGGAGAAATTAAAGAGGAAATTGATACATCGAAAATGTAAGTGGAAAATGTGACGGGAGGCGAGATTTTATCAATAATTTCATTATCAAAAATAATATTTATTTTTCCAGTAGCCTATTCTCTTCTTCAATCAACATCGAAGATGAAAAACGTCGTCGACTAATGAGAGATGTCGAAGTTCGTGCGATGGTTTTGCTGGAAGATCTGGAAGCTGACGGAGATCCGAATGCAAAACAAAAAGTTGACGATTTTCGGAAAAAAGAAATGGAAAATGTTGAAAAATTGATGAAAGAAAAGGAAAAAGGAAGTTCGCCGAAAAATGAGAACAAAAAGGAGAAAAAAGATCGAGAAAAATCAGCGAAAAAGGAAAAGAAGAGAGATCGATCGAGGAGTCGAAGTAGATCAAGAGATCGAGACAGAGATCGGAGGGATCGAGATAGGGATAGGGATAGAGATCGAGACAGAGACAGAGATCGACGAAGTCATCGAGACAGGTTTGATTTTTACCCAAAAATAAACTAAAAATATGAAAATGCTTTGCACGAGTGTGAAAATATACACTTACGCGCTAAAATATGAATTTACCCACAAAGTTCGGGTAACTAAATTTCTCAAGTTTTTATTTGTTATAGATCCTCAGATCGAGACCGGGATAGACGATATCGTTAATTTTTTGTATTTCAAATTGCAAATCTTGTTGTTTTATTTTCAATAAATTATTTTCATTTCTATGCGATTTATCAAAAAATTGCTGTTTTTCCTCACATCTGGCATAGTTTGTCATTTTTCGAGTGATGTTGCGTTATACGGTGGCATGGGAAGATTTTGCTCATTTATTGATTGATTTGACACGTGGCTTTTTGATGGTAGAAATTAGACTTTTAGAAACATCAGAAAATAATTGAGTCACGAAGAAATTTTTGGTAAGAAAAATGCTACGGAAAAAATACGTTTCAAAATTTTTATTAGAAAAATTGTATTTTTTTCTTTGTATAACTAGTGAAATCCAAAAATATTTGACCGAAAAAATCCAGTGAAAAAATACGTTTCAAATGTTTTATTAAAAAATATTTTATATGCATATTTTTAATCATAGTCAAATTTTTAATCATAATCAAAAATATATTATCAAAAAAAAATAATACGCTTAAGCGAATCAAATATTTTTCGAAACTATAGTAATCCAGACTCGAAGTCTAATTCACATTCTTAATCTAAGCCTAACTAAATTGAGTTCAAATTTTTTTAAGCCACAGTAATCTTAAACCTGCCCAACCCACGTCGCAATAATATCAAAACAATTTATTATTATAAATTTATTTGCACTCATAAAACAGGCATAAAAGTTGTGTGAGAAAAAGATGAGGAAAACGAATGGAATCTCGAATGACAAATTGGTATACGGTAGTTGAACCAGATGTGGAAGCGACAGAAGAAAAATAGCAAATATTTGTGAGTGTGTCATATGGATGGATAAAACTTCATTCCAAT